CCCCCCCCCCCCCCCCCCCCCCCCCCCCCCCCCCCCCCCCCCCCCCCCCCCTGAAAGAGAGGTTTGCTTACCACTTGAGGATAGTCATCATCATGTTCATGGTCAGATTGTGCCACCGTATCCTTGTGGACAGGCTGGTTAGTCGCTGGGAGTGCTCGTTGCACGCGACAATGCGTGCGGCCAGCCCTTGGCACAGCTCGATGGGCTCGATGGCCTCTTGCAGGTCGGTGATTGCGAGGACGGTGTCGGTCAGCGTCGCGATCAGGTCGTCGGTGCTGATCCACGTCGCCCGGTCGGGGTACGGCAGCTGGCCGGCCTCGAGCAGCGAAAAATTCTTGTACAGGATGTGGACCGAGGAGCGGCACTGCTTGACCTCCTGGAGCGCCTTGTTGAGGATCGCCGTGTCTCGGCCGGGGCTGGTGTTCATCTCATAGAGCGAGTCGATGGTCTTGCCGCCAATGGCCAGCAGGCCAATAATGGCCGTGGTGACGCAGAGCTGCTCGAGGATCGGGACGGAGGTGGCCATGGTCGACGTCGAGAAGGTCGATGTCTCGGTCCAATGCGTGACGCTCGCTGCAGAGAGAGAGAGAGAGGGAGGATCTGGAGAATTGCTCGACGGCGCAGAGGGCAGTCGTCAGTTCTGTGGCGCGGGTGGCTCGAGATGATGGCGTCAATCTCGATATGCGACAAGTTGCAAGCTGCCAAGCCGCGGAGTGCAGGGTCCAGTGCTTTTCGCTTGGCTTGGCTTGACTTGGCTTGGAGATTTCAGATTTCGATTTCGGTTCGCGATGAGGATGCGATCTCGAAAAGAATGGGGCGCTGTCCTCGACACGACGGGAGGCTCAAGCCATGATCATGCCCCGTCTTGTTGTCCTGAGGAGGAGGAGCAGCGAAGTATGTATGCGCGGTGGAAGTTTTTGCTGGTCGGCTTCGGATTCGGAATTTGGCAGGGCAGGAGCTTCGAATCGCGAGTCGTGGCAAAAGCGGCAAAAGCGAGAGCAGGCCAGGCAAGGCCAGGGCAGGGCAGGGCAGAGCAGAGCGGCCGGAGGGCAGAAATGGAGAGCGCCTTGGTTGAGTCGGGACGGACACGGACGAAGAATGCTTTGCTCGCTCGATCGATCGATGATGGTTCAGGGAAAGAGAATGATGGATGATGGAGAGAAAGAAGAAGCAGAAGAAGCAGAAGAAGCAGAAGAAGCAGAAGAAGAGGAAGAAGAGAGACAACCGACTCCCGGGACACAAGACAAGGCAGACACACAGACCGGCGAGACAGACAGAGAGACGAGACAGTTTCTGAACCCGTTTTGGCCCATCTTCGGATGCCCTTGTTCCCCGCCTTGCAAAACCTCCTGTCGACTCGAGTGTTGGTTCACGGAAAATCGGCATCCAAGCATCTGGCATCTGCGTGAGCGACGGTCGCCTTGCGGGCCCTTCCGGCCGTATCATCCGAGTAGGCCCAGCAGAGCGCCAATGGCAGCGCAGGCGGCGAACGGGGGGGCTGCGGCTTTGCTTTTTGGGGGGGTGTGTGAACAACCTTGGAAGTCCAGGTGAGTGTGTTGTGTGTGCCGCTATCGAGGAGCCGAGTTCGTTGACTGGACGGGAGTTTTCCAGGCGGCTTAACCCCCATAGCTGTTCCCGTGGGTGCCCCCCAAAGGGAACTGGAACATACAGAAGCCCCCCAAAGAGGCGCTCGGCGAGAATGTTGCCGATGAAGCGCGTCCCGTCCCATTGATCCCATCCCATGCAACCGGGGCAATTTTGGGATGTGACGACACCGTGCGAAACACGCACTGTTCTGGTATCTGATTTGATTTGATTTGATTTGATTTGATTTGATCAGCAACCTGTATCAATCAATCATGGATTGGTCTTCAACCGCAACACAGCAGTAACCGGCCAGCTGCATGCATCATCACATAGCCCACCCATTGTTTTCGCCCTTGTTCCGACTCGTCAGATTGATTGATGATACATGTCGATGGGCGCATCATCATCTCGCTACTCTGAATCTCTGCCAGCATCAATATTCCCCCAATCCACGGCCCTCTGTATCGCCATCATTCACCAAAGCCTACACCATTACTGCTGCAATCTATGGCAACACGAGGCGCGCCCACTCGCACTGTATTTCCCTTTCAAACGCCTAGCACCAGCTTCTAGGGGTTGGTCCCGGCTGGTAGGTGCCGAGCGAGCTCCGCTGTGGGCAGCCCAGGATGCCGCTAGCGGACCACAGCAGCAGCACACCAGAGCTCAACTGGACTGGCCCAACACAGCGATTGGGTTGGGCTTATGTGCTTCTTGGTCCTTGGGTGTAAGAAATTGTGATCAAATTTGATGCGCCAACGTCAGCCGCCAGCGAATAAAAAAAAAAACTCAGTTGTTGTGCATGGGGGGTCCCAAACGAGCTTGAGGCACCTTCTAGCCTCTCTCTGCATTCAATCTAGCGCTGGTGCTGGGAATAATCGGCGACGCGCTTGCTAAAACCCGCCGCAGAAGAATGGATTTGATGGATAGTCGACACAGTCATCAAGGAGTTGGTCGAGTACGGGTATGGATCGGATAGGATACGTGGTGCTGGTACTAATTCTAGCAGAGCCTCTAAGTTACCTGGTACCGTCTGTGTTGTTATCGAGTTGATTGTTGTAGTGGAAGCATGTTGCAAATGAAACATTCATCAGATAATGATAAGGTGCTATATCTAACAGATGTACATGTGAGGTATAACGACAGCTTTGGTTGATTGATTCTCTACGAGCAAAAGGAGACTTGCAACTCAACGTCACCAGCTTTCCAGTAGCTCCCCCAAACTCCGCAAGTAGGCTCTACACGCAGCCACTAGAACCAGACACTGTAATTGCACCATCGCCTAACACGTCCCAAGTACTCCGTACCCCGACCTGGAAGCCGTACCCAAGTACCTGTACCTAAACTGCCGGCATAATGCAATGTCCGCTGTCCCAACATCCTCCATCCACCCATCCAATACTATCAGAAACATCACCACAATGCCCAAGACAACTGGCCATCCTCGTCCCTGCATATACCGGCACAGAAATGCCCCAAGCTTTCCCATTTCTATTCTAGCCTAACTGCTCGTCTTCGTCATCCCATCACAAATCACAAACCACCATCCGTCCCACTGTCCGTCCCGTTATCAGCACAACCGTTTGAACCACCACGGCTCGCCATTACTTCGTCTACTCGGTCGAATCGCAACCGCAAGTCTCATCTCCATGCATGAATCTTCGCGTTCCAGGGATTCTGCGCGTACTCTGAGATGTACCGCTCCCTCGCTTCCAACAGTCGCATAAAGTTCTCCTTGAACAGCACCAGCAGCTGCTCCTCCATCTCGACCATTCCCATCGCCATGTGTTCGTCCTCCGAGTGCTCCATCATGTGGCACATCAGCCTCTGGAAATCCGAATCTATCTCACCGCGAGACGGCAGGCCGTGCCGTCCGTGGTCCACATTGAATTTCCAAAAGCGGCGCGCCTCGCAGCGGACGCACATGGGCGGCAGCTTTTCGCCTGGGAGTTCTGGCATTGTCGCGGGGACTTCCCGCAAGTCGTCGTGATCCCTGGGAATGGTGGCCCAGTGCGTTTGAGTTTGGCACTCCTGACACACCATATTGTCTCGTTCTCGACACTCGGGGCATGTACGCTGGTACTTGAACCATTCCGCCAAACATGGGCGGCAAAAGATGTGACCGCAACTTATCACCACGCCTTCCCTTTGGCGGACCAGCTCCTCACTTGGCTCGATGCCTCGCACAGGCAGTTCATCATGACAGATGGGACACTCTACTGTGATCGGAGCAAGGCCAGCTTCATGTCCTCCATTATGCATATACCGAAGCACGCTTGGCCAGTAAGAGGTTTTATTATCCGTAACCATGGCCGGAGATGGCTCCTGCAATGCCGCCATCGTTGGCGAGCTCGTCCGGCTTGTCGCGCTGCTTCTTGAACTAGGGCCGGGTGATATTGAGGCATTACTGCTGCCGCTGCTGCTTACAATGAAGTCTCTTGCTAATAGGCGTGGCGAAGGGCTCTGTTGAGAGACAGGTCTTGTTCGACGGGCCGCGGGAGGCCTGGGTATTCTTACTCTGCGTGGCCTGCGTGGCCCTGGCTGGTCGGATGACATGTTGTGCTCTTTTTCTCTGATAATCTACCTCTTGGTCGCTGACGCGAAATCATCAGAACCATCCGCCCATATATGTACGTATTCGTCTTCTTTGATCAACCATGATTCAAAGATGAGCTCCTCTCTCTGCTCTTCTTGTTCTACTCTACTCTGCTCTGCTCCGATTTTGCTTTGTGTGGTTTTACTGAAAGGGGGCGTCGATGTTGAAGAATGATGGACAAAAAGACAACAACGCCTTTGTCCATTGCTTTGGCGCTCCCAGCACGCTTGCCTGAACGCTGTCTTATCTGGTCACTACTTTTCCCTCCAGCTTCGAGTACTCCAAACAGCTAACATGTCTCTTTGATCAACAGAAACCCGTCGCCGTCTTGTCAAAGGGGCGTCAGCCTTACGAAAATAAGGTTTTTTTTGTCCCAAGCCAAGAGATCCAATTCCATGTGGCTAACAGCCCGTCCCTGCAGTTTGCCAAGAACGCACCGATCCTAGTCGGCGCCAAGTCTTTGTTGTACAGATGGGCCAATGGTGCTCCTCGGCCGCAGGCGATCCCAGAGAGCCAAGTCTGCGGCTGTTGGTGCTTGCCAGTAACCTGTAAGAAATGACATTTGACTCGGTGCGGTGGAGCAAGATGCTGTCGGCAGCCTCGGGGGTGTCCATATCGCCCACGGGCTGAACAGATACGAGATGCTCTAGTACGCTAAAAGGAGATGGATTTATGCAGGTACAGCTCTGCAGAGCTTTGTGCTCGTGGCTGGCATCTGGGGCATCGTACTGGTTGGATCCTTGGACAGTACGAATTGTTCAATGGATTGTCAAATATGAGCAATTCATGGACAACAATCGCGGGGATGGTCGCTGCTGCAATTATTTGATGGGCAACAGCAATCTAGTATTGATACCATGACCGGCTGCGTTGCTTTTGCCAAGCCTCGGTATACGAGGAGTACTCGCATCTGAACATGTTGATTACCTAGGCGCACGTATTTCCCGTCCAATTGATGCCACGGTAAGAAGGCTTAAGAAGCCCATGTTGATCCTTTGAAGTATTTGACAAAGCATGGCGTGGAAGAATGATACTCGTCTTGTAACCTGGTGATGTATATTTTGCTTGCTTACAAACTACTACCTAGTAAGTACCCTATGGCATTGACTGCAGGTCTTTTGTTCAACTCTGGCTTCACTCAACCGAGTGTCCGTCTTTCATTCTCGTAATTAAAGTTCAGTCTTTACCTACTATAGCCCAAGACGTTAAGACCGGACTCTCTCCCACATCCACGGCTGAGGCAGTCTCCTGACTGCGATGCATTTCAACAAAATAGATCGATTTCATTACAAAATCTAGTCATAAAGCCACATCACTCATGTCTTTGATGCTCATAAAAAACCGCCTTATACCTTTCCAGGCCAGCACGCATGCGCATTCTCTTTCCTCCACACAGAATCATGTGCCAGAATAAGCTCCACCTCGTTCCCCTCGGCACGATGACTCTTCAAAAACGTTTTCAGTCTCTCCAGAGACCTGCGTGCCTCTTCCGTATCAGTGTGGATGCTCCTCAACCCGCCGTGGCCGTCGTCGTACAAGCCAATCTGCTTTTCGCCCGTCACCAACCGTCTGTCGTGGCAGCAGTCTGCGGCGAGATACGCCCATCTTCGCTCCCCCAGTCGAACCAGCAGATTCACATGGCCATAGATGTGGCCTGGCGTATCAACCACGTAGAGACTGCCGTCACCGAAGAAATCGAGCGTGTTGGGGAGATGGCCAAACGGCTTCCAGGCCCACGAAGAAGCAGCTGCGGGAGGCTTAGCCTGGGTGTTTGACGGGAGTGGCGTGTGTTTTGGTGCAAAAGGCTCGTTTCCGTATGTCCCCGTGCGTACGAGGGGAGGGAACTCGACGGTGCGTAGAGCCGGTAGTTCGTCCTTGTTGAAGAAAATCGATGGATACGCCGGCCCGGCGCCGTTCTTGAAGAGATCCAGCGTTCCGGATCCCACAGCAAACGTTGCCGTGGGGAAGTCCGAGGGCGTGCCAGTGTGATCCCAATGAGCGTGGCTGATGATGATGTAGTCAATGTCCTTGGTAGGATCGAGCAGCACGCCGTTGCCCGCGGCGCCAGGAGCATCGGCGACTCCGTTGCGCAGGCTCTGGGCGCAGTCGGTCTCGGTGATGAGCGGCCTCCAGATGTCGAGCTCGTCTTGCTGGGCGGGCGTGTAGTTCAAGTCGCGCTTGACGCCGAGGTCGAAGACGAGGTTGGTGACGCTGCCGTCTGGCGATGCGTGGCGGATGAGGAACGAGAGAGACGGGACGAGGTTCTTCTTTACGGGGTCTGCGTCGTTGACGAACATGTGTTCGGGGAGGGAGAGGTGGCCGGCGTCTAGAGCGGAGAGGGTGACGAAGCCGGGAGGAGGGCTGGATGATGCCGTCGCCATGATCGGTAAATGCGTGAGAGTAAGCTTCTATTTAGTGCCAGTTGAAATATTTGGAAATCTCTAGATATAATAGAGGAGGTGAGAAAGCAGTTTGGCAGCTTAATTTGTATTATATCGATCCTTGGGAACGCTTCGGTTCGATGGCTCGCCTTTCGCCCTTGTTCCCCTCACGCTCCCCCGCTTTGGAGCCTCGCGACATGCGGTCTTGGCTCGAGAGTATGATGCCATCTTTTGAGAAGAGAAAAGCCGATGCCTGCAGGGCGCGCTTGACGGGATCGGGAAACACGAGACGATAAGGGATTTTCAGCTTGTGCGAAATTACTGTAGGTGTTTGGAGGGATGAGTAATCGCTAAATGTGGTGTTGCTGCTGTTGCACCTTGTGTGTGTGACTTGACGTCTGCAGGCCTGCTAAGGTGAGTATTTGGTAGTACGGGTAAATGATGATTTTGATGCTTTTTTTCGTTGGTGTTTATGGAAGTGAATATTGTTTATTTGCATGTCATTTGTGAGATGTTGATACAAGTGTTTAGTGAAGATGTACAGAGCACATGGAGCCGTGTTGCCGTGTATGTAGGTTCATGTCTTGGACCCTCTGCCACTGACGGCAAAGAGGCTACACAGCTGATCTGTTGTGACCATTAAATCATGAATTGGCATTTATGAGTTTAGCAATTGACATCAATTGTCATCGCAATGATACTTTTGGACCAGATATGAAGGCAGCTTTTGGCAGATGATCGCCTATCCCAACAGCAAAGCCCTTGGATCCGGCTTGAATACGAGGCTGGGCATATAAGAGAGAACAGTGAACCATGTTCATGACCACTCACAAAGGATACTACGAGCTCTCTTTTTTCTTTCCCTTTCTTCTTTCTTTTTCTCTCTCTTCTTTCAATTTCCCTTTTTCCTTTCGTTTCATCAATTGTTCTTTGTCTACTCTCGCTTTCTCTGAGAGAGAAAAAAAAAAAAACACCAACATCACCAACATCACCAAAAATCATGCTACAAAGTCGCAAAAAAAATCGCAAAAAAAGGCCAAAAAATCCAACTGCGCCTCCAAGTGCCCGGCTCCCACCGCAAACGAGCAGCGGGAATACCCCGACAAAGGTGTCCGATCTCCTATCGTGGCTGCGTTCAAGCATCGTTGGAGGCGGCAGCCTGTGCAGACTCTGCAACAGCCGGGGTTCGTACGAGGAGCCAGTGGCGTGTGCCAAGTTACGACCCCCGAAACCGCTGAGAGAAACTGCGCTGCGTTGGGGCGAATGTTGGCAGGGAAGGTGGTTCCCGGGGTCATAAGGCTATGCCCCGAATGGCATAGCGGGGGTATTATTTTTCCGGGAGGTACGTGTGCGGATGTACCTTTTTGCTTCTGGGCGGTCGGGCGGATGTACTTTTATGCGAAGGGCACGGAAATGGAAGGTGATGGAATGAGATGGAAGAGAGGGGTAAGACGGATGAAGAGAGAAAGAGATGGGAATACACGCAGATGAGCGACAAGACGAGAATAAAAGAGAGGATGAAAGAAGGATGGAAAAGAGAGAGAGAGAAAGAAGAAAGAAAGAGGGAAGGGGGGAGAGGAGAATTAAAAATGGGCGGCAACAGTGGCGTCCCTTGTTGGGCGATTAGGGCAACACAAGCCCCCTGTGGAGCAAACTCGGTCAAACCTTGCAGGGGCTGGAATGCGGCATGGACGTCCCTGTATGTTGGCACGTATCGCTAGATGATTTGCAGTTTAGCTGTGGTGCGCGTTGTAGTGTTCTAGATCAACATGGCTAAAGGGTACTCGCCTGTAGCTGTGATGAGCCGTGGGAGAGGACTTGGACGGAACACGCTGCTACAAACAACGGGCTGTTACTTGTACTCTACAACGAGGTACCGAAACTTGAAGAGTCTGATTGATTAGTACGTGTAGTTGCATCAATGATTGTGCGCTCATTGTGGAGTACACGCCTCAAGGGGGAGCATGTAAGCGATTCCCTTGACTGTACTTCTCCAAGCCTCGGGTGAGGTTAAAAATGCTGTGAAGCCAACGCGGGATTCGCTCAACCTGAGACACAATCTTGCGAGCTCCCAATCATGCACCCTCGAGCAACCTTACAGCATCGACCACGTGGCTTTGATGACTGCATGTACCCAGGTACTACAACACACTTGGACGCTCTGATACTTGCATGTAATATATTAGTAGTGAATAGACTATATCAAGAGAGAGAAATGAAAGTCTGCTTGATCCAACATGTTGGGCCACGAGCCAGTATCCTTATCAAGGGGCATTGTGAATGCAAGTATTGACACAGATCCACGTCCTGTATACAGTCTCAGGTCATGGTCTGTTATCTATCCAACCTTTGAGATATTCGAGCCTACAGATGCAGATTAGTTGGATGTCCGTTAATCGTTATGCCTGTTATAAGATTTTCACCTCGAGTGGGGGCGGGAAGTGAGGGAGTGCAAGCGATTCCACGAGGCTGCCTCTTCAAGCCTCGGGAGAGGTTAAAAATGCTGTGAAATATCCGCAGCCCTACCCGAGGAAGTGCCCTACAATGGACCAGGAACTGGCAAGCAGCCTTCAAGTTGCTTGGCGCGGATGCCAGGCTCGAATCATCCAATCAATGATATCTTGCGTTATGGGGTTGTATCGCAGTACTGCACCTCCAAGCCCCCGGTGAGGTTAAAAATGCTGTGAAAAATTAGCAGCCCTTGGCAGGGTGCCAGGCACGAACCATCCAATGATATACTGCGTTATGGGGTGGTGTCTCAAAACCGTATCTCCAAGCCTCGAGTGAGGCTAAAAGTGCTGTGAAGGAGCGGTTTTGGAGCTTCATGTGTGGATGAGCACTCCGTTGTGCGCCCGTATGCACATTCAGGCGTGGTTGGATTCTTGAACATGGGAAGTCGATCTATTGATGTAATGAATACTGCACCTGACCACCGTAATGAGATGATCCACAAACTACATTAACTAGGTACCCATACATACCTTACCCCGTAAGCTGAGTGTGATGAGATGCTTGTATTTGTGCTCATCCGCAAGGTGTTCACTTCAGAATGGACTCATGCAATATGTGCCTCTCCAAAAGCTTCGGGGAATGCTAAAAACGCTGTAAAATAGCTGACAGGGGACGCATTAGTGGCGTGAATCACGTACTGCATTGCGGTTGCGGTACCTCTAAGCCTCTGATGAGGTTAAAAATGCTGTGAAGCTATGTCATGATACTTGACTCGAATTCAACCTTACTACAATAAGCTCTCCCCAGTACTAGGCACGCGCACCGACTGTATCCCGGCGACTTGCCCAGTACCTAGCCAATACATGGTCTGGCATGCATACAGGTAAATCTACGGGCTCACAATCCATGCCCGGCGTTGATTGTATTACATTACGGGGTTGTGCTGTTGTACCTTCATGTCTCGAATGAGGTTAAAAACGCTGTGAAATATTAGCAGCCCAACACTGGTTTAGTGATTTGGCTGCCAGCCTTCAGGTTCCTCGGCAGGATCCCAGGCGTGAATCATTTACTGCATGGAGGTTTCTACCTTCAAGCCTCCAGCGAGGTTAAAAATGCTGTGAATCTTCCAAATTCGTCCTGAAACACAATATTTTCCAGCCTAACCACATCAAACTCCCCCAGCACTAAACACATGCACTGTTTTCCAGCATCTTATTACCAAGTAACTACAGTAGTAACCAGTGCATGGTTTGGCAGCATCAATCCACAGGCTCTCCATCCATCCCTATCATTTGCTATTCAACATTGCGCAGACTTTATCAACCTAAATCAGCAAGGTTGCGATTCTACAAATGGCAATCGGCGTCGTATTTGTATTTACTAGTCCCCTTGAGATAATGTGTCATGAGAAGGCCATGGTGGGCGCCGAATCCCTGACTCTAAAAGATCACCGAGGGGGATTGGAAACAAGAAACCAACACGACGACAGCGGGAGATTAGCAAAAATGAAAAGAATCCTAAGAAACTAGTAGCTCTATCATCAACATTCCATTCTAAATATATTGACCATTGTGAGGGTATAACATGGCGGGTGCCGTTACATTATATGCCTACCAATACGAACAAGGACCATCAGTGGACATGATGGAACCAATGAAAACCAACTTGGCCAACTCAATACTTGCGACCATGCATATTGCGTACATCACTAACGGCGTTGTTTGAAGCTGATTGAAACTCTTCCTAAACTTCTTCCGGATGAGCCCGGTGATAGTTTCCTAGACGAGGCTGGTTTCACAGCAGCTAGCGATGGCCCTCTTCTTGCTTCACAGCCTCGGCAAAAGCCTCCACATGGGGTTATTTATGGGAAAGCAACAAGCCATGATACAGAGAATATATGTCTTTACAGCAGGAAATCGAGGGAGCATCACCGTTAGAGGGGGCGCGAAGAATGGTAATCACACGTGTACATCATCCTGATACATTATTCTCTGGTTAGCCATCTTAATATATATCTCAAACGTCTCTCCTCTGTCATCACATATCAAGAGCCACCAGAGGCAAGCAACCAATATGATAGCCGAGGATACACCAGAATAAAAACGGCTCGCCATCAGGACCTTTCATTCTGGAGAATGAATTGGAAGAATAGAGACCCAATCACAACTCCCCCCTAATGCCCATCTGTCTTATTTTACGCAACTGCTACGCTCCACGATCTACAAAATACAGTGCATGTGGACATGAGATGTTTTTGTTATATTTTGCCAACTAATTTTACATCATCAAAACGCCACCTATGAGCTCAAGACTAAATGAGAACAGAAATAGAGATTGCGACATATAGAGCCGAAAGGAAATGCTCGACATTCAGGACTCAACGCATTTGCATGTGTTAAATCATCTAAGAGAAAATCACAACGAAGCAGGCATCCCTTCTATTTCGAAGAATAATGAGAATATCTTAGAAGCAGATCACATGCCTCAAGAATCCGCGCAGCGGAAATTGCATAGGGCATTGCTAGGCTCCCTCATACGAGACCAACAGCCCAATGTTTGATGTTAAACTCCAAAGACGTATCAACGCTTGGACTGACAGCGACATCCGCCTAGGCTTCAAATACTAAAGCTTGGTGCAGCTTGATGCCGCTTTAAAATCTCACGGAATCCCTCGAAATCTGCCTATACCATGTATTGCAATAGCCAGTCTCATACAAACACGCGCAATGATGCAAACCCGTCCTGAATTTTCCACCAAATCCTGCGCCCAAGCCACAATTGATGCGGCCAACTACGTGTACACGCAATACCGTACCCGATGTGGGCCAACGACTTAGCACTACGGTCAACATTGATAAAAGACTGTTGGTCGGGAATTTGGAGAGCTGAAACCCCCTTTTAGGCAAGTCAATGTACCCTCGTTACCGAGAGTGCTTTCGATATCTACCTTAAGCTTCTTTCGATCTAGAAGGGACTGCACTGCCAGCGATTCGCGGCCCACTGGGGCGTTTTGCATGATATTGTGCGTCGTCCGTCTAAACGATACGAGATGCATAGACTCTTCGCTTACAACTTCTTGAATACTGTACAAGATTCTAATCTCTGTTTTACACCCATCAATGAAATTGCTGCATCAACAAGATCAAGAGCGTCAAGCTTCTGACCTCGATGGCGGATGCATTAGCCCCTGCATAAAAGATCCTGTTAGCCACACTTGGCCTGAACTGACCTCGCGTGTCTCTGATTTTTTGGAAGGATCAATGATCCCATTTGCGAGGCTCAGCTGGCGTTTTGCCGCGTATACCTGGTTTATTCTCACCAATGGCCCAGCTAGGGCGGCCCGCACGAGCTCTTAGTTCGGTTTGGGCCTTGGGACAAGCGTAGGCGGACTATCGCGGTGTGCGTTGGTCGAATGACTAAGAATAGAAGGGTATAGGATTTATTGTTAATGAGTATGCTTTTCAAGGATTCATGACCATGATTTATTGCTGTCAAGGGGTCATTCGAGATTGTTGCGAGGCATTCTCAAGAGGAGGATATATCAGGTATATGAAACCTATTCCAACCTCTCATTAGGAACACGACAAATAGGTTTGTTCCGCTACTCTAAAGCTCTCTGCAACTTGTCACACCGTATATACCACTTATCTCGCAAAGTCTGATGGCAACACCAACGACGCATTTGGCCCCTACAAGCGCGACAAGCACCGCTGAGCCGACTTGTACAACTGCTGTTCCCGGCAAATATGGCCAAGTGCCCATCATCGCCTGCAACTCCAATTACAATGCGATTCCGGCGTTCATCCCGGCCGTGGTAGTGACCATTCTCTTCGGTGTGCTCACCTTGATTCACGTCATCGAGGCGTTCATTTTCAAAAAGGTCAGTACACCGTATTCCTTACTCAGTACTCCTCGCGACATGATCTCATGTACATCATAGGGCTATGCCTGGGTCCTAATCATGGCTGCTGCTTGGGAGACGATAGCCTTCGCCTTCCACACCGTCGGTTCACACGACCAACAGAACGTTGCGTTTGCCACAATTTGGCAAATCCTCTTTCTGCTGTCCCCCCTTTGGGTTAATGCCTTTGTCTATATGACTTTTGCCCGCATGGTTCATGTGTACATTCCTGACAGAAGAGTCTGGATTGTCAAGGCCTCCCAGGTCTCAAAACTCTTCGTCTTGGCAGATATCCTCTCTTTTATTGTGCAGGCCGCTGGTGGCATCCTCGTCTCCCCTGGCGTCTCTGCTTCGACGCAGGAGATTGGAATGCACATTTATGAGGGTGGTATCGGGCTGCAAGAGGTTTTTATCCTCTGCTTTATAGGTCTCATGATTGCTTTCCACCTCCGCATCAATAAACTTAACAAGGAGCGGCCTCTGCAGCCGGAAGAAGTCACCCTGAATTCGGCCAATGGAGAATACCGTCGCGAAACTGAGAGGCCCAGGGGTACCCCGGCGCTGCTATACGCTCTTTACGCTGTGCTGGCGTTTATTACTGTGCGTGTTTTGCCCGTCAAACCCAGTCTGGCCCCCACTAACGGAACATTTCCTTGCAGATGCGCATTGTTTTCCGACTCGTCGAGTTCCTCGGCGGCCGCGATCCCGATGCCAACCCCATCCCTTACCACGAGTACTACTTTTACTCCCTCGATGCCTTCCCGATGTTGGCGGCCCTGCTCATCCTGGCGATGGTCCATCCCGGACACTTCATCACAGGACCCGATAGCAGCCTTCGAGATGCCAAGAAAGAGGAGAAGAAGGTAAAGAAAGCAGAAAAGAAGGCCATGAAGGAGCAGAAAAAGGCGGACAAGGAAGCTAAGAGGTTGGGCGCTTACGGACAAGTATGACAAGAGACTTGTCCATGCTTGCAGATTGGAGTTTTCGTCATGTTCTAATGAAAAGAATGTTATAGGTATATGCTAGCGTTCCGGAGGCTGTCCCATTTGTCATTGATTTTGCTGCTCTTTGCTGTTTCGTTGCGAATTAAAGGGGTGTTTATTACGGGTCATCGGATAGGGAGAGACGACGAGGGGCTTTCTCCGAGATGGATAGACGAGAGACTGTTCACACTCTATACCCTATATACTTAATATCTGCATAGACTAATCAAGAGTAATTTCAACTGGAAATGTGTTTCTTCTAGTACAGTAAACGAGATTTATCCATCTTCGGCTCTTGCGTGCCCAAAAGGGAAGATGCTGGCGGAGTGGGGCCGAAGCCGGTCCGCGGTTTCCACATTCATCCGCTTTAGTCCGGAGCAGACACTCAAAGCTTTCAGTGAATTTTTGTCCGTGGCTTCGGCATTAGACAGTGCTTTCAGGGCATTGTTGAAGAGGTTCCCTTGCTTTCATGTGCGTCTTGTCACTAATGTCACCCATTGATACGGCTGAGATATTTGAGACATGAACGCTCATATATGCTCTCTAGGTGTGCATTTGAGCATTTGACCTTGCTCCTTCATGGCCAAGATTTGCCGTTCCATACTTCTAGAATCATGCTTTGTTTACTATTCAACTTGTTGCAGAGGCGGGACATATCACAAACCGGTCCAGCTGTACCCCGTAAAGAAAGGGATGCTTCTCGGCAAAGGTGCCGAGACTTGTCTGCATAAGATGGGAATTTCCCCAAATGGTCAATGATCGGGCCTCTCTTATCCGTGCAAGCCATGATACCCGCTATAGCCTCGATTGCCGACGCTTGCTTCTCCGCGGCGCTAAACTCAGCCATTTCTAAGCACATGCTTACATGCCTCTTCAGCGTTACCCCATGTTATGGTACGGGCGTATATAGAAAGGAATTCTACAAAAGCGGTTTCCGTTTGCCAAGACTTCTATGATGGTTTACTATAGGTGAAATATCCCATTACTGGAGTCATCGCGATGGCGGCCCAAGACGAAATCGAGAGTGCCACTCCCTCCATGAGTCCGGCAACTAGTGACGCGGACACAATTACATCGAGTCTTCCTAGCTTGAGCCCGTTGGCTTTCAAAGACGAAAATGATCCAGATAATCCCAAGAATTGGTCATTGTTGAGGAGGCTCTTTATCACGTTCATATGGATAGCGGGAAACTTGGTAGCCTCGGTGTCTTCCAGCATCTTCAGCAGCGGTGCTCAAGCCATCAGCGAGGAGTTTGGTGTAGGGCCAGAGGTTGTGACTCTTGGAGTCAGCCTGTTTGTTGTTGTAAGTCGTCCAATATATTGCATCTCGTCTACAAAGTTGATGTTTGGCTGATGTTTATTCTCATTTTAATTCGCAGGGCTATTCCGTTGGACCGCCTTTCTGGAGCCCCATATCTGAACAATTTGGAAGAAGGTACCCGATGCTTGCGGGCATGGCCCTCTTCACGATATTTTGCATCCCGGTTGCCGTTGGAAAGAACCTGCAAACGATTCTCGTCGGGCGGTTCCTATGTGGAATGACCAGCGTATCGGCCATTGCCCTCTTTGGTGGTGGCCTGGTCGATATATGGCACCCAGAGCAGCGCGCAATTGCCATGGCTACCGTTATTGGCATAGTTCTCGGCGGTCCCTTGCTCGCTCCGGTCATGGGCAACTTCATTACTGCTAGTCATCTGGGCTGGCGGTGGACTGGCTGGCTAAGCTGTATCATGGGAGGTTCATGTACTGTTCTCGTGTTCTTTGGGCTGCCAGAGACATACGCGCCAATCATTCTGCAAAAGAGACGAAGATTGGACCCGGCTTTTCAGAACGCGCCAAAGGAAACTGGGAAATGGCGTAAATTTGTCCGGGTCTACCTCGTCCGCCCTTTTGGTGAGCTTTTCTCTCTGTTATCATTCCAGCTCCTACTCTTATTAACAAGTGTCTCTACAGTGCTACTAGGGACCGAGCCCATCCTCGTTCTCATGACTCTCTACCAGGCATTCGTCTACGGAATCTTGTATATTGTCTTTTCATCATATCCCATCATCTTCCGCGAACAACGTCACTGGAAACTCGGCCTATCGTCTCTTCCATTTCTAGGAATGATGGTTGGCGTTTTTATCGGATCAGCCATGATTGTAACACGGACCGTCATCGCTCAACAAGCCAGCCGAAAGAAAATGGCTGAAGATCAGTCCGGAATTCCCCCTTCGCCGGCACCCGAACGACGACTACCCCTAATGATGGCAGGCAGCGTTCTGCTCCCCATTGGGCTGTTCATATTTGGGTGGACTTCTGCTTCTGATATTCCCGTTGTTGGAATGATCATCGGCAGTCTATTTGTCGGCTCCGGGTTACTCTGCATCTTTGTCACGGCAATGACGTATATCCTCGACGTCTATGCACATGTCGCAAACAGCGCTCTAGGAGCAAACACAATCGTGCGATCGTTCTTCGCCGCCGGGTTTCCTTTATTTGCCAGCTACATGTATCACGGACTGGGCGTGGCCTGGGCGTCAAGCGTACTTGGCTTTGTGAGCGTTGCAATGATTCCGATTCCAATCATCTTTTACAAATACGGGCCACGCATCAGGGCTCTTTCCAAAAACCTGATGGTGTAATGTAATTTCAGAGTTAGGGGGGTTAATAAATAATATTCACTCTCACCGGAAATTCTATCAATATTTTTTCAAGTGCCAGTATATCGATTATGGAGGAAACTCTGCCTGCGCCTGCATATTGGATTGGGCTGAGTTGATGAAGACGATAGGAGACATCCGTGTAGACCATATATAGGCAATATGCATATGCAAAACAATGACCATAATAGTCATAATTAACACATGTTTTGAAAAGGAGCTTCTGAATCTACAGAGTAATGACATGTCAGCAGGATTCAGGGACAAATGATCAAGAGATTAATATGAAAATTGTATTTGTAACGAAGAAAAGAGAATCAAGAATTAAAGCTGTAAAAGCTCGAAAACATTAATATACACTTGGAATTAAGACTGAAAAATATTCATTCTAATAGTAAACTCCTGTTTTGAGGCAAAATGAATATCGATTGGTTACCCAGGCGTGAACTTAGATGGCGCCAAAGACAGATACAATCGGCAGCGCGTTGAAGGGACCACCACAGTAGACTATGAGGCCATTTTGTGTGAATGTGCATTGCGAACTGCATCCGTTGGTTAGATCTCCGGCGGCGAGTACATCACCACATGCGCAAATGGAGTTGTCATCGCCATCTGTTGACAGTGTAAAGAACAGGGTTGGAGGGCCAGCAGGACCTTTGGCGGTAGCGCAGAAGTTGGCGCAGTCGTCGACAGATACTGTTTCGATCTTGGAGGCAAAGAAGTTTCCGGGGTCAATATCAAGGCCAAAGGTTTGGTTGGCAAGCAAGCTCGCCTGGTAGCAGCCGATGTAGTCATACTCCGCAAAAGCTGGTCCTGGGATACCTTGAGGCCCTTGGATACCCTGAATACCCTGAATACCCTGAGCACCCGGAGCACCCGCAGCACCGGGTTGACCTGGAACACCTTGAGCACCTTGGGCACCCGCAGCACCGGGAGCACCGGGAGCACCCGGCTCACCTTGAGCACCTTGGGCACCTGCTGCTCCCGGAGCTCCCGGAGTACCTGGAACACCCTGAGGGCCTTGAATACCCGGAGCACCTTGGGCTCCTGTGGCACCCGGGTCACCTTGAGGACCTTGAGCACCTGCAGCACCTGGAGTACCTGGATCTCCCTGAGGACCTTGAGCTCCTGTGGCTCCTATGGCACCTGGCACACCCTGAGGACCTTGGGCTCCTGTGGCTCCTGTGGCACCTGGGTCACCTTGAGGACCTTGGGCACCTGCAGCACCTGGAGTACCTGGAGTACCTGGATCCCCCTGAAGACCTTGAGGACCTATAGCACCTGGATCGCCTTGAGGACCTTGGGCACCTGTGGCACCTGGATCTCCCTGAGGACCTTGAGCACCCGGGGTACCTGGATCACCTTGAAGACCCTGAAGACCCTGAAGACCTGGATCACCCTGAGGACCTGGATTTCCCTGAATACCCTGAGGACCGGGGTCACCTTGGTCTCCCTGAGGACCTGGATTTCCCTGAATACCCTGAGGACCGGGGTCACCTTGGTCTCCCTGAGGACCTGGATCACCCTGAAGACCTTGGGGACCTGGATCACCTTGGTCTCCCTGAGGACCTGGATCACCTTGAAGACCCTGAAGACCCTGAAGACCTGGATCACCCTGAGGACCTGGATTTCCCTGAATACCCTGAGGACCGGGGTCACCTTGGTCTCCCTGAGGACCTGGATCGCCTTGAAGACCTTGAGGACCGGGATCACCCTGAAGACCTTGGGGACCTGGATCACCTTGGTCTCCCTGAGGACCTGGATCACCCTGAAGACCCTGAGGGCCGGGATCGCCTTGATCTCCCTGAGGGCCGGGATCGCCTTGAAGACCTTGAGGACCTGCAGCACCTGTAGCACCTGTAGCACCTGTAGCACCTGGATCGCCTTGAAGACCCTGAGCGCCTGTATTGCCCTGGAGGCCCTGAGGACCCTGGAGACCCTGAGGACCCTGAGCGCCAGTGTTACCTTGAGGACCTTGGTCACCCTGATTGCCCTGAACACCTTGGGCACCCTGATCTCCTTGGTCTCCCTTGGGACCCTGGGAGCCAGTATTACCTTGAACACCTTGGCTGCCCTGAGGGCCTCGGTCACCCTGAGGACCAATTGGACCTCTCGCACCGTCAAAACCCGGGTCACCCTGTGGGCCTGGGCGACCTCGAGGGCCTTCAGGGCCTTCGGGACCTACAGGGCCTTGAGGACCTTGGATACCCTGCCCGCCTTGATTATTTTGGCCTCCCGGCGCCGGTCCCCATGGCCACTTTGCGAGTAGATCCGCGTCCTCTGGATTCTCCAAGACCTCTTCATTCTCAAGGAGTTCACCATTCGCCCCGAGTTGACCACTCTGACTGAGTTCACCATTTGCCCCAAGTTGACCACTCTGGCGGAGTCCACCAATCGTTCCGCGTTGACCACTCCCACGGAGTTGATCAGTCTGACGGTTTTGACCACTCTGACGTTGATCAGTCTGACGGTTTTGACCATTCGCCCAGAGTTGACCACTCTCACGGTTTTCGTCCTCCTCTTGGTAATCACCATCTTGTCGGTATTCACCATCCTCTAGGTAATCACCATCCTCTTGGTAATCACCATCTTGTCGGTATTCACCATCGTCTTGGTATCCGTTACCCTGACGGGGTTGGCCATACTGTTGGTATTCCCCGTCCTCTTGGTATCCATTACTCTGACGGAGTTGACCATCCTGTTGGTAATCACGATCGTCTCGGTATTCACCATCCTGTTGGTAATCACGATCGTCTCGGTATTCACCATCCTGTTGGTAATCACGATCGTCTCGGTATTCACCGTCTTGTTGGTAATCACCATTGTCTCGGTATTTACCATCTTGCTGGTAATCACCATTGTCTCGGTATTCACCGTCTTGTTGGTATTCACCATTGTCCCGGTGTTCGCCATACTTTCGGCTCTCACCATCCTCCCGGCTCTCATCAGGAACCGGATATTCAACACTCCCTCGGTGTTCGCCACTCTGTTGGTGTTCGCCGTTCTGGTACTTTCCGTTCTCCCCGTATTTGCCACTCTCCCGGTGTTCGCTGTTCTGGCTCTTGCCATTCTCCCAGTATTGACCATTCTCCTGATTCTCGCTGTTCTCCCAGTGTTGGCCATCCTCCTGGTTCTCGCCGTTGTCCCATTTGCCAGACGGATCTGAAGATGCTTCACCGCTGCTCCATTTGCCAGACTCATCTGACGATGCTTCACCGCTGCTCCATTCACTAGACGGATCCAAAGATGCTTCGCCATTGTTCCATTCACCAGACGAACCCGAAGATGCTTCACCGCCTTGGTAGTGCCCGTGGGTACTATCTTCCGTCACGTATACAACGTGAAGTTCGCAATCACAATCAGGCTCATGCTCCTCCTCTCGCTTGTGTACAGCAGTAGCCGTCACATTGCCAGCCAATCGCGAGCTGCCGAATCTGTTAGACTGAGACCAAGCACCGTTCTATTCCTGGACATCTTACATTGGAGCCAAACGAGGGCCAACTTGGACACGATAGGATACGTCCCATCGGTCCGCAGTCGAACGCACGGCTACTGCGGCCGTGTGATCCACGGAGCCCAACAAGGCGGCTGCCACCGGCAGGAGCTTGCTGATAACGGCCATTTTGTAATAAACCAGTCGTGTAGGTTCTTATCCAGGCGGTTGATTACACTGATGAAAGTAAAATTGGGACATGGCAGGATTCAACGGTGATATTTATAAAACCGTTGAATAGGCTTCACAACATCGTGTTTACATACGTTTTTGGCGATTGTGTCAGCACGGAATGAAAAATGCTCGAACAGCATAATCGTTTCGTCGCCCAAAAACGTTGACCAAGGGGACGAGCCGTGTGCGGCGGTATTGAGGAATGCTGTGCCGCTCAGACGCGCCCGTCAACTGTGCAAGTAAAATTATATCCCAGAATCTGCTTGCTGGCTGCATTCTCTCAACTTCCACGGATTCATATGAAACACGAGATTGCAACGGCCTGTGGAATCTCGGGACAAGTCCGTTTTCACGATCCTTCAGTCAGACGATGCAACGGAATCCAGACATGATTCGATCGGTACTAGTCCAGGGGTAAGGTCCATCAACAAGGCGATCATTTTGAGTTTAATTTGACTTCGAATGCTTTTAGGAAATGTCTCTAAATGTGGCTCAATTCGGTAAGATACTACTCTTTGGCATTGTGACTTGTGAAGTAAACAAGGTACAGTTCGTATAGCGTAAAAGTGCATTTGATAGTGGTATTGGTACTTGCAGCGTGCAAGATTGCCGTCTGATGGCATCATACTCAGGACTGGTCTGGCCTGTTCCATCTGATATTAATCCTCTATTGTGTTGCCCAGAGAAGAAGACCAATCATTTTGGGATTACGGATTCGTAACAAAAGAGCCTGCACCCAGTCTTGATACTTTGTTAACGACTGGCTATCTGAAATTGCATAATCAGTGTATGGAACCAAACTGATAAATTCAGTCGTTTTTGAAATCTCACTCGAGCTTCACCCTCATATCCGGGAGAACGAAGCTGCCTGTATTCTCATGTGCCTACAGCAGTATCGTCGTGAGACATGATAGCTGTTCTCGTAGACTGCTGTGAAGTAAACGCCTTTTTTGGTTCAGATTGTGACATGTTATGATGAAGCCCCTGGCAGCCATTCCAGGAACGTAATTGGCAAACGGGACGACATACCGGAAATGTGTCGAAATGTTCCAGCAGGGCGAGATCCATGGCGGCCAGTTGAAGAGAGCAAAAAGGCTGGAAAAGGTAACTGTGGATCCAGCAGCACTCAAACATGATTCAGAAACAGCAATGAAAACAGAAGAGAAGGAATCTTTACTTTACCGCAAAAATGTCCAGCTACTTTCACCGAGTTCTGCGTGTCTTTACCATTACTACTCTTCAACTTTGTTTGTCAGGGCAGTGTGAGCGATGTCCAATGCCATCTTTCCGTAACTGCTAGAGGATCAGAGTGCGAAAGAGGCCAGTAATTTGAAATTTTGTAGTCGACTTGACGCAATTAGAGGACCCAATGGTGAATCATAGTGATTTAAGAAGCTACGGAAAACAACATCTTTAATTTGCAATTCAAGGCAATGGAATATGAGATCTTGTATGCGTTTACAACAATCGATCAAGTAATTAGTGTAACGTGCTTCATATTCTCTCCAATTCAGCATATTTGCTGCGAAGATGATATGATGGCTCGGGCAGACTCCCAGTTACACCCGAGTTTACAGAGGACGCAGAGGGCTACTTTGTCACTATGAAGCATGATTCCAGCGTTATCCACGAGTATAAAGAGATTGCTTTATGAGCTTTTCGTCCCATGAATCTCGTTTACATTACCTACCCTGAAATGAAAGTCCATCATCACCAAGAGAGGGAAGAGAGTTTTGAGAGACGGAGGAAGACGTCCGGAAGCCCAAGACACTGTCTCACAACCGTTAGCAGAGAAAACTCCGACTCGTGCTCCCTTGGAATGCCGCAACGGTCTCCGACACTAGGAAATCGACTAGCTCCTAGTAATACGGTGGGAGATTGTTCCGGCCATAGAAGGGAGCACTTGCTGTGGCCTCTAGCAAGGCGCCTTGCAAGACAGGCTTGAGATTTCGTGCAAACCCCTTCGGATGGCGAAGATATCATAAAGAGCATGATATCCGTAGCCCTCAAGTCCTATGCTAACTCACTTACGTCAAGCCAGCCAGCCACAAGGAGGCATACATTCCCCAAGAGGAGGCTCTGGAACGTGGGACTGTTGTCGATTCCCAAAGAAAGACGGAGTAGAGATGCCTGTTTACCCATTCAGTAATCATTCCACGACACCTAAGCGCTAGCAGTTTTGTTTCAAGCTTCTAATCACACAGTAGAAGATAGATAGTAGGCCTAGGAATGGAAGCCGCGAGAGGGACCGGGCGCATATCAAAAGTGTTCCAAACAAGTCAGTTCCCCCTTGGCCCAGAGTCACCCGCAAGGTGGCAAACGTCGACTTGGAGGCCATTTTGCTCATGACAATGACAAAAATGGAGGAACAGGAAGCGCGAGCGCCGTCTCTCCCTCATTACATGGATGCGCCGACTTGCGTTCAATTCTACCCAACCAACGCCTATTGCACCATGCTAGCATCCAGCACTGGACGCCGAATCCGTCTTATCATATATAGCCAGGGCCCAAATACACTGAGCACGTTGGAGTCCAAGCCAAGCCAAAAAGCAAACCATGGTTTACAGGGAGCATCTCGCCGCTTACACGGCACCGCCGCTGCCGTGTCGGGGACGCTTGCGGACACTGCCCGTGGAAGGGTGCATCTTTTCGTTGCGCTCCCTCTTGAGCTTGTCGTCCAAAACACGGGCTGCAAAAGATTAGCTTCACTAACCAGGAGAGTGAGAATGGTGGCGAAAACATACTGAGGATATCGAAACCAAACTGGGGAAACTCCAGACACAAGGCCTTGAACTCGTCTTCGGCCTCGGACCGCAGCGTATGTGACCTGGCAGCCCAGAAGCTGGCCACGGGGGCACGAATGGTTGTGTCGTCGAGGGCCGTGTTGGCATAGACGTAGCGCGCGTACGCAATCTCGCCCCTGACCGTTGAGTTGATGCAGTGGATCTTGGATGCCGACAGCGTCTGGAGCGAAGTGACGCCCCATTTCTGAGCCAAGGTGTAGATCTTTGCGTGTTTGAGGAGCTGAGTGCCCGAATCGTCGACGGCCGGGACGCTGGGGTCGGTTTCGAGCGATCTCTGGCCCGACAGCTTGCGAGGGAAGTATTCGCCCGTGTAGAGGAACTCGAGGAAGCAGCCGACGGCATCGAGGTCTTCGTCGGGGAGCTCAATGTGGCGAGGCTGATGAAGCTATTAGTTTACATAATGTATCTTCGTCTTCGTGTCGCGCGACGTGACTCCCACGGCGATGGAGAGGAAAGCCATACGCTACCGTCCTCGACAAACTTGTTGCAAATGTCTTCAAAGTACGGGCTGCCAACGAGGAACTCCTGATGCGCCGCGAGCAGCGTGGGCTCTTCCTTGCCCACCAGCAGCGTCACGACGGGGCTCATCAAGCTGCTGGCGAACGTCTTGCGCTCCTCGACCGGATCCGCATCGGCGTCCTGCTCTTCCGCGGCCTCCATGTCGGCCAGAGGCGCGCGCTCGCTGTCCTCGTCGGGCTTTTCCGACTCTACAGGCTGCTGTGAGTGTTCGGGCTCGTCCATTTCGACGTCCTCGGGCGCTTTGTCGACCTCGTCGGAAGGCATCTCGGCTGCGATTGCGCGCGGAAAAGGCCGGATTCGAGAGTTGCAGAGCTTTCAATGGCCTTGCCTGTGCTTTACTGTGTAGAATTGAAGGTTAAGAAGCCGCGTGACTGCGGTGAAGCTGAAGCTGAAGCTGCGAGATGCAAAATAAAAAGCAAAGTGTTGACGGAAGCGGAAGCTCTTGTCGCGTCGCGCTCAGCCCAGCCCAGCTATAGATTAAGTGGTACCTGCTCCCTGCTGTTGGCTACTATGGCGAGCCAAGTACCGGAGAGTCCCCACAACGCCTCACAGATGCGCAAACAGCTGCTTGTACGTACCGTGTGATGTACATGTCATATGCACGGTATGATCTGAGAACTCCTTGTAACAAGCACTCTAAAGGACATGATTACCGGTTAATTCACATCATCATGACTCGTTACAACTCATAGATGCATATTTGACTTCTTTATACATTCAGAATATTCCGTTGACCACTACCTCGGTCAGTGACGTGATACATCTCCCAATCTGTGTATCAGATATAAACATGAACCCATCACCATCATCAACCATCAACCATCAACCATCAAGCCTCAAACTTGACCACTATGCCGGGCAAAATCTCCAAAAACGAAGGACTTCCCACGCTCCCCTGGAAAGCCAGCTTAATCTTGGGCCCGGTCTCCGAAGCCACCCCCAACGTATGCCGTGCCTTGGCCGATGAATCTGGAGTGCTAAACGTCCACTCGTCTTCGCCCCTCGCTGCGCTGTCAACGTCGTGAATAGCATCATAGACGCTCTGTAGGGCAGACAGCTGCTCCTGGGGCACGTTGAGCCGCACCCGAGAGACTCCGCGAGCACCAGAGGGATGCTGTGTCTGTGCCTTGTCCTCCTGGTACGGCACCCTGTTGCTTCGTGGTGTTCTGTCTAGACACCAAAAGGGCAAAAGGCCGGGCTCTATCTCATTACCATTATCATCTTGAGGAGCTCCAATCGCCCACTTCAAAACAACTCCGTCTGGTCTCGTCCGGCCGCCGGGAACGGGATCCTTATACGTCAATCCCGCCTTTGCGTCTCTGACTCGTTGCTGGACGGCTCCAAAGTCGCCCTCGTGAGGCAAAGTGTATGCCCAGTCCACAATGGTATTCTCTCGCTGACGGCCCCATCTGTGCTTTACCCGCTCTTCGGGGCTGATGCCCTCGGCGAACGCGATGAGTTCAATGTAAACGCCATCTTCAAAGAGAATCAGCTTGTTGAACGTCTGGCCTCCAGCGTGAGTTCCTCCAGGGCTGACAACGAATGAGTCCTTGAGGCGGTCGGGGAGTTGTAGCAAATCGCTGGCCGAGACGAGGATCACGATGTGGTCCAACGTTGGTTGCGGTGAGCTTGCGCTTGTCTGTTCAGACATGGTTAAAGATATCACAATTGATAAGGAGACGAAATAAATGACTTTGTTAAACAGAAAATGGACGCCTCATTCAGCCTTTGTTTTTCTTCTGTTCTGAGTGTATCGGGGCTGTTAGTAATTGCACTTGTTATGACGCCATGCGGGGCATTGCTGGTGTTTTGTTTAATCAATTCAAATCAACAATCTCGTAAGCCGATGTCCCTCCGGATGAGGAAGAAAGATTTGGCTTGTTTTTTACAAATTCTATTCTTCTTAGTTTCTTCTAGATGGCCTTGGGAAAAGATCACAGACAAAGGTGTGCAGATGAATTAAAGTCGGCGCTTCCATATGCCTTGTAAACGCCTACCCTATTCTGCCGCATGCTCTCGTCGGGGATTTACAATGTGGGCATCTATTGTCAGCAAGCAGGAGTTTGCATATTATTTGAACCCTTAAAAACTACACCCAGCATACAAGAGATCAAGTACATTAATTTGTCAGTATAGACCTACTGTCCACGTTTTATCTCTGTTGAGCCATGGTTGGCAAGCCGGCTCTGTTGAGTTTGTACTGATATGGACGAGGTCTTCGCTACCATCAAGACTCGTAAAGATTCAAGATCCACTTGGGCTGTTTTGATTCAAATACTCCCTGATACTCGTGGGGGAGACCAGGTCCAGAGTTGTGACTGAGAGGAGGGGGATTCGGAGCAATGTCAATGTCTCAACATCGACGCGCTGCACATGGTACATAAAGAACCCATCAAGCTCCCTCCCACGCAAGTCTTTGTAGAATATGAGAATGAAATGCGGCTACGGGAACTAGCAAACTCTCAACAGAAACACCAGAGACAATGGCAGCCACCGGATTAAGCGCACGACGTGTTCTGCACCCCAGCGAGAGCGTACAGTTCAGCCAACGGAACAAGATGCGAAGAGAACCTTCGTCTGTTATGCGACCTCGCTGGCGCTTTCGTCGCCGCCCTGTTTTGTCTTCCTGCCATGTTTGGATTGACGCCAAGTCTGTTGTCATCTATGTCGTCGATTGGCTTTCAACTTGGAATGGGTTACTGGACAGCAAACTCCGGGCGCCGAATAGCCACTCACCTCCAAGGGTGCAACAGGGAAATTCTTCGAGTAAGAATAAACTCTAGAGAGAAGCTTGTCGATTAGCTTCAAGGTCTTGATGACCACGAGTAACCCGTCTTCCACCACAGCTGGCAGCTTGTCCAACGCAGTTCCGTCCAACCTCCCGAAAGCGTACATTTTTACGAGACATCAGATACATTAGCTGGTAGTTGGCCACTGCATTGTCCAGTTACTGTTGAGCCAGGAAAAAATACGCTCAGCCCAGGACCTGTCAATGCTTCTGCCATGGAGATACCTAGTACAAGGCTCCCCATAGAAAGATCCATGGGCCGATCATTCGAAAGGGTCCATTATAGGTACCTAAGGCACCCTGTAATTTTCCACTGGAATCGAGCCGAGGAAGACAATCGAAGCCACTGGGTCACATAAAATGTACGTGCCCATAGCATAGGAAAAACAACTGTGCTGACTCCGGTTGGTTCTCCGTGATTTCCTTGAGTCAACGAATTTCCAAATTCACCCATTGCCTGACCACAGGCGGATTCCTCCTCGAAAAACCTGTTTCATTACCCTGCCAGGTACCTAGGTAGTACCTGAGGTAGCTGTTGCCATAATGCGGCACAAAGTACCTGTATCAAGGTATCACCGCCCTCCCCCATGGTTCCTTCCTGAACTTCAACAAGATACTTAAGCGAAACAGCACACAAATGGACCAGGAAAAAAAAACTTACCCTCACCATGATTCATGTCTGTCTCCTCGTTGGCGTTTACATCAGGGGCAAACTCTTTGTGATTACGAATCTTTGCAAGCAAGATGGACCGTCATATCGTCAATCTTGTTGAGAAAGTCGACCGCGCATGGGTTGACTACAGCGTGGCAAAATGTGCCTATACTACGTATAAAATGTCCATCTTCTACAGAGAGAGAAACCCAGAGATCCAAGAATGGGGCGACAAGCAATACCACAGTGCCGTGGAAGGACTTTTGCAGCAAAAAGAGTTGCTGCAGCTTCTACAGCAAAGGTAAGATGATGTCCATTCTATCACAGTGTGGACGATAATTGCTGGTTGCAATTCATTAACCCGTCATAGGGCCCCAATCAAGTTGCCAGAGGCCGTTTCCCGAGTCGTACAATTCGATTTTCTATCGCCAGATCTGGACCGCCAGCACAGGGAGATCAAGGACCTGCGTGCAGCCCTTGCTGCAAAGAATGGTCAGTCCGCTATCCAACCAACAGACTTCACATGGATGCAATCTTCTAACGCAAAACAGCACCTCCAGCGTCCTCTCCCCCATCAGTGTCGACGCCTACATCCCTTCCATTGAAGGACGAAGCCTCTGGGGAGAAGAAACCAGCGCCCTCTCCGATATCGTTGCCGTTGAACGGCGTGGTACGCTCCACGGGGAAGATACAGCCCCCTACGAACGCGAAAACAAGAAAATCGGTACCATTGTTGCAGGGCCAGACAAAGATTGACTCTTGGCTTAAGCGTGTACCTCCTCCCTCCCGAGATAGCAGTCCATCTGGGGCAATAACCCCTTTGTCGAAGAAGCCTCGAGGCGAGGACCATAAGAGTACTCAAACTACCAGCTCTTCTATGGTCCAACGTCGATCCGCTCGTCTTAATGCGAAGTAGGTTTCAGCTTCCATACTATAGATTTAGTGTCATAGAGTAATAACATACTATACTCTAGAAAAGAAACCTCGCAACGTGATTCCTCAACCGACCTTTGGACCACCAATGACCAATCCGAAAGCTCCCTTAGCCACCTTGATCTGTCTAACGAACAGTGCGACGGTCCATACAACGAGCCCACCGATTGCGAGAATACCAACGTCGTTCAGAAGAAACCACTACCATTCCACAGCGTTCAAATAAGGTCTATTCCGTTACGGGTTGCCATCAACACGATTAAGCAGTCTTTCCGAGCCATTTTAAAGAGGAAGGAAGTATCTATAACTGACGCCAATCCTGCAATTGTTAAGACATTGGAGAAAGATGTATACCAACAACTCATTTCCTCTTTAGAGCAATATAAAGAGGGCCGAGTGAAAAGGCATTGCGACTATACTGGCGTTGAGATCTCTTGGACGCCTGGACCGCGGGCTATGTCCATAGAGGGCATTTACTTAGCGACTATCTATAACGGATGGACCACATATCACTCGCCTACCAATGTCGCCATTATATCATATGCTGTCAACCTTGCTAAGAATGATCGACCAATAATAATGCTCCCTTTGATTGCGGTCTGTCTAAATATCGTCCAAGAATCTGACTTCCAGTCTAGGAAAGCAAGATGGATTTGGGCGTATAATGCTTTATGCAACATGGCTCATTTATACATTGCTTGTTGTTTCAAACTCCGGTTTAATGAAAGAATTTCCAAATGGAAGTCCTTTGGTCCATCTGCTTTGACCGACATCCTTGATGCTTCACGCACAGGAGCCAAAACGCCGGAGATCAACGCTCTACTTCAGGCAGTGGAAAAGAAGGATCTGTACCACTCTTCCCCGGAACATCTTAAAGTCGACAAAGTACCTCTATGGCGCTTGATTGCATGGAATTGGGAACGAGTCTACGCTGACCTTGTTCGCATTGCGGACCGTTATGGACTTAGTCCATCAGAGTTCGACTATTACCTTACTATCCCATCCCATTCAAGTCATAGGAAGATAACAAAGAGAGTATTTTACCCGTTCTATATCCTCTCTCGCCCACAAGCCGAGTCCGTCGAGTGGAATTGGATAGCTCTCCGAAAACTGGCATCTTGTTTTCTCTTCCGGAAGCAAACCGAAACGATGGATCCAGTTCACCTCATTTATTGGATCGCTTCATATTTCTGCAAAAAGATTCAACATATGAAACTTCAGAACCCAGGTGTATCTTCGGAAGAAATAGCATTTTGCTATAACTTAGATCGATTCGGATTGCCAATTGTCCCCTGGGTAAATCATCCGCTCAGAATATCCTTATGTAGAAAACAGGGTCCAGATACTAGTACATTCGGAATAAGTTACGAGAGCGACGACTTCGACCCTGCCAAAGATATTGATCTCGACGCCTCTACTTTCACCATTGAAACGATTTTCACAAATATGAGTATCGCTCCATTTGGAGATTCTTGTTGGAATAATATTCGGGATGTGCTATCTTCGATACCTTTATACCATCCATTCTGGAGGGTGGACCTGTCTATGGGAAACGAAATATGGCATACGGATACGTCTAATAACTCAGTCTTGCCTATGCCACCTGGTCCAGAGTTCGATACAGCTCTTCTGCCCATTCATTCGCTCAATGGTCCGTTTAATTGCAACGAATGTTCGGCAAATCAATTCCCGAATGCAGGTACTCTCATTGCTCATTATCAGACTACCCACATGAACCGACATACTCTGCATGATGGTAATCCAAATCCACAACAAGATAAGTCTGATGCCCGATACTGGGACAAAAAGAAAGCTGAAATAGCCGCTCAACGAGCTGTATGGAACCGAAATATGAAGCAAAGAAAAGCCTTAGCGTAGGTATGATGTGATGATCTTTTGGGCATTATTGCCCAGTGCCTTAATGATATGGTCGGCGCGAGAAAGGATTAGACGCATTTTCTTCTTCATCTTCCTCCTTGTTTTCTTTCTCTCTACATATTGTATTATTTGAATGTACTTCCCTTTCAAGATTTCATTGTGGACTGTGCTACTCTCTCTCACCCTTCTTCATCTTTGTTTGTCAACAGGAGCCTGCTGTTTGTCTATAGTATGGGCTACTAATTGATAGGCAACTTCTACTTAATTACCACTCATAAAAGGCATGATCCAGTGCCCCTGTTTTGCCAGTATCGTTTGATGCTCATATGGAATTTGTCCAATATTGACGGGCCGTTGGCGGCTGCGAAAGGCAGATTACAGAGCCAGGAGCTCGCCTCCCACATTGCCCCGAGAAAAGAAAATGATATTGCACCAGAATAAAATTTCGGATTATTTTTGTTGCCAAACCCGTGTGCCATTTGTTTTGAATATCCCATTTTCCAATCCCCACCTGTGTTTTTTTTCCTCCCGTAACCACCACCACCACCACCAGGAATATCACGCCCAGTTAGCACACGGAAATTGGTATATCCCGTCAGCCCATTAACAGGTCCTTTAGTATTTCGCAGCTTACATTTCTTAGGAAGATATTCGCATGATGGACTGGTATGATCAGCCACGAGAGCTGCTGTTCAGCGAATACCTTCTCCTACGAGACTGGAATGACACCGAGTACGCCACAAACCCCGACTTCGAAGACTCCCATGTAAGCGGAATACTTCAGGCCGCTCTTGAGGAGCGAGAGCCTGTCGATGTTCATATCTTTGAGCAAGAATGGACCAGTGAGCCCATTGAAATCTGTATGATGTATCCCTGAATTTTATCTTTGTGTGGTACATAGATTCTGACAGTTGATCTAGTTGAGGTTTTCGTTCTTCGAATGCTGCATACGCTTTCGAAACCGGACCACTTCGAGATTCTCGAAACCCTTGTTGCTGTCCCTGGTGGATATTACGGACATCAGAGTCTTCGGGCCGTCGCCCGTTACTATCAACTTCATACTATGGATAAGTTCTTTGAACTGGGAGGACCTAGAAACCTCATGCGTGTATTCTGCGACGCATTCGCCTGGGCCAAACCGGCACTAGACATTATCTCGTCTACTGAGGCATAAATAGACTGAGTCTTGCCATAATACTAGCATAAGACCTCGCTTTTTAGCCAGGCAGCCATGGGGGAAATTTTGATAAGAAGTGTTTTCTGTTTTGTTCCTTTTCACCAACAGATACATTTTCTTTTTTTATAGACCAGACAATGGCAACGCCTGTCCCACGGCATAATACGCGTAATTCCTACTGGACCACTGTGACTTGCTACCAGAGACAAAGAAGACATGAAAAATAATAAAGGGTGTCGCTAGAACTTTTCAGCCTCTCCTGTTAGCCATTAATAGCCTTTTACTATATTCGTCCTGCCTCACTTGGACACTTTTACCCGAGCGAGAACTTGGTCCAACGAGCACGCTGACAATCAGAGTCAGTGAAGTAACTCAGTTGATCTAAAGATTTTCATTTTCATGGTCCTGGCGTACAGGGACTACATCGATTGGGAATATTCTGGAATTGCTTTACCAGGGTTTGATTGCAGTGGCGAAACAGGGGACCCAAGGTAGCTACGCATATCCTCACGAGCTGAGTAAATTGTTTCCATGAAGTGAATACCACAAGGATACTAAACGAAACTGGTGCCAAATGAAAAGTCGATGATAAAAAAGTGGTTATCTAGTGTCCCATGCGCGTAAAACAGAAGCCCATGCACTGAAAGAGAAAACATAACAAAACAAGATTGCAAATATTCTGCGGTAGTCATATGAACTATAACCGCTACAGCTCCAGAGGATAAGCTGGAAATTGGCGAAGAAGGCGCTTCTGATCTTCGGTTGAAACGCGAGAGTCACTGCGTAGAAGCTCCCAAAAAGAAAAATAGGCAACACTAAGAGCTTCTTGCCACCGCAGGAACAGACCTCCATCAAAGAAATCAAGGCGCGGGAGCTGGTACAGCTGCCAGAGACGTCGTGTCGTCTTCAAATCAGCCTTGGCAGCGGATGTCTTCGGCTCGCGATCCTAGCACATGATGTTAGCCAAAGGAACTAAGTCGTCAAGGCGATTTCGGGGATCTACCTTGAACTTGGGATCAGGCACTGGGTAAGGAAACTGCGTCGCAAGCAAAACCCGTTGGTCTCTTAAACGGCGGCGATACTTCTTCGTCGGGGGGCGATTGAAGATGTTGTTCTCGACACAGTGTTGCCTCTCCACGGATTCGAAAGCAACGCACAGGTCATGGACAAGCCGGACAAATCCCTCGCGAGTCTGTTGGCTGAGAAGCAAGCCTGGCTCAGAATGGTCACTCTCGACCGCGCGATGAAACAATGACTTTATAAATTCGACTATACGGGCACAATCCATTGCATCGCCAGCCATCAGGCCAGCAGGGCTAAGAGGCACCGGTTATTAGTCAGAAGAAACTCAGAACTCCCGACCAACATACCCATAGCAAATGCCACCATTGCAGGAGCTACATGTTGAACCAATAAATTGGCATGTAGGCAATGTGATCTGAAGATGATTCGCCTGGCGATGGGTCGCCTGAAGAGACTTGACGCGCTTATAGTTGGCAATGCTAAAGCACTGCATGCACCAACCAGCCTGAACTATCAAAAGGGGGGTACGGTCCTCGCCACTGTTCTCTGGATGCTCCGTCGGATTTCTGTGCCTGTCACGAGTGGGCTTGTGGACCAAAGCAGTGGCTTCAGATGTGGCGGGGTCCAGGGGAGTGTCGATCATGGGTGTGACATTGTCAATTCGCATGGCTTCTTGCCCACTTGATGTCTCACTGCGCTTAGTGCCGGCTGAAAACATCGTCAGTGCCGTGTCCGTAATTGAAAACGCAGTGGATGCCTCTTGGAATTGGCGGGGCTTACCTGTGCACCAAATGTGGTTTCCTTGGCACGTGGAATAATCCCAGCAGCGAGTTCTGTAAACAGATGGGACTGAGAAAGCATCATTGTCGCTAGGGCCGTCGAAAGGCTGGCTTGCAATGGTTTTGGCCTCCATATGGCTGATGATGTGATCGGCATCATCTCTTTGCGCCATGGTGCATTTGGGTGCGAAAATGATGCGGCAGGGTAGGGACTGTTTGGAAAAAGCAATTCGGCTTCCGTGAAATGACTTAAGGCACGTGATCCATATTTCTGTGGTCCATATTTCTGTGGTCCATATTTCTGTGGTCCATATTTCTGTAGTCCATATTTCTGTAGTCCATATTTCTGTGGTCCATATTTCTGTGGTCCATATTTCTGTGGTCCATATTTCTGTGGTCCATAGGTACCTATTTTAAAAACAGTGTCCACTTCTATTTCGCACGCGTTAGCTGTTTGCATGCGGAACTTTTACGGAAATTACAGCATATTTGATGCGCAAAGCTCTTATGCGCGATACAGTATATTTTTCTTCCAAAACTTACCGATGCAGATAAGGATTCCCATTGATGACCGCTCTGGTCGACAATCCAGCAACACCTTCACTCCCTATGGTCGTTCCGGACTAGATTGCTCCCGGCGCTATAAAAAACAGTGCGAGCTTTAAGTGCACATACTGTGTAAACCCGTAATTTAACCGATTTCCATGTACAGCTTTCCTCTTGCGCTAAGAAAAAGGAAAGCTGTACATGTACAGGTCCAGGTTTCATGGGTGACCCTAGAACAGCTTGTCTTAGTACTCCGTAAATTATGGCGAAGCTGTGATGCACTTTAACACGCTGAGCTTAATCATTATGCATATGTTCGTGGAAAATTCCTTAACTCGGCCAGTAATACATCCATAAAATTAACAATTAATAGACGACATGTAGCCCATGAATCGGAAAGTAAAGTGTGCAATGGGTATACGCGTGCGGCGTGATCAAATTTTCAAGTTCCTATCTTCACAACTGCCCTTGCCCTAGCCGTAAAATCTCTTGGTGGCTTCATCTGAAAGCACAAGATCTATCTTCAGACGCAAGGTCGAGGTCCTGAACGAGGAGGGAAGAAGGCAACCTCGTAGACACTGTCCTGGTACGCGTGGAGCATCTCCATCATCTCCCAACGCTCATCGGGCGACATTCTCCCCCAAATACCCGCCGCATTCTCTGCATGAGCCGGACACATATTGCGAAATTTTCGGATAATCCGGCAGTCTGGAAGTATCGTCAGTAATTAAACTATAGCGTAGAGGATAGGATTAAAACATACTAGAATGGCCAACGGTAGGCTCAAGCTCATCCATTATTGCGTTTAATTGCGCAAGTGCGCGTTGGTACTCCTCGGTAATAGTATTGGCAGGCATTGTAGAATTTGTAGTATCAATTCTTTTGCTGTTCAAATGTTGTAGTAAAGAAAACGCGTAGCTGTGTGGTTGAAAGGCACTTTAGAGGATGCTAGAATTGGATGTTTGGGTTGTAGAAGTACTTGTATAGCACTAAAATACAGACCGCCTTAGAAAAATAACCTTTATACTAAAGTCTGCTATTATTTAGCCTTCTACCTATAATCTATTATAAATAAATCTACAAGCACTTGTGTTGATCAAGGTACCTTAGTACCTCCTACCTAAGGTACGGACCGTTGAATCGAATGACAACCTATTCTACTGGTCCCTTGGCTGTGAATACGACCCAACCTTAGGTACACAAAGTACAATCATCAAATCACGCCTTGCCGAAACTACTACCAGGTAGGTACCTAGGTAGCTGTAGAGTTTGACATTATTAGACAAGAAAACCTTTGACTCTATTACACGCGTCTCCCCTTAACCGTCACAATAAATTCCAGCCAACCCTTAATACTATAAACAAAAACCAGTTGATTATCTGCAGATCTATTTGTGTCAAGATTATTTTCCATGCCTGGCGGTCAAAAGAACAATCTACCTAGGTACACAACCAAGCTCGGCCCTTATCGTATCGCACCAACACCCGCTATCTGCTCTTTGGCAAACGGCCGCGGCGGCCGCCATCTACTGACATACCTACATGTACCTAACTACCTACAGGGGCTGGATAATCAATTGTCCTTTCTGCTCAAGCAATTTTTTCCCAATATGTTTCACATTACCCTATAGTCTTCTTTATCACCTCGCCCATCTTCCACCTTGTTGTAACCTCCCCTTACCCAATCCAGTCACAATTGTCGCTTCAAAGGACCATTCTCACAACGCACACCACCAGCATGGCGACCAACTTCGACTTCTCTGAAGCTCCGCCCGAACCTCTGTCATCGCTGAGTGTTGCGGCTCTCTTGAAAGGGAGTGCTGGGATTGACCTTATCCCTGCAAACGTCAATGATGATGGCCTAGTGGAAGTTGTCGAGGCGCACCAACATGAGCCAACACCCCGAGATGCAGACAACCAAGATGACCTGGTGGGTATCATCAGAGAAACCAATTTCTTCCAAATGAGTTTGTCTCCAGCTAATAAGTCTTCACCATAGTTTGTGATCAAGTGTCATCCACACGATGTCACTGAGGCCCATACCGTCCACGCCCGCGCCGAGGCAGTCGACATCTCGCAAGGTCAAAATCCAGAGCAAAATACCACTATTGCTGAAAGGGTTGCCGATAAGAAGCAGAGTGACGCCGCTATGGACCGTCAGGGGCCGAGCTGCACTCGCGTCACTCGCAAAGTTTCCCGTCATACGCAGGCAACCAAACAAGCCCGCAAAAACAAAACTCGCCAGACCGCATACTTGGGGAGCTTCCCTCAGATCCGCGATACAGAGACACCAACACTAGCGGAGGCTGTACCTATTCTTACTATGCCAGCCATCTTGCGATCTCCCAAGCAGCCCGAATCTACACACAGCCTCACTCTGGAGAATCAACCAACAGCAGGCGCTGACAACTACGTTCAAGGCTTTAAAAACGCTGTATTTGAGACGTTTGGTCGATTTCGGGAAGGTCTCAAGAGAAAGTGGGAAGAGATGGTGATCGACCGACAGGATGCGGCTGAGGACCGACGCAAGGCGGCTGAGGACCGACGCAAGGCGGCTGAGGATCGCCAGAAAGCAGCCGAAGACCGGCAGCGCATGACACAGGCCTTTGGTGAGATCCGTGACTTCATGAAAGCTATTGCAGAGTCGCATACGGAAATCAACCACCGCCTTAGTGTTTAGGATGTCTTATGTTTTACGTTTCTGACTCCCTTGACTCCTATTATTATTGTTGCATAGAGGGACCTGCGCTTGTTTGCCATGTGTACCCAAGACGTCGCAAAATCTCCTCATTGCTAGGTAGTCGTATAGTAGGTTGACACATGGACCGGCTTGATAGATTGATCTCTCAATGAATTACTCAAGCATTATTCACAGAACTTCAATCACGCGGAAATTTATACCCCATTGTATATACTTTTATTGAACATTACGCCGTGCCCATTCAGAAGTAAGAAAGCAAAGCGTGCCCTGAACTCTCGATAACTCTCTCCTACGAATAACTCCTCAGACTCAGCTAAGGAGGGACTTAAAGACACAGTCTATTCACATTGGTAGCAGATTCTTCAATCTTTACAAGTCAAATTGCACAAAACACAGCGTCAAATCACACCCTATCCAACCTAGACAACGCCATCTGAGGGACCATCAATACAATTGACCACTTGAACAACATCTCCCAAGACCAAGCCAAACTCACCCAGGAAAGAAATGTAAACAAAAAGTCATTGAGCACATTTTCCAAAGTGGTCGGTGGAGCAACAAACAACATTTGAAACGCTCCACTATGTAATGCATGAATGCCTGACAGCAGCGAAGCTCTCGAGAGCTGCCAGCTGGCGATGGCCGACATAGACTACATTTTGATATAGCCTGCTTTCCTCTTAAACACTGCCTATAGTAAGTACCACTTGTCGATTGTTTACACCTGTGCACTCTTGATGCCTGATTTGATCCAGCTGGGGATCCACCCAGCGGCAAGCCACATATCACTTTTTCCACCGCTCATTCTGTAATCTTACGAGGCAGTGAAGCTGAGGACCCCCCACCCGTTCAACTCGTCGATCTGAGGACCTCAAATCAGATCTTGCATGCATCACGCCCTTCTCTCAAGAGCATCATCTACCCATACTCTATGGGCACATCAACCCTCCTTGCCCCCCGACATAGTCACATTTACCATTGTTTATGAGAACACCATCCCCCCGGGAGCTCTGGTCCAGACGTGCAGAGCATTCGCGAACAAGACGAACGCGCAGCAGAAGCCGCGAACGGGGTCGCAGCACAAGCCGCAATCAAAGTCGCAGCCAAGTAAGAAGAAAAAGTCAAAGCCGCTCCGCAAGAGCCATAAGAGCCTTTAGACCGCCAGGTCCATCAAGATTACGCGCCTTTACGAGTATAAGCGAACCTGACGCTCCGCTATTATAGTAATTATTATCCTTATAGACTAAGGATTATAGTAACTACGAAATTATTAGCCTAATATAAGTATTACTAGTAGAAACAGTAGTTAAGCCTAGAATAACGTAAAAGTCTAAAACTACAGATATTAATAATATTATTAAAGTAATTTATAATAAAAACCTCTTAGTCTTTAAGATAATTAGTAAATACTACTTTATAAGTAATAGCCTTAATAAGGCAACTAGTTAAAAAATAACTAAAGATAGTTAAAAAGACTAGGACTAACTTAAGGATAAGTTAAAAGGAAAAAAGAATGCTAATAGAAAAACTATTATTACAGTATACTATCTGGGAATATCCATGGATTTAAGGGGTCCAGCCTTTATAAGGCATTAAACCCCCAAGACCCCAAGAGGTCAGACCCCAGTAGCAGGGAGGGTCTATAACTAAATACAATACAACAATTTCAAAGGGCTTGTCATTAAGAGCAAGCCAGCATTAACTATTACAGGCCAGGCTATTATACCTTACTACCTTATAATAGTAAAAGAAAATCTTTTAGTAGCTAAAAGACTTATTTCTAGCGTCCCCCTTAAGGACGTCTTTAATACGCCAGCTACTCTCGCCTATTATAATAATACTATTAACCACTTAATTAATAACATTAAGAAAAAAAAGGCCTTAGAACCTCTAGCTCTTATTAACCCCCATATACCGCCGGACGTTAGGCCTAGTGCATCAGTCTACGGTTTAAACCACCGTTAAAGTTACACAACTAGTCCTTTTAAACCGCTATCTTATATCATTTATCACACTAGTATCCTATCATAATCCACTAGTAAGAATAAGCTAATAGAATATAGATTTTATCTCCTGCCTATTAAAGTTCTTAAGTTCCCTCTTAAACTTATCTAAATCCTCCGTAATTTTATTAAGAAGTATTATAAAGATCTTATTAATCTACAGTTAGCTTTAATTAGCTGTTATATTTTCTTAGGTATAATAAACTATACGGAAAAGAAGATAGAAAAGTATTTCTAAATAAAAAAAGCAGAAAATACTCTATACTAAGATGTCCCCGAGGAGAGTCTTACGGCGACAATTATCTTAACCCCTTATTTCTTACGATGGCCTGAGTATATGGGATTAGCCGAGTTCCCCCATCCGTTTCGCTTTATGTTTAGAGCTCTCCAGACCGATCAAGCATACCTCGGAGAGTCCATCAGGGTGGATGATATTGATCAAGATCGTGTGATGAACCTACTAAAAAAGGTCACGAGCAGAGCACCAGGCATCGATCACCTTTCAATGATAGAGATAAGGCCCTGGATGATTCCTGGGTCGAGGATGCCACCAATGTTTGGGGGCGACAACTGCACCATTAATCCAGTCAGCTTTCCCCTAACAGGGATCCAGAATGTCCATTTATACGGACTTGACGATTATGGCCGCCCGCAAAATATCAACCACAATGAATCTCTTAGTCAACGTGCGACAAACCCAAATATAGTCATGGTCCCAGTCATCCGGCCCGCATATATGGATAAACTCACTCCAATGAAGCCAAGATTAGTCCGACGCTCAATGTTTCTCGAACCAGATTACTTCTTCCCTCTCTTCAAAGAAAATCCAGCCCGAAACCGAGTGGTCCCCCAAACAGTGCGCTCCCCTCCTCCATCCCAATGGACCATTGCTCCATCAGCGAGGCCAAATTGGCACTACCAACTGGAGAGGATCATTCCCCCAGAGATTCTAGGCGTCCGAGCTGAAATAGCAAGGCTTCATTACGAAAAGATGATTGAAGGCGGTTATATCACTATTAACAAATCGGACATGCTTGTTGGGCCAAATCTCTTGTTATCACCACGCGATTGGGAGCCCTTGACGGCGGCTGATGTTACTCATGCGCCCCCGCGGGTCTTCTATGGTCCTAATTCACGCAGAAACACTTCTAGCGTATCTGAGACCACCTGTACTCTTCGGTCATCTTATGGCGATATATGCCATTCGCCCGAGCCACGAGCGACCTTTGATTGCCCACTATATGGACCGTTCCTCAGAGCCTGGTCCAATGCGCCAGACAGGGTCCATTGGGCATGGAAAGCGGGACTCGAACGGCTACAGTCACTCCCGGAAGGCGAACGGTCCGAAGCAGCTCTACGAAAGCTCAACGGCGATGCTGGGGATGCTGAGAAACACGACTATCGGCTGCTTTCTGAGCGGGTCGACGCTATGAATGAATTACGAGCATTGTCAGACCAGGATTTGCTTGTTACACTCCCGGGCATCTTTGGTCGAATTTTGGGCCTTGCTCCCCCTACTAACCTCGTGCTGTCCGATCATTGGGAATATCACTATTCGATTGAGGCATTAAACCATGGAGGAAGAGAAGCGGAGAGCGAACGAATTTCCGATATGTTACGGCAACTAAAGCGAGCAAAGTATGCATACAATTTCCCGTCCCAAAATACAGCAACTGTGCAACAGAAGTTTCGTGAGCTACTGAACTTCTTTGAAAACGACGCGAGCCGCTTTGGACGTTGGATGGAACCCCGTTGGGTCGAGTTCAGACCTGTACGGCCCATTGTCCTAGACTGAGCCGTCTAGATCACCCTCCAGTAGGCGATAAACTTCGTCTTTCAACAATATTCGCCGCTATTTTTTCTTCAAAAACATCCAGGTTCTTTCGCAAGAGATTCTGATAAAAACAGTCGCATGTTTCTTCTTTTTCCTATCGCCAATGTCCCTTTTCGATCATCCTTTTTATAACAACAATGGTTCTTTTCAGTCTTCTTTTTATCGCGCCACAGTGGCCTTCTTTATTCGTCTTTTTTTCTCTTCGCTGCGTCAAATGATTCAGTGGACCAGCTTTTTCTATCGCCAATGGCCCTTTTCGACCATCCTTTTTATGGCAACAATGGTTCTTTTCAGTCTTCTTTTTATCGCGCCACAGTGGCCTTCTTTGTGCGTCTTTTTTTCTCTTGGCTGCGTCAAATCATTCAGTGGACCAGCTTTTTAATGCGCACAATGGACCTTTTCACTTCAAGTGGCACCTTATCTCAAACGGACCTCTTGGGTCGTGTTTCTTTTTTTCATTTACTGCGCCGAATGGACCTTTCCCAGTGGTCCCTTTCTTATTGTGTCAAATGGTCCTCTTCGGCCGTCTTTTTCTGCTACGCCAATGATCGACTTCCAGAAGTCTCTTGAAAATCACCAAGTGGTCCACCACTTCCGATTGTCTCTTTCGGTGGTGATTCTTTCTAGACATTGGTTTTCTTTATGCATTCGGCAATTGTCTTTTTCCCGCCTCAACAATGATGCGACAATAAGTCGCTCCATGAATATTTCTTCTCTGCGGTTGGTCAATCTCGAACCTATGGTAATAATGCAACATCTGAAGCATTTGTTACAATGCAACCAGCTGCTTTTTGTAAGTTGCCAATGTTCAAGCTCGTCTTTATTGCTCTCACAACAAGTCCATGACTAACATTCCGGTTTTTTATAGACCTTATCTGAGATCCCAACGACCCCGAGTGTCACCCGTCCGACAGGTACTTGAGAGAAACATCATGACTTAATTGAGCAAGATTCTATTCTCTGCTTTCGTCCATGGTTGGACCAGAAGATTTTTCATATTTCGATACGAGTCAGCAAACGACAGCCAGAGTTCAATATTCTATCACCTTGGACCTAGTTCCATTTCTTCCTTCCCTATGGACCACAGGAGCATGGACCGCAGGAGGACAAGATCATGGACCACGGTAATATGGACCACAGGAATATGGACCACGTGCTGGTAGAATATTCTTGATGCCTTAGGTATTCATGTTAACTCGTGTCTGCTGGACCACATCTTAGCTACTAGGTAGTATTCTTTCCTTTGTCTATTCTGTTAGTCACAACTCCGATAACTGTTAGTCACAACTCCGATAGTAACTTGCTTCGTCAATTGATCTCAAAATGGTGTGTTCTTAAGTCTTGCTGTTCCATATACCGGTTACATACGACGGATAATAGTAGTGCATATTCTTCTTTGTTTTTCACTACGTAGCTGCAATCTCTATATTCGACCAACAATTATTGCCCCATGCTAGTATCTAGCGCTGGAAATCAAATCAGTCTCATCGTACGTAACCCCCGAGAGTTGAAGATCGCCTCAAATACATGAGGCAAGTTGGAACACTACCTAGTAGCATTCTAGCATTCCACGCCTGAGTGAAGTTTAAATGATGGTGAGATTTAAGCTGATTGGGCGCAAATTCGGCCTCACCTGCGGCCTCAGGCGCAGGGCTTCGTTTCAGCATATTAAATTGAACGGCTCGTACATCAGCTGGAGTCGTGGCTATCAATGCCTCTTTCTTCGTTGACGAGGCTGCGATTCCCGAAGAGCAATGGTAGCACAAGGCTAGCCACGCTTAGTAATAAATAGGTACCTACTAGGTAGGTACTACCTGGAGGTAGATGCCTAGGTACAATCCCTTTGAGTGCGGTAACATTTCGAATGATCGGCCCATGGATCTTTATATGGGGAGCCTTGTAGCCGCGCCGGGAATTTTGTGTCCGTGAGCCATGTTTGAGCAAGAGAAGAAGAAAGACATTGAATGCACGGCGTCGATTACTTGGTTATTTCCGGGAAGGGGGCCACCATTCCCAGAGACATAAACTCAATGTACCTCGGTACAATTTTTCTCTTGTGATTCTCCCACCTGGACATTTTCTGATGGGACACAATAACCATGATATAGATAACTCCCATCAATCGTCATTTGCAGCCGTTCTGCCGAAGCATACTCGCAGCTAGTACAAAGGCATGGCGCGGAATCGTTAAATGGATTTGAAGTCTTGGTTGTTGGTGCATATATATAATGCTACCAATATTTGGCAACTTATAAAACTTTGTCTTTCAAAATGGTCTATCAGATCTTGATGGACCATTATAATAGGTAACATAGAACACAGCAGTTGGATTTTAATGCTGGCCCCCAACCTAACCTCATTCCCCAGCAACATCTTACGGTAATGCTGAGAACTTTAGCTGGCACCGGGGAACAACAGTGTCTGGCAGCTGGTCAGGCAGCTACTAAAAAAATACACGAGGTACCTATAGTAGGTACTCTTCCAACTCTTCCTTTAGTATTTTCTTTCTCTCTCTCGTTTTTTTTCCACTTATCCAAGATTCACTCACACTTCTCAGTAAACCTCTTCTTCTTTGGTTACGCAAGCCTACATACTGCATGCTGCCCGTCATACCATCGCAAAGCGCAGTCAAAACACCTTCTAAGAATCGAGATCACGGGAGCTTCTTACTCCCGCCCCGAAGTGACGAATGGAGCCGTTGCTCCAACTACCTAGGTAGGGACCAGACCCATGCGATACTCATCACTTCAACTGCCTCTGAAACCGATTCTCAGGGTCATGCAACTCAAGAGACCACATGCGCCGTCTCCTCGGGCCAGATAATTCACGAGACTACTCGGACTGTCTCCTCGGGTCAGTCAGCGTCGGAAGCTGCCATCTATCGCATGCCTCAAACCGTCGTCCTTGTGCAAAGCCTTCGAGCGACCCCGCGAGCCACAATAAATCTACGAAATGCTCAACACACTAGACGACAACAGACCAGGGCCCAAGCTTGGTCTTCTATCGAGGTCCAACGCCCACGACTGGTTCTACAACAGACCAGGACGCGAGCTCGTTCTTCTATCGAGGTGCGAGGCCCGCGACTGGTTTCACGACCGACAATGATTCTGCGCGACGTTCAAGCTAGCCAACGGCAAGCTGCAGCCCAAGCCTTTCCCTCAACTCAAGTTAGAATACAACAAATTGCGAGTCGGGAGGCTCCTCAGACCACTATTGGAGACACTACATCTGCCTAACAAAATAGAATAGATGAGTTCGTAACGAGACGCGAGATAAACGAAGCTCTAGAGCAGATGCGGGAGGAACTTCAACGACGAACTTGAATAAATTCGGATTGCATTTAGGAAGGGGAGTGAGGGCATAGGCAACCGAAAGTGTGAGAGATGGAATGCCATATTTGACGAATGCTGGGTTTGTATCTAAGGTTATGGCTTCTCTAGTACTCGTTTAGTCAAAAAAGGCATAGGCCATCTAAGGGGATATAACAAATCGTCTGGAATAGCCGGAGATTTTCGTTTCCGTCTTCGTTGCTATAAAACTGAAAAGCCAACATCTCCTCATGTGTTCCTTTCCCCCTTAGCCCACACAGCCCAATTCCCTAGTCCGCGTTTCTTATTTAACCATAAAGTAAATGTAATAATTTTATTACTTACCATTTCTTTGTGATTCGCTTCATTCGCCTATATTATATACATCCATAGCATGTATGGGTCTTGCAAGTTCAGTCATGCACCGAAAGCATGAATATTGGAACACATCTCACCATTTTTTCGGCATTGTTGAAAGACGTATGGACCACTATCTACCTGTACCTGCCTCCTAGTGGTCCGTAAGTACCTACCTGTAGGTAACTTCCATGGTGGTCCATATATTAGTACCTACCTAGGTAGGTAGTAGTACCAGGTATCTGCATGTAGAACGCAGGAGTTAGGCAGATTTATAACCCTTATCGGCGCTATCATGCTGGGCCCCAACCGAGGCTCTTTCCCCAGCAAGATCTCGCAATAATTCTGATGGACAACTGGGAAAAAGAAGCAGAAGAAAAACAGATAACAACAATCGTGAACTTATACTTCGATTGGTGCATGATCTGATCGGTCTGGTTTTCACAGTTGCTTCTTCCTTCTTTGTTCTGCTTGCGAGACACTCTTTCACCAGCACGATGGACCAGCGTATTGACCACCTTGTGCGCCAGATCGATGATTGCTGGATCACATATTCAATTGCACAAGGCATCTTAAGCGCTCTCGACGACTCTATTAGATTTGATGAAGATAAACACACGGAGATTCATGAACAGGAACGGATACGGGACGCAAGCGGCGCTGAGGGCCTTGCACATCAAAGAACTCTAATTTCACTGCTACAAGATTGGTAAGATCTTCTATAGGAGGCAATTAGGACATTATTACTAACTACCTTTTATTACAGCGACTGTGTAAACGGTTACGCACAGAACGTCATTGAACTTGATTTTCGTTCAGCGAACCTCAGCAAACAACCTGGGGAGGTCAGGGACCTGCGCGCCACACCTGTTGAACAAAGCCAACAAGACGTGGCGAACAATATTGTTCGTATTGGACCTCAGCGATACGTCTCTAATCACAGTCCTATCATCAAATCCATCCCTCTAAATGAAGTGAAAAAGAAGATCAGTAAAGCAGTCCGCATCAATATAACGGAAAGAGACCAAAAGATGCCCGGGGCCACGCAAGAGAGAATGAATCGTCTTCACGCCGCTATATCTCTTTATTTGGTCAACTCGTTTGATCAAACACCACAGCAGAAGCATGGAAATGATCTTGTTAAGCGGCATTGCGATTACACCGGTGCTAAACTCCTGTGGACACCCGGACCGTTCTCGATGTCCGTTGAGGCTATATATCCAATAGCGATATTTGAGGGCAAGGATGCTTATCATAGTCCCTCAAATGTGTGCCTGGTTTCAACATACCTCAATGTGTTAAAGAAGACGAACCCGATTTTGCTTCTACCGCTGATAGCTGTTTGTCTAAATATTAGCGACAGCAGCGCTGTTACAACATACAAGCAACAACACTTGTGGGCATACAACGCCATCTGTAACATCTGCACCATCTCTACCGCTTTCTACACCAGTTCATCGCCTCATCTGCGCGCGATGGAGTGGGAATCTTGGGAGATGCCACTGAAGATGGCATTTCTGGACGCATCCAGGACCGGGATCATGGGATCAGAAGTTGAAGCAATGGTCCAGCGACTTCGACCTGAGCAACTTTTCAGACCCAGAAAACATGAGTATTTCGGAGAACCGGCGAATTATAAGATAAGACAGCATTCGTGGGATTGGAAGCATGTTTACATCAACCTGCTCCGAATTGCGGACCATTACGGTATCACCGAATCAGAGTTTGAGTACTACCTAACGGTGAGCTCTCCAGAACAAGATAAAGTTACCGATCGAATCTTCTACTTTTATCACATCCTGTCGAAGGTCCAAGCAGAGGCTATAGACTGGAATTGGGAAACACTTCGCAGAGTTGTGCAATGCATGCTCTATACTCTCAAAAATGAATGCAATAAGTACGCTGAAGAAGCCGGCCTTGGAGAAGATATGGACCAGTTCAAAGTCATTTACTGGATTGCTGGCCACTATTGCAAGCAAATACAGAGGCTCAAACTCCAATATCCTGAATGGACCATGGAAGATATTGGCTTCCGCGCTTTCTTAGATCGCTGGGGATTACCATTGGTTCCTTGGACAAGTCACCCTCTAAAATCGTCTTTATGCAAGAAACAAGATCACGGAATTTGCATGCTATTTGGCCTAAGAGAACAAGAAGAATTCAACCCAGTGACGCTTTTCGACTGGGATAGCTGCACAATCACCATCGATACTGTTTTTACGAACTTTGCAATGTTTAATTATTCGTCGACCATCTGGAATGATATACGAGCAAATATTTCCAGCATACCTCTTCATCATTGTTTTTGGAGGGTGGACCAAGATTTGGGGAATGTTATGTGGTCCGGCCTGTCATACAGCGCCAATAAACCCATGCCTCCAACACCTGAGTTCGATGTCGAGCTTCTCCCGTTGACAACGCTAGCTGGACCCTTCAAATGCATTGAGTGTACTGCGACGTTTCGAAACGCTGGCCTCTTGATCTCGCACTGCCGGCACTGTCACAGTAACCGTCCACCAGTTACAGATATTGATGAAGAGCTAGAACAAGACGGAGTTGACCTCCGTTTCTGGGCTTATGGGACTCGTTGTGAAATTTGCGGCAAACTTACCAAAAGTGTTGCAAATCATATGAGGACCTATCATGGCAAGGGAAAAAATGTATCATCATCATCATCATCAAAGAGAGCCAATAAGGGGAAGAAAGCACCATATCCTCGCATGCCCCGGGACCAATGGCAAATGCAGCATCATACCGACGCAAGCAGGGGAAGTACTTTTTCCTGTGATTTCCCAGGCTGTGGGAAACAATTCACCACGCTCCAAAAACTTACTGACCATCAACATGTTCACGCTCGGTATCAATGCGGCCATCCGGGGTGCACCCGTACTTTTTCATCTAAGAAAACGCGAGATGTTCACCAAAGAACGCATAAGACCAAGACGTATTTCTGCATGGTCTGCTCCAAATCTTTCTCCAGTGCTGTATCTTTGAGGAGTCATATATTCACATCACATTCAGCAAAGGATCGTTTCAAATGCCCTATATGCGACAAGGGCTTTTCAAGAAAATCCTCGCTGGAGGCGCATGCTCCGAGTCATACAGGGGAGCGACCTTTCGAGTGCAAGCAGTGCGGAAAAACATTTCAGGTCTCGAGCGGTCTTAACAAACATATGAAGAAGGTGCATGAAGATTCGTCGAAGTATGTCTGTGATTGGCCAGGCTGTGAAAAGGTCTTCTCACAGGAGCACAAGTTGGTTAAGCACCAATGGACGCATATCGGAGAGAAGCCTCTGGTATGCGAAGTATGCGGCATGAATACCAACAGCCGGTCTGGCTTGTATCAACATATGAAATATCATGCAGGAGAATTGGAGAATGTCTGTGATATATGCGGCATGCGGTTCCCCAATTTGAATAGACTGAACAGCCACATGGTGATCCACGACCCCGAAAGGGAGATGTTCAAGTGTGTAACATGTGGGAATGAGTATACGAACCCTTATGTCTTGAAGGCGCATCAAAGAGCCAAGCATCCTGAGTTTTTTTCCGAGGTATAGCAGTACAGATTAGCACTATGCACAGGTAGGTAGCAAATAGCAAGTCGAAGCATTTTAGAACGATGGAACTTGATGACCGAGCGAGTGTACACTTGGTTAGCAGCCGTCCAGCTGTCAGTTGCTAGTGGACCTCAGAATTATTTACATGTGTTATATTTTTGCAGCTGGTCCATAGCGAAATTCTTGCCCAATGCTTTTTACTCCCGCACGCTTCCACATTGTCTTCCTCATTGCAGCATCACCATCACTCGAGAAGAAATCCAAACTGATATATCACACGATACGTCTTACGTGTATCTATCGCAGTACGTCAAGGTCAGGGAGTGGAAGTCTTCTCGACATAATAACTGACCCAGTTTAGACATGGCAGACGCAGAGAAGCATCAGATCGTCGCGGAACATGTTCTCGATGTCTTTGAACTCTCTTATGCGCGAGGCATCAACGACGAAAACGTGGCGCCATCAGCCCTTATGATGGCAGTTTCTCTCCTGGCTACGCCAGGATTCGATAAAAGTGGACTTCCATAGAGCTGGTTTGACTTCGCCGAAAAGTTCCCCAAAGTCGCCGAGACCGTGAGAGCTGGTGCAAAGGCTTTCGCAATTCCCGGCAATAATCAGTCGGAAGAGGAGTCCAAGAAGGGACTCCCGCTTTTTTACATCCTCAACCCGGTCTACCAGAGAGGACATCAGCTCAATACGCGAGAACAAAGAGCCGCGGCACGATGTGTTGGTCCAAAAGAACTGGTTTATTGCCAGGCATTGGGAGGAGTGGGTAGGGAGGAGCACGTCAAAATATATGTCTACAAGGGGGCCGACGCGGCTGAGAAGTTAGACGGAACGGCGTTTCACAAGGGGCAAACTATGATGGAGGACGGACCACTTGTGGTCATCAAGACGGCGAGATTTGCAATGTAGGGTTTTGTGATGATGCGTAAAGGCTTTACAGCCTGGCCATAATGGTACACCTAAACGCTTGGACCCTTGAAATTTATGGTTTTGGACGATTTCGCTGGACCTGAAGTGCTTCGCTTTTTGGCCCTCTTTTTTTTTTAGATGCTCACTTAGGGCACCGCCTGGGTGATTTTGAAAGATCTGCCACTTGCTTTTTGCAGATTTCTGATGTCCACGCTCTTGAACCAAGGTATTCGTTGACCGATGTACTACCTATGTTTGGATCTTTTTGCAAGTGCACCGGATAAAAAGTGAATGTCAGAAGGGTCTGGGTTCGATTTTGGTGCGAAATGCTTGCGAATCTCTCGCCAATTTGTCATTTGTTCACGCAGCCATCGAAAGAATTCATGGTTTATCGTTAGGGTCTTATCTACCGGTCGATTTGGGAACTCTAGCTCGCGCCTAAAGATTTCTACGGATAATTTAAGCAAAGTTGTAAGGATGGTACCTACAAATGGAGTACAGTAAAAGGCATCGCGATGGCGGTGGGGTCACCTTCTGGTATTGATACACTGTCTCTTTGTTTTTATGGTACCTAATAGATACTAAGTGCACAAAGGACCCGTCAAACTCTCGTAATTTGCACATATTAATATTCCAAGGCTGTCCAATTCCATTCCCCTTAGTCGACGGTTCGCTGCTCTCATCGGGTATTTACGCGTTTGTTCCTCTATTTAAAAAGATTACGTCATGCTCACACATTCAAGCAATCACCCGCGAGACTTTGGCGACTTCGTGTTTACAAGATTGCTTGTTCTCCAAAACACCATCCCCAATCATCATTCCATACCCAGGCAGGTACCTAGGGAGATAAGTAAGTTGAGATGCCTCGCCCCTCTACTCGCATTCTATCCCTTTCACCATTTAATATCCTCTATGCCTCGGCAGATTTGCGCCATCTGGCAATCATCTAGTCTGGCATGACCGGTAGGTTTGACCAAGAATCCTCGCTAATGCTCTGATAGTTTTTCCCCCAAGGAGTGCCCAAGGCTCAAGCGATGCCGATCGAAAAAGACTGGGCTACCATACTTCGAACGCACCGAGCAATCAAAATTTTCTCAAGCTTAAAGATTTCCAGAACCCTACATGAATCAAACCGAAAAAACATACCCCCCAAACTTCGAATGGGCTTCCGAATAAGAAATGTTAATTGAGGGTCATCATCTTTTGAGACGACGACGAGAATCAAGGCGGACTATCGCAAACGCTCAATGTCCCCAACGGCTTGAAGCCGCCTCGAACTGGGAAACCTTGTTACCTTCGAAAACCCGCTTTCACGTTCTTACGTCGTCGAGATCCCCAATTGATAATGATTCCCAAAGGCTTCCACGTCATCTCAAGCCACAACCATGCTGCCAAACGCCGACTGTTATGGCCAGCCGCAAGACTTTCTCGTACTGAATAGTGGCTGAGCCCTCATTACGCTTCAAGTCAGGAAACAGTCTCTCATTTTACAAGCTTGCTTTCCATGCCGCCAAGAAAACGATTCTACGAAAAACGAATGAATTCTCCCACAGTCCAAATCACCATGTGGCAGTGAAGCCTACATTTCGACCTCCCTTCTATCACCGCCACTATTGATAGTCGAAGTTCGTTTTTGGATTGTTCGTTTCAGCCATGGTCGCTTTGTCCGCAACATAAGACGTCTCTGAAACACACTTTCGGCTACATTTTTCGATTTGATACAACTTCAACATTATTTTCGAATATTCCCTTGCGTTTCGCTCGTCTAGGCGATTTGGTTCCCCGAGCGTTCCATCGTGAGGTCATCCCGATATGACGACAGCTTAAGTGGAGTGATAGCCTCATCCTTGTGCTTTTATGCTGATGCGCAACGAACCGATTCACTGGAGAGTCTATAATGTGGTGGCCATGGGGGCAAATGGGGCTCAAGATGAAGCAAGGGATAATGGCACAGTGACCTGCTGGCTTGAGATGTCCGAGACCAGGCACCACGAAACTTGCCGCCATCGTTTTAGAAACTTGGTATCGCCTTGCCCCTTTGAAGCATACTCAGGCGAGCATTTCGCTACCCTTACCTTTGTATGGCGAGAAGCGCTGCAATAGACGGTTGCATTCTCACAGGGCTACGGCCTAGGTATCCTTACCTGTAGCTAAATCACAGGTACATTTCTTGCTGAACTCAATTTGCATCTCTTGATGCTTCATTGACTGTGCACTTTGCCTTGTTAGATTCTCAACAACTGGCCTTCTACCCAACCATAGGTCGAACGATACACGTCGACGGCCATACATTCATCAAGGGAATCCCACCCCAAATCCGTTGTCCAACACCCAAGTGTGGCTGACGCTCGATGTCGTCCCCTGCAGGAAATCAGTAGAAAATAATACAACCTGGAACGCTTGTCCCAATTCGATATTAATGTTGGCTCTCAGCTTGCTCAGCTAGAACACAGCATTTTGCAGCAATTCCTAGTTTCGATGGCCTCCGTGGCGGTGCAGGCGATCGCAGGCCAAGCCTGTATCCGTTTTGACGAATGTGATGCTGGCATACCATCTCTACCCAAGTCTGATGCCATCAGAATCGTCCGTCACTCCGAAAGAAGCCAGCCAAGGAACCTCGCCGAGTTGTTTGCCGCCGTTGGAAGGGGTCGCGATATCAGAGGCCGTGCGATTGTGCCACACAAGAGTCAGATGAAGAAATTCGAGTTCCCGATCAACAAATTGGAAGTTCAAGATTGCGACCTAGGGGCACGATGACGATGCTTGGACATCAGATAGGTATTCAAGGGATGTTTTCGGCTAAAGGGGATAGGGGTTACCGGGGTCCTTACTTTGTCGAATTACATCAGCCCTCGAGGTCTTGAAGGAAGGGGAGAACGTTGATCCATTCGATCAGCTACGACTACGAGCATATGACTGACATGATTTTGTGTAGTCACTATTTGCCGCTGCGTCAACAGCAACAGGTAGCTTTTGTAATTCGTTTGGTAAAAAGCAGACGATTGTCATCTTTCGAAATGGTGTTTAGTTCAAAATCATTTTTACATAACATTATTTTATTAATACAACGCCATTTTAGACCAGCGAACACGATTTCCAAGTAGGAAGGGAGAACAGCAATACTCTCAACCAAATCTTGCCATCAAGGCGCACGCCCATATTTTACAGCGAACAGATTAAGAGAGGCAAATTTCAATTGTCAACTGAGTATCGTATCTGATATAGCAAAGTAAGTGTCTCTACTGACGAGAGATAAACCGAGAACCCATGATCCATAATTCGAATGGCGCGCTTTTCTGTTAAAACCTCCCTGATACTCCATAAGTAAGTATCTCCCAACCAGTCCCTTTATCCATCTATCTTGATGATATAGTAACCGAAATCCATAACCCATAGGTCCAAAATGCGCCATGTGCCTCCGAAATTTGTAAACTGGATCCTTTAACCCATAACTCCTGAAAGATACTTTTGGCTGATCTTTGATCAGTGTCTTGCGGACAGTGTTTTGTCATATACTGTTAGAGGTTATACCCATCTTCGTTCTTATCCGAAGTTGGTAAAGTAACCTACTGCAGGCAGACATAACTTATCCTTGAACCCGAGTAATATTACTCCGCTTGTTGGCGAGACTCTTCTCCATACGCATAAGCATTCATGATCCACTCGAGCTCCAACTTGCGAGCCATTAAATCGATGGTCTCTTCTTCAAAGTTCTCAAAATGGCGTCGATAAATATACGGCATGCGAATAAGGGACACTTCAGCTCGAACCCAGAATGATTCCCAAGAGCCAGGCTCCCAATCCTCTAAGTAAAAAGTCAGTATATATATTATACAGCTCATCAAATTATAAAAACTTAGAGAATACTTACCAAGTTTTCCATAGCCAAATTGAGATATATACTCGTCCATCGACATTGTTGGTGCGTGGTCTAGATCATGCTCGCTGGCGACAATGTCGAGAATCTGGTTCGCAAACCCAGCAATATGATGCTCATCCGAGTCAGATGGACCAGGCTCCGAGTTAGACGAACCAGCCTCAGATTCAGAGGTGGCTTCTCCATCTCCATCTCCCGATTCTTCAACATAGGACGAGTTACCGTATCCCGAATCAACCAGAGTGGTATCAGACTCGCCGTCGGTGCTGGTGCCAGAGGCCGCTCCACCAGTCTCAGTTTCAGATGCGCCGGATCCATTCTCATCATCAGAGCTCGCGGAAGATTCGGACGAGTCAGTATAATCCGTCATATTGACATCGTCGCCCGGAGTATCTAAGTAGTGAACATTTATTAGTATCGTTGATATTGATTCAAAAGCGCACTTGGTTTTGTCTTACCTTGGTTATTCTCGGGAGATCCAGCAGGTTGGTTAGCATCGCTGGGCCAGTCCGCTGGTCGATCGAACATTTCGAAACAGGCAAGAATTTCGGGAATAGCTGCAGGGTCATCTATTCCTTCAGCGAAAAAGTAGTCGGACTGTACGCGCAATCTCCCTGCAACGTCTGGATGCTCTCCTGCAAATCTGAGCCAGCTGCGTGGCAACTCAAACTCCTGATATCCGTCAACCGTCATCGCCGCTGCAATGAGTTGCGCTGCCGTTGGTCCCTTGGATGGATCATCCATGCCAGCCTTGCAGGCTTGATCGAGAGCTAGACACTCTTCGCTGTAGCGACCAGTGCCATGACGTCTGCTGCTTCGGTTTGCCATCTATATGTAAGGTATGCATTAGTATCTGACTAGGTAGATGAGCTCGTGAATCTCGACAGACCTTGGTGAAGAGTTTTCTAACTTCTGCGTAGTTTGTCAAGCGGCAAGTGAAGATTTGTAACGCCGTGAATGATCACACAACTCTGAGAAAAGGCAAACGATGGAAAGCGATCTGCGATCAAACGCGAATAGTAGATCTTGCGCTATGATCGCTGGCGTAGAGGGAGATGAAACAAATGATCACGCGCGGGCCGTGATAATAAAGTCGAATGTAGCGCACGCAGGATCAATAAATAAAACTCGCGATGTGAAGAAGAAGAAAGTTGGGTTGATGATGAAGGAGGAGAGAAGAAGAGGGAAGAGAGAAGAGGGAGAGGGAGGTGCTTCTTATGCACCTGGCAGAATGCGCGTGCACCTGCTGCAGCCCTGCACGCCTGGCTGCGTTATCACTAAGATTTAGTGAAACCCAAACTCCTACTTCGGTAAATCTCATGTCTTGATGGGCATAGACTAAGTAGTAATATTAATGTATCTGTTAATCCTAGATATACTTGGGAAGTATAATAACTATTGTACCTGCTATGAATATATTATACTAGAGGGTGAAGATAATCTATAACGGAATTATACATGTAGACACCTGCTGGACATGGGAGTATCCTTATGGTAAAGGGCAAAGTATGTGTACATTGCTTACTCCATACTGACTGAACTGAACAACCATTACCAGTATATACCCATCATACAGGTATGCCATGCGAATCCATCAACGCCACCATATTAGTACTATCTCAGAAACATGCTCCAGTAAAACAACCCATTACCATTCCCATAAAATAAAGATGTGACAAATATCATACTGCTGACCCATGAGCAGCTAAAAACTCCAGAACCTCCCTATATGATGCTATGTATAAAGAAAAATATACTATGTTATCCATAGTCCATGGTGCCACTTAAAAAATACCATGACATGGACAGGTAGGCAGTAGGGCAAAGACAAACTTCAGTAACCCATAAGTAAGTAGCGCAGTGTTTATAAACTGCCGACATTACTTACATTTTAATAAACTAGGAATATTCCAGGAGTTCTTCAGAAACTGAACTAGGAAAAATTATTAATTCACATCCGGATAGCATTTTGCTGGCGATCTCCACTTACTTTGATCTTTCTCACTTTTCTCTCACTTTTCTCTCACTTTTCTCTCACTTTTCTCTCACTATTTTGAAAGCCGAGGCTGGGCTTCTACTACTTCTGCCAATTCTTTACTATCTCTCTTCTTTCTATTTCACACTAAACACTACGCCTGCATCTCAAAATTTACAAATTCAAAGCGTCCTCAAGTTCTACAATGGCATCTACTACCTCTGCTCTACGACGCCGACAAATCGCCGCCCGCATTCGCCTCAGCGAGATGCTAAACGAGCTTGAGCTCGATCATGGTATGACTTTGTCTCTACTAATTTCCCGCTTTATTTCAAGTACTAATAATATGCCTAGAGTGCAAACTTGTGCAAGCCATCCGCGAATTGCCACTTACGGAGACAATTCGTTTCTGCAACGAATGGGAGAGCATCACGCCTGACGAGCGAGCCGCAAGGCTCGAGAGACTTCACCGCGACGCCCAGAATTTCAATTCTATTTACATGCTTAATGGAGTCCTCGTCACCCTTATGCCAGATTGCCGCCAAGGCCAGCCTGCCAGTGAGCAGACTGTGAATCCCACGAACGAGTCGACTGAGAGCGAGTCAACCGAGAGCTCAGAGGAGGATGATTCCGATGAGGTGGATGATGATTCTGAGGAAGAAGATTCCTCCGACGATGATGATTCTTCTGACGAAGATATGGACGTTGACGAATAGCTCTAATGTGTCTGTAATTCAGATCACACCTTTGCTATGGCTAGTTATTTCACAACAAGGGAACAAGGGGACCATGGGATACTAAATAAAATCGTTATCGCATACGTATGCATTTCGCATATGACCCTGTAGAAAGTTCGTGAAATGAGATTATTCTGTTGTAGCCTCTGCCCTGCGCAGGTATTTCAATAGTAGCAATTACCAGTAAACAACCACAGAGTCAATATATAGGTTGTAGAATGCAGTAGCCAGATCCCATGAGACGCAGTCGTTACTACCATAAAGGGTGCTGATCTTGGAGTCAGGGGTTGTCTTTCCGGCGTCCAGCTAGATCTGGTCAACCATTAGGCGACCCAATATTCACTGGTACGGATAAATAACTTTGTCGATATATCTACTGGGAAAATGTTAGACTCATCGACATGGCGCCGGCAATCAAGCATTCGGCCTGGACCACGGCACAAGTGGTACTTCCTGAGATTCCAGCGAATCCAAACCTGTCTCCGGTCGTCATCACTCTTCTCAGGTCCGCTATACTCTCTTATACATCTTCTTAGTAAACCTCTATGCTAACTAATCTCTCTTGTAGTTTGTGCTTGTGCCAGTGCCTCACCTACCCTCATTGCCCCTGGAACTTGTCAAAGTTCTGGCCCCCCCGGCGGCGGCAGCTCTGGCGGCTCTGGTCCCAGCAACAGCGGTGGTAACGGTGGTAGCGGATCTCCTACCACAACTCCTGGTGGCGGTGGTGGTGCTTCTCCTACCTGCAACACTGAGGCTCCCGACTGTGGTGCTGTTGCTACCTCAGCCGTTCCCTCTTGTGCTCAAGCATGCTTCACGAGCGCTGCTCCCAAGATCTCTTGCGGCGTGGACGACTACGCATGCCAGTGCCAGCCCGCAGCTCAGGCAAGCCTGTCTCAGATTTTAGTTCCTTGCGTTGCGACAGCCTGTCCCGCAGCCTCTCTGGAGGCCGTCATCACCGGAGCTTCTTCCGTGTGTGCTTGCGCTACCGGCTCGAGTGGTTCTTCCAACTGCGGTGGCAGCGGCGGACCCGGAGGCTCCGGAGGCTCCGGATCTCCTACTGGAGGCAACGGAGGTGGTGAAGGAGGAAGCGGAGGCAGCGAGCCTACTGGCGGATCAGGAGGCTCTGGAGGATCCGGAGGAGAGGGCGGAAGCGGTGGAAACGGAGGAGGTAATGGCGGCGGAAGTCAACCTACCAGTCCCCCAACCATCCCTCCCAGTGCAGGTTCTCGATTGGAGATGAGCCTTGTTGCTGGAGTTTTCGCTCTCACCTGGGCGATTGCCGTTGTGCTGTGATCTAGTTCTAGAACGAATTAATGGCTTAATGTATTGATTGACGAAGCATGCGTATATTTTGCCTTGACATAACTTAGAGTTGGAATATATTGAGTTCTCAATTTCATAATGACGACGCTGCTATGACTTTACTGCTCGCAAAGTTGAATCATCCAATGCTGGTAAACGAAGCTACTGACTGGAGTGAAGTGAGACTCGGAATAGCCGTGGTGCTTGAGATTGATTGCGATAAGACTGAAAAAAGATCTGAGCCGAAATCTCCACCGATTCCTTGTGGAGCCTCAACTCCGACATTTCTCACACATACAACTCGCCTCTTCTCTCACTCACCGCATATCCAAAGGCGAAGAAGCCAGAGGAAAACACAGCCATGGCTTCACAAGAGCAACTGGAACTCGAGGCCAAGCGGACAGCCCATGTCGAGCAGCTGTCCGATTGGCTGCTCCAACACAGCAGCATTTACAACATCTTCCTGTCAGGCATCAAGCAAACCTCAGTCGTCGCCGGCACCGTCGTCAGCCGCCTCACTCTTACATCTGCACATCTCAACTCCAAAGGCGGTCTACACGGCGCTGTGTCAGCGGCCTTTATCGACTTCACAACGGGACTGGCAATTGCCTCGTGGGACCTGAGGGAAAAGACGGGCGCGAGCGTCGACATGCACATCAGCTACTTGAGCAGCGCGGGAGCCGGAGATGTCGTGGAGATTGTGTCGACGGCGGAAAAGGTTGGGGGATCGATGGCGTTTGTGACGATTTTGATTCAGAAAGTTGAGGTTGTGGATGGGGAGGAGAAGAAGACGCTGGTGACCAAGGGCCATCACACCAAGTTTGTGAGGGGGACTGCGAAGCCAAAGACGGAGGGTGAAGTGAGGAATTAGACGTGTACATTGTGTATATTATGTATACTACCTATCATACTGGGCGATTTGATGATATGATGATGATGATGATAGATTAAAGATGAATCGATAGATCTATAGATGGATAACAACATGAAGGCGCGCCTTTGAGACATAAGATTTCGTTGTGGGTTGCCTCGTGGCTCAATGTGATACGCTCTTAGCCCCGGCATTTGCAGGCGGTTAAAACCATAGCCGAAGAGCCCCCCCCCCCCCCCCCCAGCAGTAACTTGAAAGTTTAGGACGATTTCCATCTGCTTGTAATTGGAAAGGCGCAGATGCTCTTGAATTGACTCACACCGAACTTTTCTGTGGAACTCCTTGAGCCCCGCTGAGACAGAATCAGAACGGCGGCTATGGTCGGGGTTCCGACATGGCGATTTGCGGGCGCGAGGATTGTGGGGGAGGAAACGCAGTCGTTGATTCTGGAAGCTTTTGGGGGGGTTGAAAGAAGTATCAAGTTTCGTCTTGTTTTGTGTTTTTACATTGGTGGACGTATTGTTGGTTTAACTCTTGGTTTATAACTCGATTGATGAAGACAAGAGACCAATTGGACAATGAGTGCGACGGAAACAGCCACTGAAGTGGAATATGAATTATCGCCACGATATTCCCGTTCTCGTGACGAGATAAGCCTGGCGAATGGAGAGCTTGAAAGAGGACGTTTGGACATTGAGCAATCGCAGCTCTATTCCCAGAATCGCGATGAAGCGGTTGCCAGCCCTCACGAAAACGAAACTGTTACGCAGGAACTGAAACCTGTTGATCGAGGCCGAGATGCCTGGGCAACTCTTCTGGGCGCATTTGCATTTGATGCATTATTTTGGGGTACATACTATCATTTACAACACCCTTCACAAACAACAGACTGACAGAGGGGTAGGCTTTCCTGGCAGCTACGGAGTCTTTCAGAACTACTACTCCGACGTACCCGAGTTCCAGAAAGACGCCGTCCGGATCCCCGTCGTCGGAGTCTTGTCCACGGGCTTCTACTACTTCGGATCGCCCTTTTCCGCTATGCTGGCGAGAAAGTTTCCCAAATACCAGAGGCATCAGATTTACCTGGGCTGGGTCCTAAGCATAGCCGGACTCTTATCCGCGTCGTTTACCTCCTCTGTCAATGGCCTGATTGCCACGCAAGGAGCGCTCTATGGACTCGGCTTCGTGCTCATTTCTATGCCCATTGTGAGTATGGTGAATGAGTGGTGGGTTGCGCGAAAGGGCATGGCGTTTGGACTCATCTCTGCGTCTTCTGGTGCCACTGGAGCGGTTCTTCCCTTTATCATCGATGCTCTTCTTCGACGATATGGGTATAAAGTCACTTTGAGGGCTTGTGCCGTTGCGATGGCGGTTCTGACAGCCCCCTTGCTCCCACTGTTCAAAGCCCGATTACCAGCCTCGGACCAGGCCAACCTGGCGAGGATCAACTGGGGCTTTTTGAAGCAGCCTCTTTTCTGGATCTACGGCTCCGCAGTCTTGGTACAAGGAATCGGTTTCTTCTTCCCCGTCGTCTTCTTGCCCTCTTACGCTTCTCTCTTCGACATTTCCTCCATCAAGGGCGCGTTACTGGTTTGCCTCATGTCCATTGCGCAGGTTCTGGGACAATTCGCCTTTGGCTACCTCTCAGACAAAAGTCTTCCCGTGAGCCTGTTGATGACTATTTGCTGTGCTTTTGCAGCAACGGCATCGTTTACGTTCTGGGGCCTAGCCAAGTCACTGCCGCTTCTCGCCGTTTTCAGCTTCATCTACGGCTTCTTTGCTTTTGGGTTCGGAACCATGCGTGTAGCCATGGGTCGAGCCGTCAGCGATGACCCGTCGACCGTGTTTGCCACGTATGCGATATTTGTCTTTTTGATGGGTGTTGGAAATATCTTGGTCGGGCCTTTGAGTGCAGATTTGATGGCGCCGAGGGAGGTTATTCGAGAGCATTACGCGGGCAACAAGTACGAGCCCATGGTGATTGTGACGGGAGCAACATCTTTATTTGCTGCTTTTATTGTTTTGGCGTGGCATGGCTACAAAGGACTGTCGAAATAAGTTTGAGCATTTACATTCGAGATGAAAATCGTCACTTTTACTATAACTCCAATGTGTAGCTCGACCAATTTAATTCCAATCTCTGCTAATATGATGATGATGTTGGAGGACTGTCCCTTCAATTGACTACGTGCAGTTTCTCAGCCTAGAGACATGAAGCAAGCAGATCAACTGGTGGCCAGATGACATGGACTGTTTAAACAGCCGGATGCCTGAATGGAGAGTCGCCAGCAAGGAGTACTTGATCTAATGAGGCCACTTCATTTTATTCAAGGTATCTTTTGCATATCAACCTCTTCGCCCTCTTCAACGCTCGCATTTGCATTCTTCTCTTCACGACTCTCCACTTTTTGTTTGCTTCTCCTGCGCTCGCCGCCGAGCATTTAAAGCTCTTCGCTTTTCCTCAACCTCCCTCTCCCCTTCTCCCCTTCTCCCCTTTCTCATCTCTCCATCTTCTCTCGATCCCGTCTTGCTTTCTTCATCTTCTATCTATTCACCCTCGGCTATCTCTTTGCGGTTGATCACCAACTTTATCACGATTGACCACTCCAAGAGCATTCAGTCCTTCGGCCTCCCATTTCCGCTCGCCACGTCTCAAACGATTCAGTCGGAAACGAAATCATCACTAGCGGCAACCATGGCTGCGCCTTGGAGCCACGACGGAGTTCCAGAGGACGCCAAGAGCACCGTCCTTCACACACCCGCTTGCCTAGATGCTGAGATCCAACGACGGAATATGAGCTTTTTGGAGAAGGAACTCCGAGTAAAAGTACCTGATGGAGAGCACATCTACTATGATGAACGTGGAAAGATGTCAATGACGGGTGTGGTATCCCTTGTTGAAGAGTCCTCCAAAGAGCCCCAGTTCGATACACGTATCCTATGGGGTCCTGGAGCGGAGGCGAGAGTTGCCAAGAGACTCATCGACATGGCGCCGGCAATCAAGCATTCGGCCTGGACCACGGCACAAGTGGTACTTCCTGAGATTCCAGCGAATCCAAACCTGTCTCCGGTCGTCATCACTCTTCTCAGGTCCGCTATCGCGGAAGAGCGAGAGTGTTGGAAGCAACTAGACGTTCTAGAGACGGTACACACTCTCCAATCACTTCTAGCTCTAAACATGGAAGCCATTGTAGCTTCCATGTGCGCCTTAACTAGCATTCATGGCCTCGGAGATGATTTCAAGACGGCAGCTCAAAAAGTGTTGCCTGACGTGTACTTCAATTTCATAGCGCTGCGTGAAGAACACAAACTGCTCAAAAAAAAGACAAATGTTGATGGTCAGAAGGAATTGGCTTGGTTCAGGAAACAGTGGAATCCCATCCTAGAGAAACTGCTACCTGGACGACTCGCCAACAAGATGGAAAAATATGCAGACAGGATGCAATACCTCTTGGACAACGACAAACGCTATTCCCCCAAAAACCCGGCCATTGTTGGATATAAGTATCCTAGTTGGGCCGGTTCTTGGAATTATGTGGACGAATGAGACTGCGAGCTCTACACCTAATGGTCATGTCGGCTGCTATACCCATACGTCCATGATTGGGAGAGAGTGCGACCGCTGGAGCCTGGCAATATTTGCACTCGGTATATTTGCTTTTCTTTTTTCTTTTCATCTACCTCATTCGCACTGGAATTCGCAAAAGTTCTCTTTCTGGCCACCCTCGTTGGCATCGGCTTCCTCTTCAGTTATTCGGCGAAAATCATTCGAGTTTCTCTTCTACGGACGGGCACTGTCTACGACATTGGCATTTGGCGAAAAGAGCTGTGATGGCTCCGAAAATTAAGGATTCGCGAGGATGGAATTGCAGGCTTGATACTCTCTACTCTTACTTAGTCAATTAAAATTTCGCAACTAATACTCTGCTCACGATGCTCACGATGCTTGCTCGTAGATGCAACTCCAAGATGCTCACTGTAACTCTAACAACACTCAAGATACCTCATCTCTCTACCAGACAGGATAAACCAGGGAGATTCACCTTGTGGAGATACTTCACCCGCATTCTGGGTCCGCTCCCAGATCGCGTCAGACGGATCATCCGCGAGCACTGCCACCATTAAGCGAAGCGTCGATCCAACAAAGGAGCAATAATGAACTGAATCCTTCAAGTTTGATCAACACTTTCCAACGTTGCAGCCGAATCATCTCTATCTAAACTACCCCACACGATTATCGCCACGGATATATCTACGTTGATCAAGAAGAGTTGTTGTCGAGTATTCACAACCTCGCTTCATCTTACCCCCGGAGGCTCCTCCAGCACGATATAATTAGAAACAGATTTATTCCAAATCCCACGGACGAAGAGTACATCTCCAGACAAAGAAACACTGTGATACAAAAATAGAAACCTCGCAAAGTCTAATGTCTTTCACGGCCTCTCCGATCACGGACCACAACAACTTGACATTCTCAAAGGCGTTGCAAAGCTGCACAGCCCTATTACGATTCAAATCAAACTGTAGAAAATACACCCATCAGCAGACTTGCCTCTTACAAAACCGAGCCACGTAGGCCGAAAAAGCAACATGTTCAGCCACTGCGTCAGCTCATAGTATAAAGGCAACAACGAGGATCGTGACTAAGTGACATCGTGACCAACTACTGGCTTGGCCACGGTCTCGCCACAAAGACTCAGTAAAGCTTGAGCGCTTACAAACAGGTCTCCCTTGTTCTAATTAAAGAAATTCCATGGAAAACTTTACGATGAGTACGCGGCCTGTTCCTGCAGGATCGCATCGCGGTCGCGAGAGGGCAGATCAACGACCAGCAGCTGCAGGAGGTCTTGCATCATGGACATAGCCATCCATCTCCTACACAAAGGATGCTTCTAGACACGAAATAGACGGGGGAATCAGGGGGTACGGAGGCGGGTGAAACACCAGACGCTCGTCAGCGCTCAGCTTCAACCTTCAAGTCCTGTATCGAGGTTGTGAAACCTCAAAGCTGCACCGTTTCGCTGGGACAGCGGGCCGGGTTGGAGTGCTAGCCCGAACAGATTTGAAACAGCCATTAATGGATCTGTGGAGGCGCGCGTCAAGAACCCACGATCCGAATATGGGCAGAGCGGCAGGGCCCGACTCGACGGAAACGGCCAAGACACGGCCGGCTGAGACAACGTCTATTGTATTGCTCGCCTCGCCGGGGAATGCTGTCCATCTTGCCAACAATGCATCATCTCCCTCTGTCTTACACATCAACGGACACTGTAACGGGCAGTTTAATGAGAACAATTTGACAAAATGGCTGGTGTGGCGTGGTTTTGCGCTCTCTCACCGAATCTCACATGCCAAACCACAAAAGTGACGAGAGTCAAAATCGAAGAGAGGGCAAAAAGAAATACTGACCATGACGGGAAAATTTTCAGAGCAGCGTGCTCCCTCCCAAAAAGGGCCAAGTGACCCAGCGGAAGCCGTCCGAATGGCTCGCGCGTCGGCAAAATGCAGCTTGTTTGGCGAGACAAGGTCAGATGAGAGGCCCCAAGGCGCACAATTTTTCATTAGCAGGGCTGACTGCCCTCTCGAGAGCAGAAGAGAAAAAAAAATGGGTTGCCGAGACAGCGAAAAGAAAAATTTCGAGCGAACAATTGATGGTTGTGTGTCTCAGTTTAGGTATGGCATGCAATATACAAGTAAAAGAGAGACACAGGACAAGGGAGGGGGCGTGAATGTCGCCAGCGACGGCCGGTTCTGGGAAGCGACACAGGCCACACGCCCCCCCTTCTGTCTCTGCTTTTTGCGTCCTTGCATGCAAGAGGAACGTCGACAATGGGATTGGATGCCTGTTCTGCACGGTCGGTGGGTTAGTCGCGGCGTAGAGATGAAGAAGAGACGAATCAGGGACTTTGGAATATGAGAGTATAAGAGCGGGAGTGGATAAAGGGAATCATTCAAGGGCTAGTGAGCAGTAGAATGAATGGCCGGTTGCAACGTGCTTTCAAAGGGAAAAGGGCATTGTCCATCTACTACCATGGTGAATCGCATTGTGGTATCAAAGACACCTCGCTACAAACACCCACGGCTGCTGTCTCGCGCATTCCATCGTCCAGCTACCGGTATTCACTGTGTCGTTCGTATTACAGACGCCACACAAGGAGGCCGCCCTTACAGGACTCCAAATATGGACGACGGCTGAAGAGAATACAGTAGGTGCAATGGCTGTTTGGGGGCCGCATTGTGCAGAGCGCCACAGCTGGGGTGAATGTGAATGGGCGAGTTTGACTGCTGACGACGGGTCCGGGCAGACAGGCTGCCCTCAAAGGAAAAGGTCTAGTGCGCTGCTTATGGCGGACGGTGTGAAGGGAGGACTGCTGACGGGCAGGAGACTCCGTACAAAGCATCCGATGCCTGTAGGCCGTAGCAGAAAATAGAAGCCGGAGAGCAGATGTCTTTGATGGGTGGGCTTACGACGCGCACTGACAGGACAGTGGTGTAGGGTATTCATCAAAGGACAAGGCGATGAGAGAAGTTGCCGGCATGCAAGTGGTAGGGTGTGTGCACGGAGTAGCATGGCAAAGATGGGTGAATGAAGGCTCAAAGAGACAAATGCCACTTACAAAACCGCGTATCCAAATCCACAGTCTTGGCGGTGTCGTCGCCATCTTTGACATGCCCGATATCAATCCCACAAGTCTAACCTGGTGGTGACAGCCACAAGCCAATAGAAGCCCATCCACGGTGGCCTCTCCACTGCGAGAACCCGCACCCACTCGCCACTGTGAACAGCATCTCTGTTCTCTGTCCTTGATGTTCATACGGAGCACACACACAGAAGTACGTAGGCACTCGGATCGTCGTGGTCATGCGGACTAATGCAAAGAGAGTCCGGCAGCAGCTGTGCGTCACCGCGGTGAGACTCGTGAGAGAGAAAGAGCGAGACTAGCAGCATCGGACCCGAGGCGATAGCGCTTGTTGACTAATGATGTCGCCTGGATAAGATACTGGACTTTGCATACGAGGAGTATTGGATAGGCAGACGCGGTCGCGAGTGTGTCATTGCCCACGGCCGATTGTGGGTGGATGGGGCATGCAGGACCACGTCCCATGACTGTTTTCCCTCTCAGCTAGCCCGGTAGTTGACGGCGATTGCGTAGGGAGGGCCCGTGTAGCGTGGCGTGTCAACAGTAGGACTTGTTCTGCTCTGCTCTGCCATGCCATGACGATGATTTCCTTGGTGGTTTGCCTTGGTTTGCCGCGATATCGTCATGATGGCAAATATTGTTCAACGGGACTAGGTAGGTTGGGGGAGGAGCAGCGAAAATGAGGCTCTTCGGACAAATGCCTGCACGTCAGCGAGGCTGTGATCGCGGAGACGGAGACTTGTGGATGTCGCGATCGGGTGTCGCCATCGATGCATCACCATCTGCTGTAGCTCTGGTTGCCTCTTGCTAGCATTGAGTGAAGTGAGTGAGGCAGTGAAAGGTGAAGGTGAAGATGTGTGTGCAGCAGGTGGTGTGGCCGACAGCCGGCAATCTCCTGGAGGTGTGGCGCATGGCCCGTGGCTTTGCGGCTGGCTCCAAAGCAGCTTAGCGTAGGGCCCAGCAGGGTCTTAGCGAGGGGCCACAAAAACTGGGCGACTTCCATTTGCTTGGGGTTGGGGCAGGCAGCACAGCCCGGGCGGCTGAAAATCAGTGAAGCAGGAGCCTGGAGTTTAGTGGTCTACAGTGGAGGCCTGACACCCATGGATCAATTGACATGACGGGCATGATGGCCCTGTAGTCGAGCCCTTGCAGGCGGTCACTGTTAGTGCTCTGGCGGTCGCTGTGCGGAGGGCGCTAACAGGGACCGCCCAGATGCGGACCGACGCCATTGCCCGGCGTGTCCCGCTCTCCACCGTCTAGGACTCATTGAATGCAAGCTTCAATTGAGTTGTGGCTGTCCACAATCCCAGACCAGAAGAGGCACCGCTTCAATCGAAATCGCGCCGATCGCCGAAAGTCGAAGCTACTGTACGAGTACTGCTGGTGCTGATGCTGGTGCTGGTGCTGGTGCTGGTCGATGCTATGCAGGTGAAGGTTGATTGATGCCCTGCTAATGCGATGCTAATGCCAGGCAGAGAGGCATCACCATCACCAAAGACTCTCTCTGGCGCTACTGCTGATGCTACTGCTGATGCTACTGCTGATGCTACTGTACGAAATCAATTCGATGCCACCAAAGCTACTGCCAGGCAGGCAAAGTCTGCTGCTAACGGCATTCGAGTAGTCAGTGCGGTTTCTAGACCGAACTGAATGAGTCAATCGTCAATTCCCCCCCCGTCGACACCCGCGATCCGAGACGTGCGTCAGTGTGTTCTGCATCGCATCGCTCGGCCTGGACCGCCGTCGCTCGTTGGCCAATTGTGAGCATGTGCTTGTGCCTCGGTGTACAAGGTACCTCAGGGCTAGAAATCGCATCTTGTGCAGGACCTGAATTGGTGCTCCATGGCCAGCTTCATCAGCCGCCCGGGCAAGGCGCGTCTGTACCGTCTGTCAATTCAATTTGATGGTATTTTCAGTCTTCAGCCGCTGCCGGGTCGCTGCGATTGGCCAACAGCGTGCGTTTCGAATAAGCGCAGATGCAGCAGAATATTCTCGGGAGGCCGTCTGTGCTGCTATTTTCAGCGCCCTGCCGTTTCGAAATTCTGCAGCCTGCGACGGTGCAATGGCCGTGAGCACAAAGAAGCATTGGATCGTTTGGCTCCCTCTCTCTCTCTCCCCCGATTCGATCTAGATGAGATTGGATGCCAGAATTGGCGGCAGCCTGGTGTTCACCTTTGATCCAGTCTACTGTACCTCTGATCTCACTCACTCGCATCGGTCCCTTTGAGCAGCTTCAATTCATTCCGCTCAACAACTGCCCTTTCCCCCTTCTGGCTGGCCGCTCAGGAACCTGCCATGGCCGAAAACCCACCGTCGGTGGCTATGGACGCTCAGCCGCTCCGCGATTGGACTGGCTTCCCTCTCTCGACCTGCTGCTGCGCATCCACACCACACCCGGACGAGACGGACGTGGAGAACGAACAGGAAGGGAGTCATCGGAGAGGCCCTTGGACTCGCTAGCGCTGTGGAAGATGCCTCACATGCCTCCCCATTGCCAGTAGGCAGAAAGCGGAAAGACGGCAGGGGTTCAGGCGCAGGACTCTTGTCGAGACTCGACATGGCTGGACAAGGAGAGTGGAGGGGGCGTGTGAAACAGGCACACGACGGCCAAAAGCGGCCAAGGTCTTGTCCCTTCTCGCGCACTCCCTCGCTTTGTCTTTATAAGTCTGCGATGCACCCTCACCTCGTTCTCGATCCAGCATTTCCAGGCAACAAACGCACAGCAACCCCACAAGTTCCATCTTCTTTATACTACTGCTACATTGTATTGCATTGCATTCCTGACAAGGATCAGAGAGGGACGGACAGACATTGAACACACACACTTTGTTACAAAAGGCTCTTCATACCCACCCTTGGCTGCATCTTCTCTTTCATCCTTACACCAACCAACAACAAGAACAAGAACAACGCCAACGCATTCCATAAATCGGAGTCGTCTTTGAACAAAAATAGCCATCGCACCGCACTTGATCACACTCAAAAAGACCAGCTTCGGCGCTCACTCGAACGCCTTGCCATCGCAAAGACTCTTGCTCTCTCCCTCACCACCAGCTCAACAACAACAGCGTACGACGCGCACCTTGACCCGCCACAAGTCGGACACAATGTGCACCACCAACGTATACACCTACGTCTACTCAGACGGCCACAAGGAACAGTCCCGCCAGCCCGTCTTCTGCTCTGCTTCACGGCAGGGCAAGGTCTGCTCCAACAACGTCGTCTTCCAGCACCCCAACCAGTACATCCAGCACTCAGAGGCATCCTTCGGCACCTCGCCCAGCTCTCCCTTCGTCAGCCAGTTCCCGCCCACGCCCACTTACAGCCCGCGATCCGGCACACCAAACTACCGCTCCGGTGACGAGTCCGACCGATCGCGCCGCAGCACCTCGAGCTCGCGGCGCCGCTCCGCCAGCCTCTACATCAATGGACAGAAGGTCTACGACCTTGGCCGCGATGGATCACGGCGCGAGCGCATCGTTCTAGTTGAAGGCCCGCCTACTCCACGAACTCCTCCCACTGCCTTCAACTTCCCCAGCGCACCGCCCTCGCCCAATGCCTCCGCCAATGCCTCCGCCTCGCCTTCTGTCTACGGCTCTTCTCCCCGCGACTCTGGTTCCAGCTTCTCCCGCCGGCCCATCATTGTCGATGGTCGGGTTCCTCGGGATGAGCGTGTGGAGCGCAACGAGCGTGTGGAGCGGGTTGAGCGGCCTCGCATCCAGGTCGAGGTAGTCGAGGCAATCCCTCCCGCCGCCCGCAGCACTTCCAAGCATGATCGCCACTCTTCCACCAGCTCTCGCGACAGCCGCGGACGGAGCAGCGCCGACGACGAGGAGACCGTTCGACGCCGACGCGAGCGGGAGGAGCGACGGGTCGAGAAGCAGCGCGACGAGGAAGAGGAGCGACAGCGCCGCATCCGCCTCCGCATCGCAAAGGCCAACGCTGAGATCAACAAGCGCCCGCCCGTGCCGATGCCTCCCGCCCCCATCCGCGCCTCCTCCTTCAAGACCACCGCAGCTGCCGGCGATGACGACGTCAAGAAGCTGACGGACAGCGTCAGGCGCATGAGCTTCGAAGAGGAGCGCCGTGAGGAGAAGGCCCGCGACATTGCCCGCAAGCAGGACCAGCGCGAGGAAGACGAGGCCCAGCGGCAGCGTCTTGCCGACCGCATCAGGCCGCGCCGCCGCTCCACCATCGGCTCCGGCGGCCGTCGCCACCGCGTGCTCTACGATGATGGCGGCTATCGATGGGAGTAAAGGAAGTCGGATGATGATCTTCTCCGTCTACCATTCCCTTTGTCATTGTCTTCACATTGACATCCTTTCCTTTTTCCTTTTTTACTTCTTTTCCTTTGTATTGATACGAACTACTTTTTTGCATGACTTGAGCATATTGCCTGTATTACTTGGAGGTGGAAAAAACAAAAAGCCATCTTTCTTGACAGCGCCTTTTCAAAAGTAAAAAAAGAAACGAAAAAGAACAAAAAAAAGGGCATTTGGAACAGCAACAGAACACATGTGGTTGGCATTTGGATTTTTTGACAAGCAAGCGATGATTTTTTTTTTTTTTACTATTTATTTCCTTTTTGGAAACCTTTTCTTGTATACTATGAGTTTTGATGATACCATATAATACCCGATAATGAATATCAGTGGAGTTTTTTCTTCTTCTTGGAGTATTATACGAGCACATATCGCACATGCAACTGCGCACTTTTTTCTCCCGCTCTCGTGCTTGTATACACACGCCCCTTCATCTACATACTACATTTCACGGGCCAAGGGCTGCATGGTGACAGAAACGAGGTGGTCCGGACGCAATAAGCAAGCAGTGGAGTGTTTTGTGTTTCATTCCACCGAGTTCTTGGTCGCCACACTTGTCCATCTCAACGTGTGAATGCCCTCGAATTACTCCTTCACTACTATATAGATAGCTTCATTCCATTTTCTCTTCACAAGTGATCGACTTTGAAGATTACTCTTACTAGAATAGGGAAATACAACGATTAGTCTGGCTAAACCGGCTCACCTGGCCACAAACCGCAACCCTCCCTCGCCCGCCCATCTCTCCCATCGTATCCCATTCTCCCATCCCACCCCCCTTGTGACGAAGGATGCATTCTGCATATGCATCATGCAAGTTCCAAATGCACCATGCAAAGACCGGGCTTATCGATAAAATGTGTAGTTTCTACACAAGCTGCCAGTTACGTCAAAGCGAGCGGGCCTGCGCCGCCCAGTAGGAACAAGATGCGAGACACCATGTTTTGGCGACGATGCTGGAATCCTGGCCTTCGTGGATTGAGTCTGGGGATACGATAGGCTGGAGGGGGCGAAATGAGTGTGAGTGGGTGCATGTATGAGTATGGAGACAGGGGAATTTGAACAGGGATGGAGAAGAAGGACAGGGTGATGGGGAGAATGTTTTTTCTTCTTAATTTTTTTTGTGGGAAAAGAGTTGATGTTTCTGTGTGGATTTCTGGGATATTCATCTTTTTTTTTTTTTTAATTTATAGGATAAAAGATGCCGTTATTCTAAGTGAGCGGTTTATGGATGCGACTGGAGCCGACATTGCGCGATTATATTTCTCGCCGAGGAAGCCTTTTTACAATAGACAAGGGAGAGGGAAAAGAGGACAATAACGAATGCGATCAATAAGACGGATGATGAAGAAAGAATATCACGATGCGATCAAAGTGTGCAAACATATAAAATGTGTGGTTGCCATCACGGGCGCGAATAGCTTCAAAGACGAGCCGAATGTCTCAAAAATCCAGGTTCGGGCACCGGCTAAAAACCGTTCTCGTGATGAAACAGATTTTTTGGTCCCAGCTTTTACCTAACCCACCATCTCTGTTTTTTTTTCTTCTCTCTTCTCAAAAAAGCATGTGTTCTGTTCCTGGTCCAGCAACCGGCTATTCCTATTCCCCCCAACAAACACCATGCCGCAAGCCCACTCACACTGATACTCACACGCTTTTCGCACTTCAACTCACACGGACCCGGTAAACATGGGAAGAGACTGAGGAGCAACATGTAACTGTAACATGTCGCATGTAACGCACGCACGCACGTCCCGTCCCCTTGCCCGGATCACATACATAAGACACACACGTACATTACAGTACATTACATGGACCGCACCCAGAAGCAAGGCACGGCACGTCAAGGCTAGTCCATGTATGTAGTCCAGACGACGCCGTAAGAGAAAAGTAGTAAAAAAAAAAGCGGGATACTCACTTGCAAGGGTTGGAACGAAAATGCACACACCCTCCCCCCCTCCCTCCATTTTTTTTTGTACTTTTCGGACGACAGAAAAAGTCACCCGGGAGACCACGCGGGAAACTCGGTGTGGAGGCCCGGCCGGATTGTGCAGCCAAGGAGGGCGGAGATGGGGCGTGATTGGGTGGATGGGCGGAGAGCTTGAGAAAATGGACCGGAAGGGAATCTCTTGTTCAGCTTGCTTCTGGTCGGGTCGGGCCAAGGGTAAGCTGGAACTTATACAGCTGAATGAAGTAGTAAGTTGTGAAAGCTGGGGACGGGAGAGCTAGAGCTATGAAGCTGGGGGCGAGGGCGGATGGCGCGGTGAGAGACGGAAGGGCTTCGTGTAAGTGAGTAAGTCGAGGAACGGCTAATACAGTGTCGACGGTGAATGTAAATATAGATGGGACTAAACTTGACCCAAGAAGGCGCCAGCAATACGGATGTTTGGCAGGTGATGGCCGAAGTAGAAAGAAAAGGGTTGGCCACTGAGACCCGACACAAGTCAAATGTGTGTCTGGAGAGATGGGGATGGGGAGATGGCATGTGTGATGTGCCGGCTTTTGCCATGCCCGGTTATATAGAACGAAGAAGCGAAAAGTGAGGTGGTGGTGGCGAGCAGTAGCATCGGCCGAGAAAAAAAAAAGAAGTTGGTGTGAATGCATCAAAAGAGGCGGTGTGTCTCCAATACCCGGGCCTATTTTGCATGCACACTCGCATCGTATCTACTGTCCATGTCGTGATGGGGGGGACCAGCCGGATATGGGCCTGGAGTTTGTCGAAAGCGGGATTGTGGCTTTCTGAACGTGCATATTGTCCACCGCTCGAGGAGAGGGAGAGTCGAGTTTGACAGCGTCGGGCTACTTGAGACTAGACATGGATTCGGGGTTGCGGTAGCGTTGCGGTTTATGCATCTTGGAGTGGTCACGAGTGTGCTACATGATGCAAAGGGGCGAGTCATGGTGTTTTTTGGACGACGATGTGTTTTGCAGATGCTGAGGGAGACTGGGTTGAGGAGGTTGTATTGAAGCTAGATTGTGGTCCTCATGATGTCTTTTTCACATGGGATGTGATATGAATGCGAGCATCTGAATCTTGTCATTGGTTATCCTGCTTTGTATCGATGATATCAACTGCAAAGAGGATTCGACAAGGATCAAACTCCCCGTGCCATGAGAAATAGTGCCTGATAGTGGAATGTGCGTGAGTGAAATATACTCTTATCTGACGTCTCCTGTGATGAGATCTTTCTTTAAATGCGAATCATGGACTTTGAAGTCTGTAATATCTGGAGCGCCCTTGTGCAGTTTTTATATACGGCAGCCATTTTCAATCTAACCTATTCAAAGTTGCAAATTTAGTACGATATCCTCCTTTCTAATTCATATTTTCACATCATTTTCATACAATTCGTTCAATGAGGGTGCTTATAAATCATTAATCGAAGTAGTAGTTATCTAGATATGCATATGTATTGCACAAAGAGACTGCTCTTTATATCACTAGACTAAACGAATAGTAACCAACTATGTATAATTCTCTTTCATATCTTGTATTTTTCCATCTTTCGTCGTTTCATCTTCAGATGCTCAACGATTTCTTTTTATTCAGCCGGTTCCTCTATCTCTGAAACAATCGAAAAAAACTTACCAAATGCCCCCAAGTCACTTAATCAAGTACCGGCATAACAACACGATTTCTCCCTTGGTTATGCATGTCGGCATCTGTAAAAGTAATAACGGCCCATTGCTGGTCTGAGTTTTAGGCTGTTCATTTTCCTGTACACAGCGATTCGCTTCAACATGACAGGCAGCCGCCGTTTGTCCTACATTCAACGCTCAATAGTAAACTCAACCCTGGTTTAGAGATCTCGAAACGCTTTAGTCCCAATTAATATGACCATTCTATATATGGGAAAATCTCTTCTGTTCGAATCTGCAATGAGTGTAGTGTTGTGAGTTCAGTAGGCATCATAATACGGATCATCCTCAGCTACGTCGGGGACTTGCTCTAGCAACCATTCCTCCATTCTCCCCGTCCATGGCCATTCAAAAATCACCTTCTTTCCATCTTCTTTGATCATATGGGGGGTTGATTCCCCAATTGATATGCTCTCCAAATGTGGTAGGACAGATAAAGCTATTCTTACCGCTTTCTCCTCTGTCTCTGCCACTGTCTGTATCACTCTGCGATGATAAGCTCGCCCTTCCGGCCCAAAATAAGCATTACCGCACATGGGACCCCCATCGAAACCTAAAGACAGCTGTCCCGCCCAAGGAAGCTCAAGGTGTCTTATATTTGGGTAGCCGACAAGTTCACGAAGAAGAATCTAAGTCTGTTAGATGTGAAGCATCCCACCCTGCTCTTGAATGCTTACCTTGAGGTATGGGTCGTTGGGTCGTTGGATGATGATGATATCATCGGGCTCAAGATTGAGGTCCTTTTTCACCATTTGTAGTTTCTCTTCTTCTATCTTCACGTAGTGATAGTCTTCGTCGCCATAGTCTCTATACCTACTCATACCAACTCTTCCTCTCATTGATAGGGAAACGAGATTCGGCATGGCTCTGAGCAGATCTGAATATCCATTATAAACCGAGTCTCCATGACTTTGCGTTGCAACTTACCAGACAGAAGAGGCTCGGTCCATCTATGTGCAGCTTCATATTTGAGGGACTGGATGGATGGCACTTTAGAAGTGCTCTCGATAAAGAGCTTTTGGGTATTGGTGGACTCCTTGGCTTCCAACTCTCGTAGATTCGGACACATGGGGATGAGATAGAAGGAGGACTGGCTTGGGATCAGTTGAATGACCGACGGGAGTGACAGGTTTTTTTCTGAAAAGGCCTTTTCAAAGTAGTCGGTAGATTCCTCAGAAATCTTCCAGTCTATGCGTTCCAAATTGTGCATCAAAGTCAGCACATCTGCAAAGAGATCGGGTATATCGTCCCCGGGATTCGGTGAATCATATCTGGATCCGTATGTCCCGTCGCTGACGTAGATGTCTACGTAGAGATGTTTAACCGAGTCGAGGGCCATGGGACAGTCCCTCATTTCTCGCAGCCGTTCTCGAGCATTTCTCCAAGGCGTCCTGCTAGTGTCCCATCCATTGTCCCATCCATTGTTGTCCCATATATCGTTGTTAATCTCCAGCCGGTTAAAGAGATCAGGCGGACACACGCGGCCATCAATTTCTCTGTAAAGTTCGGAATTTGGGTCGCACAGCTCTTGGAATGGGTCGTGGCGATTCTCCAGCCATTGCAAGTTTTCGTTGACCCACGGGTGATTTATATCCTTGATGAAGATTGGAATTTTACTAGTGGTGAGAATCGGCGCCACTACTTCATAAGTATGCTGGAAGAATGAGTAGAAGTAGGACTGCAACGGGGCATTCAAGAGGCTCATCGTGACCCGTATTCGCGTGTCTGTCGGCTTTGTCTTTGAGCGTGTAAGCGGTCAACTTTCTCCTCGTCGGGGTAAGCTGGCCTTTAATATGATTCATTCATTGCGTTGGACGGATCCGGCATGGAAGCCTAGAATGTACATATGCAATATCCGAGTGATGCGCTGACGCGTGGACAAGGTATCGCTTTAAGGAGTTTCGGAGAGTCAAGACGCCTGGAATGTATGACATGAACCTTTTCTTGGCGCAGAGCACAGCCTAACACTATTTATAAAGAACATGTGTCCTTTAAACCTCTTCCACAATATGAGCAACACTTGTTCTCTTGCAGCGCAGACTGAAACAAATCCATCGCGATTTGTGTCCGCTTTTGCATGTCATTACCCGGCCGCTATCAATGAATCGAGATATTAAAAAGCTCTTCCGCTACCTAGAAATACATAGTCACGTTTGATAGTCATCTACCTGAAAAGTAGAGAAAAAAACCATCGCTGCTATGGGTTTTATTAGTTAACACTGTATAAGAGTAATGCATTGTTATTTGTGCGGATTAGATATTGAGGAGCTACTTAGAAACAGCGTTTTCACAAAGACTATTCATCAGTAAGATCAATAATGTGCTTGCTGCTTTTCAGAAAAAATTGAACCCAATCATACATTTTTATACATCATCTCTTTGCTATATATATATATATATACTGTGGCATAGGTGCTCATTGGCTCTAATTCTGAGAGACATAGAGGGCAGCAACAAGACACTGAAGGGCGCTGCTCTGGCTGCTGGCTGTAGCAGAGCCAAGAACATACGGACCACCCCAATCAGCACCATTAAAGCAGTCGCCTGCCTCGACGGCGAGATCGTTTTGCCAGATGGACTGGGCGTTCTTTTCCAAGAATGCCTTGTAGGCTGGGTAAGGCTGGCTGTGATATAGCTTTTGGAGGTTCCTGGCAAAGACACCCTTGAACTGGAGGTTATCACCGCTGCAGTTGTGGGACAGATCGCAGCTGTCGGCGAGAATGCCGTTGCTGTCGACCAAATGAGCCATGGTGGCATTGGCAATGACACTGGCGGATGTGAGGTAGGATGAGTCTCCCGTGGCGATGTAAAGGTCTGCCAGACCGCCGATCACAACGCCCTGGTTGTAGGTCCAGGTTGGCTGGTTGTTGTCGTTGACACAGGTGTTGCCGTTGACAGCGTCGTTGACAAGGCCTTGGCTGTTGACAAAGCCGACCTTTTGGAACCAAGTCCAAATTGTCTGGGCGGCACTAAGATATGTCTGCTTTTGACTGCTAGGGACTCGGTTAGCGAGACCAGCGCTGATGGCAAAGTAAAGCTCTATCAATTCATGTTAGCCTCTTACACCCCCCCGTCGTCAGCCACGAGGCGAAGAAAGAGCTTACCATTGGGGATAGCCAATGGGTTGTCGGTTCTGGCTTCGCCTTTGAACCAAGGGAGACCACCGCAGTTAAGATTGCCCCAGCCGGCATTCATATCCTGCCAGATTTCAATGGATTCCGTGAGGTAGTCCTGAACTCCGGTGAGATCGTAGACATCTTGCCATGCCAATCCCCACCAACCCTCATCGTCGCTACATCGTTTCATTATCCATCAACGTCTATTCAATTGGTTATCTTTCTCTAAACAAGCAAAACAACTTACTAGTGACTTGCTAGAAAGCCTTGTTCTCTCTTCCTGAACTTGCCGGGAACTGTGTTCGCTGATCCCTTTGGCACAACAATCTTACGGCCGGCGCTGTCCAGTTGTATAACGCCATGAGCAGGCCCACCTCCCTTGAGATAGGTGTTTTGCCACATCCCAGCAGTCCTGCTCTTGACGCCACTATCGAGCGCAGCCAGGCTGGCAACTGCTGTGATCATGACACCGGCTTGCCAGAAGTAGTAGGCGCCATCGGGATAGAGAAACAGGCCGATGTCTTCGTCGTACCATCGGAGGAGTTGGTCACTTGCAAGAAAGAAATCGTTAGTAAAGGATAGAAACAAGTGCCATTGGGTGGAAGCTCAATAAAGGAAACTCGGATGCATCAGGGATCTTACTTGGAGCAACCGGCGTTGACACCGTAGGACGTGTTATCGGCATAGGCTCCAGCCGCTACCAACGCAGCCAAAGCAAGAAGCGTCTTTCTCGCCATAACGGATGTAGAGAATGCCCAAAAGATTTAACTTGATCCAACGTGTTGAGAAAAAAAAGGTACAATGCCTAGAGGCTGTTGAGGTTTATATTTCAACACAATGACAACTCTCAAAGAACCGCCTCGCCCATCAAGAGATGCGGGTGCTGCGACATCTAATATCATGCCCACTTATGTGCCTTTCATCTTTTAAACTCATAGCTAACTCAATCGGTAAATGAATTCCGTCGATCAGTGATGGAATAGTCCATGGATCACGGCAATTCATGCCTGTTACATTATATTCGCGAAAAAGTCTCCTACTCCGGTATGCCGTGGTCAACGAGGAACCCAAGCAGCGAGCTAAACAACTCCCTGTATTGTAGGCCATATACGAGTCAGGGGACAAGCATGTATCCCATTCCTTTACAATCTCCTCTGGCTGGCACTAGTATTGATTCAGCCTGTTTGTGAAGGCCCGATGTTGATGCGATGGTGAGCAGTCAGCCCACCTTCAGGCACTCATGGCAAGGCTAACAATCCCACCAAAACATTTTTCTCTCCGAAGGTTACATATCACTTGTAAGCCCCTGCAGCTGGCTCCGATGCATCGTTCTTCTCGGCTTCGGCCATGAATACTTCATGATAAATAACGAGCATCTCTCGAGTAAGAAGCTTGAACCTGCTGATAGAGCATGGCTATGAGCTGCATGGAAATTGCCATCATATCCCAGTAGACTCTGCAAATGACGGCAGGGGACTGGAGTGCTACTATAAGGAAAGGATAGCACCTATTGAAGAGCCGACACCAAAACAGCTAATATCGGCAGTTGTATCATCCATAGCGACGTTAGGCGCTAATAACCATCTTTTGCGCAACATATGACCATACGGATTGTCCTTCCTGTTGCGGACAAGTAGTAATTATGCATCCGATTTCGAACTTGGTCCTGTCATGATAGCCATTGAAACATTGGCATGTTCTTATTGGCGCGGGAGTTTCCTCATATTCTTGTCAAGATGCGGGGGAGACTGACTCCAGAAATTGGTCCATCCATCTTACAGACTCCATGTTCTTCCACATGTTTGTGGAGAGCTGTGGTCTTGGAGAAGAGTGCTCTAAGAAAGCTCAAGGTTTTGCGGTCTACTCCGTACATTTGATGCCGTTATGTAGCCTCTGCATGTTGTAACGAGTGATTCCAATGGTATTAGACACGAAATGATAGAGACGGCAAACAAAATGGAGCCCACCACCAGAAGTAAGAAGCGGCCGCTTTCCACCTAGATATGAGGAACAATTGACCCAACACATACTGACAATTAACATCAGCATTAACAAGACACAAGCAGTTTCTTTTTTGGGCCAGCTCAAGGTGGAAGGTGTTGACAAGCGGTCATCTGTCTCTATTCCTTCGTCCCACATAGTTGCCAGGAGCTAGGCTAAACACTGCGATTCAGAAACCTTCTATTCGCCAAACACTCTCTTCGCAACACTTTGCGGGGTTATTATGGCTGCCTAACGTTACTGAAATCCGGGGTATCAATTACACATCCAAGCGTATCCAAGCGTATTGAAAGTGATGGTTTTGGTGCCTGAGGCATTTTACCAAACCCCCGGTTCTAACTTGAGGGGCAGGGAATCGCTATTATTCGGCATGTCTCTTTAGACAGGTGAAAGAAAGAGTTGTTATATTAATACTATCCCTGCTGCTTGAAACAAGCTGGATAGGCTAGCATATAAAGAGCAGACCACTGCTTGCGAAGCCTGCTGACTTTCTAATCTGGCGGTGCTCCAGTATGTTGAAGAAAAAGTCATCCTCACGATCTCTATGCCTTTTAAGTATGTTGCAACTGTAAAACGCCTTTTGTAGTCGCACATCATGCAGAATCTCGCTGCACTGGCACTTGTTGCCTTGGGCTATTTCATGGTAGGAGTATCTGCCAACTCCGGTTACGCAGGGAGCTGCACAAATATACAGATATATCCTCCCGACGGTAATACCAACTACTGGAAGATTGCCGCGGACTGCAAAAACAACGCGGGGCAGACGAACCTGAATACCAAGATCAACATCAACACGTGTTTCAGTAACTCAAACGGAGTCCTTATTGCTCAACTGAAGTAAGAAATACCTTGGCATTGTCGGTCACTTTGAAACATTCACTCACGCGCATATGTATAGTGGCGCTTGGGCATCGTCATGTACGAATGTGATACTCACCGGGACGGTTCTCAGTGCCAGTTGTCGCAACCAAGGAGGCGCCAGTATCAGTACTTCAATAGACACAAGTAAGTTAATCATAGCATAACGTATCATTGTGTTTATTGACATTGTTGCAAAGATAATGTTATTGGTAATGCAGATGGTGCTCTGTATTGCTTCAATCAGGGAAATTTATAGGCTATAAGAGGTCAAATCGTATTGTCACAGATCCCATTTTGTATATGCTAGAAGGACATTTCGGTATGGATGGAAAGAAAATAGAGATTTGTTTAAGCGTTAAATTAAACACAGTTTTTATCATTTAAATCTGGTGTGAGAAGATACTGGCTTATTTAGCAAGATGTAGTTACGAAGGCTGCCTTTATTGGTCCCATCTTGGGCCGCCTCTTTCCCCGCTGCATTAAGACAGGCTGTAACGGCTTGTTGGAACACGTCGTCCCTGCGACTGAAATACTTATAGCTGATTAATTTTAACAAGTGTAACCGAAGCTCTTCTTTGGATGGCGTTTCTTTTGCACAAAGAGGGTTTATCATCAATATCTCGCATCCTTATATTTTCCCACCTTGTCCAATTCCTTTTCCAAATACATACTCAATACAATCTTTATATCCAGGCAGCTCCTTTATCTCGTCAATAGTTAGCAATACCCTAACTAAATGCTTGAAGGGTATTTGGTTAAGAGCTAGTATAACTGTGAGACTTCTCTCTTTGTTACACCTATCCGCATCCGCGAAAGCAAGAATAGTCCTAGCAATCCGAAGCATTTGTTTTCTTCGCTCAGTCGGGTTAACGATTCGAACGCCCTCTTCAACGCGTCGAGAGACAAGCATTATAACGCTTTGCTGGTAGTTCCTTGATTTGACTCCGAAAAAGGCAAGAATTTTCAAGGCCAAAGTTTTCAGGCTGCCGGGTTGTATCTCTTCAGCTGCTGCAAACAAGTCGAGAGTAGCATCAAAGATAGCCTCTAGGTCGTGAACCGGAATATCATTACCAGTAGATGTATGGCAATCCAAATGAGCTTCTCGAGCCATTTCAAAACCTGTTTCAATAAAAGGCTGTAACTTGGATGCCACACAGCCGATTCCCTGCTTGATAGCTGTGCGTAGCACTCCCAGACCTACAAGCGTAAGGCCAAGGGCTTTGTCATATTCCGAATACTTGCAGCAGCTTTGGTATTCTTCCCATCTCATGTGTGCAATCTTGTCAATCATGGAGTCCATGCTTTCCATACGTCTCGCTCCCAGTTCCACCACCAACTTCTCACTGAATCCGGATAGCAATCTTGGCCTCGGACTCAATGCTGCCGCTCTCAGGAGCTCAATGTCAGCTTGTCCACAGACTTCAGCACTGAGTTGATCTTTGGCTTTGATTGCTACCGACAATCGCTCCGCAAGTATGCGAATTATTTCCTGCATCGGTGCTTCTCCTTCCCTGCCAAGATGCCCTACTATGTCATCCATTGCGATCATCCAGACCTTGGAGATAACAAAGGACAAGTGCCTGAAACTTTTGCCGCGCTCAGTAGCCACCAAAAGCAGTTCAATACCAGGTAGAACAGAAGCCTCTGCTTTTTGGAACTTTTGTTGCAAACTCAGTTGTTCGTTAAAAAGGTGTCTCTTCATCTCGCTTGCTTGCTTCTGGACTGCCATTTCCAATACTGGCTCTCCCAAACCAGGATAGAACACGAGATTGTTCAGTGCTTCGACCCATATGTTCGTGATGAATCCGATTAGTTGTCTGTCATTGGTCGCAATAGCAGTGTCCAATATGTTCACTGCGGCTCTAGCCATTCGATATAACACTTGTGAGAAATGTTCTCCTCGGCCGCCTTGGATAAGTGTATTTGTTGATATGCCGATATAAGGCGATGTCACACCATTAGTGCCAGCTGCATGATTCAAGATGGATTCACCGTCTTTATTAGCAGAGCCTAAACCAAGAAACTCGGACAAGTCGTCTCGAAGACGCAATATATGGTTATTTTCTTGTCTTGTTGTAGGTACGTCAATGTCATTTTGCGACATCGTAGCCACCTTTATCACGTCCTCGAAGGAGTCCTTACCCAGCCTAACCAATGCTTTGAGGAAAAGAGTTTCGCCATTCTGAATTGCTTTTTTCAAAGATTTCTCGGATTGTTTGATGAGACGATTGATCGTTTCCATGCTACCAGCTCTGACGGTTGTCCTAAATACTTGTCGCAGAATCTGTTGACGATCATGCCAAGGGAGGTCGCGATCCTCGTCGTAATCCACAGTCCCTTTGCCTCTCTCCGACAAAACATGCATAATGTCTGTATGTCCACGAGTTTTTGCAACTTCGTACGCCGTGCCCGTTCGTCCTATGGCTTTACTAATTTTAGCGCCGTTCTCAAAAAGTAGAACTACCATGTCCCGGTTTCCCTGGTATGCTGCTGCTAGGAGAGCTGGTCCGAGTGTACCGCTTCGATCATTGACTTTAACGCCGTGCTCGAGCAGTATCTTGACAGTATTCAGGAAAGGGCTCACATCTAGTCCTGATTTGAGCCCCATAATGGCAGCTGTCACGGGGGTCCCGTATATTTTGTGCGTTGCATGGATATTTATCCGTTTCGAGCAAAGACGTTTAACAAGTTCTGTGTAGCCGTGAAATGCCGCAGAGTGGAGAGAAGTGCCGAATGGCCAGTGTTTTTCAACGACTTTGGACTCTTCATAACGTTTGAGAATTGCATCGGCACAGCGACAACACCCAATCAAGGATATGACTTGTAAAGCCGTGCCAAAAGAGCTTTGTTTCCTTACGTCTGCCCCGGCCTCGACAAGGCACAATATCACATCTTCATGGTGCTTCCTACAAGCAATGATGAGGGCTGTTTCTTTGTTTGCATTTGTTCGATTGAGTTCTGCCTTTTGAACGAGGAGCTCCACAGCCTGTAAATTCCCGTAACGAGCCGCATAGTGTAGAGGAGTATGACCATCTTTGTCTTTCGCGTTGATATCCGCCCCATTTCCTATCAGTTTCTCAACGGTAGAGCCGACATCGTATATTTTCATGGTATTCCGTAAAGCCCAGTGGATGGGAGTTAATCCATCGTTATCAAGCTTTGTCACATCGAACCATTTCCTTGAGATAAAAACATCAAAGAGCCCGGCAAGGCCATAGTAGCAAACAATTTGTTCGTGGTGAACTCTGACTGGTGATCTCTTGCCCATAATAAATAAATAGACTTGAAATGCCAACTGAAGGTTCCCAAATTTGACTCCTTGACATTTGGCAAACAGGATTTGTAGCAGGTCGAGGATTGTTGAATACCTCTTTTCGATAGCTAGAATATTGTTGGATATGAAACTCTTCTGAATGCTTATGGCCCACATTGAACAGACAAATGGTAAAAATGGATGATTATGCATCACCAACTCAAGGCTCTCTGGGTTACAACATGTGGCATCGTCCAGAGATCCTTGGCCAAGTTCCAGAGAACACAGGTAGAATAGGCAGAGCTCTGCAATTTGGATGTTGTAAGCAGTCGGCTCGTGTGTTCTAAAGAATTCAAAGGCCGTAATATGACAGAATTGAAAAGTCCCAAGATGCTCGTTGAATTGAATCAGATGTTCGGAAGACAGGTCAATCTTAGAGGTATCGTTAACCAGATCTTGATGAAGCTTCTTGTTGATGGTTCCGTTGGCATCAAGGGACAACGCTATGCACATGGCATCTTTCGACATTGAGCCCATGTTAGATGCGAGTAGGGCCACCGCCCTTTGCACTATTTGTTGCTCTATTGCGTTTTGCAAGACCTCAAACTTATAAGCATAAGTCTTGTATAGATCTTCTAATATCCTAGGAGGAGAGAGCTTTAGTAAAGCTTCTATGACTTGCGATTCTTGCTTCATTTGGCTAATGCTTGATGCTTGTAGGCTAACCCATAGGAATCTAAATTATATCCGTCAGTGAAAGTAGAAAGAGAAGGATTCACAGCACTTACATTCCGTCTGCCTTTTTGGCCAATTCTTCCAATAGTTGTCTCTTAAGCTGTGGATTTCCCTCAAGGAGTGCTGATCTGAGATTTTCTTCCAGATATCTTTCAATATCACTCCTATTTTTCTCCGCTGTAACTTGAACCAAAAACAGCTGACCCGTTCGTAACTCATCGGTACAGTTGCAATGGCGAGAACTGATGGCTACACTAAGGCGGTAGCTGCTCATTTCATACCGGAGCTTTCGAGCTAATGCGTTGAAACCACAAACCACTCGTTCTTGTGTGACGCTAGGAAGTTGATCAAACGCATCAACGACAATATATATATCTCGTTTTGATGAAATAAGCATCTCGTGAAGAGCATTCTCCAATTTCTCGAGGCTTGAATGTTCATCATATGTATCGGTCGATCGGTCTTTGGATTCGTTGATCGTTTGCTCCCAAAATGTCGTTAAAATATCTCGGTAGAGCTCATCCGTGTTCTGATCATCTTGAATATGAAAGCCAACATAGTAGTAGAGCAATTGGACCGTACCGGGGCCTTTTGTTAGAAACTGATTCTGATGAATGCATTCGATTACACGAGACCTGCAGACCAAGGTTAACCTTTACTCATTATATGTATAACGAGGACAGTTGGTATAGAAACTCGCATCAAAATTGATTTCCCACATCCGGCTACTTGATAGTCAGTATAAACATGTGTGCTATAAGTGTGTAAACTTACGACCGCCATGAAGCCAGAGTAAAGAGTATTCTGCCTCCATTTTCTCCCAGGACTGGAAAGCACTCTCTTGTATTAGCCACTCGCAGCTATTCGAATTTTGCCATTTTGCTTTCAAATCTCTGTGCTTTCCCTGTGCAATATGCTTTAAGGACGAGGCTGCTTGCCGGTGATCCAGACTTGTTAGTGCTGTCAAAGTGAGGATAGTAGGCGGTAGAAACTTACAAGTATTACTGCCTTCTCTGTGAATGTCGTTACTTTTTTCGGACATTGTAATAGGAGCTTGACAGAAGGATTAATCTAGTCCTACAGCAAAGAGCAATGGGATTCTCCAGAAATCCAATCATTAGGAAAAAAATCAATCTTGTAGTTTAAACAGATCACCATGTAATTGTCAACATTATACACTCTTCGCCGCAACGGGCCATGCTCATTCAATTCCACCACTCACGGATCTATCACCCATATCTTCCCACGTATCAATATTTCAGAACCCTGCAGCATAGAGGTCTATCGACCAGTGACCCGCTTACCGGAGCAGAATACTAGTATATTTAGGCAGGGGTGGAACTGCACAGCCTCACTTACACCCCGTTGTCGTGGGGATAGCTGGGTTAATAGGCCATCAATCGCTATCGCACCGCTATATGTCTAGGACTTCAATGAAGCAATCGAAGCGGAAATCGGTGTTTAACCATTGTGAGCCAATAAAAATACAGGTAACCTGCCTATCGTAGAATGAAAGCCTATTAATAGATACATCCCTTTTTTTACAAAGTTCCCATGCACCAGGGAGCACGAATTTCCAAGTTGAGCCGACTGTTAAAAATAACCTAGAGAAGTCGGGCACGGATACCTCATGCTGTATTAGCTCTGTAATGAATTCGATTGGTTGAACTAGGCCGGCCATGGGGTTTGCATGGGACCAAGATGCAGTATGCTATTTTTATCAACATTTCGTAGCTGATACATGCAGGAGAACGGATCACATTTGAGATGCCTATTAAAGGAGACAGCGTCATCACTCTCTCGGCGATCATTTGACTGAGCATTAGTGATACAGTGGCCTCTTTTTTCTGGTTAATTGCCTAAGAGGCCTTGGGTTGGGCCACGACAGTGACCACACTCCTTTAGCTAGATGAACTCAGTTACGTCTCAAAATCGCTAGATCCAATATCAGATGATCATTTGCCAGACACTGTGGCTCGGCAGGTGTACAGGGCAAAGAGGATCCAATAGACTGAGGAGCTACTCTAGAAACGGCGTCTTCACAGAGAAAGACACGTCTAGCTACAAACATCTATAGTAAAGATAGAGTATATTCAGAAAAAAGTATTGCATCGCTATCTTCTCTCTCGCTGTATACTACCTATTTAATCTCTCGCTTGATTCTTTTATCCAGATGTTCCTATAGTCTGAATTGTGAACGATAAACCCAGGTACCACAAACGACTATGAGACGTCGGATGTGGTATTGTCGAGGGGTTCGGGAACCGGCAGAGTAGCAACTCGCTTTTTCCGCATCAAGATACTCAGCATATTCCTCCAACCTGGCCCTTCCCTCACACTATTGTCATCTCTCCCCCAATTCAGAATCATGGGGTTATCATCGGTTTCAAGTTCACCGTTCCGGGCATTGGTAGTATCATACGTCTGCGGGAAGCTGTGGTCACCAAAAATGACCAATCCAGATATGTGACGACTGAGCATGACGCATAGATAATGTATATCGGAGATGTAGCCCGGCTCTGAATCCTGTGTCGTTGCCGCAACAAGAATGATAATGTTTCCTTGGCGGCCCTGGAAGTCATCAACTGTAGCAGCTGGAGCCATGGATGAGATTGCCGAGTACCACGACTTTTGCCTCTCACCCTCGATGAAATCGACGTTGGCTTCGTAGGGTGTGATGATGAAGATGTCGGCGGGGGTAATCATTGTCTGTGTTACTAGGTCGCGGACAAAGTCTAGCGCGTGCCAGGACTGAACCGGATTACATCCCGACCCAGTTATTGTATTGAAATGAAACTGGGATCCTGTGCAGTTGATAAACGCCGCTGCGAGCTTGTCTTCGGGAGGAGGAGCCAACTTGGGAAACCTCTTCTGCAGAAAGGCTTCCAGTTCGCGACCACACGCATGCCGATCCAAACTGATATCGCAATTGGGTCCATAATAGGGATCTGGCATGCCTATGACTACGTCGTGACAGAGGTCGAACAGCCCAGCGGCCATCCTGAGTTGGGTCCTCAAGCGAAACACAGGCCAGCCATTGCATTTGAAGAAGAGAAGAGCGGAAATTTTGCCATCCTGCTCAAACCTGTTCATGGAGTGGCCTTCCTCATCTCTTTGGCCAAAACTCACCAAGCGAGGTTCAAGCTGCTTGTCGTCGCCACAAATAAGACACGGACGAAGTTTGTTGCCCCATACGGAGTAGAGGTCAGGACGGCTAACATTGTTTGCTTCGTCCACTGCGATACCCTTGGCTACGGTCTTCATCCAGCGCTCGTATGGCCCTTGACCAGAAAGGGATATGTTCGTGCAAAGGATATTAGTACAGCGCAGAATCTTCTTGAATATGGCCTTGATGAGGTTGGAGTCCACCGTACGGCCTACTCTGTAATCTCTATGGCTAATTGCCCCAGTTGCCACATCACGAAGCTGCCTCAAATTCCGTTGGCTATCTAAGTATGACTGTAGCGAATGTATTCCTGCAGGATCATCAGTATGAAGTGGACGAACCGCAGGCGATCGTAGGGCCACGAGTAGCCAGAATGCTAGGGACAGGCGCAGTCTCCATTTCGGTTTAGGATCAAAGCTATCTAGAGAAGCTGCCTGATCTCCTATCCGAGGACGTTCGAGGAGGTTTTGAAAGGCAGCTACCTCGTCATCTTCATCGTAGCCACGAACAATGAGGATACGATTAGCTCGACTGCCGTCTAACCCCTTGGCTTCGTTGAGCCGGCATGTGAATCTCTCTGAGATTCGATGGAGATGCTCGGCAAAGTTGTCAGCTGCGGCGTCTGTAGCAGCACATGCATATATCGGCCCGAGGGTGATAAACATGCCGAGGGTGGCTACGGAGAGGACCGTTGTCTTCCCAAAGCCAGGATCCTTGCATCCAACATAGTGAGTATCGTCTCTCGAAGGAGCAGGGTGGAGAGACTTACACCTGTAACAAGGCCAAATCCTAGGGGTACCCTGCTGAGATATGTGCATAACCTTTTGCGATCGCTGGGGACAACATCCTCCATCAGAGCGTCGATGACGTTCTGGGACTCTGGAAGCAGGTTTACCGCTGGCAGAGGGCGGTTTCGTGCAAGGCGCATCCATGGCTGCGTCTCAGCACGCTCCCGCAGACTTTTGTAGGTTTCGAAGAATCCATTCCCGAGCAAAAGGTCTCTGTGCAAGCTCATGTTGAAATCCATGGGAGATGTGGCTCCCGATACTTGCCGAGCCGCCTTGGGGTCAAATTGAAGCACAGCCTCGACCTTGCGCTGGCATGATTTATGGTCTACGAGAAATTTCAAGCGTACATGATACTTTTTTTTCTTGTTCATTTGCAGGGCATCTTCGTTCAATACCTCGACATTGAGACTAGGGCGAACGTTTCTCTCCTTTGGCCGACGCACGGTAAGGATCAAGTGTTGGTCTTGTAACAGATTGCAAACCCAGCGTGCCCTTGATAAACCCTGGTGTACAAGTGGGTTGAAAATGGCGGAGATGTGGACAACTCGGGCTGGCCATTTTGCTGGCCCCGTGCCATTGATATGAGCTCGAGCGGTAGGATCGTAAATATACAGGTATAGCGTATCGCTATTGAGAAGGCAGCGCAAAGCAGCACCATACTTTCTGAGGAAGCTCTGCATCGGTTGCATGATGACGTAGAACTCGTCGATATGCGGTGGCAAGGAGCCCTCCGTCGAGACAAAGTACGCTTCCGACTTTTGCTTGAAAATCTCCCTGGCTGCCTCATGAAGCCAAACGAAATCCTGGACTTGGGACTGTGTCATCACTGCAAGGTGATCATTGTGGTCCTGAAATGACCATTGTCGTTCGAAGGTGCTGCCCTTTTCAAGAGAGAGCATGTCATAATAGTGCTCCAGATTCCAGCTGTGATCTGTGCCATAAGGGTAGCTGAAGGGTGATGGTATGTACTCTGGGACAAATGATTTCGGGATATCTTCCACAGGCGAGTCTACCACAAAACGGAAAGTTCGCTGGGAGAGAGCATCCAGTAGTGTTTGGCTTCCAGCGATGGGTTGTGATTGTTTGATCCATCCTTCACCTGGGTGGCCTGGGTTGTCAAAAGGCATTCCGAAATGAAGGACAACAGGATCTGGGCCATCACCGAGATCAATTTCCAACATTGAGAATTTGCTTCCTCTTTCAGGCAGTGACTTGGCTAGAGCTGGTTCCATAGGCTTAACGGCGTGAATCAAATGCGTCAGGGGAAATTTGACCGTTATTTGGTAACTAAAAGATGGTACAGGCCCTTTATATCGACGTGGATTAACTAGGGGTGCAAATTGCGCGTTAGGACAGACAGCAATCATGATTCACAAAGATCTCACCAAAGTAAAACGCCCCGAAGCCGTTTCCCTCTCCCCACCGTCCGCGAAGAATACTAATGGTAAATACAAGGCACGCAGGATGACCTGAGACCTGACGCACCGCGAGTTGGCAGCGAATGTTGGTTGGCAAGCCAAGCTCCTGGCCGCCTAGGAACCCATCGTCGACGACGAGTGCGCACCGACTTTGCCATTGAAGTGGAAGCGAAGGTAATGTGACTGGAGCTGGTTGCCGCTGAGTGGCATCCGCCCCCTCAGAATCGCATGAATGTGAATGTGAATATGAATCATCCGGGGCGCCCTCTTCAATGGACGAGCTGTGCATGCAGGATGCCCTGGAATGACTGGATGACGGCATCGTTACTGTGATGATACAATCAAAAGAATGCCTTGGTGCTTGAGTTGAACGATAGTTGGATGTAGAATAGAAAATGGTTGGGGGAGAAGTGCGCACTCGATGTTGTTGACAACAAACAATTGACCGGTTGGCAGAAGATAAGCTTCCGCAGTGTTAGTCAGGGCGCAACTACGAGGCGATGGCTGCACTTCCCCCATAATGGACGCCCAAAAATTGAAGCTATCACTGACATTAAATGAACTGGACGAAGATAAACACTAGATGAAATGACATGCTGGTATGCAGCAGTAAATGTATCTCCAACGTGCTACAAAAGGTCTGCATCAAGCATGCCCATCCCACTCCCGTATATTGTTCACTAGCACAATTTTCTGCGTACGATAAAAAGAGAAGGAAAAAAAGTAAACGAACAAAAAGACTTTTGATTAATTACATCATTTTCAGTACAGAGGGTTTTTGACAATCGCATCGATCTCATCCTGAGTCTTCTTCGGAATGTCATCATCGAACCAATCCTTTACTTGAGCCACAGCCTTCCTGGCACTTTCGACAAAAGCCACGTCAATAAGAGACTCTCTGTGAATCATCAAGATATAAGTGCACAAATCATCCTCGCTGCTACGATGTGGGCGAGTGTACGGCGGCTCACCCACTTTGCTGAGCTTTTCGATGGTGGGCAAGATGAGATTGACCACGGCCAGAATAGCACCGTCTTCATTGGTTAACCCCTGCGTCATCATTCTCAGAACGGCGATGAGCCTTTCTGCCCTACCAATCGCTCGCTCGACCATGGGCCGATTCTTCTGGATGCGCTTCAGGGCTTGCACTTGGAACTCGAGGTTACGGACCTTGTTTTGAGCCCTGTCTAGAATCAAGTAGGCCAATTCGCCGGCTTGTTGAAGGTCGTCCAGCGTTCCATTGCCTTCAAGAAGTGATGTGTAATTTACACCATCCTGCAGAAAATGTTAGTCTAGCTGTTGACTGCGTCGCTATACATGTCAGACTTGACTTGCGCATACCAAAACGGTCTTCTTCTTGAGTGATGCCTGGCGCTGCATGGCAGCCTCTAGAGAAATCTCCTCTATCTTTGCAAGCAATATGGCTTGAGCTTCTTCGTACGCCTTTTGGTCGGTATTCATCTTGTCTATAGCGGTGTCAATGTCTGCCTCCAACGATGTTATTTCGGTTTTCTCGTCCTCCGTCTCTTGGTAAAACTTGGCCTTCTTCTCCTTCAGTTCTTGTTCAATGCCGTTCAACTGTAAGAAGATTGTGTATGTCAGCATATATGCACGTAGTTACACAGCTTGTTTAGAACAGTTCTTTACCTTGGGAATTACCCCATCATCTGTCCCTGAGCCAGTCACAAAGCCGGCACCAACCTGGATGAGATCTGTGGCTATTTGAATGATGGCCTTGCGCTTTTCGTTGGTTTCATCGTCTCCAGTATAGTCAGGCCAAAGGTCGATGAGCTCATTGAACTTGGCTAGGCCCTTTGCAATCGAATCTAGTGCTGCCTTGACACTCGAATCGACAAGGCCATCGACGTTCGACTCCAAAGCATGTAGGCGTTTTTGCAGATCCAAGAACACTCGCATCCACCGAACCAAGCCGGAGTCAGGGTCAGGCCCTGGAGTAGGTGGCGGAGGAGGTGGCTTGGGATGAGATGACCAAGCAACTGACCAAATCTCACCAGTATGCCCTTCGAGTGTCGCTTTGCACTTGCCTTCACCTTCGTCCCAAATCTTAGCTCTGTAATCTCGTGATCCCGAGACAAATCTTTTCCCATCTGTAGACCAAGAGACAGACTCGATGAATTTTGAATGTCCCTCCAATGTTGAGAGGCAGTCACCATGTATCGGGTCCCATACTTTGACTGTACGATCTTGTGATCCCGTTACCATTTGGGTACCGTCAGGAGACCATGAGAGTCCAAGAACCGAACCTCGATGACCCTTGAGAGCTACTTTCTTCTCTTTCGTATCTGCATCAAATATAGTAACTTCATTATCGTTACCTCCGGATGCGAAGAGCTTAGAGTCGGGTGACCAGCCAATGGAATCGACTCGGCGGTCCACGTCTAGGTCGATAACAGAGCTCTCACCAGTAGCTAAATACCAGATTCTCAGCTTGTAACTCGTCGGCGCCGCCATTAAGAGTCGAGTGCCATCTGGGGACCAGGCCAGAAGCGTTGTGCCATTTCCAGTGTTGATGAGGATGGTAGATTGCGGAGCCACATCTGTGTCCCAGGTTATATCCCAGAGCCAAACGTTTCCATCGCCTGAAGACGAAGCCAGTTTAGTGCCATCAGGGGACCAAGCAATGCAGCCGACAGAAAGGTTATGCTGGAGCGTGAACTTGGCAAGGCCAGTTGTGGAATCCCAAATCTTGACTGATGCATCCCAGCTTGCAGATGCGAGATGCTTCTGATCGGGAGCCCATGCCACCGAGGAAATTGACTTCGTGTGGCCTTCCAGTGTTTTGAGACAGAGACCAGTTTCTGGATCCCACAGCTTCACTGTTTGGTCTTGGGAACCCGATGCGATCACTGTGGCATTCTCTTCCTCGTCCTTGCTCGGGAGCAACGACCTGAGTTGGCCGAGAGGTAGCTTGCTAATCTTTGTCACGGGGAGCACCGTTTTGGCTGGGCTTTCATGGCCCGTAAGCGTTGATAAACATTGGCCCGTAACCGCGTCCCATGTCTTGAGAGTTCTATCGTCCGATGCCGATAAAAGCCAGGCCCCATCGGGGGACCATGAAACTTCCGTGACAGACTGTTCATGGCCCTCCAGTGTGATTGTGCATTGCCCTGACGATGTATCCCATATCTTGATAGTGTTATCCAATGATGCCGATGCGAGACGAAGTGTGTTAGGTGACCAGGCGACAGAGCGAACAGCAGAGCTGTGGCCATTGAGTGTCACGGTGCAATTGCCTGTAGCTTCATCCCATACTTTGACACTATTGTCACTTGAACCCGAAGCAATGTGCACTGTATCAGGCGACCAAGCAACTGAAAGAACTTCATCGCTGTGTCCCTCAAAAGTTGTAATGCATTGGCCTGTAGCCAAGCTCCAGGTCTTGAGAGTGTTATCAGCGGATGCCGAGATGAGCTCGGTACCGTCTGGTGACCAAGCAATGGAATTGATACGATTGCCATGGCCACCTAGTGTGAATACACATTGCTTCGTAGCTGGATTCCAGATCTTGATTGTGTTGTCGTCTGAGGTTGCGAGCCGTTTGCCGTCGGGAGACCAGGCAACCCCATTAGCACCACCGATGTGATTATTGAACGTCAATATGCACTCGCCCGTGGCCACATTCCATATCTTGACTGTGCCATCGTCTGATGCAGATGCCAGTGATTGGACAATAGGTGACCATGCGAAGCTTTGTATGGCACCGGTGTGGCCTATGAGTGTCGCGATGCACTCACTTGTAGCTCGATCCCAGATTTTGATCGTGCCATCTTCTGACCCTGATATAATCCACGGGACATCCATGATGTGAGAGAAGAAAGGACAGAGTTGTACTATATTTTGCTGTTGTGTGATAGTAGGAACTGCATCATGCTGCCTTCGTGGAGACTTATATAGCTAGATTCTCAACTCGACCACCGCGTGACGTGGTGGCAATTCTCTCCGTTTCCATTGAAGGCATCATCTCTCGATTGGTTACCAGTTTGGTTAATGCCCTTCCAAGTAAATAGCTGAATCACGTATGTTGACGTTGTGATATTTCACCATCATGGGGCCCACAGCCCTCAAACCCTGGTTGATCTCGGCGCAGCGTTAATTACAATGAGAATCCAGCGAATTGATGCCCGACACGTTGTTTTCTGTAGTTTTCACATCTGCCGCTGCACATATGACTCCCGCCATGAGGTTGTATTTACATCAAAGCGGAAATCTCGAATTAGCTGAAAGCTGTGCAGTTGTAGATGCTTTCCTCAATGGGCGATTTCAGCCAGCCACGGATAGTAACAAAACGGTAAGCTCTGATTCTGATTGGGTTTCAATGAGGGGTTATTGTCTTCTTCAGCCGCCAAGAGGCGCTCATTGTAAGAGGAGTCGCCAACCACTTTGACGATGCCAGCTGTAATTGAAGTTGAATAGTTGGGGTCTATTCTCCAATTCTACTCTCTTATAATATGTGATCCGAGAAACTCAGTTTCCTCTAATCTGCACACAAATGCCGCTCTCATGTTTTTACTCGCCCTGACTGTAGCATGCATAAAATGTATGGATTCATCGGCGGGGTTGTTATCTGAATACTACCCTACATGTACGAAGGGCTTGAGATAATAAGTCAGTGCAAGCTACAAAGTCTCGAGTATGGGCTCATGTAAAATTGAGGTCAGGTAGCTCTCAATTGTAGAGGAAATGTTGGCGACTATGTTCATAATAATCCTGTTCTTACAGCTAATATACCCAACCGCATACATGAGGTAAATAACACTACGCATTTTGTTTCCGCATATCAACAGATTCAAGGCAACATGTTCATGGACCCAGAGATGATACCTATTAATCGTATTCCAGTGGTCAGCGGCATCACCCCGCACTTTGATCATCAAGGAACATGGAATCTGTTCTTCTCTCTCCAATAATTTGCTCACAAGCCGTCACAACAGTAGCTGCTCTCGCTTCAAGATGCCCTCTGTTCGAGATCCTACATACTTACTTGCGCCAAACTGGACTTACCGCCCGAATGGCCCGATTGCCCTTGGAAACATAATTGTTGATCCGTTTCGCCCTCAGTATGCAGTCTCCAGGCCGACCAAGCCTCTACCCAAGACGGAGACAGCGACGGAGAATAATTGGGTATTCGAGACTGAAAAGATACGGAGTGTGAATGTGAGCATCTGGACTCGCTTATTCAATCAGCTGAGCATCAAACTCGGGCCAAATCGTCAGAAAACAGATACTATCAAAATTGTCATGGAATCTCTAGAAACCACCTACTTTAGAGATGAGCCCTCGATGCAAGACATTCATGAGATTGCCAAAGAGCCAATAGTTCAGAGTGTTCTGAAAGCCGACAGCCTATTTCGAAGCCCAGTTTACATGGTGACTGGCCTGAAAATTGCAAAAGGATTCCAGTTAGTCCACCATGGCTCATCCGGGCGCGGGCTGTCTGCCGAAATATTAGAAAGTGTTGCCCCAGATATGTCTGTTGGTGGCAACGCCAACATTGAGATAACGACAGCAACCTCGAAGGCATTCGAAGCCGCAGATGATGTCGTCTTTGCATATCAGCTGCTAATCATTAAGCCAAAAGGCTGGGGTTCGAATACAACTTTCAAGCTGGATGATTATCGCCACAAGGCAGCCATGCTCGTTGATAGTAACAATGACGAAGAAGGAGAAGAAGAAATTGAGATTGAATATGGTGGCGCAACAGTCGATGATGTGGTCATAATTCAAGAAGGCATTACTGAGGTTAACCCTGACCAAACCCAACAAGTATGGCTCTTCCAGGACGAATGAAGATCGCTTGCTACTATTTATTCGGTGCCAAAGGAACAGAGAGAATTGTGCAATTCTATAGTCGCGCAGCATGTTAAAGTTGAGCTTAATAAACCTGCCGCCCCAACATGACATGCCGCTCTAGTTTGGACAAAGCATGCTTAATGGTTGCTAATCTCTCCTCCTCCTTTCCTTTAAAAAAGAGCCAAGGCGCAACGTATCGTCGGCGACCGAATAAAATTTACAAATATTTATTCATAACACCAACGACCATCTTGTGTGTCTTTGTTCCCTTTGGTGCATCTGTTGGCACAAAAACGTATATAATCTCTCATCACTGTCACTTGCCCTCAGGGTCGACAAGTACGACATTATGATCAATTTGTTGTAGTAAAGTGTTACAGTGAGTTCGAATTTTCGCAGTTCTGCGGTCTCCTCGTATCTGTAGCAGGCTAAAGGCGACTGGGCACTGAGACTAAGTTGCCTTGTATATTTCCTCTTTCAACGCCTGTCATTCCACCCGGTGGAATAAAGATAATGTCAATGATCGGTAGTGGGCAGGAAATAAAGACGTGATACTTTAACGCATGCTTTTCAATAGTATTCTATGACAAAGTAATACCACTATCGAGGTATCTAGAGATCAGATTATCACTGGATTTTGTTTCTCATAGTGCATAATAAAGAGCTAGCACCTGTTGCTGTCAAATATACCGTTCTTTAGCGCACTCTCGAAATGCCCAAGGTCTTAGGTGCACCTTCATTTTCTTCATGCAACTCAGTAGCATAGGGCACGAAGACAGGTAATATTTGAACATATAATCCTAAATATAAGGAACTAGATGGTCAGAGAGGAGCGGTGATAATAAATATCGCCGTCATTTGTTGATTCTGTTGTCTCAGGGTTCGCGTAGCACAAATTTTTATCTCACTTTGAAGAATAGAAAAATAAAACATGGGCATCAATTCTTTCGGCTACAGTGCAGCGAAATATTATTTTATTGTTGGCGAACCTAGCGAACTTTGATGGTAGAAAATATCTCGTACCTACATATGTACAAACACATATCTCCCCGGAGGAGTGATGAAGAGGATCTTCTGGGAAGAGAGAAGAAGCATGCAAGTCGTACACCATTTTTTTGGTGCAAAAGGCTTCGCAACTATTATACAGAGCCGCAAATACTTAGATGGCTAGGTATCAATTACTATCTGTCTGCGATTGACTAACAACGTTTCTGCTGCTGTCAAACGCAACCTTGGTAATATCCCACTGTTTCGCTGCTCCATCTTATCGTCGTGAGGTTAACCCGGAATCCCACAATCCACATGGGTTGGCGATGATTTATCTCCTCGCTCACTCGCTAGGCAGGTCCGAATTCGTCCCCATCTCCCGAGTGACTAAATAGACACATAGGCCAACATCTTGCTGAACACCGAAAACAAACTATTATTCGGGCTGATCGGACAGATATGCCGAGGATGATGGCACTAACGAGGGCTTCCACTGAGTCAATCCACTTCACGACAAGGATTCTCACCCTTGTGCTGTAAGCGCTACGCGTCTGCCCCGCCTCCGTCTTTACGGCTTGACGGGACCATCTCGCCATCCTGGGCGAGATAGGCATCTTGTGAGAAGACAAGATGTTTTCTTTGTCGGGTCTACGGAGTAATTGAGTCGTGGGGGTGCAATATCAGACTTGATGAGGTTTGCAATTGTAGAGAAGCGCCTCATGGTTAGTGGTTGAAGACGGAGCCGCCGTTGGATCACATGGCGCTCAAAACAAGTCTCGACATTATCCAGATAACGGTTTTACAACCAAATCGGTGGGGAATTAATTTTAATTTCTATATAACTGTAGCTGCAAAAGACGAAATTCAGAAACTCATACTAAGTTTCCTTCACTCTTGCGTTGAGCTATCCCTGCTTTCAGCGTCGTCAGATTCCTCAGCCGTCTGTCTTGTCACAGCGGTCTTCACTGATACCTGGATACGCCCAGGTGGTGCGACTGCTCGCTCAATATCTCCATCGTTTCTAATCTCAATATGAACAGAGCTCCCTTCATGATGCTTGGGTTTCTGTTCTGCGGGTGTGATGAAGCTTAGTCTCTGAATGGCACCCAAGTTTTGGGATTTTGCGATTTTCGCAGTGAGCTCTGCCATGTTCATTTCGATGGAGAGCTTCAGGAGGTATGCAACTGGATGGAATTGCAGATAGCTGGAGATTGTTAGCTATTAATAGATCATGGAGCTGACCATAATGACATACCTGAGATTGTTTGGTAACGACATCAGACCAATCAAAGACACCTGTTTAGTGTTGCGCATGAGCTGCTGAACTTGTGTGTATGATTCTAACCAGATCAAGTACTTACATCAAGGCATATAGAAAAACAGACCAAGACCAAATTGAGCCGATAGAGAGGTATGTACTTGGACAGTCCACTCTTGATCAAGCGAGACCGGACCAGGTACATGAAACGAACATTTAGAGACAAGTCAATGATGCAAAAGATTACCTTTTCCACCCTGTCCCATATATCGTTTATGCGGATCCAACGTGGTGAAAGCTGGAGATGGGCTGGAGTCCAAATCACCATCACACTGATGTTGACTAGGAGTAACACGAGGAAGACGCCCCATTTAAGGCTTCGTGCAGCTCCAGGTACAGCCATTAAAAATGCAATGCGATTTATGATGATTTGCATTAGCAGCTGAATCTGGAGAGACCAGCAGCAAGCTGTTGATGGGCAAATGGTCAGTATCTGACAGACCGAGAAGAGATAATCTAAGTGAAGCCATACATATGAGGAAGAATAATTGGAAACTATCAAACCACCATTAGAACTCTCTCTCTCTGCATTGAAGAGCTTTGATGGTGGCAAAATAAGATTTCGTAGCATATACGTACCTAGGACCAACATATTCGCGCTGGAAACACCATGTAAGAGCCCCAATGATGATACTTGCTATCCACTCGCCCCAAATCAAGGCAACATAAGTGGTTATCCTATGCTTCCGCTTCCAAGAATGGTAAGATTGCCGTCCTGCCTGCACTGCCGCAAAGATGGCAATTCCTAGGGATAGTCCCCAGAAAACGCTGGATATGTTCATGTCCTTGTCATCGGGAGTCTCGGAGACGTAGTTGTCTGGGACGAGAAATCCGTGATGCACCATCTTGTTATCGTAAGAGAGCCGTGTCAACGCTCCCACCAAGCTGTGTGTATAGAAAGAGAGCAGGACTGAGCAACACATTCATGGCCAAAGAAAAGCAGAAGTCGAACGAAGTCAGCATACAGCCAGGAGGGCGGGGGAGTTTATGGGGTAACTGCCCGCCTTCCAGAAGGTCATCAGAAGGACATGCTAAGCTTCTTCACTTGAACGGTCTAAATCCTCTAGTTTCTAGCTTGAAGCCACAAGAGACAAGGACTGGCTCAGCATTACGGGGCTCAACCTGGCCAGCAAATCACTATCGAAGCTGGCTCTGAGCCAGACAAATAGCTGCAGTGCTAGCTGGGCTGCTATTTTAGTAGAGGTAAGCGTTGAGCAATCCCCAGACCCCACAATCTCTGTCTCCATGTGTTGAGTGCCACCCCACGTTTATTTTCTCCAAGTCTAGCCGTCCGCCACGTGGGAAGCTGGAATTGGGGTCGGGTTGATCCAACGAAGTTGTTGGTTATCCGGTATGGAAGGTAAATGTGGTGGTATATTGGTGTTGAAGAAGTTCAAAGGCTTTGAGAATTGCCACTTACATGTGCATACTCGCCGCTTGGTGTTGACGTCGAAGGCCTTGCTGAAATTATCTAAGCACACTGCAACTCGTCGTAGTGAAACAAGTTTCCATAGACGTTTCTGAAGCGGGACTCTGCAGGTTATAGTCTATCTCCTCCCGGTTCATGCAGAAACCGCTCACTCCACCCTCGGGTTGACCGGGGCGACCCCCGATACAGTTTGGCGACGATGGGCAAATAGCCAGAATGGCTGCAAGTAACTATTTGATGATAGTATTATGTACATCGGGCAATGGGTAGCGAACCTACCGAGCGTGCATGAAGCTTGGATCATTTGAACGAAGAGTTAGTATCGTCAATCCACCCGGATGCCGTCTTCGGTGAATGAATGTTCTATCTAGGCTAGTTTCGTTAGACGAGCACACATTGACTTGTAGGAATAAACATATATATCTCGTTGTATCCTCAGTATTAGAAAGCTATCGAACAGAATGCTTCTTTTTACCACTTTGAACCAAGCACCAAACCACAATTCTCACCACCATGTCTTCTAAGCATTTCGTCAACGATCCAACCAAGCTGGTCAACGACGCTCTTCTTGGCATCACCCTTGCAAACCCCGCCGTCGCCCTCGATACTGACAACAAGACCATCTATCGCCGCCTAAATCTCAATGGAAGCAGTCAAGTCTCCCTTCTCAGCGGCGGCGGTTCTGGCCACGAGCCCTCCTTTGCTGCATTCGTGGGAAACGGTCTCTTGAGCGCGGCCGTCGCTGGCACCATCTTTGCGTCACCCAACACTGAACAAGTTCGCAGGGCAATCATGGGTCTTGTTGATTCAACCCGAGGCGTCCTAGTCATTGTCATGAACTACACAGGTGACGTTCTCAACTTTGGCGTGGCTGTAGAGCAAGCCAAGTCTGCGGGTCTCGACGTCGAAATGCTGGTAGTTGCTGACGATGTCGGCGTTGGTCGTCAGAGAGCCGGCAAAGTAGGCCGTCGAGGAATTGCCGGAACTGTGCTCGTTCAAAAAATCGCTGGTGCTCTCGCAGCACAGGGCGCTGACCTGGCAGAGGTGCACAGGATCGGCAGATTGGCAGCTGATAATCTGGTCAGCGTTGGTGCTAGCCTGGAACATGTGCATGTTCCAGGCCATGCTGCCCATGGGGACGACGGACTTCAACTTGGTGAAGTTGAGCTGGGAATGGGAATCCACAACGAGCCTGGGTCCGGCAGACGCACAGCTGATTTGCCTGAACTCGTGGCTGCAATGCTAGCACAACTGTTGGATGAGAATGACAAAGACAGGGCGTTTCTCAGTATCAAGTCTTCAGATGAGGTAGTGCTTCTTGTTAACAATCTTGGCGGTGTTAGTGTTCTCGAGATGGGAGCCATCACCACGGAGGTTGTAACACAGCTCAAGGGGCAATACGATATCCGCCCCGTACGAGTCTTGAGCGGCACCTACATGACCAGTCTTAATGGATTGGGATTCAGCATTTCACTTCTCAAGGTGGTCGACACAGGCATCTATGGGTCTGCTATGGTCCAGTTGCTTGACGCTCCTTCAGAGGCTACAGGTTGGTTTGCTCCCATCTCTACACAGACATGGGAAGCGAAGGTCCAGTCAACTCGAGAGTACAAGGAGGCGCCTGTGAGAACAGTCCAAGCAACCGGGCTCAAGCTCAACCCTACAGCTGCGAAATCGGCACTCGTGAGGGCCCTGGAGCGGGTGGTCGCATCAGAGCCGGAAATTACAAAGTACGACCAAGTTGTGGGTGACGGAGACTGTGGGTTCGGCTTGAAGCGCGGTGCGGAAGGTGAGTGAACTTTTCCGACGCTCCATTTGGTAACCGTTTCAATCTGACATGCATAATCTTCTAGCTATTCTTACATTTCTCTCACGGAGAGAATTCTCCGGCGACGCTGTGATCGATGCAGCGGATATTGTGCCTCTTGTGGAAAAGACAATGGATGGTACATCCGGGGCTCTGTATGCCATCTTCTTAAATGCTCTGGTCCGATCTCTCGCCGCTGCTCCGCCAGGCGAAGCCACGCCACAAGTGTGGGCCAGGGCATTAGAACAGAGCTCTGCAGCCATGTCAAAGTATACAAGTGCCAGGCCTGGTGATAGAACGCTCGTTGACGCTCTATATCCTTTCATTGAAATGCTAGGAAAGACTGGAGATGTAAAGAAGGCTGCAGAGGCTGCAAGCATCGGCGCAGAGAAGACCAAGGGTATGAAAGCTAGTCTCGGCCGGACAGTCTACGTAGGAGGTACCGGGTTTCAGGAATGTCCTGACCCAGGCGCTTGGGGTTTGCGAGCCTTCTTTCTTGGACTTGCTGGAGCTTAGTCTATCAACTCTGCATCATAGCCTCTGTACGTAATAAGCGTAATGTCACTAGATTTGGTTATCAAGCTATGAGTAAAATAGATGTTTATCAAGATACGCAGTGCATATGCAGCCATCCGGGTTGAAACTAGGGTGTTATCTACTCACATGCTACAAATGAATACACCTACAATTAGCAGGGCAAATTAGGTACTGTAGTGTGACGTGTAACAGCCAACGGTTGGGCACTTCTAGACCGTATCCGTCGCGTTCTCAACGGCGAAGCTCTTGTTACACAAGTCAACGACAGCCTGTTTTCATTTATATTCTGCATACTCTGAAGTCGGCAGCCTCTTTTTCCGGCGGTAGTCCAATGCTGTGAAAGAAGGCAATAAGTCTCCGAATATGCATGAAAAAGGGGGCCAGACATGGCAACTGGCCGGTCCATTGTCAATAATCGCCTGTAGAAGTCTGGTACTTCGGCTTGGAGTCCGAGGCACCCTTCGGAGCTGCATATGACTTAGATTAGGGTGGCTTACATGGCGAAGCCTCGTATTCAGCTTCCAGCAAGCATCACCTCGGCCTCAGCTCCGAGAACAGCGAGGCAGAAATATCCAGGCTAGTCAGGCCATGGACATGAAAGCCAGTGCGTTGATACTTTCCAGGAGGGGATATCACGCAGTCTCTGGTTCATTAAGATTCTATGGCGTAATGTATTTAGGCGTAATATTGAGCGGAATGGTGCATAGATTAAAAACCCCTTGCATCGTGGCTTGAATGTGCAGTTGATTAACTGCGCTAGTGCAAGCAAACAGTGCTGAATGATTCAAACTATTGGATTCCAGGGCCCTACGTGCCGCTTCTCAGCCAATATGGCTGTCTGGTGCCTCTTTCACACATGATACGTCTCATGGCAGACAAAAGACTTGTCACTCTAGAGCGTGGCCGAGACTGAGGCTGAACGCACACTGCGCACGCCACTCTTACCGAGCTATACTCTATATTATATCTCCACAATGGGCAACATTAGACGAGTTTGAAGTTGAGTAGGCCAGAAATGGGGCCCCGTGTTTCCCCAGATTTTGCCCAAGTTGCAAAGCGGGTTGCTTGGAGCGAAAGCCATGTTCAGTGTAGTTTTTCAGTATATATGCCTCTACAGCCTGTTGATCGTACATTTCAACAATTCCACAACCAACCGGATAAATAACACGCATTGTTTTCTCTTCTACAACTTAGTAGCGTATAAGAGCTTTTTACACCGGCTCAAAGCCGTCCAATGTCCGTCGATATGAGCCATATTGAGCACATCCATGTTGTGGAAGACGATCTGAAGAATCGTCAGGAGAAATCATCTCTCTCTCAGGACGGCATTTCAAAGGATCAACATGTTATAACGAACATCACTGTGTCCGAAGAACCTACTACTGCTTGGTTCAAGTTTCGAAAAGCCATGCGTGAGCCATTCTCCGAGTTCTTTGGCGTCATGATCCTTGTCCTATTTGGCGACGGATCTGTCGCCCAAGTGGTGTTGGGAAAAGGCGCCAAGGGAGACTGGAACAATATTAACTGGGGATGGGCGTACGTTTAACCCCATAGTCTTACACAGACTGTTGCTGACAAGATGAAAAGACTAGGGGTCATGCTTGGTGTTTACTGCGCCGGCGTATCAGGTGCACACTTGAATCCTGCCGTTACTCTCGCCAATTGCATCTTCCGCAAGTTTCCATGGAAGAAGCTTCCAGTTTATGCTCTTGCCCAACTTCTCGGAGCCATGGCTGCATCCCTTATTGTTTACGGAAACTACAAATCCGCGATCGACGTGTTCGAGGGTGGACAAGGTATACGGACTGTTGGCCTTGATACGTCTACGGCAGGCATCTTTTCCACATACCCAGCTCCATTCTTGACCAAGACGGGGCAATTTTTTGACGAGTTTATTGGAAGCTCCATTCTGATGTTCTGTCTCTATGCTCTACTAGACGACGGAAACATTGGTGCAGGAAATCTGACGCCGCTTGGCCTGTTCTTTGTCATCTACGGGATTGGATCTTGCTTCGGCTCCAACACTGGCTATGCAATCAACCCTGCTAGAGATTTGGGCCCTCGGATTATGTCTCATGCAGTTGGTTATGGACACCAGGTTTGGACGGCCGGAGACTATTACTTCTGGGTATGTAGATTTCCACCCTCGCGTTTGACCAAGTTACTGACAGCGGATGATAGGTTCCCATCATCGCGCCATTCTTGGGCTGCACTTTCGGCGGCTTCCTTTACGATACTTTTATCTATACCGGTGACAGCCCCATCAACGCCCCGTATATGGGCTTTACGAGATTCATGGGTGTTCGTGCCAAAACGAGAAGACCAACGATGGTGTGAGATCGCCAGCACACCAACTCGGGCGATTTGGATACATGACAAGTCTAGACAATTGCCTTCATCTAGTACAGGGATGAGCGGGAGCTTTCTTCCCAGCTCCTCTTTTCATTTCCATTAATTCTACTCTCCCCTTGCTTAAATATCGTGTGCCAAGAACGTGATGTACAATTTGTAGAGCGAGCCTGGGACCACTCCTCATGGCGTGCATGTATTCCGTACCAAATCACGCAATGATCAACGTTTCAAACAACATCCAATCAATATGTAACACAATAGTTGGAGCAAGGTTTCCAGACGAGTTCCTCCCATGGATGATGATGAATGCTCTACTCCGTAGTGAAGACGGGGTTCGAGGTGGGTTCTGACAACTTACACGCTTGATCAACGCTATGAGTCTGCAGTTGCAAGCACTACTGTGGCATGCGCACGCCTTCATGCTATACTAGACGCATCGTAACAGCAAACCTTGGGCTCCTTTGCTCATCAGTCCATGCAAGCTATACGCAATATCCACCTTGCCAACGTGAGTTCCCCGAGATTAATTGGATCGAGGTAGACCTTCCATGAAGGGCTTCGTTCTAGCTGCATTCTAGCCTCATTCCATGGGTGGATGGCGTCCAAGGATGGGGAACTCGGGAACTCCGTAGCGCTTATCGCCCGCCAACCAACTCTTAGGATCGAGATCAAATACAAACCTCTACTTGTAATGGAGTGCTATCGCATGGCTTCTTGGACGGTTTCAGGCCCCTTCAAGCTCCGAAGATCTCCATTCGTCAGCTGATGAGGTAAAGTGAACGTGCCCATCCTCCCAGCAAAAACGCCAGGTTCAGCGATGTTGAGTTTAGCACCGTTTAGCTCATGCTGTAGACCCGGGCACCGCGGGATAACCACGTGGTATCCGGATTTGATTGAGGCTTGGGAATCTTCAAAGATGGATGGTGATTGGTCCTAGAGTCGACAGGCCCCGGGGAATATGACTCGAGACACAGTCTTATTGTTACGATGAATGCAACTCCTCTCCTGTGGCGTCCACATCGAGGCCCATGAAGCCCCGCAAACTTCCTGCGGGGGTGAGGGAGCATGCTCTTTAGCTTCTTCTAGAAGGATTCCTGATTGGGGTAGGGGTGGTGATGCGTCTGAGCGGATCTCTCGCAGCTGAGTGATACTCCGTCTTGAGGAGAGGGGCAGAAGACTGTTGCCATAATAACTCCAGGCGTCTCAGTACATCGAAGCAATTAGGAACACTTTGAACGCAACAATGGCCCCTGGAGCTTTGAGTGTCGACGATACCCCAATGGAGGTGTCATCAGACCATGAAAGAAGAGAGGAACCCATCTCTAAAGCCTCGTAGGTTTATGGCCCTGTCAAATGAGTAGAGGCGAGCTGAAGCTGACTGACATGCCCAAAGATGTGAGATGTGTAGGCGGCGAAAGGTCAAATGCGACCGAATGAGGCCAGCTTGCAGTTGGTGTGTGCGCAATGGTCGCGTATGTGTCTACAAAGAGAAGCGTAAGGCTGTCGAGGAGAGCGAGAGAAACGACCAGTTTGAGGTTCGACTTGGTCGCCTTGATGCTCTGGTGCAAGGCCTGAGACAACGCGTTGACAGTCATATTTCGCAACATGATTCTCACATGACCAAGAGTCCACCAACCCATCATGGCAGACATCAAAGTTGGCATGCTACTGCATCTCCCGAGTCCACACGCTCAGATGTGCTATCTGAAGGCGCTCGATCTCCCACCGTCATCCTTGGTCGACCGGTTAATATCACAGGCGGTGTGAAATTACCGCGAAGCTTCGACACAAACATAAAGACAGTGTATGAACAAGAGATTATTCTGTCGACAGATCCAGACCTTCCTCCAAGCGACTTACTATATGTTCTGGTAGATCTCTTTTTCAAACACATCAATACATGGTTTCCTCTACTTGACCGCAAAGCCACCTTTGGAACATATTTTGGCTCTACCTCTGTCTCACGAGGCGATCGGGTGGTGTTGTTTGCTATAATCGTAACTACACTGCGATTCGCTACAGACACACGCCTGACGCCAAATGCAAAGAAAAAGCTTCATAATGACTGCAGGCACAAGATAGAGCTGTACGCATTAGAGAATGTCAATCTCTTTTCGCTTAAAGCTCTCACCCTCCTCTCATTAGATGTTCTGGGGACTTCCAACGAACTGCAGGGACAGAGCCTTTTGTCTCTCCTTGTGCAGAACATTACTCATCTTGGCCTCTGCATGGAGAAAAACGTCTACCTTGCCTGTCCAATGTTTCCAGGGGAGGCTTTGCCTCGCAGGGTTGCACTTCCAGAGCCTGATTCCTGGATTGAAGATGAAGGGCGACGCAGGCTCTGCTGGATGGTGTATGTGTTGGATAGATACGCAACCCTGGCAACACCATACAAGTTTACACTGGCGGAAGAGGAGATGAAACGGTTTCTGCCTTGTCGATACGACTTGTGGTCGAGTAACGTTCCAGTGGAAACAAGATGGCCAAAGGGCCTTGACACGACAAAGTTGAGACTAATAATTAACTCGCCAGAAAACCTCGGCAGCTTTTCTTACCACTGCGAAGTCCTCGGGATTCTGAGCCGTGCTCACAATTTTCTAGCGAAGCCACTGGATATATACTCAATTCAGGATGTGCGGAGCTGGCAGAGCACTTTTGTCGCTCTAGAGGGCGAACTGTCCACCTGGCTTCGTGACTTGCCTGCAGAATACGGTCAGATATCGGTATTGTGTCATTCTGACCCTGGGGCTAGAATTATCAATTGGATCATGCTGCATGCCGCATTCGTGGTATCGACCATTCGGCTCAACTCTGCAGCAGCGTATCCCGTGGTCCAAAACGCCGTGTTTATACCTTCTTACAGCGCCATGCAGACTTGTCTCTCGGCAGCGGAAAGCCTCAGAAGCATCGCCCAAGACGTAATCGAGACCAGTGGCCTGTCTCTATTGGGGCCACACTTCGCCTTCTCACTCTGGACGTCGGCCCGGCTTCTTCTGGTACACGCTGCGACTATGGGATGCGAAATCGACTCCAACGTTGATTTCTTTGTGGGCACCTTGGCCGAGATGGGCCGATACTGGGAGGTCGCTGCAAATTACTCGGCGATCCTGGGCCGAGTGACCGAGGAGGGGCGACAAGGAGACAAAACCCTTGCAGAGATGAGGCAGTGAGTTTGACTGGATCAGTTGATTGAGGGGCTGCCGAAGCTAACACTATCCCGACAGACACGCCCATGAGCTCTCAATGCTTTCCAGTTCAACGAGACAAAGTGCCTTGGAACCTACTTCGACTCGGATATCTTCTGCAAATGAGCTAGATTACCTAGAGATTTTTGACTTCTTCAACTACCCTCGATCGGTTGACCATGGCTCTACTGATCCGTACGAAATACAACAGCATCTATTAGATTATGATTCTGGACCCGCTTCACTTGGTATGGGTTTTGAGATGCCGAGTGTAGAATCGGATTGGTTGCAGTATGAGACCCGTTAGCCGCCGATGGTATTACTACGAATCGCCTTCTACTTCTTTCCCTTTCTATGGTAGTTCTTTTGTCTTTTAGAGAATAGAATTTTAGAAGCCTAAACAAATGGAATTATTTCGTTGACAATTTTATTCTCTAGGAGATGGATTGAACCGTCTGCAATGTCACTATACCATCCCTGTAGCAAATACAAAGGATTTCCACGGGATTATTCACGGAGAAAGACTGAATCAAGACATCGGGATGATTTGTGCCTCTATATTCTGCTATTCCCAGAGGAGGATGATAGGGTACAACCACTTTCTGTGGCTATTATATGCTCTGCGAAAAGTGGCTAAAGTGAACTTATCCTGGGCATTCTCAAATGAACACCTTGTTTCCGCACTTGCGCTCAGCCAGACTATCACCGCATTAGCCGAATATCTTCGAAATATTAAACTAATCTCACACGGACGGAGTAGTAACGAGGAAGATGGATCGCTGGCGCTTGATCTCATTGCTTACCATTACAGATTTAACACTTGGCAAAAAGTTCTTGCAGACTCAGCGGATATTAAGATAAAAGCGAAGCCAGTTGTATAATAGAGCTTATATCGTCGTCGAAGCTCAGCGTTGTCACAAGAAAAGCACCCCTTCCACCCCTTTCACAGGAGGATAAGGCATACTTCTGATGTTTCAAAACTTGAACTCGAGATCCAGGTAGAACCAACACAACAGCTTGATGACTAGGGCATGATATGATCTTGTGATACGGCATATTAGATGCAAGGAGAGCTCTTGCATTAGCGAGCTTCACCTACCCCCACGTAACTAACTCTTGGCCCCTTGGAGAAGCCCGCGACTCCACCTTAGCCCTACCGGTAGGTGATAAATTCCCCTTGAATAGGGGCAGGTTGTTTCAATTGGCCGGAAACGCAACTTTGATCCTCGACACTTCAACACGCGTAGAACCTTTGTTCCGCATTTTATTCTCATTGCCGAACATTGGCGGTCTTTACAGCGAGTCACCCTTCGGAGTCTTAGTAAGATTTCAAACTGGTGGCCTTGTTGTCTGATGAAACGGGCGTTCTAAGCGGAGAATGTGGAGAAGCTTATTCCGGGCATGAGAGTTTCCGTCATGCAGCCAATGATCAGAACTCGCCGTTGGATAATAATTTGTCTTGTTTCATCGGCTGGTTTAAAAAAGAGGTTATCCCGCCACTCTGGCTTTGCCTGAGCTCTTGAAAATCGTCAAAGCTGCGATCTGGTGAAGAGAGTGCAGTAGTTGAGATTACGCTGGATACACGCAGGTTAGCCATTGGTGGCTTCACAGCGCTTCACACATTCAAGACCATCAAGGAAGGATAATTACTCCGACCGACCCTCAATCATTGCGCAAGCTACAATCGCAGCGTAACAGTGTATTTTTGGCCCCTTTTTCGATATGCCGGTGCCAGTCGGTACTTTGGGAAAATTCCCGAGGCTAGGATTCCTCGAGAACATGGAGATGGTCCGATTGGCGAGCAATGGCGATTCCGATGATACTCACCAGTTCATGAGCCGCCAACCAGCTTGGCAACCAGGAGCACAGCTACCTTGGGCGGAAACCGATAATATTGCGAAACACAAGACTGCGGTTTACTTTACGACGAGAGCATATGGAGGACATGTCTACATTCAGGCGCCACTCGCCGCCACTAAAGTTGTAGAGAGCGAAGACGAAATTGCCAAAGAGGAACGAAATAAGGGCAAATTCGGTATCCACGTGAGTCTACTTATTCTTTGCGTCGTTGAAACGATGGGGTCCTAAAATATGTTAATGGAAATCAGACAATACAAGGCGTGTTTACGAATGTGGGACATGTAGACCGGCCTTTCATCTACCAGGTTTCGAAACTTGCCGCTGGCCGTAGCTTTCAAACCCATCTCATCATTGCTCGCCAGCCAAAACAGCCTTCTTCCAATCCCTTGGGTCCTTTCCCAGAGTCAGACTCGGAATTGCCCCTGGGCCCTATATGCTTCAGCTGCCATGTCACATTCAAGCGGCCTGTGCCGAGCTTTGCCGACTTGCAATTGTCATCGGCACAAGAACGCTTCGCCAGCATCCTCGCCCAGAGAAAACCCGACGAATGGCCAACAAGCCCGCAGCTTGACATTGATATACTCAACGACGCATTTCCAAATGCCGGCCATGGCGGGTTTCCCATCGTCGACATGTACAAAGTTGACATGAAAGCGTACAACGCCGACAAACCAATCCCCGAACGTCGTGAACTACTATTATACAAACTCCACAACCCGATTCCCGCAGAAGACACCAACTCCCACATCCTCGTTCACGCATTCGAAGCAGACAGAAACGGACTCCTGACGATAAGCAACCACTTGGGATGGGGCTACAATCTGGGCGTCGCCGCGAGTCTAACCTACACATTCACCGTGCACGTCAACTCCGAGGAGGCCGTAATAAGAGACGGGTGGTGGATCCAAGAAGTATGCTGGCCGCGAGTCGGCGCCGGGAGAGCAACACTGGAGAGCAGAATCTGGAGCCCGGAGGGGAAACACGTCGCCAGCGGGTATCAAGATGGAATTGCTGGACCGGATCAGAAGCGCGGAGCCGAGAAGTTGTAGGTTGGGATTGGCGACGAGATTGATGCTTGTTTAATGTTTAATGCAACTGAGATGTAGCTCTTCACCGATTCTCCATAGAATCAGAACCTACTGCCACCCAATGACTATTGTTACACTGCTCCAATACTTTCCATCTTACGATTTCAGCCCTCCCAAACCCCTTCTACCTAACACACCATCCCACCGCCGCCTCAACAAGCATCTTCGCATAAACCCGATGCAACACACCCGACACGCCCCCAAACGGATCTTCTCTCGGCGTCGTCGTCACCGCGTCAAACGTTATAGCTTTGATTCTAAACTCTGCCTGCCTACGCTTCTCGTTTAATTCTGCCGTCAACGAGAACAAGTTATCCAGGTATCGTGGTGTAAAGGGAGATTCCTTGGGTGCAGGGCAGCCGCGAAATGTTATCGACGTTGAGGATTTGTCGAGAACGAGCAAGTGGTTTGTCGCAACTGTTCCTGTTTCTGCTTAATTAGCCAGCTGACATGTATGTGTGTGTGGGATGAGAAGAGAGATTTGGACGAACCAGGTTCATATGCGCTTCGTCCCAACTCATCAGGAGTCCACAAATCGGTACGGTTCTCAGGACCCTTTGTCAATCCCATTATCCTCCTCTGAATCCCATATCCTACACCAATTCCATCAGTTCTTAAAGCTCTTCTCCATCATCCAGCAGCGAAATACCGTATCCCGCCCACATCCCCCGCGAAAACTCCTCCACAAGAGCACTCCCGCCCTTTCTCGCATCCTCCAACAACTCCGGCTTCAGCTCCCCAAAAGGCACTTTTCGAACACAACAATCATGAGTGCTAGGGTTATTTCGGGGATTCAGATCCTTCAATGTGGCATGTCTGAACAATGCATCTGTATCCGGTCCGAAAGGCTCAAACGCGCATTTCCGAGTCCATAGTGCCAGTCCCCCAAACGTCACGGCCGGACCCCCGACGAGAACTTGGACAAGTCGAAGTAACCGCCTACGAGCTGTTGAAGAAAGAGCCATAACGGACATGATTCAAATCAACTTTGGAAATATATAACAAAGAAGGAAAAAGACAGAGAAAGAATGGCGTCTAAGGAAACGTAAAAGGAATTGGGCATAAATGGCGGCTACTCGGGACCTAGTTCGGGCCGTATTCGTACAGCTTCGTCCGGGTCGGCGATTCCAACCCACTAGATTTCGGAGCTACAGACGTCCGTAAATGTGTGTATTGCCGAATGAGAGACGCGGAATAAGAGCAAATACGAGACATTGGGCATGGAGAGACAATGAAGCCCGTGACTAAAAAGTTATTCCCAAGTGTCGTGCCGAAGACGCCAACGGCAACAAATAACCTCCAAATACACATTCACAAAAACAGAAAGGGAACATACACCACAATCATAGTCAAGTGAAAAGCATCAAGTCAAGGCAACTTGGGAAGAGAGATGGCAATGTCATATAGCTATCGCTGCGAAATAGCCCCCCATTTGGGTATCTCTAAAAGCAAACAAGGATAATAAAGAGCTCCGCTCATCCAACAAAAGACATTGGATGGTTCCCATACTACATGTCCAAAGGCCCGCCAGGCCAATGCCAAAGAAAAAAAGAAACTCTCTCCCTCCTGATACGCATTCTTCTTCACTTCCTCCCATGCCCGCCAGATGCCATATGCCAAGCTAGGATGGTTAAAACGGAGGAGAGCAGAAAATGGGAAATCCAAAAAAAAAAAACTCCGATTCCCTCGACAAGAGTATAAAAAGAAAAAGCAAAGCAATTTTGCCGCCAATGATTCCATCCTCGCCTCTTTCCATACATGTTACAATCACGACATCACGACATCAGCTGATGGACCTCCCGCGACGTCTTTCTCTTCTTGTCCAGCTTCAGCAGCGGAACTTCCACGCCGTCCACCATCCGCCCTACTTTGCCTTCTCTCAACACCTGCCAATGCTTCTTCAGTATCTCTTCTCCCACGACCAGCTCGAACCCAGCCAGGAAGCAGAAGCTAATCTCCAGTCTCGCCAGCTCGACCTCACTCACGCCGCCGACCTTGGCAATCTTTGTATGCGGGTAGGACAGATCCTCGAGTGCCTTCATGGCCACCCGCAGGCCGGCGAGGACCAGTCTGTGTGCGTTTCGTCTCGTTACGGGGATGGCGCGCTCCTCAACGGCGAGGCGGTGGATGTACAGCGAAGTGGCGAGATAGACGGCCGTGCTCATGGGACAAAACTGGTGAAGCCGCAGCAGATACTGGTTGACCGAGATGGGAGGTTCGTTTTTGCTGTAAAACTTGCGGGTGATGGCGCCGTGCTGCAGGTTGAGCGGCTGCGAGTCGGCTCCAACGACGATGTAGGGTTCCGGGGGATGCAGGTTCGGGGCGGACGAGGAAGGGTTCGCGTGTCGCAAGGAGTTGTGTTTCAATCGCACGCCGTCGATCGACTGCGCATAAGCGTCCTGCTGGGCTATCAGCTGTGCTGACATGGACGCGCTGTACGCCTGGAGCTTGCTTAGATTGCCTACCGACGACGAGCCACTCTTTTGGCTGTGTTTCTGCAGCTTCTCTTGTAGTTCCTGCTGCTGGTGTCGCTGCTTTCTAAGCTTCTCTTCTTGCTCCTCTCGCAGGGCCTGGGCTCGTAGTCGCGCCAGGCTCTTCTCCGAGTGCGATCGCGCAATGTTCTCCTTCTCGACCTGCATGTTGCTCATCTGAGGGTCGGTGGGCGTCTTGGGCGGCGGCGTCGGAGGGACATCGCCGGTGATGCGAACCAGTAGCTCGACGCTGGCGCTGAGGAGCTGCAGCGCCTCGGCCGGCTCGAGCCTGAACAAGTCGTGCTCATCGTTGTTGTCGGTTGGCGGCGAGTTTGCGGAGCTTCTGTCTTGGCCGATGGAGAGTCGCGGATCTGACGAAGGGACGGGACGAGGAGGAAGTTCGTGGACGGGACTGGGGTCGAGAGAGGACGAATCTGGCCGCTGCTGCAACTGTATCGCCGCAGTGGCCTCGACTTGCTGAGTCTCGGTCGCAGCGGAGGAAGACATGGCTGCGTGGTTGGCCGTGCCCGTGGATGAGGCTTGTTGGTGGCCCGGCCTCGCCTCGTCTGGCGTCGCGTGCGTGATGCTGGCAGCTGCTGTTGGCTAGCTGTGCTGGTTATTCTATATTCTTATCGATCGTCGAGAGGGAGAGGAGGCGACGTGATTGTGCGCGCGCCAAGGGTGTTGTGTTGATCAGAATCAAAGTCGTCAAAGTCTGGCCTTGAAGCTGCGCGCGTATCGTATCCCCCGTGACCTGCTCTCGTTCGCTGTCGCTCGTGGGTATCGTATTGCAATGTCCGCTTTCGGTTTCAGAGTCGGTTTCGGACTTCGGGATTCGCTCTCGCCGACGATGCGCAAATCAAAGGCCGTCGTTGTCAAGAGACGCAGTCGTGGATGCGCCTGGATCGATTCAAGGCGGCAAGAATCGAGGTGGCGTGGATGTGCTTGGACTGGGCCACTCGCATGATCCCTTGCTGGGGGGAAATCTCTTGAATTTTCGCCTTCTCCTGATTGTCTTCCTGATCTGTTTTTTTCTCTTCTCTTCCCCGTCTCTCAGCCTTCAGGCACGTCAAGTTGGTTGCCGGAAGCGGTTTCTATCGGGAAGCGAGGTCGAGCATGGAATTCCTCCCGCTTTGCATCAAGTGACCTCGTGATCAGCCAAGGTCTGCAGCAGCAGCGCTTAGATCGAAAAAGAAAAAGGAAAAAAAAAGGGACAAATAATAAATGGAAATTAATTAAATCCGGGGGGCCACTTGCGGCTCGAGTGAGTGGACCGAGCGTCCTCGAGGCGCTTGTTGTCTGTCTATCAGATCAAAACAGAACGAGAATAAGACGAGATGAGATGAGCAGACAATCAGATGAATGAATGGCGAGATTGAGAGTTGAGTTGAGGCAAAGTTGATTTAAATGCAATGCTTCGCTGGCGCCTAAATGGGAAGCATCCATTGATCCATGGCTCGCCTGTTGCCTCCCCACGTGTGAAGAAGTAGAGCCGAGAAGGGACCCCTAGCGGCTATTCTATTCTGGCGGTTTGGAGTCAATCTTGGCCCCCCCGGAGAGGTTGAGATGGTGGCGGTCGAGGTTGCCGGATCTCGCCTTTTGATCTTTCATCAATCATCATCTTTTTGATACGGTGTGTTATTGGTACCTTAACTATTCTTAATCTACCTACTGCATACTATATCAACTAAGAGAAGCAACTATCGCATTCCTTGTACTACTACCATCAGCTGCCATCATCTTAAACCGGACTCTTGCATGCATCAAAGACAACTCTCGATCCACACCAACAGCCTCTGACGGCCGATCGATCAGGACCCTTCACTTCAATCCCTTCCCATGTGAAAATAAAAGACCCCTTCTTTTTTTCTGTCTGCCGAGTGACCACTTTCATCACATTATTGCTTGTTCCGTCCAGAAGCTAGACGCCACAAAGGATTTTCCCCCCACTTGAGCTGCCCATCAAAACACAGTTAAAGCTCGAGATGAAGCTGAAGCTGAACCGAACAAAAGATGGAACAATAACAACAGTGCAGTAAAAATTACAGAAAATTATGAGCAAATCGTTGTCAATACCTGTGACTAGCCCCCCAAAAAATAAAAAAAAATAACAGGTCATTTCCCGAGATTCTGCAGCTTATTGCATGCAACTTATTTCCCCTCCACCCACCAACACACACACAAACGGCGCCAATGCAAGATTCAAACTCACAACTCCTGCATCTCGCCCATCCAATGCAAATGCAATCACCTCCTCCTCCGTGGCGTCTGGCCTCAGGCGGTCTAGATCCTCAACAAGCCAGCGAATCTTCATCAGCGGAAAACTACGGAATCCCATCATGGATTATTGTTGGCCCTCTGGTGGGATGATGCTCACATGTTCTGTTCCCGCCCCCATTGGACCCTGCAACCAAAAATTGGGGGACAAAGAACGAAGGGACCAATCAATCGTCGCTCGTTTTTAACCCAAGCAATTTCCCCTATCGGCGGCTCGCGCATGCTGCAGTCAGAATGCGCCGAGATATAAATACCATAATTAAACAAGCGGTAATGGCGCCCTAGAGAAATCGACGTGGCTTAATCGGATTGTTTCGCTGAAGCTGAATGCGGCGTAGATGCAGCGTAACGTGGCGTACCTTGCGTGGGAGAGAGAACAGCAGTTGGCATACGGATACAAACAGATACCTACAAGGGAAGCTGAAGCTGAAGCTGCATAATCCCTTGTACATACATGTACTAGCATCCATCTTGAGGTTGCTAAAAATAACCCTGCAGCATCATTCGTTCTTTGTCTTGATTGCAGTTCAATTCGTTCTACAGTACGTACAAGCGTGCTTCATGTCTAAGATACCTAATGTAACCTTGCCGTGTATTCACCGGACCTCTCTATCCGTCTTCTAATCATCCGCTCATGCAACCCGACGATTAACATCCCGACGCAACCTTGACGTCCACCACCGCTGATTGGCCATTCTGTACATGGGCAATGGCTTCCTTCAGCACTCCCTCCAGCTCAGCCCTCTCATTCACTCTGGCGGCAAAGATGTCGCCGTCAGCAGCAGCCTTGGCAATGCCGGAGTAGTCCGGTGATGGGTCAAAGGAAATGTTAATCTCCTCGTTGGTAGCTTGTGAACCCAGTCCCTCAGGGTGGACCAGCAGCAGAGACCGGCGTGGTGCGTTCCAACCTATACGATGATACAGTCATTAGTTTTAGTTCGTCTCCATCTCGAAGCAAATCATCATGTGTTCGACTTACCCTTGTTGTTGAGCACAATGGTCAGAATGGGGATGTTGTAGCGCTTTGAAATCCAGTACACGCTACCGGGAACCGTAAAGAGATATGTGCCGTCGCCCACGATCTGGACAACAAACTTGCCCTTGTTCTTTCCGCCATTCTCCGCGTCGGTGGCGAGCTTCATTCCCAGAGCACCACCGCCGGACCATCCGAGACCGCCGCCACCGCAGTTGATCCATGAGCCGGGCGTTGAAGGCTGGATGTTGTTGTACACAAAGATGGTGTTGGTCACGGCCTCAATAGCCCAAAGAGTATCCTCGGGAACAAGTTTCTTGACTTGCCTACACAAGTAGCCAGTTCCAAAGCTGTCGTCCGGAAGAGGCTCAGCCGCCTTGGCAATGTTGGCAAGACGCTGCTCGTGCTCTTCCTTGCGCTTCTGAGCAATCTCTGTCACGTTCTGGGACTGCAGCTTCTTCGCAACATCGCCAGCCTTGAGGGCCTCAGTGAGCTGTTCAACTGCAGCCAGGCTGTCCGCGCGATACGTCTCTTGAGCCTCGAGGTAAAAAACGGGCATCTGCTGCTTGAGCGGGTCGAGGTCGATGTGGAATACCTTTGCATCTGGCTTTGGCTTGACATGAGTGGGGATCCAGGGCACGTCAGCATCGAGGACGAGAATGACATCAGCATCAGCAACAGACTTTTCGCCTCCATAGTTGAGACCAAGGGAAGCGGGGTGATCAAAGGGGAAGCACATGTCGCTGCCTCCGCAGTCAACCACTCTCAGGTTGGGAACAATATTGGCGAGCTCGACCAACGCTCCGGGGAATTCATGGTTTCTGCCACCGTATCCCGTCAGGACCAGGGGACGCTTGGCGCCGGCAAGGGCATCTGCGATTGTGGCGACGGCTTGCGTGGGCAGACTACCCAGCTTGACGGGCTCCCAGTCGCTTTGTCTCAGCTGGTAGGGCTTAATCTCCTGCTCCATGATCTCTCGAGCTCCATACAGGTAAACTGGGCCTTGGGGGCCGGACTTGGCCCATTGCAGCGCGCGGTTGACAAGCTGCTTGACGTTGGAGCCCGTCTTGATCTCACCGGTGTAACGGCAGTACTGGGCAACAATCTGTTTCTGGTCGGGAACATCTTGGATCCAGTGGATGTACTCGGTACGGGTGCCACGATGCTCACCCTCAAGGGTGAATGGTGATAGACCAGCAAAGACGAGAACAGGAGCACGACCGCAAGCTGCGTTGTGAACGGCCGCTCCAAGACCTTGTGTGCCAACGTCGACGTGAACAATGACACACTGAGGCTTGCCCGTTAATCGGGCATAGCCATCAGCCATGGACATGGCAACCATCTAAGATATGTCGTAAGCATTTGTACTCGTATGTAACAACTCATGAGAGGCCATATGAGACATATAACATGAGAAGGATAAAAGAAAAAAAGTAGAAGCCCACCTCATTAGGACATGTAATCATCTTGGGAAAGTTTCCCTTGCGTTCGCGAGCACCCTTGACCATGGCCTCGATGATGCTGGGGTGGTCAGAGCCCAAGTTCACAAAGCAGTGCGTGACGCCAGCCTCCCATAGCGCCTCGAAAAAGGCCGAAGAGGCCGTGTACATGTTTTGATAGTCCGGCTTCTCCATGGCGGCGGTGGAAGCGTGTCTGTTGTTGGAGCTCACAATCGCCGTGGAGGGGATTGCTCTTTTATCAATGAGACTGCGCACTCGAGACGATGTGACGCTTGATGAACCCGAGTAATGCCGTAGCCGAGAGGGAGGCTGGCTGTAAGTGCAAGTGTGAGTTTGAGTTGAAGCTACGGCGCCGACAATCGGTGCGGTGGGGCGACTTCTCCAGAGAGCCGGTAGAGACGTCCCGGAACGGTGTAGAAGAGCCATTGCCGCCTCGCTATTGGCGGCTGGTTTTTGGAATTAGTTGAAATGGAGCAGACTAAGAAACAACGGGGATGTGGTATTTGAGATGTTGGCGAGCTATAGACGGTGTAGGAGGATTGGTGGGTTGGACTCGGGGTTGAAAGGAGGGGGAAAGGCTTGTGAGGGGGTTCGGCATCGAAGTTCGGATAGAGATGGCGTCTCCGTTGGAACTGCCATGTATGTACAGTAGCCACGGGTGATGACACAAGGGGCTTTGATAGATCCAAGGGCGTATCAAAGACGGGAATTTGACGCGTTTGACAAGCGGAATCGCGGAAACTTGAACTTACATGTGCAGAAAGAGCAAGGGTGGGTGTGTGGTGTTAGTTGGGCTGGTATAAGGCAAAGGTAGAACGCGGGATGCAGAGTGCCTTGGCGTGGGGAGATTGGGGGTTGTAAGGGAGATTGGAGGAAGATGAAAAGAGAAGATGAAAGAAGAGAGAAAGGAAAGAAAAGTCCCCGGTTGGTTAATGAAGATAGATGTCAATGTTGAAAGATTGTCCAGACGCAGAGAAGATGACAGGAGCACAACATCTCGTGATGCGTATCCGCCAATGGAGGTTATGCAACAACCAACACACAATCCATCTATCCGAAGCTTCTCCAGTGCGCATCCGTACCAAGTTCCCCGTTGGGCAGTTATTTGGAAAACTACCCACCAGCTAACGGATGTCGTTATCTAATCGCTTCTGCTTAGGGCGATTCCGCGTAATGTCCGGTGATGCCCGCCAAAGCCTCGTGATGCCCCCATAGTCGCCTATCTGGGCAATCTGGCGCACTTGTGCCGAGACTGGCCGCCCAGGTGAAACCCCGATTGGCTCATAAAACGGAACAGATTAGATGCCCCTCTCGGCAGCAACGAGGAGGGAAGTTGGAGGAGCTGCAATAACGCGGGGTAGTATGGAGTTGGGAAGAGTCTTAGCTGAGCGGTCCGGCTTGTCTAATACGGGAGTATATTCTGTAATTACTCCAGAAATATTCCGTTTCTGGATTTGCATTCTTTTGATTAGTGGTTTTGAGTGGATGATATAAAGGACAAGGAAGACGGAATCTGTATTTGCATATAATGATAATGATGATGACTATAAAGACACTGTACTATATCGGCAGGCACGGAATGCGGAATAAAGTATTGAAACAAAGTACAAGGTGGCAGGATGGTTAATCCGATTCGTTAATTAGTCCGCCTGTAGCCGCTGTTCCTGCCTGCTGTAACTTCGCCTGTGTCTTGGGCAGGAAACGCAAGTCCGGCACCGGTCGCCCCTGCCCCCACTGCGTCCACGTCGGCGGCCCTCGGGCGGTTGCCCAACGCCTCTCCAGCAGCCGCACCTGCCATTATTCGTGTATCTACTACGGATTAAGGTAGATGTCAACTGCATGTGTCAAATTACTTTAGTAGTTAGGTATATTTTATGGATGAATTATTATTTGGAATTCATATTGGATTAATACTAGGGTAGTAACTTAATTTAAATAAACCCATAACCATACTCGATAGTGCCTAGGGTAGGTATTCTACCGGTAATGATGGCTCGACAATGCAAACATCTTCCAACTCATACATCACGCTGTTCATAACATTTCTAATACGGCAGCTTCAAATGGTTATAGAAAGAATTCATCCTTCGATTGCTCATCAACACCTTGGAGCTAGTAACAATGCTGTTCTAATATATATAGAGACAACACTCAACAATGAGAGAACGATAATCATGCTTGGTATCAATATTTCCACACCCCGACTCCGGTCCAACCCAATCTCCCCTCATGGCAAATCAATACTCTGAGGATTCAGGAAAATGTTGCCAGCATCGTAACGTTGCTTAATCTCCTGCAGCCTCGGCACCTTGTCGCCCCAGTACGTTCTCTGGGCATCTGCTCTGCTCAATGAAACATCAACATATCCAGCATATGTCGTGTTCGCCTCGGGAGCTCCCTGCTGAATCTTTTGATGAACTCCAGACACAAAGTCTCTCGTTCCTTGGAGCAGTGCCGGAATTCCGATGGCGTAAGACTGATACATCATGATTGCATCGCGATGCGGGTAAGCAGTGGCGTTGTATGGGGTGTCTGCCATGGCGCCTCCCTCAGAGTTGAAGATGATGAACCAAAGCAAAGTTTCCGCATCGGTGCTGTCCATGTAGTTGAATAATCCGTCGATGGAGTCGTTGCTCAACTTGTCGTTCCTGTTGAAGGCTAGCGACTTGCTAGCAAAAGGCGTGGAGAGGTCGCTCAGATACAACGCAGTCGTCTCTGCAATGTGAGCCAAGCTTCCCACCCAATCCACAATAGCAAGATTGGCGTCTCCGCCAACGGGGATTTTCTGTTTGATTCCCGTCTGGTCAAATTCCTCTTGCGTACCGTAGAACGTGCCGGTGATGAGAACGCCGAGAGGCTCCGCAATGAACAACGTCGAGAAGCGTCTGTCGAGATTAGGATCGTACACCAACTCCTGCCATTGTTGAAACACAGGGGCCATATCCTTCTGGTTGCCGAAGCTGAAGCTGTAGGTGTACTCGACAACGCTGCCGGGCTCAGGGTGCGTCTTGAAGACAAACTCAGTGACGATGCCAAAGCTGGCTCCGGCACCACGAATGGCCCAAAACAGGTCGTCGTTTTCGTTTTCATTGGCTCGTAATATTTGACCGTCAGCCGTAACGACTTCGACTTCGAGGACATGGTCAAGCGCGGCTCCCCACATTCGGGACATGGGGCCGAGTCCTCCCTGTTCAAGAACCGATCAACACATGGTTCAGTCATCCATGACACCTCAGAGTAGGGATATGGGATACGCGTATTCACTTACCACAGTTGCATGTCCTCCAACTCCAACTCCCGGACAAGTACCATGTGCAATAGCCCTGCCACCGTTTGCATGAAGCAGTTTGTCGAGTCCATCCAGTCTGAATCCCGATCCAACGCTCGCTTGCCAAGTAGTGTTGTCCATTTGGAAGCTCTGAAGATTTACCAAGTCGATCATCATGCCAGTCTCATCGCCGGCACCCTGAGCGAAATTTCTACACGTCACAGGTTAGAGATGATAGCCCGGGGAATTTACTTCACCATCTTCTCCCTCGCTGCTTACCCGTAAGAGTGCCCGCCAGATCTAGCCTGGACCTTGAATCCATTTTCGTTTGCACACTTTACAGCGCCGGCAACCTCGGTGGCATTATTGGGGCGAACGACCATCTGAGGAAATCGAGGAATGTCGAGATTGTACGGTTTGATCCAGGCGACATCCGCACTGCTGCTGGGGATATGGTAGCACTCAAGGCGTCCATTACAGACGCTCTGGATGCACGTCTCGAGAGCAAGAGTCGAATTTGAGGCGCCCATGGTGAGATATTTCTGCTTGTCGGGTTTCCACGACGTGAAAATGGGTGCGCGGTTTTAAGATGGGAAATCGTGGATATATAAACAAACATATCGTTACATGTAATTATCCCGCAGTTTGGAAGGTAGATTGCACCCCTGCAATCCCACACCGCAAATACGAGTCTCGTGCCTTCTTCGCTGCCTTCAATGTTCTTGTACGAGCAATCGCAGCTCAACTGGTATCTCTTTACATTCTGGGAGCTACAAGCGAGTTTGTTTTCCTTGTATTACATCGAGCTATTGGCAAGTATTGATCACAAGGCGAAGCCATGTCTCGCCTCGCGGCGCTTGTCGTCCAAGTGAACGAGCACGCATGGAATGTGTTCCCAAATATTGGCAAATGGGGTTACACCAACCTGAATATTGCCGTCGGTAGATCATCTGGGGATAGCTGCATACAAGCTAGCTGCATACCTAAGCATGAACTGCAGCCCCTTGGGAATAAGACTCTTGTTTCACTATTCCCCAACGATGTCACCTAACACGCAACTCCATGCCTGGAAACGTTCAAGTTGGGATTTTGACATTTCGAATAAGCTTAAATTCTACCAGCATCGGTCCAAGTTGGGGGTCATTCCCATTTTCATGTGAAAGTTTACAAACATTCTCTCAGCTCATGGGTCATCATTGAACGAACATTGACTCCATTTGCCCCAACTTAATATGCTACCATAGTGCTGAGCCCATCAATCTCGCGCTCCCAGCAACGATGGACGCTAATCGCATACACAAACTTATCCAAGAATCCCTTTGCATTCTTCGCAGCGGACACCAACTCACCCAATCGTTCGGGATGCACGCTCTTGAGTGTAACCACGCCGTAGCTCTCCACAGCTTCGTTATCACTCGAAGTCACCACCGTTGGCAACTGGAGTGCCTTTTCAACCAACAAAACACCTTCTCCAGTAGCCCCAATAGCCTTGAGATGACCAAACGCTTCACGGATGTAATGTAACGCTCGGCCATTCTTGGAAAGCGTCTCAATAGCTTGCTTTCCTCCCGGCACAAACAGAGCGTCAAACATGGTGCTGCGCTGGCCTTCCAGGTGATGATCTGGAACAATGCCCTTGCCAGATTGGCTTTCTCCATCTACAAACGTCTCAGATCGATGCGTACCAATCACAAGTGGGATGGCTTTGGCTCCCTGGATTGCTCCATAGATGGCATTGAAGGCAATCGGATCATATCCATCGGCCACGATAATGCCGATTCGCCTAGAAGCAATGATCGGTTCATCTGGAAGATACTCCATTTGGCTGAGACCCTTGGCCTTCTTCCCGTGATTCGCCTGTCCTGCCTTGTCGGGCACTGCCCCTCCCACCATCTTACCGACGGATTGCGCGAGGCCGAGATCAATGTCGGCGAGCCGTTTCACAAGTCTCTCATACACGATCGGCTCGTCGCAATGATCGAGCTCAAATGAAAATGCCGCCAACATGTGCGACTTTTCAATTTCGGAAAGGGAGTTAAAGAAGAGCTGCGCTTGAGAGAAATGATCCTTGAATTTGGCGCTCTTTGCTCGCTCCTTGATGCCGACAACTCTCTCCGGGTAGTCGACATAGCCGCCCTCTTCTTTGGTCGCAGGTGGCTGTGCTTCGAACCGGTTGGGCCAGTAGTTGACCTTGCCCTTGGAGATGGTGTGTCGCATGGCGCCGTCACGGTTGAAGTTCATGACGGGACAGACAGGCTTGTTGATGGGCAATTCTTGCCAATTGGTACCCAGGCGGCTCAACTGAGTATCGGTGTAGGAAAAGTTACGGCCCTGAAGAAGCGGATCATCTGAGAAGCCAATTCCGGGGACGACGTGGCTGGTGCAAAATGCAACCTGCTCGGTCTGAGTGAAGAATTCATCCACGTTTTTGTTCAGTTCGAGCTCGCCGATGTAGCGAATGGGGACCAAGTCCTCCGGCCACACTTTTGTGGCGTCGAGAATGTCAAAGTCAAAGTCGTCTTCATTTGATTCATCAATTACTTGTATGCCAAACTTCCACTTGGGGTACACTCCGTTGTCGATGGCTTCCATAAGGTCCTTTCGGTGGAAATCGGGATCTTGGCCGGCAAGCTTGAGTGCCTCATCCCACACAAGAGAATGCACTCCGAGCTCTGGAGTGAAGTGGAACTTGACAAATGAACGAACGCCAGCGGCATTGGTGAGTGTATATGTATTAACGCCAAACCCTTGCATCATCCGGTATGAGCGAGGAATGGCGCGATCCGACATGGTCCACATGAACATGTGCGTGGCTTCAGAGTGCATCTGGACGAAATCCCAAAAGTTGTTATGAGCCGACTGGGCTTGTGGAACTTCATTGTGAGGCTCTGGCTTTCCGGCATGGATGAGGTCGGGAAACTTGATGGCGTCTTGGATGAAGAAGACGGGGATGTTGTTGCCCACAATGTCCCAGTTACCCTCTTGTGTGTAGAATTTGACAGCGAAGCCACGCACATCACGGACGGTATCGGCTGAGCCGCGACTCCCAAGTACGGTTGAAAAGCGAAGGAAGACGGGAGTCTCGCGGGACGTATCAGTGAGAACATTGGCATGGGTAACGTCTTCGGCAGATTCGAAGAGACGGAATGTTCCGAATGCTCCAGTACCTCGGGCGTGGACTACTCGCTCTGGGATACGTTCATGGTCGAACCGATGGATCTGCATTTCATGCAATCAGCTTCATCCAGGCTGGTATTGTTCCGCCGTCAACGCGAGACAAACCTTTTCGCGCCCGAAAGGGTCCTCCAACAGCATTGGGCCTATCTGGTCCTTGCTGTTGACCCGTAGCCAGTCATCTGTGTTTGTCTGCTTTGTGCCGAAATCAGACGTGATTCTACTATCTTTGGTTGGCTCAACGGTGTGCGCCGCCAGTTGATCCGTCTTTGCGGCTTTGTGACCCATGACTGCTTGCTTCACTGATGGCGGAATAATATTCGACATTTTCTTTCCCGTAGCGATTTTGGGCATGAATTGTCACCAGGAATTTTCTACACATTGAACCTCCGAGCCCATAGTTTGTATGCATCCTTTTATATATGAATTCTGCCATGAGCTCAAGGGTGGCGACGGACTGTATTAAGCCGTCACTCATACATCATCGTCATAGACGCACACGATGTAAGATGTGATTCTATGTTGACGTCAATGTTCGCCGACCGTATGTGATGGATCATAACGCTACGTATTTAAACTTCATTAGAAAATATAGAGCTTTCATAATGATGCGGTAGGCAATGACACAAGAATTTCGTTCATTTATTGCCTTTCAATAACAATTACTAGGCCAAGTTATACGATCGCCAGCTGCACACCCGTGGGTTGCGCTTACATTGAAGGCACTCTCAAATGTCCAACGATGATTTGACAATTAACATGTATGGAATGCTATACAATCTCGAGTTCATAACTCTCTTCCGATGATTTCATCGCCCAAATATGGCTGCTCAGGTGTGCGATAGATGATGTAATGTAATGGAGCCATGGACAGTGTGGAACCAAAAGTTACCGTTGCTGAGCCTGTGTTATCTTATTGATGAGCATAGCAAGTCGATTTCCGCTATTACTTATGCCTCGGCTCAGCATGTCTACATATTTGCGATGCTGCAAGTCGGTAGAAAGACGGACATTATGCTCCTAGCGACGTGTGTAATATTGAAGTCGATATGCAGCCCGGATTGACAGTTTCTACAGTGCATTACAGTTAGATTTGAAACACCAACTCATCGAAGCCCCAATTATCTTAGTCATCTAAACGGCCAATAACTGATTCGTTGTGGGTAATATAACAGCCTGTCGGTGATGTCCATAACAGGACATTATGCCAGCATGCTGATGAGTGAATAAGATGATGAATAGTAAACCCAACATCACATGTGGGAGCATTCCGACCTCTAGGCAGCAGGGATGACCTCGCTCGCTATGCCTTAATGCGGCAACAGGGCTCACGTATCGGAAGGGTTGCCGAAACGATGCTGATGATCGATTGTACTCCACAGCCGCGTCTCGCCGTTGGGCATCCGATATGGTATCGCCAAGACTGGGCTATTCATGGACTGCTGGTCAGTAATTTCAACCTATAACGTGGTCTATCCGATGCGGCGTAAAGTTTACCAGATAGGTTAAGGGTGTCAAAACTTGAATTCTGAAAGCGCAAGTATTTGCAGTAATCTATACAGTTGGATTTGTTCATGGTATCTATGGTCTAATGACCTGCCGAAGCTAGGTCGCTCTATAATGCAATTGTGTCCGTAAACTCCTCATCTTTCTTCATCATCTTTCCAGTCCTTCCCTCAATCTGCATCTTCATACGCCGGTGGTGGATCTGTTATTAGCACATCCAGCAAAGATGAAGTATACTACATATGGTCAGCTCTATGAAGGCATGTAATGGGAGGGGCTTGCATAGGTAAATCTTACATAGACGCTTCCGTCAGTTCCAATCGATATGCCGACCTTGATTTCAACCGAATGCTTTATCTGCATCACGCATGACTCAAATGACGGTTTCAAGTTGAGTCTGAAAAGTCGTTCCCAGGCACCTGAATCAATTACCAGTCTCTCCGAATCGACAGGAATGGTTCCCAATGTGCTTGCTCCCAAGCACTGCTCATCCACGTGCCGGGTAACTGATTCCACAACGGTCGTTGTGGAGGTTTTGAAGATAATATTTGCCGTTTGAATGAATATTTTACCCACAATCTCTGGCGGAGTGTGCAAGATGAACTTGATGGGGTTCGCCTGTCCTCTGAAAAGAACCGGTGGCTGTGGGAGAAGCGCCTCAACACGTATAGATGGCGTGTATGCCGGTAGCCCGTCGATTCCATCTTCAAGCCGCCCCGAACCATCCTTCTGTCGCAGTATCAGTGGCAGGCTGGCATTAGGCTGTAAAACAGGCGACCTGTTGACGGGAGCATTGTTGCAGAATGTTAATGCCTTGACAACTCTCGTCGTCTTGGACAGAGGGCCAAATATTTGTCGATCCACGGCTCCGACGATGTAGTATTCCACGCGAATTCGTGATTCTGCTTCGCGTATGTTCATTGACGGAGGAAGATGCAATAAGTGCTTGTGCCTGAAACATGGGGCGTGAGAAGGAAATCGAAAACTGAACGGGACAACGTAAATGCCACTGGCGGGATCATCCTTGTTTGATGTTGCATTGTCATGTCTCAATTCTCTGTTTTCCTCGAATAGCTGTTTCTCACGTTAGCGTGAATTATTTACATGAGCGAATTCGACGGCTTATCTCGTACCGTGAATTCCAAATTGCTTGGATTGGGGCCAGCAATCTGCGCCGGTATGGAAATCGTGAGTCGACCTAGCCGCTGTTATTAACTGAAATCGCGAGTTATGAATATGGCATCGCCTTACCGCCAAAAGTAGCCCTTAGATGGGACAGTGCCTGGCCGCCGTGGCCCAAGATGTTCAATGTACCCCGAATTTCGTCTTCGGGGCCAAAAGTTACCTCTTCAGCCCCGCCGATATCTAATATCAACTTCATGATTCTGAGTGTTTGTGATGTCTGAGTAACATGAATCGCCTGGATTGAGGCGGTTGGGCATCATTCGTTTTATGTAGGGATAGCGATTAAGAATTTTAACGGAATGACGTATGAGGCATGAATTGTACTCCGTGCTAGTGATTTAATATTGGAAACAATGCCTGAACTTGCTGAAACTAACCAATAGTCTATTCTCGCTGACAGTTACCAAACATGGTCTAGTCAGCCAGCATTGGCCATGATCTCCACATAAGCCATCAAGCAAGATCCCATGAATAGGGTAGGGATGAAGATTGGTTAAAGATGATCTCATTACGGCCGACGCAAGCGAAGTAAGCGAGTGTGGTCGACCGTATATACGATTGTTGCAACAATATCAACGTTCCATCGTTGAGGAAGATGAGCTCCTCCGTGGAAATGCCGGAGAAGCACTTCCTACATGATTCCAGGGGGGTTGCAATGTATAGGTGTTGGTTGGAAAACAGAAACAAGCGGGCCAGAGTAGCCGATGGCTGAGTGAATACCCGCCGATTCTCTTCAGCGTGATATTTCTATGAGCAACTTCGTATTCCTACTCGCCGTCCTAACCTCGCCAGGAAACGGACTTGCATCTGTGACTCTATTACCCTATTAGTCTAGGTGCTCAGTCTACTAGATCTTCCGATAGCTATGATATAAGTAAATGTGTAGTAAATAATTCCTACCAAGTTATTATTGGTAACGACCAGTCTTTGGGGTATCGCTGCTCCCTTCAAATCTCATGAACTTGAGTGATCTCTTAGAATATCACAGGCTACTTCAAAGAGACGGGGCCTACTTCTTGAGACTATCTCAAAACACTGGTTTCTTCTATAATACAATGAGTTTGAAGGGAACTTATTAGTCAGGCAGACACGACCGACGTCGGACATTCTCATCAGCGCCAAACCCTGTACCATAAACTTCTTCCATGGTCCCGAGTCATCAAAATAGAGGCAAATGCTGCTTATTGATCTTTGGGACCAATGATATTAGCTCTACTAAATATAATTGGATTAATTTTCTATTTCTAAGGATAAATATAGTTAAAGGGCCTTTCCATTATACAAATATCTCCCCCCACAGCAACGATGCCTTTGAGACGAAAGCGAAATCCGACCAAATAAACTTTCTCATAATTTCAAATATCCTCGAAAAAGAGTTCTCAACACCCCGGAACCTCGTATTTATATTCGATCGGAGAAGATTAGCATAGGTTGATCGAACTGATCCATGTGGGGCAAATGTGCCGCCAACATATAGTAGCCAAAGCAGCAAGTCGGAGTTTTCGTCACATATAGTATCTTTTTCAAGCTTTCGCAATTGGTCAAGAAGTTGTGAGGATAAATATGACTGCAGATTATACATTAGCACATGACATCTAGAATTCCAGGGCAGCATGGCCTACCGGAATAACCAGAGCACACCAAGGATGACAGCATAGCATGATAGAACATATATACGCTGCAGTAGAGCAGCATTTCAGTAGGGAGGAAGTTGTTGTCAAATTCGCAAGCCTCGATTGAATTGAGGCAGTATGGTTGTTTATGTACGCCATGAGAAAAGGGTCGCCCTTTTCATAGCTTGAATAGTTTCTGATGCATTGCAATGCATGAAGATCTTCCAGTATCTCGACGAAATCCCCACTTAACAAGTGTGATATAATCTCAAATCCCGATGGAAGTTGGTAGAAAGTAGGTGTGAATGAGTCTCGCTGCCATCGTAGTTCCGAAAAGGTATCATGATCAACTATTCGGTCTGAGCCTGACAAAATTGACGCATTCAAGTCTTGCCTATACTTTGGTCAGCTATCTATCTTTCACCTCCAATGAGTGTCTGACTTACCAGAATATTGCACGCTTGATGCCACCCGTTAGGTAAACACCATCACTACGAGAGATATCGAGTAGCTGTCTTACTGCTGACATGTGAAGTTGGACCTGGGAGGTCATTCCTAACTGAGCCTTGAGCAAGAGGGGTTAGTATTCCTGCAAGCCAAGTCCGGCATAGATGCATACCTCTACACCCGCCAATAGAAGAATAGCCCCAATTGTAGACTCTGATACGGCGCCTTTGATGCAGGCAACTTTGTCTCGGATACTACCAATAGCACAGCCCTTGTATTTCAGGCATTCGACGTCCAAATTTCCCTCTGTCACTGCAAATAGCAGAGAAAGCATGACCGCGTTTGAAAGTGCAGGGTCAGTTAAGCCCGTACGGAAGACGGCATAGAAATTTTGGAATGAGAGCTCCTCTGTAGTACTGAAGACTGGCTCAGGGGCTATCCTGGCTCTGCCTATGTTTCTTAGTGTCAAAACATTGAACTCATGTCCTTTGTAGTGGGTGATTCCTTACTGTGGCCTAGTAGGATCTGTAGCCGCGAGGTATCCACGGGAAGCATGCCAAACGGATCGATCTCGCTCGGAGACAAAGACTTGTGTAATACTGGTGGATCTATAAGACGGGATTCATTATTCAGCGCATTACGCTCTTCCCCCAAAACTGCCACTCGAAAATTGTGGTTTGACTTTTGTTCGAGCAGCCGTTTCGCCTTGAGGGCTCGCTTGACCGCATGGGATTTGGCCAAGCGAGTCACACCCCGGCCCTGTTTGCTGCAAGGACCTTTGACTGATATAAACTTGAAATCTTCGGCTGGCCAGGATTAAATCTTAGTTGATGCGAGACTAATCGGATCTGCTTTGCCTACCTTGTGGTGTGAGAGGCTGGGCAACCATATTGCGTAATAGCCGCCAGCTAAGAGGACCGCGTTCTGGCTTAGGTTGTCAGTGACTCAGTAGTAGGACACGCAAAACAACGCTCTGTTTGTTCCGGATTACCATCAACCTGCTGTAACTTGTCTGCTGAATGAATCTACATGTAGGATTGCAGCCTGTAAAGGAGACAACTTGACGAATTCCGCTTATAAATCACTCTGTTAAACTCCGTAAAGTCTTCTTCCCACTGTGGCGCTGGTCCCACTATTCTTTTTGGGATGTACCTTATTGCCTGATTTGGAAGTAGGTTGCTCTTGACGGGCATCCTCCATTCTGCAATTGGAACTACGTGTGAGTATTTTGCTATCATCGAGTCGTAGATTAACAATCTCGAATACCTCTCAGGGGCCTTTTTTCTCCATATGTAGAAAGTATAAAGCCGTAGATGCTGCCCAGTCGAAACATTCGTGGATCCAGAAACAGACACAACTAAACCAGCCTCTTAACCGTCATTCTTCTTCACCTTGACAATGGATAACAACAATCTGTTTACACCTTTGACAATAGGCAATATAGTGGTGAGCCATCGCATAGGGATGGCTCCTCTGACTCGCCTCCGTGCTGCAGACGACCGTGTTCCTTCGCTGCTCATGGCCGAATATTACAGCCAGCGGGCGGCTGTGCCAGGCACTCTAATCATCAGCGAGGGCACAATAATATCACCCGAATCTGGTGGTGGATTTCCAAATGCACCTGGCATATATAGCGAAGAGCAAATCACAGCCTGGCGATCAGTCACTGATAAAGTCCATGACAAAGGAAGCTTCATCTTCTGCCAGATCTTTGCCTTTGGGCGTGCCGCAGATAAAGAGACGGCTAGAAAGGACGGAGCCGACATTGTCGGCCCTAGTCCTATTCCTATCGATGAGACTGCACCAGTACCACGCTCTATGGCACTCGAGGAGATTGGAAAAACCGTCCAAGATTTTGCAACAGCTGCAAAAAACGCTATACTTGCAGGCTTTGACGGTGTCGAAGTTCATGGTGCAAACGGCTACCTGATTGATCAATTCAGTCAGGACAATAGCAATCAGCGTCAAGATGAGTACGGTGGGAGCGTCGAGAATAGATCACGCTTCATAGACGAAGTCATGAAAGCTGTCGCCGCCGCTATAGGACCAGAACGGGTCGGGCTTCGTCTTAGCCCATGGAGTTCATTTCAGGGCATGAAAATGGCAGATCCGATTCCGCAGTTTTCAGACATCATTCGCAAGGCTAGTAAGCTGAACTTGGCTTATCTTCACCTGGTAGAGTCTCGGATATCTGGCGCTGGGGACTGCGAAGGCAGCGAAACACTGGAATTTGCCTATGAACTCTGGGACAAACCGCTTCTGATTGCTGGTGGTTACAAGGTGGAGGATGCCCAGCAACTAGTCAACAAATACCCTTCCAAGGATATTGTTGTCATGTACGGAAGATACTTTATTGCAAACCCGGACCTGGTGTATAAGATCAAGGAGGGGCTGCAACTTACTCACTACAAACGCGAGAGTTTCTATACAGCATATGCGGCATCAGGGTACATTGACTATCCTTTCAGCGCTCAGTTCTTGGAAAGCCAGAAAGTCGCGACCTAGCACTTATCTAGATAGTTAAGACGCTATGCGAAGAACCAGGTACCGTACTTGTTAGGATAACTACGAAATCCCAAAGCAGTTGTTGATAGCTGATGTGACTACAACCAGTCTATATTGTGTATCAATAGCGTAGGACGTGTCTGGTGGGAATACGAACTATGTGGAATGACCGAATAGATGAGAGCCTGTTACGCGTACGCAGTCGCCGCTGTGGTTCTCGTAGTGCAAATTATGGCTTGTGCCCTAGTGATTGCTGATGTATCTATGAGCAGATTAAAGTATAGTGTTGCTTTTAAATAAATAAATAAAGCAAAGCATGAAGAAGCGCCAAGTATCGGTTAGTTATAATCTCTCCCAGACGTATCCCATGCACCAAGAATCTCCTGTAAAGGCTTGATGATATTCTCGCAGTACATCTTCAAAAAATCCTTCTCATGCCAGAATCGGAGAGATCCAGCGCATACTTGCAGACATTGTTCAATAACCTGGCTTTGATACGGCAGTAGACGTCTTGATGTGGCCTGCAGCCACTCAATGGCTACCATCATTCGTCCTTGTGGCGACGTTGGATTCTGTTTACCCGACTTTTGACACCATGCCTCAAGCGGCCTGTGATGCCAGATTTCGAGTAACAAGATTGCCAGCTCAGTCAACGCAGTCTTAGGATCTGGGCCGATGCATGCGTCGCTCTCAATCGTCCGCACATATGGTGGCGGTGGGATCTCGCCCATAAGTTGTTCGATGAAGGGAAAACTGCCTGCAGTGATGAATGACTTCTCTTGGGGACTTAATATCTTGATCTCGTTACTATTGAACGGCAACCCCAACCACCACGTTTGTTGTAGTTGCAGGATCGACGATGCGACCTTGAGAGCCAACAGCGTCTGTTCCTTCGGGAACATCTTGGCATCGTCGTCTTGGTATCCAGCCTTGAGAATATCCGCTAGTGTTATCGGAGCTGTGAAATTTCGTCCATTCTCAGACGGACCATTATCAACAAAAAGGTCCGCATTGCTTAGCCTCAGTTTGAGAATACGGCCCGCCGCTTGTGCTTCTGACACATGCTGGCAAATCAGGGTCACTATTCTTTCACTGTGCAGCTCCGTAACTTCTTGGACGAACACAACCCTGGACGTGTTTTTGGCGTCGTAGTCTTCGCTGAGATCATCATCGTTGACGTTGACATGGGTTTCTTGGAGGTATCCATGATGGTCAAAGATGAGACTGAATTCCGTCTGTTCTCTCAGCTTTCTTTGTTTGCTTTTCTTTAAAGGAACTCTGCTATCCAGTCTCATGAAGACCTTGTGCCTTTTTTCACAGCCACAGTTACATCCTTTACGCATGGCTTCGAACAACGGCGTTGCTTGTCGCTGGACTCTTGAAAGCATGCTTGCCAGTTTTTGGGCATCATCGGAAGGATTTCTTGCTGTGTATACTTGCTGCGTCTTCAGGCTATCGATCATCTCCCTCAGGGAAAGCCGATCTTCACTCAGCTCCTCTACGAGCTGTTTTAGACTCCCTTTCTCAATGGTAAAGCTCAGTCGCTCTCTAAATGCAAAGACAGAGGCTCCAACGGGATTTGTCTCCAGAATCGCTTTCAAGTCATCTTTCGCAGCCTGCGATATAAGAATCAGCGTCCGCTCTTGCCACATCCTCATTCATCTACAAACCTTTGGCGGCCTCTTTATGTGGCCCAGTTTGCCCACAATTGCTTTTAAACAGGTTTCGTATCGTGTCAATATCTCATTAAAGGTTTCATACAGGTGCCCAGACCCCATGTAATCTCTAATTTCTCCAGCGCTCTTCGCATTCCGAAGAATGTTGATGCACTCTTCTTCGCTTATGTCTGTCTTGCTGACTACTTCGCTAATACCGGCGCTTCGCAGTAAGTCGAGAATGTTTAGATAAAAAAAAGTTCGTTGCAGCTTAAGCCTGTATATCAGCGTGTCCAACTGTCCATGGAACTTGACAAATGTCGCCACAACGCCTCGTCCGGCTTTGTAGTGTTCCAGTGCAGAGATCGCCAGCGGTATGATCCCGAGAACCAGCCCAGCAACTTCAAAGCCAGACATGATGTTACCAAGCTGCCTGCTTGGAGCTGTTTGCGCGTCGCTCTTTGTTTGTCAGATATGGCTCGTGTCAAAATTCTTTTGAGGCTGAAAGAGGGGTAAGATTTATAGGCACCCTTGTTGCAACCTTGAGGCAGTGGAGGGCTGTGTTGATTTTCGATTGGATAGTGCTCAAATTATCTCGCAATCCCTGCCTTGTTTCTGGGGCCTCTCTTAGGCTGAAATGCGTCGTTTTCTCTTACCTCTTTGCCTCTCTTCATCTTGTGCTAATTGACGACTCAACCTTGTGGGCAATATGGACCAAATGGACTCAACCGAGCTTTTTAAAAGCGGTAGAAAAATATCGAGTGACTTTCTTCAACTGGTTGTCCTCTTTCAACTCAGACAATCGCCTAAATATCGGCATTTGGCAGCAGAAGAACAAAGATTCCAGCTGTGGGCTCACAGTCTTGGGTTGTATCAACAAGGACATGCATCTTTGGATTACCGGGTTCGGGATGCTGAAATCGTTAGGTCCGGATTCGCCCGCATCCTTGAAGAACTTCAAGCCCATGTATGTTGTATCCGCGAAGGATGTTGAGGGGTCTTAAATGTTTTCAAGTCAAACTTTTATAAGAAGCCTTGTCTAATCATAATTATAGGTAGAGAATCTTCTCGCGATAGAACGTAATGAACGCCTCCCATATGAAGCACAGGAAATTCCGAAGGATGATCGTGAGACAGAAGACAACGACAGCGATAGATCTGACTCAGAGAGAGATAATTCTCCTGAAGCCAGCGACCTATCCTCTCCAAGCGATGATAGTTCGTTTCATGAAATTGAATTCCGACTCGATGGCCTTGGTGACGCTATAAACGCACTGTATAGCCTTGCAGACCAGATCAGAAGCTCTCTGCATCGGCCGCAACGCAACATACATCAACTATACAAGCACATGCCGGCTGAAAAAAGAGATGCGGAGATACAGGAAAGAGAAGAAATTGAGATTGCAGCCGTTTGTTATTTGCATCGCCAGTACCTTATCGAGAATACCGACAAGACAGTGACGGCACATGACTTTGAGGAAATATTTGCAAAATATTCGTCCGCCGAACATTGGCTTCTCCGGAGAACCGGCATTGCCAATGCCCGTCGGAAGCAACAGTTTATATACTGGAAAGAGCATGTTATTAGGCTTAACCAGATGAGATCTGAATTGCCTGAGCGCAAACTCATCCCGATTAACCCCGGAACAAATGAGCCTGTCCAAAATCAGTTGCAACTCAATCTGAAGCTTGAGAACACAGAACAGGCGGCGTTGCCTATCATACCAGTCTCGACAACAACAGCTACAACGTTGAAGCCCGGCGATCTCAGATCCGTCATTTCACACCAGACTCGGGTATCGACAATCATTAGCCCTGGTGGTAAGAAGCTCGAGTGGCCAGATCCGCCAAAAGTAGACGTCATAGGCGGATATTTTATCTGTCCATATTGCCAGACTCTATGTCCTGAGAAGTACCTCCAAAAGAATGTGTGGATGTGAGTATTGCCCTGTGGATATCTCTCTATCTTATGAGTTTCTTCTAATGTGGTTGTTATAGTGTTCATCTTATCCATGACTTGCAGCCGTACCATTGCACATATGAACAGTGCCTGGACCCAAATCAAGTCTATGGAAGCCGACAAGAATGGATTAATCATGAAAACGGGCATACACGCGTGTGGCATTGCCATGAACACAGTGAAGAATTCGAGACCCAACCAGAATATATTCAGCACTTAGAAGACTCCCATCCCGACAGTACCCCCGAGCATTTCTCACCCGCATTAGTTGCTGCCGCTGTTGGTCCCTCGATGCAGATTTACCGAGACTGCCCCCTCTGTCCGAGCGGCTTCTCTGATATTGCACAAATGCAATCACATCTCATTTTTCATCTGGAGCGGCTTGCACAACTTGCTCTGCACAACGGCCCAAAGGCTTTAGACGATGATACAGAGTCTGGACATTCATCTCAAAGCCATCAGGGCCAGTTGAGAGGCCGAAAAGCCTCGATATTTCGAGATTTTGATGCAGAAGAAGACGAATCATCATTTGCAGAACTTGTAGCAAACGATGAGACAGCAACAGTGAATAACCCGTCTGATATTATCTTAAATGAAACAACTCTTGGTACGGTTTTTGGAGCAATATCTACACCCAATGTCAACGAATGGTTGCAAAATTTAGTTACAGAGGGATCACAAGAGGAGACAAACACAGCACACGAAGATCTTTCATCCAGCCACCCGCCGCCAAAGAGCCATCTCAAACACTTCCCTCTCCCGGAGGAATACACCATAGGATGGATATGTTCGAATTCAAAAACATCATCCCTCGCGGTCGCTATGTTGGATGAAAGATACGCCTATCCGACAGCTCCACTGAATTCATCTTATGTATATACAAAGGGATCTATTGGTCATCATAATATCGTCATTACGTGTCCGCGTATCGAGGATTCTATTGACGACCCGACGAAGAAATTGAATCCAAATGATTTGCGCAAGTCCTTCCCATCTATTCAATACTGTTTCATCATTGGAATTGGTAGTGGAATGTCGCCAATGATTCAGCTAGGCGACGTTGTCCTTAGCACACCACCGCACCACTTGCAACGAGTGAATTCGACTCAATATACAAAACACCAACCTGAATCTTGGGAACACTTTCCTACCTCCTTACTCGCTGCTTTACATAAGATAGAATTAGCCGGGAAAGATTTCTCTTCGGGCATAATACCAAGACATATTGAGGAAGCGAAGGAGAAGGCACCTCATCTTCGTTCTTTACTCCTCAGTCCGCCACCAGAAGCTCAAGTCCACTTCGGGAAGACCATTTCTGAAACCTGGTTCATTGATGGTGCTACCATTCGGAATGAGCTCGGTACCGATTATAAAACTGATATGCTTTGTATAGAGCAAAAGGCAGCGTACTTTAGAACAACTGTACCGTATCTTGTGATTAGCGGCATCTGTGGCTATGCAGATTCGCACAGAAACGAGAGTTGGCAGGACTATGCGACAGCAGTAGCCTGTGCAAAGGGAATTGTAGAGTATCTTCCACCCCAAAGTATTGAATCAGGTTGGTCATTATTGAGCGACGTATTATTCCATCAGCTAATAATATATCAGATGCCACTCCCCGACGACATTCCCAGGTGGATCCTTTTCGCTGGCTCTCAGCAATCGATTACAGCTCTCAGCTGGACCATAACTTGAGACGATATGCCCCGGGAACCTGTCAGTGGTTCCTTGAATCGGAACAATATCGAGAATGGTATAACCAAGATGGTACAGCGCTGTTGTTACATGGACCCCCTGGATCCGGAAAGTCGATGATAGCGTCAGCGGTCCTTGACCACCTTTCCAACACACTTCTCTCAGAGCAAGCAGCCGTATTCTGTTATGCGTTTTTTAACTTCTATCGTGGAAATGAGGAGACGGCCGAAAGCCTAATGTGCAACCTACTCAAGCAACTATGCCAAAGGCAATCGCCTCTACCTCAAAATGTCGAAGATCTACTCGCCCGACATAGGAGTCAAAGAACTCGGCCATCACTTGATGAGGCATCGAGTGCCCTGGGATTATTAATCTCTACATTTCCAAAGACATTCATTGTTGTTGACGGGTTGGACGAGTGTAAACCTTCAAGCGCGTCACCGTTAGTATCGAAAATCATGGCGTTATTGGTCAACACGAGAGCAAAATTTCTCGCAACTTCGAGATCTCTTCCCGATATTTTGAAAAAGTTTCGCGAGCATAATTCAATCATCATAGAGATGCCTTCAAGTTCAGCGGCTGAAAATGTTGGTCAATACATCAAGAGCTACGTGAAAGGACTCCCGGGCTTTATGAACCACAGTCCCGATGCGTTAGAACAAATAACTAATACCATTATGAAGCATTCTAATGGATCGTAAGGAGATTTCTTTTCCCAATCATTATAAACATAGTCAATTACTCACTGAAGTAGGTTTCGTATTGCCTGGTTTCTTCTTGAATCGATAACGGACTCAGAGACTCCTGAAAGCATGATGGATACCCTGGAGAAACAGCCAAGCAGCCACAATGCTTTGGATGCTGTTGGTGCTCTGATGACGAGAATAAAAGCTCAAGATGCGTACAGGAGAGACCTTGCGATGAATGCTCTTTTATGGATGACTTTTGCATTTCACCCTTTGAGAACAAAACAACTGCAACATGCGCTTGCAGTGGAATTTGGAGAGTCGAGCCTCGACGAAACAAATATTCCTGATGCCGACTATGTAATCTCGGTCTGTGAGGGTCTGGTCGTTAAAGATGCAGAAACCGATACTTTCCGCTTCTGTCATGAGTCTGTAAACAGTTGGTTTACGGCACGGGGCAACGAGCTATTCCCCGACGCTTGCCTCTACATCACCAGAGTCTTCCTAACATATCTCTCGTTTACAGCGTTTGAAAGTGGGATAGCCCTGAGCGAGGATGATCTCAACCGTCGCTTTCATCAATATCCCCTCTATGCCTTTGCGGCTTGCAATTGGGGCTATTACGCTCTTCGAGTACCAGAATGTCCTGATATATTACTCTTCCTTGGGAAGCAGGCGAATGCTGCTGCTGCTGCCCAAGTGATATTCTTGAATGGAGCTGGTGACCAAATCGCATATGTGGCATTACCTGGGGTGTCAGTTGCGATACATTTGGCGGCATTCTTTGGTTTGAAAGAGGCGGTAAAAGTTCTGCTGAGTGTGTTTGACGTGGATCTCAAGGTCTATGGTGGTTGGACACCGCTAATGGTCGCGTCTATGTCGGAACATCTTTTAATGGCAGAGCTGCTGCTTGCCGAAGGGGCTGATATAGAAGCTAAAGATGACAGGGGACGTACGGCATTATCTCTTGCGGTTTTCAGAGCGGGAGAATCAATGGTGGACTTTCTAATCACGCGTGGTGCCAAGGTCAACTTTCATGATAACGATGGCAATACGCCATTATTAACTGCAATTGATCATAGGGATAAAGCCTTGGTGCAACTGCTATTAACTCGTGGAGCGGACGTTGAGCTGAAGAGCACGCATGGCGAGGCTCCTGTTGCATACGCAACCAAGAAAGAATATGGAGATATTACCAGTCTACTGTTGGCGGCGAGGAAGAAATCTTCCATGGGAAAGAGTCCGTAATATGGACGGTCCGGCATTGATCTTGTTTAGCCTATTGTTGCGACTACAAGGGCTCGGCTGTGGCATCTTCGCTACGAGTAACTTTCCCTTAAAGAACTTTTCTAGTTTAATTCAGATTTCAGTAATACCTCATCGAGCTAGGTAAAGCTCCGAAGAAGTCCTGTATTAGGAAGAAATGTTCATTCAAATGACTAGTAGACAAACTATGTAGCCTTCGCACTATCAAGAGGTTTTTATTAGAAAGATGACTCTGCTTAGATTGTATATTATAAACTTGCAAAAGCTTCCCGATTCACTGCTAGTTGGTGAGGACGAGCATAGACGTCAGGGATGGCGAGGAGTATGATGGGCCATTATTCTAACTAGCCGTGTGTAAGGATTCAATGCCGAATCTACCTAATCATCTTGCAGGAGATATTTTTCGAGTAATAAAATACCCGGGGCTTAATCTCTCTGGCGTTAGCGGCCTCGGAGGCCATCTTTGATATTTTGACTGCGGCCTCGGTCCTTGACTCTGACAATCTTTTTACAGGTATGTTAAGATATTGGATCCCACTGAAACGACCTAGAATCGCTATAGCAGTCGTCCATTCGAGATTTATTCCATAGTCAGGCCATTCGATGCGTCGTTTCAGAGATTTAAAACAGGATGGCTGTGCACGATTGCAGTGAATCCTTCTTAGAGCACAGCTTTGGCAGTTTGTTGCACTGCACCCGACAGCTGACGCCATTGTAGACGTGCTGCCGGCCAACAAACTTCCACCATCTATGCGAGCGGTTGGTTCATGTTACAGTATATTTGTAATGCCTCGTAAAGATTTTCTCTGCTCGGGAGTCATTGGAGGCGTGGAATGTAAAGTTGAGTCATCGTCGCAGTATTGGACTGGCACAAATTAGCGTATCACTCACTGGTGGCGCCTGAGTGAGGAGTTACCGCGATCCGGTTTGGCAATACGAAGAAAACCTTCCTAAGATACACTTTTATTCGTATTAATGCCGTATGCCTTTCGTCTAGAGACGACGAGGTTGGTTCGGTCACACGACGGTGAAAGAAAATGTTGGGCTTGGGAATTAGCCATAGGCTGGGAGAAAGTTGGGCTGCCATTAGTCCTTGTGAATGAAGAAGATCAGGAAAAACTTGCGCAGATTTCCAATGAATGGGCGAACGGGATGGCTTCAGGGCTGGTTGAAGCCCTATATATACGCACTAGGAAGTAAATCGCCGAAGAGAAAATATGACTGTGGCACAAATCTGAAAAGAACAGAGAGATGTTTAAATGCTACCCAAGTAAAATGGCGTTGGCCAAGATGAAAATGAAGATTAAAACATGATAGGTTCACCATCCCTCCAGGTATACTCAAAAAACACAATGCTACCGTATACAATACACGAGATCCATATTCTCCAAGTTCTAACGATAGAGCAACAGAAATGCTTCATCTAGGTATACAAATGCAGCCCTTACAGGCCCATTGAAAGCATCAATTCGGCTCCAGAAAATCCCTCCCAAAAAAATCCCCAAAGAAATCCCCAAAACTCCCTTACTCCTCCCTTGTCCTTGCTATGCACAAAGATGTTTGGGCCATAAAATATGAACCTCTGGCACATGATCATTATCCTCGATCATTCACCACTGTGCCGGTGGCATATGCGCCGCTAACTGTCAACCATCTAAATACACCACATTTGAACCCGCACACCAGTGAGCTTGTCGACAAGATCAAAGTCAAGACCCTCTGGCTTGAAGGCGACGATGATCATGTCAAAGGCCTGCTCCAAGTATTCGGCAGACCAGTTCTTCTCGTCCAACCGAGAGATCTGAGGCACTGCCTCTTGTCCCACGAGAGGATCGGCGAAGGAGACAGCGACCTTCTCCGACAGAACCAGACTCTTGGCGAGCTCAAGGCCGGGTGAGTTGACCAGATGAGATTGGCCGCGCTTGAAGCCCATGCCAACAACGAGAACATGGGGAATGACTCCCTTGATGGGCCCCTCAGACAGAAGCTTGATGGCCTCGTGTCCGATTTCTGCAGGGCGGGCATTCATCTTTTCTGTCGCCGCCTTGAGCAGCGGGAAGTTGCTGGTCGACAGCAGATAATAAGGGTTGACGGGGATGCAGTGGCCTCCGACACCAAGTCCAGGGGAGTAGGACATGTAGCCAAACGGCTTTGTGGCGGCGGCACGACAAACTTCGTAAGGGTCAATGCCAATGGGGGTACAGGCATTGGCCATCTCATTGGCAAAGGCAATGCACATCATCCGCTGGCAGTTCTCATACAGCTTGGTCATCTCCGCCACCTCGGGTTGGGAGACGGTGACGACCTTGTCGTAAACTGCAGAGTATAGCTGCGTGATGGCAGCCAACGAGCCGGGGACGACATCGTCCAGACCAGAAATCACCTTGGGGATCTCATACGCCGCGGGCTCAACGCGGCCAGGATCAACACGTTCCGGTGACATGCCGGCAAAGAGACCCTTTCTCTTGGCGACGGGTCCGAGAAGCTTCCTCGTCATGCCAACGGCGACGGAGCTTTCAAAGACGACAGTGGAGCCAGCACCGGCGTACTTTTCGACAGTGTCCAAAGCACTTCTCAGATAAGAAGTGTCCACTGTGTTGTCCGGGCGCAGAAGCGTCGGGACTGAGATGAGGAAGTGAGTGGCTTCCGAGAGTTTTGCTGACGACGACGTGAGTTGTACTCTGTCGTTTTGTGCGTACTTGGGGGAGAGGGCTTTGACGCGGGCTTCTGAGACGTCAAAACCGACAACTTTGTAGCGACGGGCAAAGACATCGACGAGATGCTCGCCCACATATCCGACGCCAATGACGGCGACACGAGGCCCTCTGCTGGGGTCTTGCAACTCGACGTCACTATCGGTGGCGACGTCTGTATCTGTGTCGGATATGACATTTCCATTGGTGGGGGTTTCTGGCTCTGGGTCTGAGAGAGTCTCGCCAGGTGGCGTCAGGTCGTAATAGCTGATATCCTTGTACTCTTCATCCGACTCCCTTCGACGACGGCTCCAGTCGGCCGATTCAGAGGTTGAAGAAGCTTGTGATGAATCCATCTCAACCGAAAACGAGAAGAATCAGGGGAGAAGAGGTAGAAGAGGCAAAGGAGAAGAGGTAGAAGAGAAGAGGTAGGGGATACTGGATAGAAGAAACAATACGCGATGCTTTAGCGAGTGACTGAGGCGGGCAAGTGATGCAATGTTAGGACGCGTTGGAATACCGTAAGACTTGAAGATATTTGCGAGTATGTTTCTGGGAGAAATGAAACCAGGCAGGAAAAGACCGGGCAAAAGATTTTATACCCAACGGAAATCAAAGGGAAACCCCAGTTCATGCCAGAGGCGGCCGTAAGATTCCGGCAAAAGCAAGAGGCGAGCACATATAAGAGAGCGCTAGGCTTTGGCTCTGCAGCCCTCTTGCAAATCTTGACCGGTTATCATAAGGAGAAAAACTATGAAGGGGTACCTCTACCTTATCTTAAAGTATCGTCCAAGTTTTACCTACAAACTGAGTAGACTAAAAAACTTTGTTTGGGCAATAAGATGGGAAACTTCGTGGGCAAGAAACGACATGTCTGCGTATCGTACGGGGACCAACAAGGAGATCTCTACTGATACGAATGTAATAACAGACAAAACCCGGATTTTTCAGCTCCGTCTCCATTATACCTTCCCTCCGGGAGGGATGAAAACTTTTGAAACATCTACACAAAGTCTCTGTTCCTCAAGATATTCCCCTTGTATTAACTCTGTTGGGCAATTTGGCTTTTTGGGCGTAGACTTGCGGCAGCCACGGTGGCACTGCAAATCTCCAATACGATACGGGAAAATCGTACAATCTCGCCGTCACAGCCTCTGTACTCCGTGGTGTACTGAAGCTTCATGTTCAACGGGTGTCCAGATATACACGCAACTAAGCTGGACCAAACACGCCAAACCTGCGCCATTGTCGCCGATTAGAGCTCAAGGGGGCGCCATTTCAAGCCGAAAAGGCACGATATCCAATAGAGTCTAATCAATATACGCCCCCATTGAGGTTATACCGAAACGGAAAAAGCAGGAAAAACTAAAATTGTACGAATCCAAACATCTGAGGAGGTATGGCCGAGATGTGGCAGCAAGCGACCAGCGGGCAATGTTCTCTGGAAGCACCCAGAGCCAGGCACAACATATCTATGAGATAATCAGTCTTACCATCAAAATTCTCTTTAATCTGAAGTGACACGTCAATGTTGCTGCTATTGATGTTGTGTCAGTGGACTCCCTACCACTGCATTGAAATCCCAAAAACTTGGCAAGCCAGGGCTCAAAAATGCTTTCTATTACGGCGGAATCCTCTGCGAAAGCTTACTCTCCATTTGACTCGATATCTTCAGAAGAAACATTATTTATAATTCACACGATTGGAGAATATCTCTGATAAGAGACGTACAGACTTTCATCGTATCATCTGGTGATGATGGCTGATGCCGACGATATCTCGGCGTGATGAATAGCAAAGGGCATCATAGGCTAAACTCTCGTCTAATTTTAGTCAGGAACAAAACTTTTTATACGATATGGCGTAATCAAGTATGGCACAATACGAAGGATCGCCGAATCATACGTCTCTGTTGCCTCATTCGCCCTGCCAACCATTTCCTTTTTGCTTCATACGCCCGACGCACCACAGCAACCCGTGGCATCATCATCCGCACTCCTATACGACATCTAAGCGTTTATTTAGACTAATTAGCTAAATACTTGGCAGCGAGCGGACTTGGCCAGATGGCTTGGAATCTTGAGGGGAAGAGGGTGTGATGCTGCAGCTTCCTCCTGCGGTGCGCCTCGACTAGTCGTCGAGGCAACCACAGCGAGGCCTCAATCCCCTCTCACACGAGAAGCGCCGGGCTTTCTTGCGTAATGAGGTTTTTTTAGGTTTGTCAGCCACTGTTTCTTTTGTCTGGTATTCGGTTTATTTCTTGACTGCTCTCGACTAGGATGGAATCAATAGCTCCTGGTCCAACGACTGGTAGGCCCCAGGGGTTAGCGCACAAGGGGATCGCGATGGCCTTGAAAAGCTGGTTATAGATATATGTACCTACCTATTATTTCTCATGGGTAGAGAGTTGCTGTAGTAATATCACGCGAGGGTGCAACTTGCCCTGTTTGACTGCTTTCTGTTCAATTATTTAATCTGTCAACATCATCATCTCTTGACTCTTGCTCCTTGAAACCACGCCAAGTCACAGTGTTATGACCCCAAGGATCATGAAGCATTTCAAGATTGCCGTCGGGGTGATCGCCCTCATGATTACCCAAACAGCTGCTATTCCTCAGGCCATCGAGAATTCCATCTGCGGCCCTGGTCTCGGAGGCTGTATTGGGGGATGTTGCTCTGAGTTTGGCCACTGCGGTACTACCAGGGCATACTGCTCAGGATCGCAATGCCAGCTCGATTACAGCGACTCCTGCGACACACAGTAAGTGAACGAACATGGAGGAATAGGATCCGTGTCGGAAACCTCCAAGCTAACGATGCCGTCCTTTGCAGAGTCGGCCCTCCTGGAAGAAGCACTGAAGACATCTATCGGCCTTTCTCTGGCGATGTCCCATATGGTGAGCTTCAACATGCAAATCCCCCACCGCATCCTGCGTTTCAAAGGATGAGATTAAGGGCCATGCTAATCATATTGCAGCGGAAACCATCACTGAATGTGACTCTCCGGGTCTTGTTGCCTTGACGTTCGATGACGGACCCTTTGAGTATACAAATCAGCTTCTTGACCTCCTCGACGAATACAAAGTCAAGGCCACGTTCTTCATCGCCGGACACAACAGAGGCAAGGGCCGCATCGACGACGAGTCCACGGGGTATCCAAAAGTTCTACGGCGCATGCGAAGTGCCGGACATCAGCTGGCCAGCCACACCTGGACTCATCGCAACCTCAACGGCGTCAGCGAAGAAGTCCAAAGAACAGAAATGATCTACAACGAGATGGCCTTTCGCAACATATTCGGCTTCGTCCCGACATACATGCGTCCGCCGTTCCTGGAGTGCGGCACGAGCTCCGGGTGCCTCGACACGATGGAAGAACTCGGTTACCACGTCATTAGCACCAACCTGGACACCAAAGACTATGAGAACGACGACCCTGTGCTGATCCAAAAGTCCAAGGATAAGTTCTTTTCCATGCAATCATCCGACGAGGAGTCTCACAGCTACATCGTCCTTGCTCACGACGTGCATTATCAGACCGTTGTGACGCTGGCCAAGTACATGATTGAGACCTCGAGGCAGCGAGGGTACAAGCTGGTGACGGTTGGAGAGTGCCTTGGCGATCCTTCTCAGAATTGGTATCGTTCAGCTCCTGCTAGGCGCGATTTGGGCTTGAATCAGGAGGTGCCGCCGGTAAACAACACAAACCCAGAGGTCCCGCCGGTAAACAACACAAATCCTGGCACGCCGCCTGTGAACAATACAAACCCAGAGACGCCGCCTGTAAACAACACGGATCCAGAGACGCCGCCTGTAAACAACACAAATCCATGGACGCCACCTGGGAACAGCACAAACCCATGGACGCCACCCGGGAACAGCACAAATCCATGGACGCCGCCAATAAACACTCCCGACCCCGTCGAGCCGCCAAAGCTCAGGGTCTCAAAGGACCAGAGATGTGGCGGCGAATTCGGAACCACTTGCAAGGGCTCTCTCTTTGGTGACTGCTGTTCATTCTTTGGTTACTGGTAAGGACGCCATATACCAACCCCCTCTCCCCTCTTGAAGATGGAGTGAGATGACACGATGCGTGGTGCGCTCGTGTTACTCTGGCTGGCTCATCACTCAGCCCCCGCTCTCTGTTATTTACCCGCGCTTCTTTGAGAAGCAATGAGATGCTAACATGATTTACACCGTAGTGGGAGAAGCGACCAGCATTGTAGCACAGGCTGTGATCCCACCTATGGAGACTGCCCTCGACTTGACAACGACAAAAAACAGGGAGACACACACAATACAACAAACGGCCTTTGCGGAAGCGACTTTGACGCTACGTGTCTCTACTATGGCACCAAGACGTGCTGTTCCGAGTACGGCTATTGGTGAGTTTGATTCGGTCTCGACTGTTGTGATTGTTTCCACTGACGTAAATGATGATGCAGCGGCAATAGTAGGGAGCATTGTGGCGGTGGATGTCAAACGGGCTATGGTATGTGCCTCAAGTCAGGCAATTACGCTGAGGTGTGAATTATGTCTATAGGATTAGTCTTTTGATTACTGCACAGGTATTGAATAGACAGTAGCTTTATTGAAAACACCTGAGGAAAAGGGTAGCGTAGCCGTGACATGAGCTGCAAATTGCGCCCTGGGTTCAACTAACTATAGGCCTAATTCGCGTCTTGCGTAACATTTTGAGTGCCATGTAAGCTTGATATAACTGATGTTCAGGGGGGTTTCAACCCTGCCAAGTTGCATTTACTAGTATTTGCCATTTCTACTAGAAACCTACTAATCTGAGCGATGGAACGCGATGCCATGGGCTCTCGTATTATTCTCGAGCCAATACAGTGGAGTAGTGATCAGCCCGCGTGAATACTCGAAACATGACGAACACGGCAGTAAACGGACTCGGATACTATTCTTGGGTATAAACACAACAGCTATACGGATCTCCGAACGTCTGCCTAGGAGCCTAATTCCTCGGCGCCGTCTCGGCATCGCTCAACCAGCCAAGCAGCGAGACACGCCTATCGTTGCACGGCATTCTCCATAGATTGGCCCGGAGTCTACAGCAGAAATTCTCACCCCTGAGTGGCTGGTTATTTCGGACATGATTACATCGGATAAAAAGGTACTTGCAGGATTTGTGTTCCCCTACAGCCAATCTTTTCTACCGCCTTCCCATCATTTAGTCTTTTATACGAAATGTCGTGATTCGGTTGGCCCGTAGCAAAGAGCGGAGAATGATGCGGCCTGGAAGCTACCGGCAGCAGTGGCTCCGTCGGAAGGATATCTGCGTATCTATCTCGGCAAGATGTCGATCGTCTGAAGTTGAGAGAAAAGTATACACGTAAGCGGCATTCGTATTCGCGCCGCCGGACCAAGATAGAAAACTTGCCGTATGGCTGCGCTAAGGGGGGAGGTTAGCTCAAAGACTACTGCAGGTCCATCGGGAGTATCCTCTCCCCTTTCTCGGCTCTAGTAGTAGTATCTTCTATCGGATGTCTGTCTGTCAACACGGAACGAAAACCCACGGCCAAGAGACTCGTGTCGGCATCTTCCAGCCCAGTCAGGTGAGAGCCAGCACTCTGGGTAACGCCGGGGCCTTGTGTTACTGGACGAACGGACTCGCCCGTGCAGGGGGGAAGCCATTCCGGTTCGTTGCCGCCAAGGCGAACCTTGGGGACGGTATGGCCCGCAAGTGCTAGTAACGAAGTAAGCATATCCTGGTGGCTTGAGGTTGAGATACACAGTCTCTAACCCTTGAATAATGTGCCGTGAGATGGTGGGGAGGGGGGCGAGGGAAGAATATCTCCGCCGCAAAGGCCCGATCTAGGGGCTTAACTGGACTTGGAGGTGCCACGCCGAGTTTACTCCTCTTTTTTGTTCGACGCCATTGAGATTGGTGAGTCGACGTTTTTGGTAAAGCTTTGGCTTGCCTTGAGTGGCACACTTGTTTTTCTGTGCCTTGCCTTTGTGGACTTGGACGCGGGCACGTACATATCATCGAGGGACGAGGGAGCATGGAACGTCGTGAGAAGACTCGTTTCATGCCGATTAATCTATATAAATCTGCAAGTGCGCGATGGAAGACGAAGCAATCGAGGTTTTTTGCTAGATCCCACGTGTTACAATGACTGACACGTTCCCCCAAGGTGAGACGCCTACTGCAGCTTTCTTTCTACTGAGGCGTGGCTGGGGAGTCTTTTTACCTCTCTCCCCCTTACAGGCCCGACCAGAGAAGCGTAAACAGCGTGGCGTCTTGAATAAGAAAATTTTAATCCAGGCACATACGAGTGTAACGGTATCATTGAGCTCGTGTTTCTGCTAGTTTTCAACCCCAAGTAGAGACAGATCTACATGCAAGTAGGACACGTAAGGGAAGCCCCCATCGGCATCTCCAGACGGCAAAAGCATCAGATACACACCGAGGCACGGCTCATGTACGACCATGTGCCTGTTTTTTTTTTTTTCCCAGCATAAAAACTTAATCTGTCTGGCCTTGGCGCCAAAAAGCCAATTCCACTAGCCCCAAGCCTTGATAGTCTTTTGTTTCCTGCGAGTCCACGATGCCTTCGTATTCACGGCTGCTGCAGGGAGATGCGTCTTCGATCTGACCATTCAGCAATCTCGAATGGTCTGTCAGGATTTTTTTTCTTCTCAGCTCCTGTGGCGTGGCGTATCACCGTGCTGCTGAGATTTCAGGCGAGCTTGACACCTGTATACGAGATGGACGCTGTGCGAGGCTCGAGGGTTTTTGTGATGGCACTGAGCCCGGGGAAGACAGACAGCCTTGAACCTTTTTTGTTACCAAAGCTAAACACAAGTCATTATTCGAATATTGAAAGCTTGGCAAGATTTGCGGCTTCAGATTGCATAATTAATATTTCAAGTTGCTCAGCCATTAGAAATACATGGTGCAATATTTCTCCATAGAGACAACCTACAGAACGCCGGCTCAGTGATGCCTTGACCTCTATCTCTGCAAAGCTTGGTATAGCCCTGCTTTGACGTTCGTTTAACATTTCTCAATGTTTATTCCTCAATTAAGCTTTTCTTCATATCGGAGTATCCCCTCTTTACCTACCCAATAGGCTCCTAATGCTTTCAGAACTCAGTGGAAGGCTCTAGCCCTACGAAAATTGTGCGTAAAGCCCCGACAGAGTTTTGCTCGCCCTGAGTTTGCCTGGCTCTTACTGATTTTTACTGGCTTTTACAGACTTTTTCTTTCAGTTAAAAAGGTCGTTGGCCCATTCTCCCATCGTCGTTTCGATCTCCCTCTTCCTACCTCTTGTCTCGTCACGGCACTCTTCGTCTCCCGAGAGATCGCACATCTCAGCTCCTCGCGGTTCGCTGCTGAATATTCGAAGACAAAGAGGAAGAGAGTTGGAAGACGAAGAGAAGACAAGATGTCTGACACGTCCGACGCGATACCGTCACTCATCATGAACTCCGAGTCTCCTTCCACGGAGACTGTGGACACCGGGAACATCTCTCCCTCCCCTCAACGGCCTACACGAGGGGAGGTCCCCAACAAGCCGCCAGTGTCCATGTTCAACGTCTCGAACCAGGCCACTGTCGCCACATCAGTCGCGGAAAGCTCGCGAGAATCTGTAAGCAGAGTTGGAAAACAAGACATGGCTCGTCCTCTTCGGCTACGTGATCTCCATGCTAACGCAAACCTCCAGTCCGTCTCCCGCAATGCTGCCGTCAACAATGCACTTCCCCAAGGTGGACGTGAGATAACTCACGATTCATTCGACACAGTGAATACGGATATTTCCTTTGCGTCTTCTCTCGACCAAGAAGAGGCAAAGCTGCGGTGGGACTCGGAGGAAGAGCTGAAAAAAGTTTCTCGACATCTGCTCAAGGTTCAGAAATGGTGTCTCATTCTGGGTTTGCTTGCCGTCAACGGCGCGCTGATTTATGCCGCCATAAGATTCCACCAGCTGTACTACCTCTTCATCATTCTCCTTAGCTCAAACACCCTGCTACAATTCGGGATGATGGTTTGCATCATCGCGAATGCCATCTTCAGACGCTGCATGCCTTGCTGGTTCGCCAGAAAAGAGCGCAACCCCCCTGACCCCGAGAGGCTGGTCCTCTTGCTGCCCTGCTACAATGAAACCCGCGATGAGCTGACCCGGTCTCTTGACTCCCTCGTGGAGCAAAAGGAGATTGGTCGCCACCCCAAGATCATCTTCATCATTGTTGACGGTAACGCTCGTGGCCCTGGCATGGAGAAGACCACTCAGGAGTACCTGCTCCAGGACATCCTGGGTCCAGGTCAGTTCCGCCGCTTCGAAAATGGCTACCGTGCCCGAGACGGTCTCTTCATGCCGGTCAAGGTCCAAAGCGGCTATTACAAGGGGCTGCCGTACATCTTCGTCGGCAAGGGCTACAACCAGGGGAAACGGGACAGCTTGTGCTTCGCCCGTTCGTTCTTGTATCACTTCAAGAACCGCTCCGAAAACATGGTGACCATGTTCAACAAGAGGTTGTACGATTGCATTGGCACCGTCTTCGTCCAGCATGGCCTCGACACGGTTGACTACCTCGTGGGCATGGACGCCGACACCGTCTTTGATGAGTTTTGCATCATCGAGATGCTCCGCGAGATCCGCTCAAACGACAAGCTGGTTGGTGTCTGCGGCCACGTCTGCGTCGACTTTGACGGCAAGCCGTTCAACCCATGGGCTCTCTACCAGTCGGTCGAGTACTCGCAGACTCAAGGCCTGCGACGCATGTTCCAGTCTCGCATCACGGGCAAGGTCAACTGCCTGCCCGGGTGCTGCCAGCTGATTCGTGTCGACGAGTCGACGTTTGGCGACGAGGTTCTTCGCGAGCGCTTCGGATACTGCCCTAAGCCTAACGACACCATGACGTCGCACATCCTGGGCAACTATTCCGAGGACAGTATCCATGCCTCCATCATCTTCAGCTTGTTCCCCAAGAAGCAGACTGCCCAGGCCCTACGCGCCAAGGCATACACCATTGTGCCGACCAACGCCAAGGTGTTCCTGTCACAGCGCAAGCGCTGGGCCTTGGGTAGCATCTCGAACGAGTTTGTCATGCTGTTCCGCCCGGGCATCATCGTTTTGGAGAGATTACAGAGCTTCATAGCCGTAATGACATGGGCCATTACGCCTTTCATCTTGACCGCCGTGGCAGAGCTCATCAGGCTGCTCATCACGCAGGGTGGCAGGCTGTTCCATAACCCTGCGTTTGTCGTCCTTCTCTCCATCTTGGCCTCTCGCTACGTAAGTTATCACGCCTTTCTTCTCCAATCTGCATGCGACTAACATCGTCTCTCCTTGTCGTAGGTCTACTCGTTCTGCGTTGGCTTCTGGCTTCCGCGAAATTGGACGGAACGTGGCCAGTATTTTGCTGGTTACTTCCTACATTTCCTAGTCTCGCCTCTCGCAAACATCCTCATCATGGTTTACTCTCTCTGTAACTCGGATGATTTCAAGTGGGGGAAGACCAGAGAAGTGGTCGAAAGCGATGAGGATGTCGCTGAAAAGGGAACGGGTGTGGTTAGAGACGCTCATTAAGTTGACGGAGAATGGTTTGTACAATGTATAGGCATGAAAGCATGAGCTGGCTCCGACTGGTAAGTACATCATGCTCTCCTCTTTTCTTACTACATCGACACGAGAAGCTGACCTCTGCAACAGAAGGATCTCCATAGAAGGATCTCAAGGGTTTCCCGGGCCTTCAGTCACTTCGGCCACCCAGTGGATTTAGTCCGTCACCGGATAGATCTGCTAGTAGGAGGAGGTGTCGATAGAGTCTGCCGTTCATATTTGCTTTTAGTTTGGCATGCGGTTCTTCTTGTGTCTTACCTGAGTCGGCTGCCCGTACTCTGTTCATTCATTTACAAACTCAAAAAAAGTCTTTGTGGCATTTGGGTAGAAATATCGGGTTGTGTATGCGCTGTTTCCAGTGTCAATAGATGTATAGGCAGCAACGAGGCTCTAGATTGATGTACGGTCGTGTCTCTTGTGTACTGCCAGTACTTAATATAGAATAATATGAGAAATTCTCATAAAAAGCCCAATTATTCAACATCATACGGTAAATCGTAACATGTTGAGTGCCAAGACCGTTCGGCTCATCACATCTCGAAATGTATATGCAGCCATCCGCATCTTCCCTGTCGACTGCCAACATGGCAGCGCGGCGTGACGCCAACAGGAGCGGTGTAGATGCTGCATCCTGTGAATCTGCATTACGACCAAATCCGTAGTTGGACGGCAGTGAAGCGAGGCGAGCCAAGGCTACAGGACAGGGTTCGGAATGCGTTCAGTTACTACCTGTTCTGATGTTGGCATCCACATGGGACCAGCTGAGAACTTGGTCTCGCGCATGTCTTGGTAGTAACATGTTATATTCGACACGTTTGATGATGAATACAAGTACAAGTAAGCAGACGCAACATGAATCCGGATCCTCACATCATGCAACTCTCGGTTCGTTTCTGAAGCTTGGAACAGACGGGTATTCGCCTGGCTTTGGTGGAGACGACATGACGGCAAATCAACTCTTCCAGCCGTGTTCGCCTCTAATGCATCACATTTACAAACCCTTCTTGTCTTAAGCGCGCATTATCTTTGTCTATACATCCCCTACTCACACAAAAAAGACACAGCCATGAACCCGCCGTCCTTTCAACATCACCTTGACCCAAAATCCATGAATCATGTCTCAACAAATCCCGTCTCCCACCTTTCACGATCAACCTCAGATCCCTTCTCAAACCCCCATCCATCAAACCAGGCAGATGGCATCAACCACATGCCCCCCCAAACCCCCTGCTAGCCCTTCCCCCCTCCAGCCAACAACAATCCTTGCCCAGACACCCTCAACGAACCCCTACCAAGCAGCCCATCATAGCACATGCATACGGCAAACACCTGGTGCCACCCACACACACGCAAATCTGCCATCATCAAAGAAAAAAGACGTGAGCAAGGCCCCCCAAAAATTCCCACTCAGAAGCGCAACGCGTTCGCATCGCGAGAGAGAGAGACGGACAGACAGAAATAGGCACACGCCAGTCGGGACATGGTGGGTGCGCGCTAGCTAGACCTCATGGACGCATCATATGACTTCTTACATCTTACACTTGTTGGTGTAGAGATGGGTGGAATCCTTCTTTGAATGAACGGCAATACCTTGTTTCTTCGTCTTTTTAAACCGCTTCGTTCAAAGTGCACAAGGTGTGGTGCAGGCAGCCATGACGAGCTACATCGCAATACATGTACTTACACGCAACACGCGTGAGAGCTCGCAGATGCCGTCAAAAGAAGGGGGGCGTGTGCGTGGGAGCATTCAAACAAAGTCACCTGTAATGAATCTAATCTACTAAAGGAATGAGATCAAACAAGCCGTATTAAACAAAAGGATTCATAAAAAGCGTGGACCGTCCTCGTCATTCTCTCCGCCGCCGTTCTTTGTCTTCTCTTCTCTCTCTCTTTGTCCCAACTTACACGTCAAGCGGGTGTATTGTCTCACTCTTTCATTCCACATACTCCCCCCAAAACCACAACCAACACATTCCTCAACCAAAATATTCACTGTCCATTTCAATAAAAAAAAATGCTTCTCCCCCCAGCTCCAGCTCCCACCCAAGCCCCCTCCCTCCAGAACCGCCAAATCGACTTCCGCATCCTTACACAAACCGTCGTCCGCGCATCCACCACCATCGTCACAACCATCACCCTCGGCACCATCGAGCCAGTTGCCACAGAGACAATCGCTGTCGTGCCTCTCGTCACCCACCACCATGGCCTTTCGGGTGGGCAAATCGGCGCCATCCTCGGCTCCGTAGTCGGCGTCGTCGTCTTGCTCCTCATCGTCGGCTTTTGCTATGTCGGGCGCCGAAGAATGCCCATCACATACGAGGAGGAGACCAAGACGACGAAGAAGAAGAAGAGAAGAAGCAGCTCTCGCACCACTCGCGGTATATACCAGTACACGGAAGAAGATATATACTATGTACCCACCCGGAAGAAGTCTTCGTCAAGGAGGGCCAGCGTCAAGGTTGAGGTTCAAGAGCCTGAAGCCGTGGTTGTGACTGAGAGGATTCCTGGAGGCCCCAAGTTTCCCACATACCGCGCGATCCCAATATCAAACCCTCGAAATCCTCAAGTATGGCGATCAGGATAAAACTGTTCTATTACGAAATAATGAAAGGGGGGGTTGATAATGAAAGTGACGGTACTGAAATCGACGGACTGACAGAGATCGGCCATGGCGCATGGCTTGCATAGTCTCGATGGGCTTGTCCAACATCAATAGCCTCGATGAGCTTCTCCTCCATCGACGCCTCCAATTAAAATAAGCAGACTAAATCATCGTGATGGGTGGGGAGTAAATGATGAGGGCCAGCCCATCATCAAAGAGTGATGGTGTCAGGGATTGACGCACGACATCTAGCATCGGATAGCATGGTGAACCATAATCATAGCGATAATCTTTTAATGAGTAATGACTAATTCGAATTTTTTTTTTTTTTTTCATTTGACACCCATCTCTCTGCTTAAACTGTGTTGTTACCCAAGCCTCCGCATTTGTGAGACTTATCAATCACCTTTGTAAGCTGTGCAGCCCGGTTGAGCTGTCTCTGGACAGCCCGTCTGCTGCTTGGGTTGAGGCTAGACTTTTCACGAAGAGGAATGCCGTCCAAGCTCAATGCAAGCTGTGCCGCCGCACGACCGGCAGCCTTGGTGTTCACCGTGATGGCCTCCCAGTTGATGTTGTCCAGGTTATCGCAGGCCTGGTGGTAGCACGCATCTTCTGGGGCACCGGCGCCGGTGAAGAGACCAGAAGAGGGGATGCCGAGCTCCAAGAAGGCAACATAGTCAGAAGATGAACCGAATCCGCTTTGAAAGCATTAGTTTCCAATCCCTTTGTGACTAATAATGGGAGTACTCACCCATATTCGACAGGCTTGCCCTTGGATTGAAGGTAGTCAAAGAGGATGGAGCCGCCAGTCTTGTGGGCATCGGTATCGGCGTACACAGCGTAGATGGGCTGCTTGGAACCAATCATGTCATAGTTGAAGTAGAAACGGATACGATCTGCCTCCTCTTCAGACAGATGTTGACCATAGTACAGAGAGCCAATCAGACCGCTCCTGTTATACATCTTGATTAGCCAATGGACTTGATGGACATTTACAAGGCAGAAGAAACTTACTCTTCAGCACCCCACCAGGCAAAGCGGACTTTGTTTTTGAAGCCCTTGAATCTCCGGAAAGAACTGGCCAGCTCAAGAAGACCAGCAGTTCCGCTGCCATCGTCGTTTACACCTACATTTCACATCGTGTTAGTCTAGCGTCGTGTAACGTTGTTCAAGCAAAACAGTAGGGCAGCATCTATACACACCGGCACCGGCTTGGACAGAATCCAGATGAGCACCAAGCAAAATCACGTTGTTTGGGTCACCCTCCTTGGTCTCCGAAATGATGTTCCAGCTGTCTCGGATCTCGTTGACGGAATCCACGACGAGAGTGGCGGTTAGGGTCTCGCCTGCTCCAAGACGAGCTTTCCATGCAGTACCCTCTTCCTGAGTAATGACGCCAACAGGAACCAGCAGTCCAATGTTGTCGGCGCTCAGTGTAGCCGATCCAATGGGCTGGCCTGGGAGGTTGTTGTACAAGATGACTGCCAGCGCACCATGCGCCTTGGCCAGCTTGAGCTTGTCGGCAATGGCACAGATGCCTCGCCTCACCAAAGCAATCTTTCCTGAGGCGTCGATGCCTTCCCACTGGTCCGCAAAACAGGCCGATCCCCTTACATCGTCAACCGGCGTGTCGATGAGCTCGGCAGTGATGCCGCCAGGAAGAGGTGTGGCGGTGTTGTATTGAAGAGTAATGACATATACGTCTTCACCTTCAGGTCCCTTGACAGAGATGCTCCGGGTGCTCTCAAACAAGTGAGTGAATGGCTGGACGTAGGTATCAAGCTCGTTGCCGAAGCGCGTCTGTACGCGTTCAAGGATGAAATCGATAGAAGCGTTGTAGCCAGGGAGGCCAAAGGCTCGGTTGCCGCCGTTGTCGTTTGCGATGTGGTTCAGGTTCCAGAGAACATTTTGGAGGCTGCGAGAAGTTTGGTTAGCAGATGGAATGCATCGTAGGGAAGGCCAGTAGCTACTTTTTTTCTTCAATGTCTCTCTCGACGGCGTCGGGTGTAAGTTCGTCTGACGCAACAGCGGCCGAAACAAGAAGGCCAGCGCAGGCCAGATTGTTCCAGAACTTCATGGTGCGAGCAGAGCCTCCGTGATGTGAATACTGTATGCAACGGTGTAAGTGGTAGTGGTAAGTAATACTAACAGTATATCACCACTCCTACTATTCACATGCCAGTGGGACGAAGAAGAATTGAGTCAAATTGTTCGAGGCACCATCCAACCTTTTATCTATCAATCAACGCCCGTCCGACTATACGGGAGACATAGACAGGCAGCTTTGATAGAGGCAGTTGCTCCGGCCCAGACCATCGGCTAATCACCCGCCCCCTGCCAGCCAAGACTCTATTCGCAATAAAGCCCTGGCATTTCCCAAGTTAAGCTTGTCGAGCCCGATTCCTCAACCGGAAGCTGCCAGAGGCAATCTCGACACCTTATCGTCTTGGCGGCGGAACGGGCAGGTCTCGATGGCACTCACGCCTCAGCGGAGCCGGTTGGCGCAACGAACGACTGAGCCGATTGGCGCCCGCAAGGACTTTTTGAATCTTGTCCGACGAGAGAATCACGGTGTGATGGAGTGTAGAATCACGGCGGACCAACTTCCAAGATGGACCGGCGCGGCTGGGCAATGGCACGCTGTGAGAACTTCTGAAAGAGCATGCAGACGAAAGGGAGGCTCTCCATGTGACCTCGATTGAGACATGTATGTGTACAGCAGCCGGGACATGCGGAGACAAACAAGTTGCGTGTACTCGTAGTTGAGGGGCAAAGTTGGAGAAGCATCGTGAGTGTATTACAAGATGAATCAAAAGTACCTTGATACGGAGCTTGGCATGTCGGATTGACCAACCGCCGGCCGGAATGAAGCTGCACTCCAGTGGTTCATGTAGCATCCGCCATGTATTAGTAGCCCCGATACGACTCTGTGTCCCTGCATTGTGCAAGTATTTCATGTCCATACTTGATCCCATCAGCCATAGCAGAAGAGGAGAGAAAGAACTGAGCAGACATGAAACACAGACTATATATGACTAGAGATTTCACAGATAGTAACACCCTAAAGTCTTCTTCATGATCCAGGTTCGTCTTGTTGCCTCTCTGGGATATGCTACCCTAGACGGAATACGAAAGAAAAAGGGCATTATGTCAGCCTCGTATCGGTATTCGGAATCACACCATAGACATTTCCAGTGACCTAATAATAAGGTGACTTGAAGTATTAGTAGTAGCACCAGGTTGAGTTGAGTCGAGATGATGCGCTCAGCACCAACTCGACGATACGGAGTTTATCGTGAATCCATGAGATCGGACTTGATAGCATATCCTTGATATTCAGGTACTTGCAATCCACGTGTAAACGCGGCTCTTGTCCAGGTCTCTTAACCACCGACGGAGGTTTTGCACCGACCACAGCCCCGGATTAACTGGTTTTTGCGAAAATCAAAAACCCCGCCACCGCCCAATTAAGCTTTATCGACTGACTAACAAAAAAAAAAAGACCCCTCCAGGGCAGCGCATATCGCCGGCAGACGGGAAAAGAAACTCGTGAGCTGCAAATAAAAAGCTGGACGCCCGACTTCTCCCCTTTTTGTTCCACCTACATCCAAACCGCTGCTTCATCCTCTATTCTGCTCTATTCATTCACCGCCCTTTTAATTCGAAGCATCTCTCGATAGTTCCTCTCGACACTTGTCACCAGCATCAGCCATGGCCGATTCCCAAATCCCCCAGGTCAGGCGCAATGCCCCAACCGTCCTCTCGGCCGCCGACCTCATCGGCAACACGCCCCTCGTCAGGCTCAACAAGGTGCCCCAGAGCCTGGGAATCGAGTGCGACGTCTACGCAAAGACGGAGCTGTTCAACGCCGGCGGCAGCGTCAAGGACCGCATCGCCCTGAGGATGATTGAGGAGGCCGAGAAGAGCGGCAGGATCAAGCCCGGCGACACTCTGATCGAGCCCACCAGCGGAAACACGTACGCAGTGGCCCATCCTCTTGCAGCCCCCCAGATAAGCTGACTGGCTTGTTCGTTCGCTAACACACTTATCCTTGTAGTGGTATCGGCCTGGCTCTCGTCGGCGCCATCAAGGGCTACAAGACCATCATCACCCTGCCGGAGAAGATGTCCGCCGAAAAGGTCTCGGTCCTGCGAGCTCTCGGCGCCACCATCATCCGCACGCCCACCCAGGCCGCCTGGGACAGCCCCGAGTCTCACATTGGTGTTGCCCGCCGCCTCGAGAAAGAGCTGCCCAACGCCCACATTCTCGACCAGTACAGCAACCCGGCCAACCCCGATGCTCACGAGTTTGGCACCGCCGAGGAGATTTGGGAGCAGACTGGTGGCAAGGTGACTGCTGTTGTCGCTGGTGCGGGAACTGGCGGCACCATCACTGGTATTGCAAAGGGACTGAAGAAGCACAACAAGAACGTCAAAGTCATTGCCGCTGATCCTCATGGCAGTATCTTGGCTCTGCCCGAGGCGCTCAACGAGGAGCACATGAACGAGGGATACAAGGTCGAGGGCATTGGCTACGACTTCATCCCCGACGTTCTGGACCGTGACATTGTGGACAAGTGGTACAAGACCGACGACAGGCAGTCTTTCTACCTTGCCAGGAGGCTGATTGCCGAGGAGGGTCTTCTCGTCGGTGGCAGCTCCGGCTCTGCCATGGCCGCGATGCTGCTGGCCGTCAAGGAATACGGTTTCAAGAAGGGCGACACGGTGGTTGTTGTTCTCCCCGACAGCATCCGCAGCTACCTGTCCAAGTTTGCCGACGACGACTGGCTGGCCGCCAACAATCTGCTTGCTCCCACCGGATCCGAGTCGGCACCCGAGACTGGCAACAAGGCTGCCTCTGACCCTTACGAGGGCGCCACCATTGCTTCTCTCCGCCTGAAGCCCGTCACCTCCGTTGCCGATTCCGCCCTGTGCTCCGAGGCCATCGAGACCATGCGAGACAAGGGCTTCGATCAGCTGCCCGTTCTCTCCTCCTCCAGCAAGCTGGTTGGCCTCGTCACCCTCGGCAACCTTCTCAGCTACATCTCTCGCGGCCGTGCGACAGCCCAGACCCCCGTCAAGGACGTCATGTTCGACTTTGGCCGGCTGGACGAGATTGTCACCGACCCCCGCAAGTTGACCAGCGGAACCAAGACGGGCGGCAAGCGCAAGTTTGTCGAAATCACCATGGAGACGCCTCTTTCTACTCTTGGCAAGTTCTTTGAGTGGAACAGCGCTGCCGTCGTCACCGATGGCAAGGGTGATTCTCACTCCCTGTCCAAGCCCATTGCCATTGTCACCAAGGTTGATCTGCTCACCTGGATGGTCAACCAGAAGCTATAAACGCCATCTTTGATTACCCTTTTCTGGAGTAGAACATGATTTGATTCGTATCTGAGGAGTTTTGCCAACGGGCGACCATTTTCTTTTACGTCGGGGCGTCATTTACATTTTTCTTACAAGTTTTTTTTTCTTGGATCAGCGACGGTGGAACTGGAATATAGATCAACAATATTGCGCGGGGCCTGATAGACTCAACATCTCGGGAAAAGCACATGTATAAATGAATTTGAATATGAATGGATTTTTCATCAACCTCGTCTATATGTTGTATCATACAAATGTGAATGTACATGTGCATATGTTGTCATTATTATTAAGTAATCTTCTCATTTCCGTTCCTCTGTCGTTACCCGTTATTAAAGAAGTTGTAGCCAGCATGCGGCGTTGTACTCATACACAGTCCATCTAATACCCATGCCATCCCAATTTGCCATGCCATTTTATATTCTTTGAGCAATCCACCACCACCACTTGTCCGCACCAGGCTCTTCGGTCAAGACGCTGCCGGCCAGCACCTCGACGTCAATGTCGAACTCGCCCATCTGCTGAAACGTGAACTTTTCGGATCCGTACTCTCCCAGCCAGCCATCCTGCTCCTCGGAGCCGACGTCGTCGATGCCGACGCCCGAGTCAAGCAGGCCCTTGCTTCGGGAAGCGCGAATCCGAGTCAGCTCCGTCTCCAGGTGGGTCTTGACCATGGTGGCAGGCAGCGCGGTGAAGAGGTCCATCTTGTTGGCGGCGACGAGGACGGGGATGGACGCCTTGTCCTTGCCCTTGGAAGTGGCCCTCCTTTGCAAGAACAGCAGCACGTCGTAGAGGTACGCAGCCGTGGGGGCGAGGGTTTCCTGCTCGCCGAGCGCGGCGGCATCGACGAGGAAGACGACGGCCTTGGTCTTTTCGGTGCGCGCGAGCTTGCCCATGGCGACGTTGCGCAGCTTTCCGTGGCCGGGGGTGTCGACGAGGAGAAACTTTGTGTGCGTCCCCGTGGCGTCGTCGTGATTGCGGAACGAGGCCTTTGTGAGGGAGTCGGTGGAGGCGTTGAGCTCGATGGAGTGCGAGACCTGGGAGGTGTGCGTGGCCGAGGGCTTTGCTGCGCCGCGCTCGAAGAGGGTGAGGAGGGCGGTCTTGCCGGCGTTGTCGGGCCCGAGGAGGAGGACGCTGGGGGGGACGGTGTAGGTGGAGGAGGAGGAGAGGACGAGGTGGAAGAGGATGGGGCCGCCGAGGATGAGGAGGATGCCGATGAGGATGACGGGGAGGGAGGGCGTCATGATGATTTCGACGAGTTCGGTGAAGGTGAGGGACGCCATGGTGGGCGGGGGATGTCGTGTCGTCGAGGTTGTGGTGATGTGGATATTGATGAAGCTTTGGAGTTTTTGTAGAGGAGATGTGGTTTTAATCTGATATAGATATAACCCAGCAATTAGCGAGTAAAAGGGCCCCTGTTGTCGAGATGCAGCGACGTGGCCTGATGCGTTTATCCAGCGCAGAAAAGTTGTGCCCCCGGTCTTCGCCTCGAACGATGCAGAAGCTGCGGATGTTGGGGTGGCCGAGGAGTCGGACGAGATTGGAGATGATGCTGTTCTTGTCGAGTTTTTGGGGCTGCAGGGAATTGATTGGCGGGGGTTGACAGCTGGGTGCGCCACATGTTGAGATGGGCTGAGGTGTGGCTTTACTGGTGCTTCTTTGGTGTGCTGGGCGCTAACAGCTGGGCGCTGGAGGTCTTATCTGCCCCCCTGGCTTAGTGGATGGAAACAGCCCTGGAGGCTAGAATAGTTGAGACTGACTCAATGATTGAGAATGAATTGCTGCATGTCTTGATGACTTGATGCCAGCATTACTGTTTCGGTTACTTTGGAATAATGAAGTAATCAAATAGAGCCATCATCAAATATACATGTATTCAGAATAGTAGGTGCTGTGCTCGTACTCCCTCGTCCATCGTGACAGTTCATCTCTGCTAACATCATTAGTACTGGAGCTCTCCATCTCCCGGCTTCCACTATAAATGCCCCGTCCCAATTACTCCGTAGTGGCTACGCCGGCAATCTACAAGCGCCGCATGGGCTCCCTCCAGGCGCTGGGCTGGGCCTCTCCATGGCACATTGGATTGGATGCATCTTCCGTCTAATTTCGTATTTGATTAGATTGACCAGCGATTGATCCTTCTAGCATGGCCGTGTGTAGGTACACGCATGTGTCATGGACATTTATTTTCCCCTGCATATCATATCATGTCCATCACATCACATCACACTCACTGAGATTACAGATTACATACTCTCTTTTATCCTCCATCATCCATCATCCCGTCATCCATTTAATTACACATCAAATTCTTTTCCCCCTCTGGCCACTAAAATCTCAGCCCAAATTTTGCTGCGCCATCCTCCATCCTCCCTCCCTCCACTCACATTGCGTAATTCGGCCATGGCACCGCCTGTAGCTGTTATCGATATCTAATCAAATCCCCCAACTGCTGCAATCGTCAGCCTGTCTCCAGTTCCTGATCCTCTCTCTCCACCAAGTCTCACCCTCGTCGATCTCCAGATCCGGCTCGTCCCCTCCGCCTAACGAGCCGTCAAATCCGAGGACCCCTGGACTTCTTTTCTTCTTCTTCTTTTTTTCTTTTTCGTTTCTTTTTTTGATTGCATTTTTCTCTTCTTTTTATTTCTCGCTTCTGCTCTCCCCCGCAACTCCGCAGTCGACGGCTTGGTTCTCGTATTCGCCAATCCCAGCTTCGGCTTCAGCCCTTCCAGCTCAGCTAGGCGGAAGCGCGGACGACGCTCGTTTCTCGGCTTTCGACTCGACTTTGACTTCGACTTCGACCTTTCGTCTCTCGTCTCTCTCCAATTTCAGCATCAGCATCAGTTATAGCCTCGTTACATGAGTAGTGACAACCCGCCAACCCGCGCAAGGAACACCTCGGCAGCCTCTTCCACGACAACCGCTGCCGCAGTGCCTTTGCGAATGCAGCCCTCGTCCAAGTCGGCAGCCGCGGCGCCCAAGCTCAACAGCGAGATGGAGATGGGCAGCCTGCCGGCGGACGAGCCCGCGCCGGAAAACGACATCATGCAGCTGGCCCGCATCGGCGACGTGGCGGGCATGGAGAAGCTGTTTGAGTCGGGCGAGTTCGACGCCACCTACAGCGACGACGAGGGCATCACGCCCTTGCATGTGAGTTGCGACTACAAGTGCTGAAGAAGCTGAAGAAGCTGAAGAGAAGAGCCCAAGAGCCGCGAAGCTGACGTGACGCTGCTGTTCGCTGCTTGCTAGTGGGCTGCCATCAACAACCAGTACGCCATGTGCGCGTTCCTCATCGAGCACGGCGCCGAGCTCAACAAAAAGGGCGGCGAGTCCATTGCCACGCCTCTGCAGTGGGCGGCCCAGCGATGCCATTACTACACCGTCAACCTGCTGCTCCAGCGCGGCGCCGATCCCCTCATCACCGACTCGCAAGGCTACAACACCCTCCACATCTCGACCTTCAACGGCAACGTCCTGCTCATCGTCCTGCTGCTGCACCAGGGCATCCCGGTCGACGTGCTGGACAGCTACGGCCACACGGCCCTCATGTGGGCGGCTTACAAGGGCTACCCCCAGCTGGTCGACACCTTTCTGCGATGGGGTGCCAATGTGCATGCCACCGACGAGCAGGGCTTCACCCCGCTGCACTGGGCGCTGGTCAAGGGCAACGCCGCCTGCGTTCTCAAGATGATCGAGTACGGCGCCGACCGCTTCGCCAAGACGGACACGGGCAAGACGCCGGCCATTACGGCCACGGAGCTCAACACCACGCCGGCATGGCACCGTGCGCTGCGCGAGTGCGGCTACGACGAGGACGGCCATGTCGCGACCCCGCCGTGGCCCGGCGCAAGCTACTTCCTCAAGGACAAGAAGGCCTTTCTCACAAAGTTCCTCTTTCTCTGGCCCTTCCTCATGGTCTTTTCCGTGCTGCTGATCCTGTCCAACTTTCCCGTCATCTTGGGCCTGCCGCTGTCGGCCGGCGGGGCTTACGGCCTTCTCTGGGTAGCCAAGCAGGTGCTCGAGTATGCCCCCTCGGATATGCGATCATTTCACAAGACGGTAAGTGTCCTCCCACTCTCCTTGATGCTGGCTTCACATGGGGACATGTCGCTAATGTCGTGGGGATGGAAAAGCCCTGGATGGCGGGCATCTTTGCCGGATCTCTGTTTCTTGTCGGCCTCAACTGGATCTTGTTCGTTCTACCGGCAACAATCGGGTGGTGGGGCGGTTCCTCTCACTTTCTCCTGAATGTTGCCTTTGGGGCTGCTTTCGGCCTGACGTCCTTCTTCTACATTGCCTCGATGCGTTATGACCCCGGCTTCGTGCCCAAGATGAATGGCATTGCCGAGCAAAGGGCTGTCATCGATGATCTCCTCAAGTCGTGGCAGTTTGACGACTCCAACTTTTGCGTCGTTTGCATGATCCGCACGCCGCTCCGAAGCAAGCACTGCCGACGCTGCCAGCGATGTGTGGCCAAACATGACCAGTAGGATACACCTCCTCACTCTGTTTCAAAGGCTGGGGTAACTAACTGTGTCCGTACAGCCACTGCCCATGGATATTCAACTGTGTTGGCGTGAATAACCACCGCCAATTCTTCTTCTACCTAATCTCCCTTACCATTGGAATTCCCATCTTCGACTGGCTGTTGTATTATTGTATGATGACTCTATGGCTTGCTTTCCAAAAAAAAAAGTGCTGACCAGCTGTTTCAGATTTTGAACAAATTACCCCCTCGGCTTCAGAGACTTGTGCTCTCTTCGGCCCATCTGTCTGCAAATACATCAATGCTGACTCGTACTCGCTTTTCCTGGCCATCTGGGCATCCCTCCAGCTTCTGTGGGTGTCCATGCTGCTCTTTACACAGTTCATCCAGGTCGCCCGTGCCATGACCACGTACGAGAACATGACTGGCATCCGTGTCAACACCTCTCTATCTACAGCCTTTACATCCACGGGTGCTCCGCTCGACCCCAACCACCCGTCCCTTTCTGTACCTACGGCACCGGCAGCAGCCGGCCACGGTCATGGCCACGGTCATAAGCACGGGGCTGGCCTCTTCAAGCAGTGGAGCCAGCTGCTCGGTGTCGATCCCTTCATTGAGACCATTACCGGCCGCGGCGCAGCTACAACCAAGAACAAGCGCAAGAAGAAGAACCCCTTCAGCAGGGGCTGTGTTACCAACTGTAAGGACTTTTGGTGCGACCCAGCTCCCATCTTTGGCCGGCGAGAAACGGGCCAGGCGAGCCTCGGTGGCGATAAAGTCGACTATACGGCAATGTACGAGACGCCCACTCTCATGAGCATTACTGGAATGAGGACCCGCGGCGGGTACGAGGCCGTCGAAACAGAGGAGGTGTAAATCAACAAGAATGAGTTTTGACGTTTTATGGTTGGAAAGAGAAGAAAGAAAAAACAACACTAATACCGCATTGTAATATGAACTGACGCAATCACGGCTGGATCTTGGAAGAGATGGCCTGGTTTGCTTCCCCTTTCTGTTTTCCACTTCTCGTTTCTTCTCTTCTTTTGTGCAATGGAGCCAAGGGTACAAATGCGTGTCGGAGTGTTGTATTATCTTGGATCGGTACAAACTGGGATACTGAGTGATGGATCACTCGAATGATTAACGACACACACTCGGATAGAAATGAGGCAGTCATGACCCGCATGGCGCTGGAGAGGGATCACTGTTGGTTTGCATAGCATTGGAGACTCGTTTTGATAAGGCATGCTGAGCGTAAGAATGGATAGTGGAGCAATCACGTTAATTGACTGAAGCATCTTGTGGCTTTGTCTATTTCTCTCTTGGATATCATGTTCCCATGGTTTGTTGAGTTATTAATGCTAAGAAATGTTTTGCCATAGATCCGAAATCAGGGTATCATCCATTGCCCCAAGCTCCAGAAACTCATCCAGCCTCTCTATTACATCAAATACAGACACGTTCGCATTAACCTGGCTCTCTCCCACTGCACCACTGGCTTCCTTGTCCAGATCCACAAACGGCTCTTGTTGATGTAAATGACTCGGGACAGGCGGAGGGGCGCTGAGCTTATCGATGGAGAGGAGATTTTGCTTGGTGAGCGCCCAGTCGACCAGATCGAGGGCGATTTTCATAAAGGGGAGATCGCGGCACAGTTGGAGAAAGACGATGGCTTGGTGGATGTAGATTCGGGAGCGAGACTTTACGGATTCGCTTTCGGATGGGCTGAGGACGATTTCGAGGTGCAGTGCTAATACAGTTGGGCCAATGCTGATGCTATATATTTTTTTTTGTTTAATTTGAGGGCCATATGCATAAAGATTTTAGTTGGAAAGGGGGGGGGACATACCATGACATTGGAAGCATGGAAAGCATATCATACGCCATGGCCCGTCCGATGATGGCATCGAGCTCATATATCGCCGCTCTCACGGCCATGGCGGATTTCTTCTGGAGTTCCGGGTCGCGGCCTTCGGATTCCTTCCTCAGGATGCGGCAGAGCATGCTCTCGTAGCGGTAGCTCGACGTCAAGAGGACCATGTGCCAGATGGAGTCGCTGCGGACGTGGGACGGGCGGTGGATGGGCTGGAGGGATTCGGGGAGGGAGGAGCGCCAGAGGTGGAGTTCGGATTGGATGAGGTCGAGGGTTTCGCGGGGGTGGGATTTCAAGATGGAGAGGCATTTTGTTGCTTTTGAGGAGTGTTAATAGGGATGATGGGGGGGGGGGGAGTGTATTCAGGGGTAAGAGGGTTTGGGGGGGGGATTAACATGCCTATTCGTGCGAGACGGCAGTATTCGATGAAGTACTCGCGTTGCTGCTGTGTGAGAGGAGGGATGATGTGGGCGTAAGATGCTGGGATGTCGTCGCCGAGGGATTCGGGGGTCGGGATGGTGAGGACTTCGTTGTCTTCTGCGTGGATCATGCGCATGTTTTGGGCGCCGCCGAGGAGTAGCGTGATGTCGCGGATCTGGAAGAGTGAGTTTTTTTGATTGAATTTCATCGCATGTGTATGGAGTGACTTACGTAGAGAGCCCACCAGATTCGTTGGTACAGTTTACATGTTGGTGATTCCGTCTCTTTGTGTTCAAAACTGCAACTCTTTTGTTAGTCTCATACTGGCATATTGATGGGCAAAGTTACAACGCGAACTCACCTCTTATGCAACCCCATCTTGACAGCCAATCTCACCGCATTGTGAATCCAGTACCTGAAATCCCGGTCAAACGACCCCGTCACGGCCGTCATCCCCAAGACAATCGATCCTTGCAACGACCGCAGCTGGTTCCTCTCGCAGCCAAACTGGTACAGCAAGCTGGCCCTCGAAAAGTACGTCTCGATGGCCTCGCATCTCGCAGTGAAGCCGCACGCCTCGAGCAGCGGCATGGGCGCGTAGAGCGCCGCGTTGGCGAGGATGGCTTGCATGAGGAAGAGGGAGAATGAGCCGGACAAGTACGACTTGACGAATTCGACGGGGTCGAGGATGGGGACGTGAGGGTGGCCGAGGGAAAAGTATGCCTGCAACATGGCTTCGCTTTTGTATACATCATCATGTTAGAATATATATGTGTATATAAAACATGAAGGGTGATGAGTGAGTTTGGCTTACCAGTTGTGTTTGGACGGTAAGCTAAACGCCGACTTGTTGTTCAAATACTCTTCATCCAGCGGATCAAGCCCTTGAATAACGACCCGGACCTGCGTCGTCTTCATCTGCGTCGACTTGGTAGCCACGGGCTTCCTATCATCCACAACGATGCGCGTCACTCTGCTCGACGTCTTCGCATCGACAAGCTCGCTGATGATGGTCATGTAATGCATCTCGCTATGATACTGAACCAGATCCGGCCCCGTCTGAGACGGCTCCAGCATGATCTCGAGAGAAGGCAAGCTGGATCCCTTTGCGATTTGCTCGCATTCCTGCGCAATCATGCACGTCTCCGGCGTGCGGGCGTCATCTTCGGAAGAGGACGTCTGGCCCAAGTACAGAGGCGGCGTCCAGGATTCAATCTTCTGGCGAGGAATTTGCCGTCAACGACTGAAGCTGTGTGCATATACTTGAACGATGGTATGGACTTACATGTGGAGTTGCACTATAGCCGTCTTCATGTTCTTGCTCGCCATTTCGGCGATTCAAAGTCTCCGTGTCCACCGTGTGTCTCGCTTTGGCAACTCGTCTATCGCCGACGTCAAGAGAACAATAAGTGGTTAGCAACTCTTCTCAACCAACCGGAACCCCCCCCCAAACAGGAAAGACGAAGTGCATATATAACAAATCCCCAGTGTCTGGTTTTTGCTTTCCTTTCTTCTCATCATCATCATCATCTTCTTCTTCTTCTTCTTTCTTACCTTCTCGTCCTAGGCCGTCGAAGTACCCGCACACACGACTCCAAGGCTTCGTCTCCTCTCGTAGCGACGCATCTACTACACGGCAATCCGATCTGTTGCGCATCGCACTTGAGCTTCCGCTCGTGGCACCGAAGACACGCCTTGATAAGATTTCGTGTCATTTCTTGCTTCTTTTCCTTCTTTCTTTTTTTTGCCAAAAAAGTATTGTGAGACCCGTTAAGAAAAAGAGAAATGACTATCCGCGAGCAAGTATTGAATGGATGGAGCACCAGGCCAACGGAAAAGGTCAAGGAAGAAACTCCGCGGAAAAGGGAACCCAAGCAAGGGGCCCCGCAGAGTCGGGTCGGGGCATGATAGTTGCCGGGAATAGGATAGAAAAGGGAGGGTGTGGGGAGCGGCGTTTCGGATGCATTTGCCGGCGTTGTATTGGGATTGGAATTGCGAGATGGTGCAGGATAGGCGATGTTACGTGGCGGCGTGAGCTATTGTTGGAACTGGGATGGAAGTCACTAGACCTGTTATTTATAGACGGAGGGCGCGAGAATCATATGTCTTTGGGTTGTTTGTTTGGAGGGCGCGGAGGTGAGTTGACGGGATGGGTTGGTGTCTTGAGTCTTACACTTTGGGTTGACAAGGACACGGATAAGCATGGCAACATTCCGCAACGTTCTATAACAACCCTGTATTTCTCTATATGCGAGCTTCTTGGTGACAAGTAAGCAGCCACGTTTGTACTATAACATCAATGCGCCCCCCTTCTTCACGGCTGTCGCGAAATAGTAGGTGGACTTACACCCCGAGTTGTGGTTTCGCGTCTGCCTATCAATAGGACTTGACAGGGTATAGATTCCGTCTGACACTTGGCTGTTTGTTGTCACTGATGACTATTGTTAGGAGGAATCTATTCTCTTAGAGACTCCGACTATTTGCTATTACGTGTATCGCTTCTACAAGCTCTTTGTACGTGTATCCAACGTATCCAACCATTATCTAGTAAACAAACGTGATCCATCCATTAAACATCAAATCCGTACACTCATTAGCCATCCATATCCAACAATGTTGCAATGCCATAACCATGAACAGTAAAATCAATCCAAAATCACTCATCATCCCCCCCTCCACTGCCCGCCAAATCCCTCGCCGGTCCACACTCAACAACCCGCCCACGATCCAACCTCAAACACCACGTCGCGTCCTCCACAGCCTCCAGCCGGTGCGCAATCGTAATCACCGTGCTCTCAGCCAACTCCGACCGCAAGACTCGCTGCACCGTCGCCGCCGTGGCGCGGTCAATCGACGCTGTTGCTTCGTCGAGGATGACCAGCCCGCTTCGGCGAAGGACTGCCCGCGCGATGCCTACAAGTTGTCGTTGGCCTTGGCTGAGGTTCTTGCCCGCGGCGTCGATCTGCGATTCTAGATTCCATTCGGGGCCGAGGACGCGGTGGATTGCGTTGAGACACTCTTCGTTGGAGAAGTCGGCGCCTGGATCGATGTTATCGCGCAGCGTGCCGGGGAACAGCGTCGGATCTTGCTGGATAAAGGTGATGCGGTTTCGTAGGGCTGTTCGATCGACTTGAGATAGATCGACGCTGCCTACCTTGAGAGTCCCTTCAAAAGGCGCCTGCGTCATGAGAAGAGCATTGGCAATGGTTGACTTTCCAGATCCTGTACGACCCAGGACGGCACATGTCGAACCTCCGGGAATCTCAAACGACACTTTATCCAGCACAGAGGGTAAATGGTCGTCGTACTTGAAGGACATTTGCTCGAATCTGACATCGTCACAAGGTCTGGGCCAGTCTTCAGGCGGATCTTGTTCACCTTTGGGTTCTTCCGGGATCTGGTTCAGCATGTTGACTCGCTCCAGCGAAACGGCATCAAGCTGTAACTGGGCAAACCTCTCGCAGAGCTGCTGCACAGCAGACATGGCGATCATCGTCTGCGTCAACACGAAACCAACGGCGCTGGCCGGCATCCTCCGCCAAATCATAAACAGAATCAGCGCCGTACGAGTAACGACGGAGCTCAAGCTCAGACGAAAGTCGAGCCAAAACGCCATGCTCCAGAAGAAGTGGTCCTGCTTCTGAAAGTCGTCGACGGCATCCAAGTGGCGGTCTTGAAAGTGCCTTTCCACTCGCAGAGCGCGAATCGTGATGAGACCGTCTTGCATGACGCCGATGTTGGCGATGATGGGCGTGAGATAGCGCATCTCCATGCGGCGGAGGCATCGTGACACGGGCACATAGATTCTAAAAAAGTAGACGAATAGAATAGCAACAGCGCCGAGAATAGCAAGCAATACCGGTTGGTGAGTTGCAATGGCCACCATGCTCATGACAAGGGCAATCAAGTTGAAGACAAACGACTCCAGCGGCGCCACGATGCCGCCGTCCACCATGCCCATGTCGGCGATGAGTCGGTTCTTAAGCTGACCCGTCGGCGTCGTATCGTGATACCGGAACGTCGCCCGGCTGACTCTATCAATGGCGCCCTTGAAGAGACCCTTGGCTGCGTTGACGCCGATTCGAGCGAGGAGAAGCTGAGCGGCTGCATATGTGACGATTTGTCCTGCAGAGAGGCCAGCCAGTACGAGAAGCCAAGGGAGGGGATGAGAGTCGGGTTTGGGGAGGTTCCAGTAGACGCTTTTCGTGTCGTCTGCCACAGAATCCGCGCCCCAAGCCTCCAACAGTCTGGCTCGCGATATGTCGAGAAATCGAGATGCGCCGTATGCAAGTCCGAGAAAGACCCAGAGGTGCCATCCACCAGCCTTGATGTATTCAGTATAAACGCCGAGAGACACGCTTCCCGTCTTGGCCGGCTCTTCTGGCGCGTCCTTGAGCATGGCGATATCCTCGGCGCGAATGTCGTGGGCCGTCTCGGTGTCATCGTGGGCCGTCTTTCCGCCTTCATGATAGGGGTGCTCAAGCTCTTGCTTGACCTGCTCCTCTGAAAGAACGGTTGCCTGCCCATCTGCAAGGTCAATCACCTGGTCGGCAATACGGAGAACAAGATCATCTCGGTGAGTCACCACGACAATGGTGCGGCCTTGAGCAAGAGGGCCTTGAAGAAAGCGGCGGACAATGGCAGTGGCGGTATCGTGATCCAGAGCAGCCAACGGATCATCGAGAAGCATGATCCTGCACTGGCTGTAAACCGCTCTGGCAAGGGCTACACGAGCCTTTTGACCACCGGAAAGACCAACACCGCCTTCTTCAAGCTTTGTCTGATCGCCATCAGGGAGAGAAGCAAGGTCAGGTAAGAGAGCGCACGAATGCAGAACCTGACGGTATCTCGACGAGTCAAACGGCTGGTGGAAGACAATGTTTTCTCGTATCGTCTTGTTCTGCAGGAACGGAAGTTGCTGGGCATAGGCCACGGGGACGTCGGGCCTGATGAGATCGCCTTCGTGAAGCTCCATCTCGTTGAGGGCGGCGAGGAGAAGACTGGACTTGCCGGAGCCGACCTTGCCCCTGATGACGCTAAGGCCCTGGGTGAACTTGAAGCTGAGACCTCGGAGGATAAGCTTGTCGGTTGAAGGCCAGGAGAAGGATGCGTTGCGGAACTCAATGTCTGTGACGCTGCTGGGGCTGTTGGAGATTTCGTCTCTGTCGGGCTCGCTCATGTACTTGTTGACTCGCTCAATGGGGATGGTGGCCTTCCAGTAGGCAGAGATGAGGTCGAAAGCCTCCTTGACGCTCATTTCCAGCTGAGAAAACAGCTGCAGCGACGGCCAAATGACATCGTTGGGTAGACCCCGTCGAAGGATGAGGGTGTACAAGGCGATGCTGGCCAGGGGATAAGACGTTCCACCGGTGACGCTGACAGTGGAAATGGCGGCAGAAACATGGGCGATGCTCAGACGCTTGGCCATTTCCATGGCTCGGAATCTCATGATTCTGGCGCTCCAAGTGGCCGTCCAGCCGTTGAGCTTGAGGGGACGGCTGGCCTCGACAAAGTGAGAGACGGCCTGCGCGCGTTTATCGGAAATGGTTGTCCTCTGCCGTTCGAGCTTGATCAGCTTGCGAACCAGCGCCGTATTAATCGTCAGGAAGACAATCATGAGCGCGAAGCCAATGGCTGAAGGCCAGCCCGTGATGTCGATGAGATACCACATGGTGACGACGACCTTGATGGGCTGGGAGACGAGCTTTGAAAAGTCCCAGAACCGCTGCGAGATTTCATACGTGTCTCCTCGGACTAGATTGACGACTTTGGCGTTGGAGGCTGGGCCGGTGACTGCTTTGGAGCTCCGCTTGGGAGGGCCAGACATTTTCCAAAGCATTCTGCCAAAGAAGGTCTTGGGTTTTCCACCAGGTGCTTGGATAGCTTGTTCGTTTTCATCGGCGCCCTTCTCTGTTATGTCTGAGCCCGGCACGGCGCGAGTTAGAAGTTTGCCAAAGAGAGCGATGAAGGCCTCTCCGCGAGAGCGTTCATAAGCCTTGCGAGAATACCAAGAGGACGTCGTCTTGCACAGCTGGCGAGCGACATCCAGAACCAGCATCACGAGGCACCAAAACGTGGCATCGGCGGGATTGCCGGAATCCAGGGCGCTGTAAAGCTTGCTCGTCAGTCGAATGTTGGATACCTCGGCGACTCTTTCGGACACGGCGAGCAGCGTGGCAATGAACAGGTCAAGGCCGTTGGCCTCGATGAGGCACAAGAGAAGCTTGCCCTGAAGGTCGCGAAAGGCCATGTACAGGCGCGAATGCTGGAACTCGTAGGGGAGCTGCCAGACGTCCTCTTCCGTGATTTCCCTCTTGCGGCAGAGGGCAGCCAGGGGATTGACCCAGCTCATGGTCCAGAAGCGAAACAGACTCAGATCGTCCTCTGGGCTACGGAGATTGCGCGATGGCTGGCTACCTGCTTGGCCAATGTCCTTGTTGCCCCACGAAGGCTCACGGAGGGGCATCATGCCGATGAGGATAATGGACAAGAAGCAGAGCGCCATTCTTGCAATTCGAAAGTGGTCGAGGGCGTACAGAGTGTGTTCCAGGAACCGGACGGCGTAGATGGCGATGCTAGCACCGAGAATGGCCACATATTGGATCAACAAGAGCCGAGGCGTCTTGGTCGGGCGATCAATCATGGTGATGAGAAGAGCAAACGTCCACGGAATCATTTCCCAGAGATACAAGTAGTGAGTCGGGTTGATGATGGCGGGAACAAACGAGAGTACCATGCCAGCAATGCCGATGAGAAACAAGGGGATGGTCCAGAGGGACCAGAAGGGCCTTTTGAGCCCATCTGGCTCGGTTTCTTGGGCAAATGGCCTAAGCCACAGAGGTAGCTGAGCCTTGATGATGTTTCTGCTGATGTAGAGGGTGAAGATGGCGGCGGAGATGACGGACAGCGCTTGAGTGATTGTAACGTCCATGGCGGCTGAAGGTCTGTGGCCCGGTAGATGTGGTTTCTGCAGGATGGAGAATTGGGGACGAGAAGAGGGCGACAGAAGGATTTTGTCCATGTCCATGCCGGCCATGGCGGGATATCCCACCATGTTGAAAAAGCTTCCCATGGTGATGGCGTAGATAAGGTTAGTGAAGAAGTATGCTAGTGACAACAGACATGGGAGATATGGGGATAAGTGTAAGAGCAAGAATCAACTGAGAGGAGGCGTCTTGAAGGTTTTGGAGAGTTCTGGGGGGCAGTTGATGCGATATCGCGACTATAGCAGCGCGTCAATCATTCATTGAAAGGGAGATGTATCTCGGGACATGAGTGTCTGCAGCAGGCGGCTGGATATTCGACCAATTGCAGTGAATCTGCCCTGTATTCAATGTAGAGCATGCGTCATCTCAGCCTCTGATACGCCCCGAGAAATCAACAGCAAGACGCCGATTGGCCATTATTCTGGCGATGAAAGTGAAGCAAGACTTGCGGCTGGTTCAGGAACAGAGTTGGAGGTTTAGTGGCGGTGGACGAATGAATGCGTGTGGAGACGGTGGAGAAGGGCGTAAGAGGGAGGATTCAACCGATTTGCTGGAGGGTTTCCGGGGGGGTAAGCAGAAGCTGCACGTGGGTGGTGATTGAATGGATGATGCTTGAAGATTCAATTGATCAATTGGTGATGGGCTGCTGTTGAGTTGATCGAACATGCCTGTCAAGGGAACAGGATGAACCAAGACACAGACAGGACAAGACACTGGGAAATTCACAGCAAATGGAAAAAGAGTCCATGGTTGGTAAAGAAGAATCAGTTCCGTTTTATGAAAACTCCCATGTCATCATCATGCATGCTCTCATGACTGAAAAAGAAAAGCAGACTTTATATAGCGCCCCCTAGTAACAAACAAAGAATTCCCGATTTATCCCCCCTCGAATCCCAATTTAGTCTTAAATCATCAAGGCACCGCCAGCAAGAAGCATGGACAGACCAGTCAAGGCGCTGCCCAGGCTGACGACAGAAACAGACCACGAAGAAGCGTGCAGCGCGCTGGCAGCGTTGGTCGTGGTGGCAGCGGCAGCGCTGCTCTGCGTGCTCGAAGGCGCGGTCGAAGTCGAGGGCGATCCGGTGCTGGTGCCGGTGCTGGTGCTGCCAGAGGCGCTTCCGGACACGAGGGCGGAGAGCTTGGAGTCGCTGGCAAAGGACGCGGTGACGGTTGCGTTTTTGCAGGCGCTGGGAGGATCGACGGATCCAGAGACGAAGTTGGCGGCAACGCACTGTGTTTTTGTGATTTGGGGTTAGCATGATTGACTCAGAGACATCTCAGAGACACTTGGGAGAGACATGATCCCATGGCAACACAAGAGGTAAACACACCTGGTAGAGGAGACCGTCAGGGCCATCAGCGACAACGCCGACGACGCCCTTCTTGCCAGCCCAGCTAGAGGGAAGCACAACTTGAGGCTCGCAAAAGTTGCCCAGGCCGCTCTGCTGGACAATGGGGAAGATTTGCTGCCAGCCAGACTCGCCGGTACCGTCGAGGGTGGCGCGGAACAGCCACGAGGTCTGCGGGTGGGTTGAGCGCATGGCCAGCGAGTCGCCGCCGACGTGGAAGTCGACGAGCTGCTTGGAGCCGGAGGAGACGTCGGGGGTGAAGCCGCCGCAGGGGGAGGTGCCCTCTTTGTCGTCGTCGAAGCCGATGGAGGTTGGGTAGTTGAGGAGGAAATGGGCCGAGGAGAGGGAGGCCAGGGAGAGGATGGCGGGGAGGACGGCAGAGGAGCGCATCTTGACGATTTCGATTGTGATGAGAAGAAGGAAAAGGTATGAAGATGGAAGACAGACGAGGCAGAAGGCAATTGAGAGTCTGGAGAGAGGTGTTGAAGGAGAGAAGCTTGGCGAGGCTGCCAGCTGGTATTTCAACTCATAGCTCCAGCCCCGGCAAACACAAACACATGGAGAACAACTGCTACAATGCTCCACCAGGGGGGGCCCTTGGAAAGGGAGATGGCGCCACTAAAACAATGGGCTCTCTGGACTATGCTATGTATGACTACGAGTGGCCGGGGGGGGCAAAGATTGGAAACGGTAGCTTGGATCACGGTTGAGCAAGATTCATTCTTTGCGGCTCCGGGTGAGACTGAGGCGATACGGGAGATTTGATTGTGCTTGTGCTTGTACAAGAGTCAAGCAAACAGTGAGGCTGAATCCGTTGATGAATGTCTCACGGCCGTCGTTATAGGATCAACAGAGTCATGCCGAGTATAACATAACATACATGTACATAACCAACTGCCAAGCAAAAAAAAAAAAGAGGCCCCAATTGCGTTGCAAACAGTGAATAACAACAAGAATTTGGGTCAGTATTAAGCATCTTGTTGCCCCTACTCCGTACCATCCTTTCTCCAAATCTTCTCCCCAAATCCAACCGTTCCAAAAGAGAAAGTCGATTTCCGGATCCCGAATGGCGGGGAGGCCAAGACAGGGGACCAGGCGCACAACCAGCCAATCACACGCCTCCGTTGCTACCCATTGAGAGCATTTGAGCAAGTTTATCCAAAGGCGTTTGCGGTGGATTATTTTTTTTTTCGGTTGGTTTTGGTTGGGATGGATTTTGAGGGTTTTGAGGCTGGATGGAGATGATGCTGGAATCAACCCGGATGCATAGGCAGTACGGAGTACAAGGGAGAGATTAATCCATGTTTCTCTCTTGTATGAGCACTCAGCTGGAATTGCCCTCTCTTGGCCGCAATCAATGTCTTGGGTCGAACCTCGTGGCACCTCGACGTTTGCAACACCTTGCGCCTGAAACCACCCACTCCGCCTCTCCTACATGTCCATAACAAACCACCAGCTCTTCTTCTTCTTCTTCTTCTTCTACATCACCAAAAGCCACAAACTTGTCTCTCTCCTTCAACCTCTTTCATCATTGTTATTTTAAGCAACACACACACCAGTCCTGGAATCAAAAAATCTCGGCCCCCTTCGCTTCCAGTCTCCTAGTCAGCAGAGCATCTCACTCCTCCTCTCCAAAACACACATCCAGCTCTTTTAGTCCAAACAAAGAAAGAAGAAAGAAACTCCCCACTTCAAAGAACCCCCCCACATCTTGGCTCCGTGAGCGAGTTAATTTGGTCCTTGGTCTTCTTTCTTGTTGCTCCGCCCGCTCTCTCTCAGACAAACCTGCTCATATCACCTACCTTGATACCTTGGCCCTCTTTTTGCCGTCTCGTCACCTGGAAATCTCGGAACACGGCAAGAAAAGAAAAGCTGTCGTTGTCGTTGTCGTGTTTTCGCTCGCACATACAAGAAGAGTATTGGAGCGACACCGACGAGAGCAAGGAGGATTTCTGTCTTATCGCCTTTGATTGTCAGGAGACGAAAAATGCGTGGTTGAAAGGCGCCTGGTCTCTCACTTACTCACTCACTGTTGACTTGTCACTGCTCTCTACCCATTGTTTGGCTATAGAATATCCTCTTACGGTCCCTCACCATGGATGGCATGGACATGAGCGGTGATGGCATGACGGGCATGGGCTCCGATGTCAACCACCGCTTCGCCCGCGCCTACTGGTACATAACCGCAACCGTCGTCGGATCGCTGATGCTGATTCGAGGCGTCAATCACATCGGCGCCCTTCAAAGGTATGTGAAGCCATCTCCAGATACACCACATCACATCACATCATATACTACATCTCCTCTCCTCAACCCTCGACTAACTCTTCCTCTACAGACTCAAAGCTGCTTCCACCCGCTCATCCCCCCATCCAACCCGTCCCAACTCCCCCCTCTCCCAATCCTGGGCCACCGCAACCGCCCTCGTCCGCGAACTCACCCATCCCCAGCTCTTCATCCCCCTCCGCCACTTCTCCTGGCTCACCCCCCCTCCCCTCGGCCGCGTCCTCGTCCTCCTCTGCTACTGGTCCGTCATCATCTACTTCATGACCTGGCGCTCCATCGTCCACGACGTCTACTTCTGGGAGCGCATCGGCTACCGCAACGCCTGGGTCACCCTCACCCAGCTGCCCATGCTCTTCCTCCTCTCCACCAAGGTCAACATCGTCGGGTTTCTCGTCGGCACCTCGCACGAGCGTCTCAACTGGCTGCACCGCTGGGTCGCCCGCACAATGTTCGTCACCTGCACCGTCCACGGCTTCAACTTCTGGACCGAGTGGGTGCGCGCCGACTTTGTCGAGCTCGAGCTCGACGCCATGCCCATGGTCAAGTACGGCCTCGGCGCCTGGGCCATCCTGCTGTGGAACGTCGTCGTCGGCTTCGTGCCCATCCGGAGAATCGCCTACGAGCTGTGGGTGCTGCAGCACGTGGCCTCGTCCGTCGTGATGCTGGTGCTTGTTTACTTGCACATCCCGACCAACGCCCGCTTCCTCTTCTGGCTGGCCGTCTCGTTCCTCCTCTTCGACCGCGCCGCTCGCTGGGCGCTTCTCCTGTGGCAGAACCTGCGCCTCAAGGCCGGCGGATCGGCTTGTCAGGGCCGGAGGCGAGTCGGCCATCAGATCCTCGCCCGAGCCGTGGGCGATTCCACAACCGTCGTCACCATCAAGGACGTCCACTTCGACTGGGCTGCCGGCCAGCACATTTACCTGTGGATCCCACGATTGGGCCCCCTCGAAGCTCATCCTTACACCATTGCCTGCGCGCGCAAGATGGAGGGAACCTGCTGCTGCAACAGCGTCCAGCTGATCCTGCGCAAGCACAAGGGCTTCTCCAAGCGAATCCACGACCACGCCTCCAAGAACCCCGAGGCCTCACTCGTCGGCTTCCTCTCCGGCCCATACGGCACGCCTCCCCGCTGGGACATTTACGAAACAATGGTCCTCATCGGTGCCTCGACCGGGGCGTCCTTCACTCTGCCTCTTCTAGAAGCCGCAGCTCAAGCCGACTCCGTGGGATGCGTTAAACGGGTCGAGGTGCTCCTCGTCGCCCGAACGTTGAAAGAAATCGAGTACTACGTCCAACGCGCCCAAAAAGCCGGCGAATCCCTCATCCAGAAAGGCGTCCTCGTCAACATCCACGTCGCAATCACACACTCTTCCCTCGGCACCGACGGCCTCCCCCTCTCCCGCAACGACAGCAGCGCCTCCTCGGCCAGCTCCGAACTCGAGCAAGACGTTAAAGGTGCCGCAAAGGCCTGCTGCTGCGACAACAAGGACGCCAGCGCAGCAGCCACCACCAGCGAAAAGGCTCCGTCAAGCCTCCCCGTCATCCGCGAGTACACGACCCGGCCTAGCATCGAGCAGCTTATCAGACAGCCTGTTGAGGCTGCCTATGGCGAGACGGCTGTTGTTGTCTGTGGAGGTCCGGAGATTGTTGCTTCGACGCGTAATTGCGTGAGCAGGTTGAGCGATGAGCGGGCGGTGCACAAGGGGACTGGTGCGCAGGGTATTTATCTGCATGTCGAGGAGTATTCGTTTTAAAAAAAAAAAGGGGGGGGGGGGGGGGGGGTGGTTTATGAGTAACGACGGGTTTGTGTGCATATGGAACAGGGATTTATATATCAAATGGGAGTTGGCGGCGTACATTGTAAAAGTCTAGATATTTTCTTTAGACGAAACAGGGCATCTGCATGACAGTTTAAGGGAGCTGGCATTAGTAGCAATGAGAAATATATACATGATACAGAAAGCGACCTCGTAATTTTCATGATGATATTGTTGATATTAATTATTAGTTGTAGCTATACATACGGTACTATATATGTGTAGGTAAAGCCGGTAGGTAAGGCGCCGAGACAAGATGTAGAATACATTTCGACAGGACTCAATTAAGTCAGTAAATATCCAGAAAACAATCGTTGTAGCTTCGCGCAAGCGGAATATGCAGAATTTCCAAGATATACACAGCCCTCATCCCCTTGAGAGAACCCAAGCCTCTCGTTGTTGTCGTCATCGTCATCGCCGTGGATTAAAAAGTTTTATACAAGTGGCGAAAGTTGCGGGTGAAGAAAAGAAAAGAAAAATGGTCGCCATGTTGCACTCGTACACAAGATCCGGGTGTGTATTTGTACACGGAGTGCAAGAGTAATGCATCGCAATGCTTGCTCTACAATGAGCCGTTGGCAGACCTGGCATCGCCGGTGCCCTCCAACAGGGCCTCGGCCTCTTGGTTGTCCTCTGGCCCGCTCGACTCGGATCGGTCGTCCTTCTTGATCCGGTAGACGACAAACTTGTACATGCTGCGCAGCAGGCAGTAGAGCCAAAAGACGTTGAGGGCCTGCAGCGAGGCCAGCAGGACAAAGGTGATGACGTTGGAGATCCAGCACTTGTACTGCTGCGTCTCCCAGTTGAGCTCGTAAGGGCCCACGGTACGGAACTCGGTGAGAACGGAGTAGAGGATGCGAAGATTGATGTAGTGGCGGAGATAGCACCACACGATGATGTTGGAGACGTAGATGGGGATCACCAGCGGGCTATCGATATAATGAAGCGACTTTGACAGCTGTTGGGGAAACAGTGGTCAGTATCAGTTATACAGAGGAGAGATGACATGAACATGATTGCCACACGTACCGCAAGAAACACATCGCTAACGTCGTGTGTAATGTAGACGGCAACGCCCATGTGCGTAAAGTGGAAGCGGTAGCTCAGCCCAATGAGCGCCAGCGTCACCACATGGTGCGCCACCAGCTCCTTGTAGTCCTTGCGCGGCTTCTCGAAGCCCAGAAGCATCACAATGCCCTGCTGCGCCCAATACGCCGCCTGGAAGAGGTAATAAAACTTGAAGGCAGCCTCGTGAGAGCGGTGCGGAAAGTCTTCGTACATGCCCGCCGTGTTAAAGTACCAGACAGGGCTGCGGCTCATGACGTAGATTCCCGCCGGGCCCATGCAGCTAAAGTAGATGGCCGTGTACATTTGCTCGGCGAAGCGCATCTGCTTGCCTTTGCTCTTGATGCCGTTGATGCGGCCGAGCGGGATGAGCAGCTCCTGCATCATCAGCTCGCGGGTGAAGGACAGCACCACCGTGTAAAACGACACAAAGGCAACGTCCCAGAGCCCCTTGCCGTAGTGCACGGGCAGCGTCGGGTCGACATGGGCCTTTGGATTCGGCTGCTCGTACGACAGGAAGATGAAGCGGCTGACGGGGTTGGACTCGGTTGGGTTGACGAAATAGGCGGCAGCAAAGGTGATGAGCAGCATCAGCGGAATGGCCCACGTGTTTCGTACCGAGAAGCGCGCAAACCGTCTGAGCAGAGACCGGGCCTTTCGTCGCTTCCTGCGGTCCGTCGAGAGGCGCGAGGAAGAGCCATTGGGCGTGGCAGCGGAGGTTTCGGTAGCCCCGGGAAGCTGCTGATGCTGCCTCTGGCTGAGGCTCTGGGATTGACGCTGACGAACAGCCTGAGCTGGTGAAGAGGAGCTGAGCAACGGAGCGGCGTCGAGCCGAGCCATTGCTGCGAGAAAGAGGCTGACGGAGGTGATGTAAGCAAAAAAAAAAAAAAATCATAAAGGAGAGGTAAAAGGTTGAAGGAGGAAAAGGGAAGAAGAAAGTCTGGTGATGGTGTTGTGGAGGGCAGTTTACATGCTTTAAAAGGGACAAGGTCGCGGGGTGGTGTGCCCGGAAAGCGACTTGTGCAATACTTGTGGCTTTTCAGGCCAGGACGGGCTGAAACGGGCGTGCCATGGCCAGCTAGAGCCTTTATAAGCACTAGGTTTGATGGAGAGGCGGGCGTCTGAAGGTACCAACTTGGTATCCCGGAATGGCTGGCAGCTCTGATCAAGTACCGGCTGCTGCTCCAGCCAGAGTCCCGGCCCGACAAGAGAAGCGCCCGATGACGTCCATGGACCGGCCAGCCCTGGATCCGGGACTTTTGGTGCAAGATTGGAATTCAATGGAGAATAAGCCATCAATTCGTTCCATCTCACAGCCAGAATGCTTATTGTAAGTCCACTATAATTACCTGTAAACCTCTGCTCTTGCTAGTATCTACTGCCCTGTAATGCCATCGTCAGAGTGTATGTACATGTGCCATCAATGCTTCCACCATCACATGCTTCCATTCTACTGACCCGCTGAGCTGGACCCGCTGCTGTGGGATCAACATGGACTGATCCAACGCCTTTCAGGGTTCAAAGACGCTAAATCTTTTCTTTTTCAGGGCCATCGTGATGCTAGCCAGCGATGGATGGGCCTCTTCATACTCCTGGCTAAAATCCCCCCCTAAATCACGGTCGCACGGGTTCCGCGGGCTCGGGCTGCCTCAAAGGATCAATAAGATGGGCACGAATCGAATCCTTTCCACTGCCGCGACTGCATGCCTTTTTGAAATTATTCAATACCATCTCCACAAACTATGCTCTATCCTGTGTTAGCAGCCGCCGAACCGGTGTGGCTCTCGGGTTTGCGGGCGATGGCTATCGCCGGATTGGAGTCTCGAATAACAGTTGAGGCTAGGCATAGAAGACGAAAGTGATTTGACGAGGGCGCACACAAACAATTAGATGATTGTGTCAACAATCAACACTCTAGAACCTACATCACCCCGTAAAACATCATCTAGAACCTCATGGATCGTGCCATGCCGTACAACAAAAAGTTCATATCCACCAATTCAACATCTGGCGTCAAACAAAGGCCGTTTTCTGCCTCTCAGTTCAGGCTCACTGGTATCAAAACCGCGTAAATCAAACCATGCCAACCGTTTACCCAAACTCCCAAAATCCCCCTCTCCATCAAATCATCCGTACAACAGAATACACAAGCAACAAGACATTCAGGTAGTCCACCGACGCGGCGCATCAAGCCGATTGAGAAGCTCCTTGTGCTCGCTCTGGCCCGGCAAATGCAATCCGCTCGAAATGGCATGTGTGCGTCCATGGCGGTACTCCCAACCATTTAGACCGCCCTTGTCCGCCTGAGTCTCGTTTCCTCTTCTCATGATCTTCTCCTTCTCCGCCAGCAGCACCTTGAGCTCTGGTTTGACCTCGTACACGGTCCGGGCCCAGTAATCGAAATTCTCAAACTCTACCGGGTCTCTGCCCTCAAACTCGGTCATGTCATCTTCTTCGCCGTCGCTACGAATGTCTTCGGCGTTTTTGCCGCTGAGGACTCGCACTGCGACCTTGAGAATGGCGTAGGACCAAATCACCATGAGGCCCTGTAGGGCAATGAGAAACGTAAAGAAGCCGATGAAGATGCTCCTGTTGGCGCAAACCATGCCTTGTGGCGAGTAAAACGGCTCGAGAAGTCTCCATCCGGTGGACTGGGGTAACGGACCCTGAAGATTCGCCATGGATCCTTGAAAGCAGTCGTGTGGCACGAGGCGACCCGTGTCGTAGTAAACGCTGTGAATGACGACGAGGAAGAATACGTGGCGAGTCGCGAGCCAGACGACGACAAAGACTCCAAAGAGGCCGTCGCAAAGCTTTCTATAACCCAGGTATTTGGCACACTTGGCAAACTGCAGACAAGCTGTTAGCGATTCTCTTCTCCGAAAAGGAGGGACCAGGAGTGTAGACGTAACTGGAAAGATGAGATCAACAACATCCATGATGATGAGAGTCAAGTTGCCGACGCGCGTGAAATGGTACGAGTACGAGGCGGCAACCAGCGCAATGGTGGCAAAGTGGTGCACAATCGTCAACCAGTAATCCTTGCGCTGCTTCTCGATATGGACAACGAGCATCTGCTGAAGCCAAAAAGCCAGCTGCGTAAGAAAATAAAACTTCATGGTTCCGCTAATCTCGCGGCTGGGCCATTCGGTCCAGAGCTCGGTCATGTTGAGACAGTAGGGGGAAGTGTACCAGATGTACTATCCACGTCAGTCAGCCTGCTATAACCAGTTTCAGGAAGACACAAAGGTCGAAATAAAGGACATACAAGACCAAGGGGCCAAAAGACAGAGTAGTGGATAATGTTCCACGCCTGTTCAGAAAAGCGAGCCACGTCCTTCTTCTTGGAGATGCCGCCACGTCGCGCCAGAGGGCAAAGCACAAAGGTCATGACGGCATGGCGCAGACCAGTGAAGAAGACGACAAAGAAGGTGATGAAATAAAAGTCATTTCCGCTGTTTGCGTACAGTCCAGTGTCGGGGTTGTAGTGGGAGAGCTCGAAGTAGGGCCTCGTGTAGACGCGAGATTTGGGAATCATCAAGTGGCTGAGAAAGAGGAGGGCCAAAAGATTAAATGCGACAGCTATCCATCCTCAACGTCAGTATTTCGAGTCAATTCAATGAAAGAAAGTTGGTAATGATGGCTCACGGGTTTGGCTATCGACCAGAGTCTGCTTGATCGTGCGGCATGGGATTGTCCGGCTCCTATACCTCATGACAACTTCGTGCACATTATCGCGGACCGGCAGCTCGATGGGGATGACGGGATCTTGAGGGCCAAGTCGTATTGTTGGAATGCCCTTGGGGTCGTTGGCATAACCGACATAGTCGTCTGCCGTGTCATCTATCTTGTCACCCATCTTTGATGACTGGATGATGATGGTGACGAAGAAACAATCAATCTCTGCGGATGCTAGAGATTTGGTGTGAATTTTGCTAGAAGAGGGGATAGGCGACGTAATTCAGATGATCGGGGATGAATAGGGCTGGGCTTGAATCGAGTCCAAGCCAGAGTCGGGTGTTGTTTATTCGTCTCTGCGAGATGCGGAATGGAAAGATTCCGAGATGTCAAGATGAAATCTTTGCTTTCTCTGCTTGGAGATTGTTTTGTGGAAATGGAGACAGGAGAAAATACACATAAAGAGAAGAAGACTTGACAGATGGATCCAAAACTTGGGCGCCTGGGCAGCTGGAGAGTGGGCTCGACAGTTGCCTCACTTTTCATATTTCACTTTGGCCGTTTGCCAGATCCACCTCGCCAGAGTGAATGTATCGACTTGCTCGGGGCAAGCAGACGAGGCTTGGCGTGTGAAGGATAAGATTTCAGCCCTGAGATTGGGCAATTATCGTTGGCTTTGACCGGTGATACGTATAGTTTGGTAATGGTTTGGTAGCAAGCATGGAATAATGAAGTGATGCTAACAAACTTGATGATTTGAGATTTCGAATGGAAACTCGATGGAGAGAGGAGGAGACATGTCCAAGGCGAGCCAGTTGTGACGACGCCATTGTATCCCTCTACCCTTGGTGAGGATGTGATGGGTCCTTGTACATCTTTGTATATGGGGTTTGTGGCGATTGGCGTATTTACACTCGCCATGTTGGATCCATTCGAGTTTTTTTTTTTTCGAGCAGTTGGTTTGTTTAAATACCGGGCCTGGTCCCATGATGAGGTTTAAACTTTGCAGTGTATCAGGACAACGCACATGTATGTATTCGCGCATCACGACACGCCTCCAGATTAGATGTTTGTACCTGTTCTATGGAGAAACTAGAAACATATACTTGTTTGTGATTTACGAGTCAACAAGATCATGATGAAAAGGCCAATGCATCTAGTTCAGACTCTGTTCACCCCCGTGCGGGATCCCGACACAGCACGCATGCTCACTGCCAACTCCTCGTCGCGTGTAAGAACAGCCCAATTCGTTATCGCATATAGACTATTTCTCTACTTATTTTGGTATCTTTGGAAATTGTGGCTTTTTGATATTGAAACCCAATCTACTATAGTGCCCCGTATCACAGTTGCTTTGGACTCAACTCTATATGCAAAGCAACTCTATGCCGATTCATGTGGCGGCGGCCACACAACAAGCCATTCAGCCCAGAAATCCACAGCACTAAATGACGGCCCGGTGCCTTAAATGCGGGTACGAGAAACCTCCATGGCGATCTGCGGTAGATTCTAGATGAATGGCTGGGTGTGCTTGTGTGTACCGTAGCATCAATTGTCAATGTTTGTTTCCATCTCGATATCAATCTTGATCTTGTGCCGTGCCGAGCCCGGCTTGTGCTGCCTCATATCCATGTCAGGATACCCTCATCGCCGGTACTACTACAGGTATACTGAACTGCCACTCAACTGCTCTGCTTGCACAAACTCGTATTATTTTAGATCCGGGAACCAACACGAACATGGCCACTGCCAGCATCCGCTAGCATTCATCATCTCACGGGCATCCGTGCGTTAAAAAGGCTCAGTTCATGTTCCCTCCCTTGCATCGCATCCCCGCGCCTCCACCAATACAATCAATGGCAGGGATTTTTGGCTGCATTCTGGGTCCCTCAAGGCGCAGCGGCTATTCTAGTTCCCCCCAGCCTCTGTCAATGTGTGTGTTTCAGCGGCTTGAATCAGAGTCGAGTTGATAGCCATTCCAGATCTCTCTGATGCTCACGAAGCCGGCGGCTCTATACTCTCTAATAACATACACAGGCAATAATAACACGAGCATGTGCATATACTCGTAACACTCTAGAGAGCGCGTCTGCCTTGTCTACTCTACTGTCGATCCCTGTAGATGATCAACTGCCAGACATGGATCCCGAGACACGAAATGGCTGCATCGTATCGGCTTGCTTGCCCAGAGGCAATCAATCAATCAACCAGCCATTGCTAGTCTGCCCAAGCTGAAAAATGACCAGAGAGAGACACGAAGCAAATGTGCCGCATCGAATCCCCGGCCCGCGTAGCCGCCCAGCAATTCATTGGCCCGTCATCCTCAGATACATGGTCCAAACAATGCACTTGATTTGTTGTTTACCCGTCAAGTGTGTTTCTTCCTGCTCTCTCCGCCATCTTCACCCTCTTCACCCCCTCCTCTGTATTCTATCTAGTAAGAGCTGGACATGGTATCCCGTTGAATTCTCCCTCCCTCCAACAAATACGCCGCTGCGTGCAATACTACAATATTACTCTCAATCACACGCCCAGACACGGGCCCCCTGCCCTGCATCTACCTAGCCGGGGCCCTTGATTGCTTCCGTCATCCGATCCTGCATTGCTACGATACGGCATTTCGTGCTTTTTCGTGCAGAACGGGACGTGGGAAGCAAAGATTGGGAGGGGAGCTCACGTGGGAAGCAAAAAAAGCGCCAACCATTGACAGCTAATTGATTGATTGATTGCCTGTCACTGTCACTGTCACTGTCACCTCCAGTCACTGGCCCGGCCTGCTCGTCTAATAATATTTTCAGCTCTGCCCTTCGGCTCTCTTCTGCCCTCAATCTCTTCTCTTCATCTACAGCATCTTCTTCAGCATCTTCCACCACTGCGAGGTCACATCACATCAGCCTTGCTGCTTCTTCTTCCTTCATCTTCATCGTCATCGTCATCATCGTCATCATCATCTTCATCTGCATCCTCCACCCCATGTCGACGCCATACATGTCACCATCGTGAGCATCTGGCCCGCCGTTGTGCTGCTCTCCTCCATTCTTCCATCTTCGTCTCCACACCAACGATATACAACATCTCCGCTTCCCCCACGGCCCCAAATGACACGAGGCTACTGTCCAAGCTCCTATGGCATTGTCCAGATGGTTGCCCGCGCCGTGGGCTGGATGACGAGCGTCACGACGTTGGTGATTCTGGCCTTCATCATCAACCAATGGGCAGACAAGGGCGGTGCCATCGCCGCTGGCCTCGTGGGGGTGAGTTGATCTCTAGCTACTCAATTGTAACTACCATGGCCTAACCGTTGCTCCCAACTGCTGCAGTCCGCCATCGCCATCCTCAATGACTCGTGGATCGTCGTCGCCAAGCTCGATCGGGCCCTGGGCTTCAACCCACTCTCCCCGGCCCGTGCCCTCCTCCACGATCTCTTCGCCCTGGCCATTTCGCTCGGCGGCATCGTCATGATTATATTCTCGCGCTACACGTACCCGGCCGATGGCTTTGCCGCGCTCGAGAGCGATTCCTCGCCTCAAATCACAGACGCGGCGGGAGAGACCGACGTCATCAGCAGAGAGGGCTTTTCGCAGAACAAAATGCTGTCCGTTGCGGTGTGGACGCTCACGGCTGTGGTGTAAGCTTTGCTCAGGCACTCTCTTCCTGCATCACGGTCGCTAACTGGAGAGAATAGCATATGGAGATTTATATTCATCGTCTGGGGCGGATTCGAGTGCTTTTTCGAGTTCCGACATATTCATCACACGCGACCTCGGCGGCGAGAGCGGCGAGAAATGGTTCAGGTCTAACAGTGGTCTTCTGACAGTGGCCTTGACGGCTAAACTCATGCATTCATCTGGCGTTTAATGGTTGACATTTTGGGAGTTTGGAAGGAATTTACAGGGCATGGTGCTACGGCAGGCAAGGATGATGGATTTTACGTTGTACACATCAAGCAGCGGTGATATACCCTCATGTGATATGAAGAAGCGGACATGCTCATGGTTGTTTATTTGTCTGGCCTTTGAAACAGACAGCGCGCGCAAGGAATTCCGAGATGAAACAAAAGAATTGATTTGCCAAGTTCCGTCTCGAGACCCAATTCGATTCATATTATGTTTCCATCGTCTATACAACCGCGCAAAACAAAAAGAAAAACTATTACCAACTCAACAAAGACACCATCACTCCCGTCTTGTAACTTTCGCTTGCCTGCTGTTGATGAAATAATACAGCGGCAGAAACAAGACGGAGCAAACCACAGTCACGCCCGCGCTATACAGCTGCCACAGAAACACCAGCAGCGGCCCCAGATACGGCAGCACAAAGGCCACAAAGTCGTTTGTCTGATACAAGTCCTCCTGGCTGGCAATGTAGTATCTCAGCCTCTCCTGCCCCGGCCCAGCCAGCGCAGACGAGTTTCGACCGTCGGGCTGGTATTTCGGCGCCAGTTGGCCCGGCTCGGACGAGGATCCTTGGGCGAGGCGCAGGACGGAGAGGAGCTTGACGGAGGAGCTGTGGAAGGGCACGAACCAGATGGAAAATGTCTGGCGGATGGAGACGTAGAGAGTGTTGTTGCGCTGGTCGAAGACTGTGTGTGTGAGGGCTCCAGGTTAGCAAAATATGCGCGAGACATGGGGCACACCGCTCATTTCTTATGATGAGGACCAGAGTTGATTGTGGTGCATGACTTACCAGATGAATCAACTGTGAGGTCAATTTTCGGACTCAGCGTGCGATACCAGCGGTAAATTCCCAGGATGAGCCAGCGCGAGTCGAGATCCCTGGCCAGCGGGATGGCGCCCTTGGAGATGGACGGGACGCGACAAAAGGGATGGATAAAGGCGGCGTTGGAGAGGAAATACGTGTTGAGCGTGTCTTGCTGCTGCTGCGGCGAGCCTTTGGTGAGGGTGTTGATGACGGCGGCGATTTCTTGGACTGAGAATTTGCAAGTTGAGTTTAGTTCATCTATGGACAATGCTTTCAAAGAGAGGAAGAGTGTAGTACCTGGATTCTCCATGATGCTTTCTTCTTGTTGTTTATGTTGTATTGCTCGCGTCTGTTAACAGAGGTTGATGGGATTGAGATTCAAGTTGCATGTGAAAAGTGCAGATTCCGGGATTCTATGATTTATTACAAACGTCTCAGTTAATTTCCTCGGTTTCAGGGATCTGATCCTGCTTAGCACAATCACATGCAAAATCGCGGCATCGCAATCACGCATCATCTCGAGTGCCAGGAATGGATCCATGAGTTCATCCATGTGGAGCGTCTCATTGCGGCCGTGACGTCACCATCACGAATGCTCAATGCCTTTAATCATATAAATAAAAACAAAAAGTAAATATAAAAGACCTCAATTCTTCTACTATCATTCCAGCTTCATTTGCATGTCTTTTTGATTCTAAAAGCTGGACAGCGATTGCATGAATCAACATGCCTCAAAGCTCGGATCTTACGAATCCGCTCCTCCACCCGCTTCTTTTCCTCTATCAGTTGCTGCAATGGTTCATCAATAAAGCTCTTGCTCCGTATCCCCCTCGGGAAATCGACCAATTGACGCGCCCAAAGATTGCCATTATCGGTGCTGGGTTGACGGGCGTTTCGGCGGCGGCTCATTGCGTTGGCCATGGCTTTGACGTGACGATTTTCGAGGCCGGGTCGAGGGATCGACTCGGTGGTATTTGGAGCGTGAGTTTCTATAATTCAAACCAAGGAAGAAAATGATTGATTAACTGACTGGCTTGTGTAGAGAGTCAATGACACGTCTGGCCTGCAAATCCACTCCCTCATGTACCGCTTCCATCCCTCCGTCAAATGGGAGGGCGGCTACCCCAATCGCAAGCAAATCGTCGACCAAATCGAGCAAGTCTGGAAAGCCTACCACTTGGACAAGAAGACAAAATTCGGCGTCAAAGTCAAGGGCCTCAAGCAGGACGACAAAGGCCGTTGGCTTGTCAACAACGACCCTTCCCTTGGACACTTTGATGGCCTCATTGCGGCGATTGGGACTTGTGGTGATGCCAAGATGCCGCATATCCCCGGCATGGAGAAATTCAAAGGAGAGATTTACCACTCTAGTGATTTGACCGGGTACGTTGCAGTAGAAAAGACTGGGATTGTTCATCATTAACACCCGCTGTAGGAAAGACGCCAAGGACAAGCACATCGCCATCATCGGAGGAGGCGCTTCAGCCGTAGAAGCCCTGGAATTCGCCTTTGCCGCCGGAGCATCCAAAGTGTCCATCCTCTCTCGATCAGACAAATGGATCATCCCACGAAACATGATTGTAGACACGCTCCTCAGCCTCAACGTCTTTGGCCAAGAGACTCTCTTTTCCTTCATCCCCGAGTTTCTCCTCCGCAAGTTCTTTTACCGAGATCTCCAAGATCTGGCTCCTACTCACGATAAAGGCATCTTCATGGGTACTCCCATGGTCAACTCCGACGTCATGGACAAACTGCGTCAAGGCAAAGCTGAATGGGTCCGCGGCGATATTCTCGGCTTCACCAGCCGCGGAGTCACCGTCAACCGTCGTTCTCGCGGTGTTCCCAAAGACGGCCCCGGCCACGAACAGCTCATCAAGGCCGACATCGTCGTCATGGCCACGGGCTTCAAGAGACCATCGCTGGCGATCCTCCCTGACGAATGCTTCGACGAGCCGTACGGCCCGCCAAACTGGTATCTGCAGACATTCCCCCCCGCGCATCCGTCCATCTCAGCCATCAACTCGACCTTTGTCGAAGCCATTGGCACCGTTGGTAACTGGCACATTGGCATCTACACGCGTATTCTTCTCATGTTCCTGCTGGACCCCCTGACGCGGCCGAGTCGGTGGTGGATGGAGCGCTGGATCGACATGACGCGCACGCTCAAGAAGTTTAGCCCGACGGGGGCGTTCGACTTTTTCACGTATCTGGAGCTCGTCTGGTGGTTTGTGTTTTGCGTGGCGTTTAACCCGTTCCGCTGGAAGTGGGCGCTGTTTGTGTTTACGGGGCTGGGGATTGGGATTCCGGATGCTATTATACAGCAGGAGAGGAAGTTTATGAATGGGGATGGATATAAGAATAGAGATGAGGGAGTCAGTGTTTAAGGGTGCAGCATTGTCATGAGGGGATATGTATCAATATGGGCTTGTTTTACTTGGGCTTAGAATGGCTATGGGGCCCGACATTGTTACTCAGAATCATGAGAGTAACATCGAGAATGTCGAGATATGTAGATTCAAGCGTCATTCTACAATATATACAACTTTTAGAAAAGGTGCAATTACTACTCAGTTCATCACCAACCAAGCAACTCTCACTCCCTCGGCCATCACTATCCACTCAGCCAAAAATCCTATTAACAATCTTTTCCAGCCCATTCCTGTGAACCACACTTGTCAATATCGCATATACAAAACCAGCAAAGCTCGCAAAACATACCTTGGAGGGGTAGGAATGTAATTCCTCTGGTACTCTTCAATCTCGTCCACATCTTTAAAAAGGTCCACCTCTTCAGGCTTATGGATCGACGTCTTGCGGATGAATTTGTACCCAAAGTACAACACTGGATAAATAAATATCATGGAGTATCTACCCACAAGATCAAAGTTAGATCATCTCCTCTCTCAAAATCATACGTCTCACCAAATACTCACGAGAACAAAAAGTCGGCAATGTTCCAATACCCAGGCAACGGCAAGAAGACGGTATATCCACCCACAAACGCCATCACAAACGTCCACACCAGCGCATACCAAGCCGCGTACGGCATGAACCACGCCTTGTAAGGCAGCGAGTCGCGGCTGATGCCTTGTGCCTTGAGAGCCCGGTGGAAGCACAAGTACGACACGCACACGGCGCAAAAGTTGATGAGCTGCGACGCCGTGACGAGAGACACGAACCAGTTGAGCACCACGGCCGTGTTCGACGACAGCTGGAGGAACGAGAGGAGCGCAAACAGCAGGACGAAGCCGACGCAGTAGACTGGCACGCCGGCCTTGGTGCACGTCGTCAGAAATCTCGGTGCTTTTCCCTCCAGGGCGAGTCCGTACAGTGATCGAGAAGCACAGTAGACGTACGAGTTTCCGGCCGAAAAGGCAGCCGTCAGGATAGCCGCGTTGACGATGTGAGGCAGCACGTCGATTCCGAGACGGTTCATGGCAACGACGTAAGGAGAAGCGGCAGCGCCTGGTTTCGAGCTCGCAAAGGCCGCAATCAGCTCCTTGTCGTTGTACGGAACCAGAATCCCGACACACAGCGATCCCAAGATGAAAAAGGCCGTCAGCCGGTAAAACACAGCATTATACGCCCTCGGCATCACCACGCGAGGATTCTCAGCTTCACCCGCCGCCATGGAGACGTAATCCGGACCAGCAATGGTAAACGCCGCCAGGATGAGACACTGCAGAAAGCCCAGCCACCGGCCCAAGGCACCCTCGTAGTACAGCTCAGCAAAAGATCCGGGCTCGTTCCAGAACCGGAATCCGAAACGGTCGTGCTTCGGGTTCCCGCCCAGCATGACGACAAAGGTGAAGATGATCAAGCCGACAATGAGCACCACCTTGCCAATAGCCGCCCAGAACTCCGTCTCGCCGTACCACTTCACCGCCAGCACGTTGATCAGAGCGTACAAGACAATGACAATGGCTATCAGTGCGCCGGTGGGAATCGCGTCGGTCCAGTAGCGAATGATGAAGTTGCACGCCGTCACTTCAAACGGCACCAGCGCAGCTTCAAAGATGAAGAAGTTCCATCCCGTCGCAAATCCAAACGCTTCGTCGACGTAGCGGCCCGCGAATCGGATAAAGGGCGAGGGGATGGGTAGGTATGTGACCATTTCGGCCATGCAGAGCGTTACGGCGAGGACGACGGTGCACCAGAAGCTGAAGGCGATGAACAGGCTGCCCGGGCCGCCATTGAGGAGGCCTTTTCCGATTTGAACCTATAAATGGAGTAAAATGAGAAACAAGAACAAAGCTTGAACGAGCCAAAAGTGCTTCATTTTATTTGTTGTGTTCAGGGGATAGGTGAAGGAAAGACTGTGTAATACGCACATAGAGAACGGTTCCAATGGTGCCTCCGATGCCAATGAGCTGGATGTGTCTGGCCTTGAGCTGTCGATGAGTCGTGTTTCGCTTCGTTTCGCCAGAGGACATGGAGATTCGGATGTCGTTGAGAGATTCCGTGCCGTTTGCGGTGATGCCGCCTTTGTCGGCCTGTCCTTGTTCATGGCCGGCGTACGCTGGAGGGCCAATTGGAGACGCCATGGCACTCAATTGCCGTCTGCCTCGATATTTTCTATCCAATTGCTCTAGATTTTGATACACAATTCAGAGCCGGTATGGCGAAGCGGTAATCGGGCTCTCGTTTCAAGATGCTGGAATCGAGAGTGGCTATATCGCAGGTAATCGGCGAAAGGTGGGCGGTGATTCCAAGACCCAAAGGTCAAGGAGCGAATTGAGGTACACAGAAACCGTGTACACCGCGAAAAGAGTAGAAAAGCAAAGCTGTTACAATGCTCCCCGACTCTTTCAGCGTATAGACTTGAGAAGAAGAGAGAAGAACTCGACTACGAATTCCATTCGTCGCGACTTTTTCCTCTTCGTTTTCCTTTCAGTGAATGATTTCGGTTGGGGGGAAGCACAGCTGCAGTACTAGTAGTAATATTCTCTCAGTGAGACACCTAATCAACCAAACCCGAGTAAGACAAGACACAAGAGTCGTACAGAGCAAGCCGGAAAAAAATGATGAACCAAAGACAACGGGCCACTCGTTCCCTATATTTATCCCCCCCCAACCCAGTTCCTGTTCCCGTTTTCTTAGAGCCGAGCCGAACTACCTAGCTCTGCGGGTCTCGTTTTTTGCGTGGGCCGAGCTATCTCACCAAGCATGAGAGACCGAGACATGGATTGCTCGCTGTCTTGTCTTTTAGCTTCTGAAAGCGGCCTGGTCAAAGGGCTGTGCCAAGGAAGAAAAGGCTGCAAATGATGGACGGGTGCCCCCGTTTTGAGACATGAACATGACATATGGGTTTTGAAGAAGGGGGGGGGGGTTTGGCCGCAATCAAGCTGGGAGAGTGTACAAGTAAGAGAAGCTTCCCCCCCGCAAATGACAATTCCGGCGATGGCAAGGTTCTACATCTCTTGGGTTCATCATCGTAGATCATTTGAATAAAATACCGTATTTCAAGATTCTTTCTCCTCTGCCAATTCAAACAATGGAGCGGCATTTGAAAATTTGACAAAAAAAAACCCCCCCGTTGGCCGTGACTGCAGACTAATGCACCCCCCAGCATTAGTCTCTCGCTGATCTTTGAAGAAATTTGGGGGAAAGCAGAAGCGTGGGGTCAAAAAGGCCATGGGCCATGACAAGCCTGTTTAACATGTCCAAGTCCAAGAAGAGTAAAAAAGCATGCCATCTCTTGGACGGGCAGCAAGTCGGTGACAAGGTGACGGGGCTCCATGTAAGACCATCCTCCACATGTTCAAGACATTTCCCCCAATCAACACCATGGAATCTGCTCAACTCTCTCCACCATGTTCAATCTCAAGCGTCCCGCAGCCTCGGCTCAAGGGAATCGGTAATGACATCACCCCTAGTCGCCGATTCGATCATGGACTTGGCTTGAAACCTTTGCAGAACGCTGTCGGCCAGACTTTTTCGATTGGTTGCCCAAAGATGCTTTGAATCAAAGCAAAATTAGACTGGGAAAGTATCAAATTCCATCCAGTCCATGGCTGAGGTGACTTTTCACATTGGGGCCATCGGGCTTGGTTACACTTTCATCATGATGGATGCGCGGGATGATCCGTCGGGCTGATACATGCAGCTAATCAAACAGCCAGAGTTGTACCATTTATTAGCACGAAAAGGCCATGCTGCTTTCGAGACACTAAAGCTGTTATTCATACAAGGCAAACAATTAGCCACGAGCTCCAATCAGAAAGTAGTTTCTTACTTGTGCGGCTCTCTCCCACGCATACAATCATCGTGCCGCTAGAATGCTCGCTCATCAGATCACTGGTTTCCGGACGACACCGTAGCATCCGGACCAAGCCGAAAGAATCTCATGAAAGGTGGTATTGAGAAATTCTTGAAAAAAGCAAAATATGATGCAGTTGCTATTAATGATTATGACCCACTGGTACAAAATCGCGAAAGTTACCAGTGAGGCGCGAGCCCACCGCCAGCCACCAACCTTTTCTACAGGATATACATTTCTGTTACTTTCCGTGCGTGATAGCCTCATTTTATCCTTTGATAAGAAATATATATATATATATATATATATATATATATATATATATATATATATATCCATAAGTCTGTCTAATTTTACTCCACCACTTAGACAACCTATTCAAAGCTGATATATTTTCTCTTTCTATCCGCTACACCTCCCGACTTGTCGCCTTCCGATACTGTCATAAAAAACCCCCCAAAATGTCGGAGGAAACTACAATTACACCTGCATCCTGGATGTATCTTCCAGCAGAACTACGATTAATGATTCTAAACCGGCTAATCAACCTTCTCTACCGGTCAAGAAAAGGAAACGCCCAGGAGCTAAAACGTCAATGGTGCGCCTATCATGCCGTTTCTCGAGAATGGCAGGCATTCTTTGAACGTTTGAGTTTTGCGTGCCTCACCTTGCATCAGTCAGACCTTGCGGAGTTCGGCAAGATAATGCAAGGTAACAACAATCGCCAGATGTCCGTAACATTCGTCTGCCTGCGCATAGAACTCCCAGAGTATGACTGCAAGAAATGCAAAAAAAGAGAATCACCCGACGAAGTCAGAGCAAACCAACGTTTGTTCACAACAGCAGTTTGGGAGCTGTTTTCGATTCTATCTCAATGGAAAGAGCACGGTGAAGTTGGACTCGAGATTAGTGTTCACTCTCCGAGCGACGCCCTTCACTATTGTCAGGAGCTCAAGAGCCGAATCCATCGCAAAGCGAACATGAAGCAGAGATACTCAAAACCCAGAGCAGAAAAGAAGACAACTCACGGCTGGAGGCGAGGGAAACGGGTCCATAAGCCCCCTGTCGGTGCTAAACTCAGAGTCTTTGGACATCCCAGAGGGCTAGGCTTCGACTTGCGGACATCGTTGGCCCGGAAGCTAGGAACCCTGCCCAAGGTCAAAGTGGTGACATATCTACTCATTCGTCGGCAGTTTTACCGCCACTTCTCTGTGCCAAAAGCTTTGGGGCCGATGATGAAAAGTTTGCCTCGCCTAGAGCACCTTTCGTACGAGCCATGGCGAGGAATTGATACCAAGAAGATCGCTGGCCGGCAGATACGAGACGAACAGCACACCCGTTTATTTCTTGACGTTATACAGCGCCATAAAAGCCTACGGTCGGTGTCAATGTTTGAGAGCTTCAACCCTGACCTGCATACTAAGAAGAAAAGGGAAGCATATCCCGCCTTGGGCCAAAGTGTTGCGAAAACAAGCCGAAACTTGGAGAGTCTATGCGCCACATTCAACGTCGACGCCAAAGATTTCTTCTACGCGTTTTTCCCAACCCAGAATCCAAAACCGCTGCCCAACATGTCGTGGAGCAACCTAACAGATCTAAGCCTTTGCTCAGAGCTGCTTGTCCCGGCGCACTACAACAAGCTGATCCAAGTTGCAGCGGCAGCGGCCCTCCAGATGCCGAAACTGAGATGCATGGAGCTATGGAACAGCGAGACACATGCCACGTCGTGCATATTTAGATACTTTCCAATGTCCGGACGACGACGATACATACAGCTACTTAGCACCTGGGGTGGACGACTTGGTACACAAGCAATTGCATGCTGGCGGGAGGTGGCGGACCGTGTTGCTGGCTGTGAGCTCCGGCAAGAATCGCTTTACCTTGATGCACATGTGTTTGACAATTATGCGTCTGTCATGCAATACCTATTCCTGAGAACTGGGCTCTTGTCTCCAGTATCTTTGTACGACACGGCAGTTGGGCTCTAGATGTATCAATCGACCTAGGCTTGTTGACCATTGGATACAATATTGAATATCTAATGGAGATATCTTTAGACTATCAACAGCATATGTTGGGGGCTAGTAAAGGAGAATGATATTCAGCAACCCTTGTCACAAAGTTTCAATTCGTTACAAGGTAACTAATGAATAATAATACCGAGAACTCTCTAGAGAAAAATATGGCGATAGTAGCAAATACTAGATTGAAATGTTGATAGTAGCAGATACCTACACAAAGAGCTGCACAAATATCTTAGGTATTTGACATTTATTAGATACCTAGATATATAGAAGTGAGTAAATAAAACGTTTTCCTCCACATCCTGTTCCAACACTTGAACCTCATTGCAATCGCTAGGATACTAGATAGCAGAGGTGGAATGCTAGCCAGTTCAACATTTCCCTCAATGAGCTGTTCAAGTCACATCACAAAAACATAATAAGCCAATAATCACTATCCTAATTCAATTGTGCTATGAGAATACATCTAGATATAGCGTACAATGCACGAAACTGGTGGGTATACACTCCACCCAGCTCCTCTCTCTCCCAAAATCACATCAAGGAAACACGAACCGCAATTTTTGTTTGTTTGCTGCCACCCAAAAACAAAGGAAAAGTCGGCATCTTGTCGGCCGGTGATGCCAAGGAAAAAATACATATAGAACAGGAACGATGAAAGAAAACCAAAAGATGAAAGAAAACCATCCAAATTCGTCTCGACAAATAAAAAGGAAAAAAAAGGTAAAAAAAAAAAAAAGAAAGAAAGAAACAACAGAGGGTATCGTCTAAGCACTGCTCCACCCACCTCGCAATGACATCTTACAACTCATCTTTCCCGTGCTTCGCAGCGTCGGTTGCCTTGCTCGCAATGCTTCCCACCTTTTCGCCAACTGATCCAGCCGCCGCACTGGCTTCGCTCGCCAGGCTGGCCACGTTCTGTGTTGCCGATGCATACGCCGCTTGAAGTCTTGATAATACACTCTCCGTGAAAGGCGCCTCCCGACCAACAATCAGCTCCGACACCAGCTCGCTCACAGACTCGTACTCCTTTGCGGCACCAGCAGACGCAGTTTGGGTGGCTTTGCCAACGGCAGAGGTGGCACTCGCCACGACAGCCTGCGCATCCGATACCCAACCCTCGTACCATCCAATGGCTGCCGGGGTTGGCTGACCATATATGTCAATGCTTAGTTGGCTAACCACAGTTCCCCAAGTCTCGCCAATGGCTAATCCGGCATTGTAAATCTGCTCAGTCGCAGCATCGTGCAAAGCAGAGATGGATTCATCAACAGCCTCGACCGCAGAAGCAACATTCTCAGTCGCCTTGGAGTAGGCAGATTCAGCAGCCTTTCCCGCAGCAGAAGCCATCGAAATTGCAGAGTCAGTAAAGGCCATGGGTGTGGGGGTTGGTGTGGCTGTTAGAGAGGACAATGCCGAAGAGGCAGCAGAAATGAAGTTGTTGTAGCGATCGTGCGCCAATCCGAGTCCGGCGTAGTAGTTGTACTTGGCCTGTTCGTAGTATTTCTCAGCTGCAGAGGTTGAAGTAGGGGTTGCCGTTGCTAATCCCAGGGCAATCAAGGCACTCTGGTATTGAAGTTCCGCCCACAGCTTGCCCTCATTCAGGCGCTCTGCCGCAATCGATTCCACCTTGCTCCAGTGTGCCGGTGTCGGGGTAGCCTGAGTAGGTGTCGGTGTGCCATAGACTCCAGCTGATGCGGCGTCTACAACGTCCTTGAATCTTGAGCTCGCTGCAGCAACCGCCTGGTCGTAAGCGGCCGATACGGAAGAAAGAAGTTGGTTTTGGACGGCCGGGGTCGGGGTGCCATGGACCTGGGCGGAAATAATGGACGATGCACTCGAATACTGGTCAGAAGCTAGAGAAATTGCGCTGGCATAAGCTGCCTCGGCAGCTTTAGTCGCGCTAGATAGGAAGCTATCGTCAGTTTCATCGTCCTCGTCCAAGATGGGTTGCCAGCCAGAGACTACCTGAGCGGCGGCGCCGAGGAAAGTTGCTTTGACGGAAGCGGAGTCGTTGTCCAGAATCTTTTGATCTTGTTGCCATGAGATCTCGTCCTCATCCAGGATATCGTCCTCGGAGTCCAATTCAATCTCATCGATTTCTTCAGGCTCGGATTCCAGTACGGTTTCGGTAGTCGCAGCGCTAGGGGTTGCGGAAGGCTCTTCCAAAACAGCCGACCTAGATTCTTCATTGACATGTTGAACAGGGATTTCGGGCGTTTCAATCTCGACCTCGGGCTCTACAATTTCGTCTTCCAGAGATTCCGGAACCTCGTCGGGCTGGCCAGTAAGGGGCTCCTGGGCTTTTTCGTCGAGGTCAGCTTGCTCTACCACATGTTCAAAGACATTCGAGCTGGCGTCGTCCACAATGGGAAATTCCTCGTCCGACGATTTCTCATCCGCAACAGCGTCATCAATGACCTCATCCGCGGAACCAGACTCCAATGGCAATGTGGCCTCGTCAGTTGTTCCTGGTGTTGCCTCTTCTGCGATGGCATCCAAGACGGCTTCCAAGACGGTATTATCAGCAGCCGACAAAGGCGTCTCTTCACCATGGGTTTCATCGGCGGTTTCTGCTGAAGACTCTCCAGCTGTCTGATCATCTCCCTGCTCGTGACTCTCCAGAGTGGTTTCATCCTCAGGCACGACTGGGTTCTGTGCAGCGTCTGCTGCCTTCTCCATCGCCTCAGAATCAAAGTTATCGGTAGCGTCATTCGCGAGAATCTTCCACTGAGCAACTTGCTTAAGACGAGCAAGCTCCTTGGCAGCGCTAGAGGCGATGGTCATTCCGTCATCCTCGACCAGAGCTGCAGCATCCTGTGCTTGCAGCAGCGTGGGGTGAGTGACAATGAGATGTTTCAGCTCTTCGGTCCAATCCCCCAGTGTTTGCTTGAGCTCGTGATACTTTGCCCAATCTCTATATGTAACTCCATCGGTCCAGGCCCATTTCATTCCGAGTTGCTGAAGTGCGAGATTCGTAGTCTCATCAAGTATCTGGAAGTGTACGTCGGCGGCTTTGAGAACCAGGTATTGCAAATTATCATCATACTCTTCCCGCCAGGACCTGATGCCTTGCGCAGCTGTCTTGATGGCTATGCCAGCAGCTCGAACGGCGGCAACGATTTGTTCTTGAGCATCGTCGAGCGGGTTGGCGGCATTCTCTGCAACAATACTAGAAATCTTTGCCTTGAGACCATCAGTCTCCGACTCGACTAGTGCCTCGAGCTTCTTGACAAGGGGCTTGCCCTTGGAGACAATCTCATCGACGACCATGCGGTTCGCAATCTCATCGATCCGGTCCTCCATATCGGCAGCGCCCTCTTCGGCCTGGGCAGCAAATTTATTCTGCCACATCTCAAGGTCTTGCGCCACCATCTCACGGGCGATCCTTCTTTTCTCCGTCTCATTTTCTGCAGCAGGAGGGGCCTGAACGGGGTTCCAGTATGATTCTGCTACCGGCTGCTCCTCGAGGCTTGAGCTCGGAGGGGGGGCGACAGATTCGGAAGCTGTTGTGCTTGGAGATTGTGTGCCCTGTGGGGCCGGCTTGCTAAAGGACGAGTATCGTGGTGGCTCAGTAGTAGTTTTTCGTCTCCTACGATTTTGTTAGACGACATCAAGAAAGGTTGGAAAGGCGATGATTAGAGAAATGGAGGTGCACTTACGTAGAAGACGACGTCACTTCGGGAAGCACTCTGGTCTTTGCTTGGTTCTTGTATCTTTCCAAGCGCTCGCCAATGCGAACGAGCTGGGGCTCTACATTCTCAACGTAGACCATTCGAACCTGTGGCCACACGGCCTTGTTGAGAAAGGCATTCGTCTTGCCCCAAACCCACTGAGCAGCAGGCAGCGCCGTGCCAGTGGTGAAACTTGAGGCAGCGTTGTAGCCTTGGTGCGCATAGGGTTGCACCAGTTCGTAGCTTGGCAGCAAGACTTGGTAGTACAACCGGAGAGAATTGGTATGGCCGATTTCGTAGTAGGGTCCGAACACCTCGCCGGCGCTCTCCAGGTATGGAGCAATTGTTTCCTCGTACTGCTTCTGGGACAGAGCACGCAGCTGGGCTACCTGAGGCCGGCCGTGCTTCTCCCATTGAGCCCAGACTTGTTCCTGGCCCTTTTCAACCCATGGCCCACCGTGTTGGACGGCATAGGCGCGCGCCGGTGTGAGGACGCTGGAGTCGACGGTTTGGTAGTAAGGCCACGCAAAGTCCACATATGGCGCAACGTATTGATCGTAGTAAGGCAGCGTGTACGGGGCGACGGCGGCTTTGGCTTGAAAGTACGGTTTGCAGATGAAGGGAGAGTCTTGGTCGCATTCCTCGAGCGTGGAAGGACAGCGGAAGAGAAGCGTGAGGATAAAGGCCCAGGTCGCAAGTCTGTGGATGCAAATCATCAATCAGCACATGTTTGGTTCCCCCGCGCATGACAGGCCAAGCAAGCCACAAGCGACGAGGCACCGCATCGCAACGTCGAAAGAAGCAGCAATTGGAGTCGTCAAAGAGGAAAAAACTCGAGAAATAACAACGTACCTAGCGATGGTCCCTCCTACCCAGGCCACGAAGCCGCGTCGTGGTCGTGAAGCAGCAACTTTTTTGCCTGTCTGGCCGTTCATCTTGCCGTTCACATGCGAAGAGCCGTTGCCCGGCTTCAAGCCGCTGGACTCGGCCATGAGAAAAGAATAGGCTCTGTCAAAGTCGTACTATTCGGGAGAATGGATGGTTTAGTCGACAAGAGCAAGGACAAGAGCGACGAAAGAAGATGGTGAAGGTTGAAGAAAGAGAAGAGAATCGAAGAGAGAGAAAAGAAGCCAGCTTAGAGCGGACCAGCTAGCGGAGGTACCTACCATATTTCTAGTGGATTGGTGATGTAGCCTAGCAGGTAGCATTTCGGTGGATGGGGGAGCCCCGTAAAGTAGCGGCAGGGTATCGTGGCCCCAGATGTCCTTGTGGAGGTACCTCATGATACCGCGGGGCACGGGTTTCGTTTCGCTGGCCCACCCCTAGAGCTGAAGCGGATGCTGGAATCTCTTTTTTCTTGCAGCAGGGAGAGCGCAGGATGGGGGCGGATCACGGCAAGTTTCAGCACTCGAAACACCTTTGGGGGCCTTTGCTTCAGGGGATGGGCAGTCCGTGTGTCAGGGCCTGGAGTTTTGGTTCAGGTCAATTTGATGTTGTTGAGAACATTGACATTGGAATTGAATTCATAAGCACGAGGTGGACACCGCGGAATTGCTGTGCCGGGCAATACATGTAATTAGTAGGCAGCGAGTGCACGGGGAGGGCGGTTGAATTCAAAATATCAGCTACGGGCGGCCTTTTTATGGAATTGACGTGAATTACACCAACATTACACGATCTAGACAAACAAGATACGCAAACAACAGGCCGATCGTCTTATCGTCTTCGCTTCAATGGGACACGTCATGGTGCTGGCAAGAAGCTTGTTTTTGGTTGCCGTCGACATCAGCGATCCAGCAGCCTCGCATGGCTTGGAGACATGAAACAAGACGGCGATTGGACCGCCCAGTGGCCACTAGGGTGTAGATCCGCCATCATCATACTGGATGGGTGTGCCCAACCAAGGCCGTGATACGCGGTCTGTGGATTGGGCAAGATGGACGAAGACTACGGAGTACTAACGAGATGATTACGAGGGGCATTACGTATAGATGGTAGATGTAGCTAGAGAAAGTAGATGGTGGTAGGTGGTAGTAGATGGTAGTAGATGGAACTGGACAGAGTAGATGGTGGTAGATAGAGTAGATGGTGGTAGATAGAGTAGATGGTGGTAGATAGAGTAGATGGTGGTAGATAGAGTAGATGGTGGTAGATAGAGTAGATGGTAGTAGATATAAATAGATGCAAATTGATAAATCATCTAGCGATCAAATGGAGAGATGAGAGGGGTTTTTTTCACGTTCATTATAAACTCGATGATGGCAAACAAAAGAGCAATTCCAATTTACATACGATATCATCCATCCATACCTAGTAGCTATAGTAGGTTGGCGAGGTTCAATGGAAGAGCCCAATTTCCCGTTCCCGATTCACAAAGCTCTACGCACCAGACATGCCGCAGTCGCTTGAAGACGAGCGAAAATCTCAAGCTGCTGGATGTGTCCATGGGTATTATACAAATCTGACGCCGTCGGAAGGGATCCGTTGATATGTGTGCTTCTTCCGGGTAGCTCGAGTCCGACACTCACTTTGACTCTTACTGTACTCCGTAAGAGTGGCAATTCAAACCACAGGTTCAAATAGGAGTTATTAGAGAGAAAAAAACTATTGTCCAACACCGAGCACGTCCTGAATTTTTGTCGAAACAGTTGCCCGCCTTGTGTAATTCAGCTCGATGCCTGTGGAGCTGCAAAACTCGTAGATGACGATATATCTGGGCCTCAAGGTGGCAATATGGCACCACCATGTGAAACCTTGTTTCTTCAGCTCGATAGCGGCTGCATGGTATTGGTGCGATAGATGGCAATACCAACATGCAAGTTAGTAGTGACCATTAACCCAACATTTTTTCCTTCCAGATGGAACAAGGTGCTTTCACATGCCACTCTATCAACGTACTAGACACACCGTTAATGTGTGTCGTGATGAGAGCCACATACTAACACAATGGCTCAGTAGTGTTTGGGCCTGCAAATGGACTGATTAAAATATCATTTTGACAATATGTGCCTATTGTACACATCTACTCAAATTCTCCGTATTCACTCCATGTAGGAACTTGTCGCATCTTCGTCCACTCTCTTCCCCAAGCGTACCTCTGCTTATTACCTGCGTCTACTCCATCAACCCATTTCCTCCATAGACCAATATCTAAATAGGTTCACGTATCTGCTTCTACCATCCGTACATCGCTTTGCCATGGTAAACCAATCATTCATACCTCCTTTCTCTATTACTGAATCACTCATCTTACCTCATCCCAATAGCGTACATGTACTCGTACACGCATTTCTTCGTCCTCGCTGTTTGACTTAGTAATATGGGTGGACTGTTGAGACTCGGGCGGGAGCAAGGCATGGGACCGACGGGTACTAATCGATAACATGGTGGTGGCGGCAAGGCCGCACGGTCACACTAGTACCTCTGAAGTAGAAGTGCTCGGAGCTGGAGTCCGACTTTTGTTGGAGATTGAGGAATCACCTCGCACTGCGCACAGACGCATTTCTCCGGAGTCCGCTTAACCACTTCTCTCTACTTCCTCCTTCATCTATTTTCCTTTGATACTATCAACTCCGCCATCCAGGTCCGCTTAGACATTGCTGGCCCAACCTGAGCTGTTCCATACATTGAGCCTGGATCCCCTCCCCAGGCTTTTCCTTATCTCGCTGCCCTCGTACGTACAAGAGTACAAGATAGAGGGGCGGAGACTTTTCACGGCAATCCTCAGCCTTTCAACAACACCTGTCCCAACAACGACGATCGTCTTGTCTCGACTCATGGTGCCTCCGACTCCTCTTGTTCGATAACTCCCCCGCCGCGGGCATTTTCTTCTTCTTCTCTCGTCTCGTCTCGCCTCCCAACCATGGACGACGTCTGGGACGCTTCAGACGTCGGGCCCGCCGCCCAACTTCGAGACTCGACCCGGCACGACGATGGCCTCAGCGCCGCCGCCGTTGATACGAGCCATTCGATATGCCGAATATGCCGTGGAGAGGGCACGCCGGCCGAGCCGCTCTTCTACCCGTGCAAGTGCAGTGGCAGCATCAAGTACGTCCACCAGGACTGCTTGATGGAGTGGCTCTCGCACTCCCAGAAAAAGTACTGCGAGCTGTGCAAGACGCCGTTCCGGTTCACGAAACTCTACGCACCAGACATGCCACAGTCGCTTCCCGTGCACATCTTCATCGAGCACATGGCCAAGTACCTGTTCCGCAACTCTTTGGTCTGGCTTCGGGCAGCCGTGGCCATAAGCGTCTGGGTCTTTTGGCTTCCCTATTTTATGAGGGCCGTCTGGTCATTCATGTTCTGGGTTAGTGACGAGGGCCCGGGTGCCGGTTCCATCATGTCGCGCATCAACGAGACCAACAACCCCATGTCTAATATTCCCTCGTCTATTCTGGCCATTGGCACCTGTCCTGCCAGCCCTCTACTTGCTGCCACCACCACGTCAGCGGCTGAAGTCGAAGCCGTGGTCGGTCAGCTCCAGGGCAAAGAAGTTTCCGACTACCTGGTGCGATTCTTACTCGGTTCATTCACCTCTCCCTTGCTAGCCTCAGATGGTGAGCTTGGGCAGGTGTCCAACGCATCTGCAGCACCAGGCAATGCTAGTCAGCCATCTGTTACCTCGACCCTCCTCGGTAACGTCGCATTCATTGGCAACCTAACCAGAAGCGCCAGCTTGAACCGTGCCATTGTATCTGTGCTGGAAGGGCAGGTTATTACCGTCTTGGTCATCATCTCCTTCATTCTCATCATCCTGGTCAGAGACTATGTGGTTCAACAGCAGCCGGAAATCAATATGAGAGCTGCCTTTGCCGCACCGGAAAATGACTTCCCGATTGCTGTACCAGAGATTGTTCAGCCAGAACACTTGCCGCCAAATCCAGAGCCCACCGACTCGGACGATGAAACCCTGGAGGACAGCGATCAGGCGGGTGCCCCAGACTGGCGATTGATCCCAGCGGACCCGCGCACGGCTATTGACGAGCAGCCATTGACTCCGGATTCCTCGAACCACTCCCTACTAGATCATGAACCGTTCCCCACTTCCAGTACCAACACATCCTTGCAGAACGATCAACTGAATTCCCAGGCACGCGAAGGTGCTGATGATGGGGATGCCGCGGAAGAGCGAGCCACCGTCGAAGACTATCTGCGAATTTATCGCCGCGCAAATGGTGATCTCCAAGACATATTGCGAATCATCGAAGAGGAAGGGCTCCAAGAGAAGCTCAAATACTGGGTCGAGGTTACTAGGCGATCAACCATCGACAGTGCCGACCGTCACGCCGCAAGCGAGGCTGCAAGCGAGCCGGCCACGGAGGAAAAGGAGCAGCACGAGCAGGATGTCGGTTCGGATCATGACACCCTCCCATCTGCATCCACCTGGAAGGGAAAAGAACCAGCGTGGTCTCCGGCACTTGAAGATGTCGATATGTCGGGTCCGGCCGCTGACTTGGAAGATGATCTTTATGATATTGCCACCAGACCTCGTTCAATGTCTGACGGCTTCCAGGAGCACCGGTTCGTTAATCCGCTGGCCAACAACTCATGGTCCTTTGATGCACTTCCTACAGATGACAACCACGATGAAGTATCCCATGCCCTTCCAGTTATCCAAGAGCACACCGGACAGTATATTAGCTATATGCAGCCAGCCCAGGATGATGACAGCCATCTCAACAGAGAAAACCATCGCCGCCTTCCGGAGAGGGATATCCACGAACACCAACCCATCAGAGAAGTCTACCAACGCTATCCTCCAGAGAGAGAAGTATATCAGCGTCATCCCGATCTAGATGATAGAGAAGCCCACTTGGATGCTGAATTCGAAGCCCAACCGCCTCACATCAACGGCGCGGCCGAGGAAGTCGCCCCTAACGGTGGTGAAGTTCCAGCCGCTGGCCTCGTCGGCAGAGTTGCCGATTTCATGTGGGGCAATTTGAATGAGCCGGATGTTGCAGAGGCCGGCCCTGTTGCTGACGCTGCCGCC